TATTCCACAGTCACAGGCTCAGCTTCATGACGATTGTGTGTGCATGACAGTGAAAGTACAGGAGTAACGGCACTTGCGATCACCGGAGGACTTTAAAAAATGGTTGCATATTCAATGACAGACTTAAAAGCACATGGGATTCTTAAATGTAGATGTCAGATTGTGTCATGTATTTATCAGGTGTCAACTTTCTGTTTCAAAAGAACTGTTTTGCTCAATAAGCATTCAGCAAACAACAATCAAAAAGCTTGATAAATAAACATGACCCACCACTCAGACTTTCACTAAGTTTTTTCTATTGATGGTTTTAGTCTCTTGGAACAGGAATGTTGTAACTTGCCCACTAAATGTATTTAATGCTTGTAATACTGTCAAGTGTTGCTCAAAAAAGTTACACAATGTTGTAGCATTCACGTGGGAGTATTTCTTATTGTACATTCATGTTGTGTTGCATGTACAAACAGAAAATACCCTGTTCTCAATTCTGGATTAAATCTTTCTACAAAACTCGTCTGCCTTATTCCTGAAGTCTGTCCAGCGTATTTGTTTGTTTGTGATATGAAGTGATTTTCATTTTATCTGATTAGCTGCCAATACACACCTCGCCTCCAGAAAACCACGGCTGAATCACCTCTGCAAACATTTTTAGTGATCTCATCATCATCATCATCATCATCAGAGAGCTTGAGGCTTTAGCTTCTTCTCCGACACAACTCGCTGAACACCGAGATTAACATCAATACAGGGCAAAAAGACCCTCTGTTTTCTACAAGTCCGTTTTAATGTACATAAAACTCTTTGTATTGCCTCACATAAATAGTAAGAAGAGAAAAAGAAACATGACAAACCATACTGCTTTCAGAAATGCTGCTCAGATGCTTATATAACCAACCAGACATAGATTAATATTAGAGTTTTGTTGCTTTTCAGCTAAACATTTTTCATTTTTTCTGCCTTAAAGCACCTTCCTGTCATCTGCTATACATTTCTAATTAAACCGAATTAACTTGTTACTTTAAAATTACACTATACAGTATGTCAGGTGTTCTGGCTGTTTGTGCAACACTGCCACCTTGTGGAGACATACAAAAAGCCCAAGTTTTTCAGTCACTTGCTCTTCAAAAACATGACTTTAAGACGTTGCTATACTCAACACCATGTTGCATTTTCACTCTTTCAAATTGCTATTACATTTAGCCTTTTGTTGGAAGCAGGCATCAAGTCAGTTTAGAAAAAGGAACAGGGAAAAAAGGTTCAAATGTAGCTCTCTTATAAAGCTGTAGCTTCACTCTGACCAGCGATAAAAATGCTTTTCACATGCTTACACATTTGTATTGACACTGTTTAAAACAATCTTTAATTCTTGAGGATTTGCTGATTTTAATGGTTGGCAGATCATTTCAAGCCTTGATTTTATAAAAAAAAGTGTGTTGACAACAAATTAAATCTAAAAAATTGATATAAAACTCCTATGTCTAAACTGAGAATTGTGCATGAGTTTTGTGTAATGCTGAAATTAATAATTAAAGAAACATCATTTTAAATTTCAACAGGTTTTAACATGACAGTGTAAAAAAAGGCATTCCTTTTTAATTGAACGAACTGACTGACTGTAAGCGAACTCTGTTATCTCATGACAAGAAACTTAATTTTTCCTGGAAAACACAAAGCAAGTAAAAGTATGGAAGCATGTCCATTAAGGGCTTCTATACTTAGCTATACAAGCTGCAGCTGAAAACATTACAAAAGTTAAAAACTTGCACTGTGGGCAAGTGTCATGGACACTGCTGGAGCTGCTTATTTCTCCTGAGCCACACCCTCCTGCTCACACCTGTGAACTGTTTGCTAATCATGTCATGGACACTGCTGGAGCAGCTTGCTCTTCCCGAGCCACACCCTCCTGGTCACACCTGTAACGTATTTGTAATCACCTGCCAGTAATTAAGACCAGTCAGTCAGGAATATTTTAGCTAGTTCGTTTTCTCTGCTCTTGCCTGTTTCTTTCCAGCCTTTGTTTGGAATGATGGAAGCATGAAGAGCTCTGAAATGTCCCAGTAGACTTTAGGCTGTGTTGACTCTGGACTTGATGAAACAGAGTAGACCAAAAGCAGCAGATGACATGACTCCCTAAATCATCACAGACAGTGCATTCACACTGGACCTCCAAGTTTCTTGGATTCTGGGCCTCTCTGATCTTCCTCCAGACTTTGGGACCTTGATTTACAAATAAGATGCAAAGTTTATTTTCATCTGAAATCAGGACTTTTGGCCACTGAGGAACAGTCCAAATTGTGACAGTGAGACACTTACGATGTTGTCTTTGGTTCAGGAGTGTCTTGACAGTAGGACCCCAACACTTGTCTGTTTCCTGCATGGACCCATCTGTGTCTGTTGGCTATTGGTGCTTAGACTCCACAGCCTCAGTTCCCCCTAAATTATTGAATTTGCTTTGTTTGACAATCCTGTGAACAGCCATTCCTTTCAACAATGATTTACAATACTTGTGGAAGGAATCAATTATCTTCTGGACAAGAGTCAAGTCATCTTCTCCATGATTGTGGTTGTATGTAGGCCTATTGTGTATAGAGGTTATGTGTAATTGAGTTAAGTTCTCAGTAAACCTTTACATTTGTTCAGAGTTGATTGGCTGATTGGGTGGACTGAAAGAACTGACAACAGAAAATGGACTTTTCCCCAATATAGGGGAGAGTGGGGTTAGTTGAGCCAAAGGGTAAATTGAGCCACCCCCCTTTTGTTTGGAAATGGTAAAAGAAACTGATCATGTAACCAAATATTTAGGAGGTGGGCATCAATTCATGGAGTCTGTGAAGGTTAGAAGCACATCGGTGAAGGGGTTAGACATTTCTTTCCAGAAAAACATTTTTTCACACTTGAAAGTGAATTTAGTCTGTCATTAGAATTGTGTTCAGACCATAGACTGTATATACTATGGACAACCTGGTTCCGCCTTCCGCCTGTATCCGTATTTGAAGCCAAAAAGCTCTCTGTAATTCCGGGTTTTTCTCCACTTCCTTGAAACCGGAGCTGCGCAGTAGCGAGGCGCGCATTCGGCCGCGCAGTGTCCAAGAGTCCCTGTGATGACGCTCGGCTCAAACACTGTGTCCCCACGGGTGAGCTACGAAATCCCTGAACGCCCATAGGCTGAACCAGGTGTCAATCATAGAAAACATGAACCCCCTAATAACTTTTAGAAACTGAGCTGTACAGAAAAAAAAGGACTTGGGCACAAACCAGTCTTACAGTAACTACATGTCAACATCACAAGCAGGGGGGAGAAAAATTTATGTTCTGTGTAATAACTTTCTAAAGTTTGTCCACAGTCCCATAAGCTTTGCTGGCAGAGGCGGGATTTATGACCTATACTGCAGCCCACCATTAGAGGGTGCTGTTCTCGGAATGGCTTCACCCAGCGAGGAGGCAGACTCTGTCCATTCTTTATACAGTCTATGGTTCAGACCAAAAAAAAAACCCCTTTTAAATTAGTCTTGTACCACAATTGTGGTATCTATGAGCTACAACGTGAGGTCAAAAACCTAGTATAAAAGGCCACCATTTTAGCTTAGAGGACTAATAAAGTCATCATAGTAGTTCTGGGGTAAGTTGAGCCAGTGGCTCAACTGAGAAAGTAAAGGAGTCTGATGAGAGGATCAGAGTTTCAGCTCAGATTGTTGTAATTAGTTACTTTTTCTTTTCTAAAATACAGCTGTGAATGTTCTTAATCACTTAAAGACATTCTCATGTTAAAATGGCTTTTTTACAAAACATCTTTTTAGCAGTTATATGCAATAATGACTAAAGAATTATTGTACCAGTCGAATAGTGTATAATAGATAAAAATACTCATGAATGTGGAGAAGAAACTGTTATTTAGGGAGAGAGAAGGTGAGGGAGGGCTGGGGTGGAGAGTGGAGGGGCAGTAGGGATACGGCTCAACTTACCCCATACATGGGGTAAGTTTTCTTTATTCTCTATCCCTAAAATACAAAACAAACTAAACTCTAAAAGACACAACAAGATCTAAAAGGCAAAAACAAAACAGAACTATACAACACTAAAACAAAACAAAAAAACTGTATAAAGACAAAACAGCAGCTGATTGTGTCTGTGAACGAGAAACAGAAATTATTGCACTATTAACAAATATCATAAATCATGCTATTTCTTGGAGACTGTTGATTAAGAAAATGCAGTCATTCACACCTATTTAGATACATTTATTCATGTTTCCTGTACGCTGACAGACAGGGAAAAGTGCAAACTGGAAGCAGCCAGGTAAACTGCAATCAGACAATATCTGTCCAGACCATGTGGCAGCAAGCAGGTAAACAGAAGGAAAGGCAGCTTTCCTGCCACAGGTGTCTTAAATAGGAGGATGGGGGAAAGGGGGGAGGAGTTGACCTAGTTTTTGGAGAGGCTGCACAGCATGCAGCCTCTGAATCCTACCTGCTACACATGATACATTATCAAGACAGTTCTGTTTACACTCACTCTGTTGGTTTGCAGGGATGCACAACATCTTGAAATAAATGCAGATACACTAGTTAGAGTCAAAACTATGATTGCCTTGATGTAGTGATCTAAAATATGAAAAATGGTTCATCTTACCCCAGTCTTCCCTACACTACTGTTTTGAGATTGTGGCTTTCTGTGTGCTGTTCACTGTACTCATTAAGGTTCAAAACAAAAAAAAAGTATTAAAAAAATTCAGCTTTTGTGTATTGCATGTAGAATATATGATAGTTTCACTTTTTAAACTAAATTTTTTGGGGAAATGAACTTTTTCGTGACATTCTACACACACTCGTGTAAATGATCATGCGTTTTTAATGATGAGCTGAAATAAAAACAAACATGTCTTTACTCAAACAAGCCAACCAGTTAGACGATGGAAACTTCTCCGAGTCAAACATCCTCTACTCCTCTTCCTCTTCCCCCTCTTCCTCCTCCTCTTCCTCTTCATCCTCCATCCTGTTAATCTAATGAGCGGCAGTGACGTCAGCTCTGCAGCAGCGGACAGGGCTGAGTCCCTGCAGGATCAACCGACCAGACTGTGCCTGTACAGTCAGCAGCAGCAGCACACCAACTACAGACAGCAGCACCACACCAAAACACACAACAACACTCAGCTGTCTGCCTTCACTTTAGATCCGCCAACACCGAGCAGAAGTAACATCATGGGTAACGTTCAGGTAAGAAAAGTAGATTTGGTTCAACTTCTGCTGCTCAAAGTATCTGTTAATCCGAGCATCATCATCATTATCTGAAGTTCTCAGCGTTTATTGGACTTGACAGACTTTTACAAAGCGAACGAGACGAGTAAGCTGGGATGTAGTTCACTTAAAGCCTGCTATGAACTCAAATGTGAAAAGCTCGTAAAGTTTCACCGAACAATTTCGTGTATTATTTTGAGTTAAAACTGTCTTCAGGGGGAAAAGTTTGGACATTTAGTGTAAACAGCGTGAATGTATTGGGGCAGAAGTTGCGCAGCTGACTTGGTCAAAGGGAGGCTCCCTGTCAGGCCGAGGACGCAGCAGCAGCAGGAATTTGAGAGCAGCTCTGATCAATAAGGCCGCATTGTGTTTAGGGAGGGTGGGCTATGAGAGCGAGAGAGAGAGGCTGTACACACCACCACCACCACCACTACTGCTGCTGCTGCTGCTGCTGCTCCGTGACTCAGCTCTACACGGGCTGCACCCTTTTCTTGCGGGACAGGCGGGCCTTATGCAATCACGCTAACATAATCATTTCCAGTCTGTAAACCCAGCCTGCATTTAGCCTGACCGGACTGACCCATGACTGCAGATTTAAACTGTTTGGATTTAGTTATTAATCTTACAGACATTACTTTGTACCTACCAAGATTGCTTTGAAATAACAGTTTACCATGAATGATACCAGTCATGTCTTTAAAAGCGTGGCACAAGAGTGGGTATTTTGATTTGATTGTTCTGTGATGCATTGATACAGCAGGGCATGAGAGAAGAAAAAAAAAACAGATTACAACAGCACCAATTTGGAGAAAGAGGTTGAAAACAAAGCAGATCACTAAATTCTTAAATTAGCCACCCTGTGTATCCTCCCAGACTCCAGAAACAAAAAAAAAAGTCTGTCAAAGTGAACATTTTACAGCTGTCTTCAATGCAACTAAACACTGTTTGATATTTAACATACATGTTATTTACAAATGTGCTTTACTTGTGATAAAAGCAACTAAAAAAAATGTAATTCATGTTTGACTTCTTCAGGTAACACACAAAAAAACCTCAGATGCACAGATTTTGTCCTCAGGGTCTTCTAATCTACCATCTTTACCACTATTGTGCTGGATTGTAATTTTTTTAAAACAAATTTTCATCCTCAAAACCAGCAAGTCCCTTCTCATATTGCATGCTGAGGTGATAATTTCCACACATCATCAAATGTCCTTAAATGCAGCATGAAGCCCTGGGGCCCAAAGACAGCTGTGTGATTTGCTTCCAAAAGGAGATTTCTATTGTTAAAGATTTATGTTTTCTTTTTATCCCCCAGCCCACTGTAGTCCCATATGAGGACTTTGACGTCACCGCTGACATTAAGGCCATCAGAAGAGCATGTAAAGGTTTAGGTAAGTGAACAACGGTGTATTTGCTCCTCCATCATTCAGAAATTACATTTGTGCTCTGTGCTGTTGGAGCCTTGAAATTAAAGCCCGTTTAAGGTGAAACCTTGCAGAGCTACGGCAGTCAACAATTTTGTTTTTTAAGAAATATCATTGTCAGGTTATGTCTTCTAATACTGGAAAGATCCTTGAGAATAAACCAGCATTATACATCAAAAGGCAGACCTCAGTCTCCTCTGTTTCTTAGACCAAAGATAGATAACAGGAGGAGAGTCAAAACCTAAACATTTATAGATTATCATCTTTAATGCGCTTCAAATTTAACTAAACTATCTAACTATCTAACTAAAAATATATAAATGCTACTGCTACAGCCTTTTCTGCTACCTTCAATAAAAATAAGTCAACTGTTAGCGGTATGACCAAAAGATCTGTTTGGATTAGGTAACCTGGTGCACAGAGCGTTTATTTTCTCTGTTAAATACTGTTGAGGAGTCAGGTTATATCACTTGTTTAGATTCACATTTCCTTTTTTTGTTTTTGCTGTTGTTTTTACTCTCCAGGCACTGATGAGGCGGCCATCACTGAAATCTTGGCCAATCGTTCCTCAGCTCAGCGTGTGGAGATCAAAGTGGCCTACTTTGATAAGTACGACGATGTGAGTACCTGTTTCTACCGTCCTCTTTAAAGACACATATATCGTCAAAGAACTATGTAACTTCAGTGTCATCTCTGCTTGTCTCAGGAGCTGGAAGAGGTCCTCAAGTCTGAGCTGACAGGGAGCTTTGAGAAGGCCGTCCTGGCCATGTTGGACCCTCTTCATGTTTTCTTTGCCAAGGAGCTGAGGAGGGCCATGAAGGGGGCAGGGACGGATGAAGACGTGCTCGTAGAGATCCTGTGCACCTCCTCCAATGAGGTCTGTGTGTATGTGTCTGTGTGTGTGTGATGAAGTTTTTTAAATCTCTAACTTTAGGTTAATCTTAATAAACTTTGGTTTTATTTGTTGCAAGCTCAGAGCACTATAGAGCTGATTTCTACTGGATCAAGCCATTGGTTACATCTACACCATTTTTGTACCACTTTAAAACAAGGCAAATTTTTATCTATCTATATATATATGTAGAGGTCCTAAAGCCTGCCCTGTTCGTTATAGCAGAAAGAGCATGGGTGGAACTTTAAAATTAAACAATATTTTCCCAAATTTGATTCACCCCTCTTTTCCTGGTATGTTGTTAACCCTTAGTTTATTGGCCACATAGGCAGGGTGTGTCTAAAGGTGTTTGATTAGGGGGAGTTTCACTGAGTCACTGACTTCTACGGGTTGCTGATCAGATTTTAGGCGGGGCTTGTAAGACCCCTGGCACCAAGCAGTAAAATACCTATAGAGCTGACGTTTAAGAAGGTAGAAACTTATTACTAAACATGCCAACTATAACCTAATATTCATTTCAACTTCAGAAGGGAATGGAATTCGCCAGTATATCTGTTTGATACTCTTATATTATCAGTACCTCATCACTGACTCTGATTGCCCCCGAGCTAGCTCTAGAGAGTAAATATAAAGTGGATTTGTTAGTTTCTTAGATAAAAAACATGTCCTGTTATTTGAAATGATGATGAGGAAGTAGCAGCTAATTTAAACTGCAAATTCTGCTTCAAAACAAGAAACTTAAGCAGGATACACAAGAGGATATACTCTTGCCATGCCCTGAGTGACCTCTTAAATATCATAAGTTGATTTGATCGATATTAACTATGAAACAGTTTTGAAGAGTTCCTTTAATACCAGGGTTTCACGGAATCTATCTTTCCCTCTTCTAGGACATCCTGAAGTACAAGGAAACATATGCTCAGGGTGAGTCATACAAGAAAAAGCTTCCTATGTTTCAAACTAGAGTTTTTGTGGTCGGCTGAAGTTTGATATTTATGTTCATGTTGAGGGTGTTTCTCTTCTTAGGGTGACTCATGATTTGAGACATGAGACATTGAGACATGATTTCCAAACGTACTCACCACAATCCCGGCCTGATCCTCCCATCCTCTGGCTTAAATCAGAAGCTCAGAAGCTACTTATCTAATAACTGTCTTTTCTCTTATCTTGCAGTGCATGAACGTGACTTGGAGGCTGACATCGAGGGTGACACTAGCGGGGATGTGAAAAACCTGTTTGCATCACTGCTGCAGGTAGAGGTTCATTATTAAAGTTTCACTCAACTTTGACTTCCCTCTAGTGTTAGTAGTAATAAGCGGAGGAAAGGGAGCAAAGCCTCAGTTTTATAAACTAAACTACATTTCTTGGTTTTGGATTTGGCTGAAAGCCATAAAGAGGAGGAGGATCATGCTTTTCCTCCATTGTCTTACGCTCACAGAATTGTTCTCGCTGCTGTGATTCGCCCACTGAGACATTGGTCACACATCACATCATTGTCTGGCACACTTCAGTCTTTTTTTCAGCACTCCCACCCATCTCTGCTTCCCTTCTTTTTTCTTCCCCACGAAACAAAGACAAACAAAGTGTGACTCATGTTCCATAGTGATGCCTTTACAAAGAGCTGCCACTACCATGGCCTTCAAATACTTCCCCCTGATGTGAAGCAGATGACTGTTATCCAGTTAAACAGCTGGGATTTCTGTCCTGATCTGTCTCTTTAACCTTTTCTTTACTCACTTAATATTTTCCTTCAGTCTTGCTATACATTTTGCCGACTTTATCCACCCTCCTAGACCTCTCATTGTCCCCTGCTGTGACCTCCTCTTCTCCTGTATCTCTGTCCTCTACAGGCGAGCAGAGATGAGGGTTTGGAGGTGGACGAGGATTTAGCCGAACAGGATGCTGCATCTTTGATAGAGGTACGTCTGCAGATAGAGTCTGGGCAGAGTATTTCTTTTAAATCAGGGGCCTTATTCATAGTTGCCTCTCAATGTAACACCAGTGTTTGCCAAAGGCTTGTGATCCTGGTTTTAAATGCTTAAGCCCAGGATAACGGGGAAATCTCAAAAGTACAGATTTGATTGAATCAAGGTTTGTTTAGTGGTAATACTGTGCGATGGCTCTTATCATAGGGCAGACTTGTTGGACCTCTGTGGGATCACACATCTCAAGTTTTGTAGTGTACTGCATAGATATGAATGTATGGGAGGAGAATAATTTAGAAAAGTCTAAGAAATTATTTAACCACAATGTAATTAAATCTTATTGTCATTCTCATACAACAACCATTATAACAGTGAATAAGAATAACTTCTACCATCTTAGGGCAGAGTTATCTGTCAAACACTAGCATAGTGAAACAAAGCTAATTACAATCTAGATAATAACAGCTGTTGTTTGTTTGTTTGTTTGTAGTGCCAATTAGCTCACATCATCGTCCTCACTTCACATTTAGGGCTCTATTTTCATGTCCCGTAGGCAGCATGGCGTAGGCGCGACGTAAGTCAGGACCGCTGCGCTGACAAGGCGTACCCAAGCACACTTTGGCACACAGGTTTTCTTTCCAACCCAAAACTCCACCAGGTGATTTCACTGATTACCTTACCTCCAAGCACAGAGCAGGGACTAATCAGTGAAATCACCTGGTGGAGTTTTGGGTTGGAAAGAAAACCCGCAGCCTCATGGCCCTCCATGGCACATGATTGCCCACCCCTGATGTGGACATAGCCTCTTGGTTTCAAAAGTAAGCTAAATTTTGCATTCAACCACATGGCCAACAGGGGGCATTAGCACCAGTTGCAAAATATGTCTAATTGAATTTGTGAAAGCCTTGAGTCCGCTAAATAAAACCATATATTTTTGAAATACATGATACACATGTAAAACATGGACTTAGTTTCAGTTATGTTACCCACTGGACCACTTTCCTCAAAAGAATTAGTTACTTGCATGCTTTAGCTATATTTATTGGTAAGGTTCTGTTCTGAGGGCATCTTACCCTTTCGCTTGTTTTCATGAAAAGCCAAATCGGGGAGAGCAGCCATCGTAAAAATCCCAGAGCAGAACAGGACAGACAACAGCGACAATTCTTATGACCCTGGTAAGATCAGACACAACATAAATGGAGGCGCTGGAGTGGAGGTGGGCTGCAATGTCGCTTTGGAGAAGCAGCAAGAGAAGACAGGCTGGAGCTGTTTAAATAGAGTGCCTCGCTGACATTTGCCAGTTGGATTGGTTATTGGAAGGTTATCAGCTGAGCTATTTACTCATTTGGGCTGGTGTGATGATCAGCTGATTTACCATGGGCCAAGCTTGACTTTGTGTCCTTCCTGAACTGCTACTATGCTCAATTTTGGTCAACCACGCCCACCTGTCAGTCAAGTCAGCCACTACCCCAGTCTTGTCCGATAATGCAAAACTCCTGACCCTCATATCCTCAAAACAAACCAGTCATTAAAAAGCCCTCACTATATGGTGTGTATGACTATTTGGACTAACAGTGCAGTAAACATTTTGATTTTGCTGTAAGAATGGAAAATTAATAGAGTCCTCCGAGCTTTTGGAGTCAATCTCAACCAGAAACTTGAGGAACTGCATTTTTTGCGCCTCTCCTGTGGCTCCATTTTTCTACATTTGAGGTTGCTTCTTGAATAAAACACACATTTTGGGGGGATTTGGCTTCCTGTGATAGACAGGCTTCTCCTACAACAACCTGTTTATCAGGATAAAGGTGTAATATCTTATATCCAGCCTCTCAGATCAAATCATAGCAACAAACCAAGATGGCAATGTTCCTTGTGATCAGTTTTGCGGTCGTTTTCATTAAAATTCAAAGCCAGAGTAGTCCACAGCCAAGTCAAGTTAGTTTCTTCATGTTTTTCCCAATTTGGTAACATGCTGATGTGAGAAAGAACAGCAGCGTAGCAGTTATGATTTATATTCATAGTTTCATAGTCATTCCTAATTTATCTTGACATAAGAGTTCAAGCCTTTGAAGAGAAATTTGGATTTTATGATGATTTTTGAGTTAGTTTTAATTATTAATGTGTGCAAAGACTTCCCAGATATTCGACATTAACGAGAATTTGGCATTTTCCATAAAGAAAGTCATGTCCTCAGTATCCAAATATGACTTAACATGAATCATGCTGAACATCACATCAACCAAAATAGATAAACCTCAGAAATGTTAGTAAATATTTGCTACTGACACTGTTGCTCCTCTCTCTCTCTCTCTCTTTCTCTCTCTCTCTCTCTCTCTCGCTCTCTCTCTCTCTCTCTCTCTCTCTCAGGCAGGAGAAGCCAGATTTGGCACAGATGAGTCCACCTTCACCTTCATTCTGACTCACAGGAACCATATGCAGCTTCAGGCCACCTTTAAGGCCTACGAGGCGGTGAGAACACAAACCCTTTTGGTTTTCCATTATTCTTCATATGAAAGGCTCTAATTTAACTTTTTGTTTTGCAGCTTTCAGGGACAGACATTCTGGACGCGATTGAATCCGAGGCAACAGGAACTCTGAAGGAGTGCTACATCACGCTGGGTAGACTTCACTATAAAAGGACTGTTTGCCTGCTGTGAAGAACAGATTAGAAACAGTTCTTGTGGTAACTCTGGCTGTGTTTGTGTGTGGTTTTTTTAGTCAGGTGTGCTAAGAACCCTCAGCTGTATTTTGCCCGACGTCTTAATGCTGCCATGAAGGGCGCAGGCACAGACGAGGACACATTGATTCGCATCATTGTAGGACGCTCAGAGGTGAGTTTGTGTGTTTTGTTCTCAAATGTAGGAATTCATGCAGCTATTTTAAAAGGAAGAAAACTAAAAAATCCTGGTATTCCTCATTGCAATTTAATTGTGCCACCTACAGATAAACATTGATAAAACATGCGAATATGTTTGAAAAGTCTAACCTGAATTTGGAAAAGGTTTTTTTCTGTGTTATTCTTAATGACCTCTTGTGGCCTGTCTGCAGTACTACATCATCTTGTTAAAGGGCTGCAAAATACAGTTTGACAAACTGTGATTTGATATAAGTTTCACTTGTGGGTTGAAATTTCAGTTTGGGAAGTTTTCTGGTGTCTGTTTGCACTTTGTAGAATGAGCAGTTTTATGATGGTAGACTTTAATTTATGTAGAAAAAAGTCTGCTGGAAGAGCAAAGACAAGCACAGTCCATGTTCATGGCATCCCAGATTCAGCAGCTTTCTAACACTGATTTTTTTTTATTTCCATGTTTATATTTATGCATTTAAGTACAGTAGATAATCCAAAATGGTTCAAAAAATGACCAATTATGTGACAGATCTGGTTGTCACAACAACCAGTCAGCATTTAGATTTTGTGTCTTCCATAAAATCATTAGAAATGTTTTTCCCTCTGTTCACTGATAAAGTATCCTCTGAGTTTTTTTCCCCTCAGTGGGACAGAAAAAGGTTCACTTTCCATTTTTATAACTATGAATTATGATGATGTTGGTCCAGCAAACTTTTAGCCTGTTGTTTGTTTGTAAATCAGAAGAAAACTGGCTCCTGCTTTGGGGTTGCTGTTGCAGTAAATCATCAGGCAAGCTCTGCCATATTTACAAATGACTCACTAGATATTCATATGTGGACACAACCACAAGGGGTGAAATCAACCAAGAATTGATGGCCTTTATTTATCATTCCTGGGGGCATATATTATCATCAAATAAAAGCGCAGGGGTTTTAGACATTGAATAAATCTAAATGAGAATAGAATGAGACCTGTAATTAAAAAATTAATAAGATAGAATAAGAAGAACTTTATTTATCCCCGGGGGGCAATTTGATGTCACAGACATCAGAGCTCTTGTGAGAAACTTGTAGTTTACATCGATTTGGCGCCCCCTGTGGACAAAGCAGAGTTTGCTTATCTTGTCCTCTGGATGCTTCTGGAGTAGCCTCTGACAAAAAAAAAATCTTCCTGCTTATGTTTTTGATTAGTATTGAAGAAAGTTTTCAGAGAAGCTTCGATTGTTCTAGTCTTTTCACCGGATGTATTGCCAGGACAATTTAACTACACCTAGTAACCACCCAGGATGTGTAATGAAAAAAAACAGATTCAAAAATACTAAAAACTAAAAGTTATGAAGGATGGCATAAACATCCAGCACTGATATAACCGGAAAAGGAAGTATTTGTAGTTACAGCAGTGTGATGTTATTTCCTCTCAGATCGACCTGGAGACGGTGAAGGACATGTACCTGGAGAAATACGATGTCACTCTGAAAGATGCTCTGGATTCAGACTGTGGTGGGGACTTCAAACGCCTCCTGATTCAGATCCTGCATTAGAGCTCTTCATTCTCCTCCTTAAGGCCTCACTTAACATACTTTACTCTCACTGTGTCATCTCATCCTTTTGTGGGTATCTCTCAGTCTGTCATGTGTATCTTTATCTCTCTCTCACTTGTAGGGACAGTCAGTTCTCTCTGCAGCATGGACCAAAAACCTGCTTGTTACTATATGATACAGTATTTTACACATGGTTAACTTATATTTATAGTCTTTGAATACACAGTTTGCCAAGAACTCAACAACCAGGGAAAAATAATTCCACTCTCCTAAACTCTGCGGTTCTTCATTAACAATCAGCAGCTTCACAATCATTCGTACCTCAATTCACCATCTTAAGCTCCAACCAAAGCTTGAAACATCAGGAGGTCTCTGCTGCTTGACACATCATATGCTAGGCAAAGTATTTATTCTTCTCATTTTAATGTATTGAATCCACTCCTATTTGCCTCAAAGATGCCTTTCATTAAGCGATAATGCACTTTGCTTTTTGCTGCAACCCTCAACACTTAAGTGCCGAATTAACACGTTTAATGGATTGTCAAAATTATATGATATTACCCTTTTGTTAAGAGCTCTTAACTCTGAGGAGCCTACACAGTATTGGGTTTTGTAGTCACATCCCTGAATGTTAAACGGGATTTTTTAAAACTCAAACCATTTGTAGTCTTCTAGGTCTCGGCTAACATGCTGCCTTTCACATTTACACCGTTTGTGAGACATTTTCAGGTCTATATTTGTCACTTCTAGTTATCCTAAATGTATCTACAGTTCGTTATGATAGAAATAAAAAACTCTGAGATCATTGTGCATTAAGACAGTACATAGTAACAGATATTAATAACCTAAAAAAGACATACCCTTTTCTCTCTAACCCCTGAAATACAATCACAGATACAGGACACACAGTTGGCATACGTGAATGGAGTCATATCAACTAATTTGAGTTAAAACCATGATTGCAGCTATATTACAACGATGATGTGTTGTTGTGTTGTCACATATCAGAAGAATAGACTGAATTATATGAAGGAAGTTATTGTAAACCTGTTGTATTAGCACATGTATCCTGTAATAAATTTTAACTCCAACAGAAAAAGATGCCTGTTGTCTTTTGTCCTGTAGAGGGCAGTGTTGCACCACTTTATTGTAAAAAAAAAAACTTAAAAAGAAATATCAAGAGAAGAAATACTGTTTTAAGATAAAATTCAATATGACTGGATAATGTAAACATGTGAAATTGTTTTGTTGTTTTTATCTTGAAGTATAAAGAAACTCCCAACACTCATGCTGAATGGTGAAATGGTAAACTATGAAGATAACCTGGCTTGTAAATTGTTTATTTTGTCGCCCTCTGGTCCAGAATTATTTTCTTTTTCTCTTTTTGCATCTTAAACAAAAATATTCGCCTGCCAAACAGCACAGAAATGGTTGGACTCAAGTAAAGGAGAACAAATGTTCAAATCATGAGAAATGTTTCCAGATGCAGTGACCCGAAAGCAGCTGATTTTTTTTCTTTCCTCTCCTTTAACCTCCTTTTTTTCTTCAACTTAATCCTCCTTTTTTCTGTCTCTTTTTCTTTTTCCTTGAGGTTTTGGCTGTTTTAGTATTAAGGGCAGCGTTTGGAGTACACCTGCATTCACACATTCTTGCTACCTATACAGTCTGTGCACCACATGTAACACAGCAGGCTCAGCCTCCACATCATGACACACTCACTCTTTGGCAGCCTGTCTGTCTCTCTGACTGAGAGGAGCTGCTCATACGCCTGATAAAGTAAAGAAAAGCTGGAGATTTGGATTCTATAATGAAACTAGCACAAGTGAAATGTTTGACACTTTGTTTTGAGAGCCATTAGTTGGCCAAAGAATTACCTTAAAAGGGATCTTTGATTCTTGATGGTTGGACCCTCCACCTTTTTGTGGCTCTAAGTAGTTAGAAAAATTGACATCCCGGGGCTGGATCTGCCCATCTGCCCTGGGAAATGGCACAAGAATAGTATAATATCTCTGTGTTTGGGTTAAAAACTGATAAGATTCTGATAGATAGTGCACATTCTCTATGCCACTCCATCTTAAATCAGTATCCTGGTTAGGCCATCGCAATCAAAAGTGTCTTGGGTTAGGGTTACTGCTGCTCCTGCTGTCCATAATGTGCTCCATGTGTGTGTAAGTCCCTGATGAAAAACCCCATCTCACCTTCATGTAACTGTTTGGAAAATGTAACAAGGAGGATAGCAAAAGCTGTTTTTTGACTGCCTGATGTCAATGGCTTTATAAGCAAAAATGTATTAAATGAGCTGGTGGTTATGCAAATTAGGAACCTGATAGGGTGAGCAAGGCCTTGACTATTGTGCTTACCAATTTGGAACTCTTAACAGGTGCAAATGTTTTTGCCACATTGTTAACAGGCAGAGATGAACTGTGAAGCACTTCCTCTAGTGTAATGAAAAACTGAAGATTATGTAAATTAGGCGATGGCGCCATCCAGGAGTTGGCAACACTGCTTCATCCTCATAGTGTGGTTTGGGTCTGGAAGTGATATGGAGGCACCAGGGTATAAATTTTAGTTTGTTTTATGCCCAACCAAAAAGTTTCCAAGTCCTTCCATGGTGTGTTTTCACAGTCACATTAAACAAGTCCTCCTGAGGATGTGTGTATTTTCCCTGTAGGGAAAATGTAACACCTGACGAGTTATCTGATTTAAATGTTATCCTTTCTTTTAAATGTCTCACATCGGAAACATCTATTAAGCTTCATGACCTTGTTCCCAAGTATTTTCTACTTTAATGGCCTTAAAAATAACGGGGGGCAAATTTAAGAGGCCAGCCTGCAGACAAAAGCAGAGAAAGCTCAGTGTAAAGACACACCCATACCAACACACTTTCGTCTTCTCCTCCATCTGTACTCCATTATCCAGAGTGCTAATGTGTAAGAGCAGGTAGTACTTCCAGACTCTGCTCCACTTTCCATACTGTGGGGCTCTGACCTCTTTCCTCTAATGTTTATCATGCTCAGACCACCATAACTCAGCCAGCCAGCCATCCTTCAGCCAGGGTGGTTTCAATTTGTCCCAATCTGCTTTTTCCTGCTCTGTTAGTCAACCCCGGTCTGTCCCCAAGTCTGTGCATAAGGTGACAGATGAGTTCGTGAACTGTGCTGGAAATGCTTTATTCATAATTTCACTCTGGTCATGTAACCTTGAACTGGACAGAATTTAATGACTCAAGTGGGAAAGGTCTGAGTCGGCACTCTTTTGATCCCCAAGACTTCATGCAAGTACCTTTAAGACACAAACCTGCATATTAATGACACTAATCTCCTAAAAGTCATGATTTACTGAACAGTCTATAGCACACACTGAGCAGGAGGCCACGGCTTCAAAGGCTGAGATAATAACACCAACTGGTCTATTGGTCTTCATAGATCATATTCCCGAAATCATAACATGCTTTTTGATCTGGTTCCAGCACAGAGCAGCACTCGAGGACTGAAAGACATTTTCACTGGACCTCTATAGGAAGGCCATTAGGAGGTTAACTACCCGACTAATATAATTTGAACTGTTTAAATTCGTGATAAAGGACCCCTCTTCTTTGATGTGTAACAGAAAACACCTGGCTGCTTCTGCCAAGTGAAAGCATGTTCACTTCAGTCTCAGAGCCTCTTTCTGCAGCATCAGCAAAGCTTTTAGTAGCACTTGTGTATCCAAGTTTATCCTCAAGTAAGTTTTTGATGACACTGAGATTTCCTATAATATTGTGAAAAGTGGTAAAATTTTGTACTAAGAAAAGCAATTAAAAAATTCATACTTGAATTTATAAGACTTGAGAAATATGCTGTTGATGTTAGCTGTTTGTGGATACTTGCTAGCATCCATAGCTAAACTTAATCAAATAGCAACTTTGCTCAAGATAAGGGAGCTCAATTGTTTATCAAAAGGATAACATCTTTCATCTGTGCACCAGATCACAGGTAAACTGACAAACTTAGCATTTTAACTGTTAACTGTTTTAACTGTTTAATAGCACTGAAATCTACAAACCATATAGTGACTATCTGATATATCGGGATATTCCTCCTGAACTTGAAAAAGGTGAAATAGGACCTTCCAGCTGTATCTCGGCACCTTTATTAAGCAACTTCCAAAACCTGTAAATGCGAAAAGGCTCTAAATGCTACAACAACAACAAAAAAGTAAAAGTAGGTCAGGGTTGTAGTTTCAGGATTTTTTGACACAATATCTAGAGGTTTGTAACAGAACATGTTAGCCTGCCGAGGTTAAACCCCAAATAGCTTGTCTCATTTTATTAAGACATTCATTTTCTTTGTAAAGTTAGTCTGTGCACGCTATATTACAGAGCAAATCTTAGACAAAGGCATCTGTAAAGAAATCTGTCAAAAGAGCTTTTTATTGCATTTAAATGTAAAACATTAAATATACATCTCATTACAGTTTAGAGTCAGTAAACAGTTACTGTACATTAAGGTGTTTATATATAAAATAGCATGTTGTCTCTTAAGAACAGTCTGATTTCAAAGGGCCTTTGTGAAATAAAATGTATTAAGGCCATAATATGCGGGAAGTGGTCCTTAGACACAGCATGCAGTAAATATTCACATTCGAAAATGGCGGATAATATGAAACACATGTTCTTTAAAAAACACACTCCTGAATCACATCCAGCTCCAGAGAAGAGCGTTTGGTGAAAATAGAAAATCCTGTTATATCAACGAGGAGGTCCTTCGGCTTAAACAGAGTAACTTAATTACATAAATAAGATACAAATTTATTAACATAAAAAGGCAGAAAATCAAAATCATATCCGTCTTTGAGTGTAAGATGTCAAATCCAGTATTTAAGAACCTCGGAAGAAATTGCTGTAAATACTTTAATTGGTATAAATACAGTAAGTGATGCATAATGCTACATTTTACTTCTAAAAACTTTTTTTTTTTTAGCTTTTTAATGAAATAATTTCCACTTTAGACTACTCACTACAAACTCAACTACAGAGCAGAAAAAATTAAAGCTTGGAAACTTGCCTTCTCATTTTCCATAAGTTACAAGAGGTGAACGCTTCCACTTGAACGTGTTGGTTACCTTAGCTCAGCACTAAAGCTTATTCTTTGTGGATTATTGAGTCGATTAAGCTTGCCTTTAAGTTGCTGATACATTTTAGCACCATCTGATATAACCATGCTAGCTGTCATTCTGTATGCTAACCTAAACTAACCCACTTAACTCCACCAGATCCATCTTTGGTCTCGAGCCCTACACAGCAGATACACATGGCTTCTTTTTTTGCCGGACACCAGAGCACAATGCATCAATCAAAACAGGGCAGGTCAAGGAAGACACCAAAACAACATTAAAACATTGGGCTAATAAAAAAATTAATAAAAACTCTCAATGTCATAGCCAGATTTGTCTTTCACTCAACTACACTAACAAAGTGAACAGAGCTGGGCCCTGAGTCAACAGGTCAGAAGTGTTGAGAGCTCATTGTGGATGTAGAAAACCATTGAGTCCATATTTAACACAGGTCATCTGGCGTGCTGCCCTGTGCTGCAGTGTGAAAACACAGATGAAGAATGTTCTTTTCTTGTTCAATAAACAGAATGCAAGTGTACTCTGGGAATGAAGCGCTAAAGCTAGTCCAAATACAAAAGAGATATCCAAGACCAGCAAGCAGATGGGAGGAGTTTTGTTGATTCCTCATTTTGAAAAACAAACTTGAGGGGTAGAGGGGTAAATGAAACTATATACATAAGTTGTTTAATAAGAGTCCCAACAAAAACCAAAAATAGAAACAACCTGGCAAAGATAGTCTGTCTGTTGTTATTCTGCCACCCAGAGGATTGACACTGCGCTTCCTGTTTGGTGGCTGATCTGGTTGATCCGCCCGCGCACACAGTCTAATGTGAAGAACAAAGATGTGCCATTCTGAACCTGGAAGGACGCCCGCAGGCTCACACTGGCCCAGTGACTGCCTTCAGGCATTTGACCACCCACCTGCTGGGCCAGGGGCACAGGTCGTGCCACCTCTGTCTCTCGGCCTCCTCCTGACCCCTCTGGATCACTGCGCCTCAGAAGAGTCACCTTGATCAGGTTGCAGGAGTGGATGAGTTTGAGATCCAGAGCCAGGCTAGCCGTGCCGCTTTCCCTGAAGATGAAATCACGTCTCTGATCTGTGGATCCTCTTGCTAGCAGCCCCATCTGGGGCACCTGAGCACTGGTCTGGCGGAAGAACAGTGGCTTGTTTCTGACTGCCCCCGAAGGAAGTCCAATCTGAGCCACGGATGCAGACAGAGAGGAAGATATCGCAGCAGGGACCCAAACCAAGCTGATGACACTGATACCGGTTTCATCACCAAAGAAGCGCACATTACACTGAGCAGGTGAGAGAATCTCAAAGCCAACTGCATCCCCAGGTTCAACTTTGGCCGCTCCAGATAGAGATATGGAAGTGTCTCGATAGTGGACGCCTGATTTGAAGGAACGACACAATTCCACGCCCGTCCCATTGCGGTTTATGTAAGCCAGCATCTGGAATCCCTCACTAACGCACGCCTGGCCCATTGAGTACAACGCCTGCTGGAAGACAAAACGAACAGTACCACTTTCTGCAAAACGGATCCCACGGCTGTCATGAGTCAGCCCCAGAACGTAAGGATCAGAGGTGGAGGTGGTACGGAAAGTTGGCCGATAGTTTGTATGGTAGTGCGCAGCTACCGTGGCTTGTGCGGTCATGGCTACAGCCCCTGTGTCGTGAGAAAGCCAGAGGAGACTGAATGATGCTGCTGATGCGTCGTACAAATGCAGACCTTCGCCACTTTGGTTACAGTGGCTGCTGGAGCTCCGGAGGAAGAGGGAGATCATGTTACCAGGGGCAACTTCTGCAACCCCGCTGATGCTAGCGCTTTGGAGCGTCCTTCCTTCTTGCTGCTCAATCCTTACACCACTAAGATCACGACCTTCAGAGCCATCTGTGTTGTTCATACGGAAACACACTTGGATGAAGCTACGACAGCTGTGGCTCACAGAGAGATTCTCATCCAGCCAGACCAGACCGTGGTGTCGAAGCACCAACCGTCCATTTTCAGCTGACACCAGACCTGGATCACCCCGTCCCTGGATCTGAAGCTGTATACCAGGATAAGCATGTGCCAGGATGTTACCTTTGGCTCCAAGCAGACTCACATCTCCAGCCCAGGACAGAGAAAGGGCGCTGTCACCAGCAGCAGCAGCAAGGCCAGAGCAGAGCGTGTCTGTAGTGAAGGTACAGGGTGAGGCCACTGGCTCTCCATCACACTCGTTACAGGCCTGACACTCATCCATGTCTGAGTTGAAGAAATATCCGTGACCACACATTCCTAAGATGGCATCTCGCTCAGTCATGCCATGACATCTGAATCCACCTGAGAACAGAGAAGTGAGTGTTAGGTGCTTTTTTTTTTAAATCACTGATCAGCAGTTCAATCGCTGGAAAAAGATGAAATGTTGGAAATATTTTCAATAAGATTTGTCTGGTTACCTGGAGTATTTTGACACCTCTGTTGATCTCCACACAGATCAGATATTTCGAGGCATTCATCTCTGTCCTGTAACAAAGAATAATGGACCCTTTTGAGCCATGGTTCCTTGTCAAGACTACTGAGCTGTGTTGTCTTTCAGCTAAGTGTGTAGGTTTCCTGCCAGCACTGTCATATACAGCAGCTTAAACTGAAGTTCACCTCCTGAAAATATGTCACTGTGGGCACCCGTGTGGTCTCATTTTTGGACATATGCATTAAACCTTGTTTTGATATAACGTTAAAGTCAAGTGACATAGTTTGAAGAGCACAAAAGTAAATCATGGAAGGTGTACAGGGGTAATAAAGATAGACATACAGTCAGAGGACAGCTCTGTTCCAGAGTGAAATGTGCATAAGACATTGTACTTTTCTAAGAGCTGTGAATAGCAGCTAGTTTTGTATGGTATGCAAACTAGTAATTTCAGGTGCAATACATTAATTGCCTGAGCAATAGCCTCCATGTTTGTTAGAACATATCTAAACTCAACTGGCATCTATTTCTTTGACTTGACCAAGCACCTCGAGTGTCTAGCGTGACTGTTTTGTAAAATCAATCATTTTGAAAGTACTACAGATTCTCTGGGGCTGTTAAAACAATACTCAAAAGATGATTAAATTCCTTAATTGAAAAGTCAATGTTTTAACTGCATTTTATTTGTCCCTTTTGGCACACTGTAATGAAGCTGCTGCAGGGTGTTCCTGCTTCATGCAGCTACTGTGATTGGGAGTAATAACACCACTGAACTTTTGTTGGGCATGTTTCCTCCTGAAGTCAAAAGTTATATGAACTTGGTGTAAAGTGAATCTAAAATTTCACATGGAGTACTTTGAATTAAAGCAACATTGCAGAAGTGCTTAATGTACTCTATATTCCACAAAATGAGCATGTTGAAGCTGTCCCCCCCTATAAGTCAGACCACAGTGCAGCATTTATTTGAATTAGATTGTTAATGTATTTTATGCTGTTATTTTATTGGCATAGTAAGTCACTGGCAATATAGAATTGGAAAAAGTTTCAAAAGGCAAAATAAATTGATTTAAATATGAGCTCAAAATTTCAGTGAATCGGGATTAACTATTAAAGTTCGGAAGTAAATCAGACTTTTTATTTTCAAAGATTACAAGACTTGACCATAGAGTCATGCATCTCAGACTGAAAACTAAACTAAAATGCAGCTAACAGACTGAAAACTAAAAATCTGTGTTTATTTGATTATTCTTGTTTGTTTTGTGTGGGACCACAGTAACCCGCCAGATTTGAAATGTTAGGAGAAAAAGTTTATTGCTCTGCTTTGTAGTTTTACTGTTTTGATTATCTCAAGGCCTTCAGTAGCTCACCTTATTCATTATCATCTGGAAGTTGTTTCAGTAAAAACTTTGTAGTTTGGGGTTAGGGTACTATCAAGAAACTATCCACCAAAATAGAATAAATCGTGACCATTTTTTACTAAATCAAATTGTAGAAAGAAAGTAGTTAGGACCTGGCAGATCCTGTCTGCATGGATTGTACACTGGGCAACCAGGAAGAAGCCAGAGGGACAGATGGTACATCTCTCACAGCGAGGCTGACCGCTGCTGAAGTCACAGTACTCATCAGGATTACAAGTCCCACAGGCCAGCATGGATCGACCCACCTGATAACAACACAACATAACAAAACACCTAAATATGATGATCAGAGATTAAATAAACATCATGGATCTGTACATCAAGAAAAGAAATGTCCAGATCCTGAAAATTTGAGACTTTGTATGAACCTTTTGACAAATACAAGTTCAAAACAAAACAAAACAGTGTTTGCTGTTATAAACAAATAAAAGGAAAGCAATAACAGTACAATACACAATATTTTGACTTTATGCACTTTGATAATCCTTGGTTGCAGCTCACCTCCATCACACTGGCATCCATATCCACTTTGTGCAGAGACAGAGCCTGCTGTGCTCTGTGGGCTCTGACCTGCCCACTCAGTGTCTCCATGTGGCTGCCCAGGTCCCCCTGCAGGTTCTGAAAGGAGGTTTGCTTAATGCCGTCCATCAGGATGCTGTACTGGGCTTTGACCTGAAGGTTGAAAGAATTAAATGTACTCAGATGTGGGATAATCACATAAATGCACAAAATAAACTACAAATAAATGCTCCCCTATCTTCTAGTTTTGTGTAAATTGTCCCCCATCAGTCACATGGAGCTACAGAACTTTTCTGTGATTTCCATATGGAACAGATGCTCCATATGGGGCTAAGCACAGCATCATCTGACATTATTAAACTTCTCTAGGTCATGTGTTTTCCATCCATCTCCTCTGAATAAGAGCTTAATGTTTCTCTAAACACCGGCCAATAACAAAACCATCGACTATTAACTGGTTCATTAAAACCATTAACATCTCCCTCATTACCAATCCCCATCATCAATCACTGCATTCGTACTTGCTCCATCTGTTCATACATCCTTCTCTGCTGCTCCAGTATCTCTCTCTGCTGGTTAACCAGCGCCCCCTGCTGCTCACTGAGAAGTCTTTGCAGCTCTCTGACCTCGTCCTGCTGGCCCCTGAGGGCCTCAACTAACTTATCCTGGCTCTTTGACAACTGCAGCTGCAGCACGAGCGCGTCCTCTGAGGGAACTTCATTGCTCCCTGCAAGAAAGAAAGAAAATATTTGTTTGAAAGTTAAAGGGTTTATTATTTGGTTAGCGAAAGGCCGCAGTCTTAGAATTAAAAAAAAAACATATTGTGGCTATAACTCACAGGCCGATACTGACCTGGTTTCATATCACATGTCATCTGTATCCATGCTCCGCGTTCAGACCCAAAGTCTGGAAGCTCATCCAGGAATTGCGCCGCTCTATCAGTCACACGAACCGGAGAAGAGTTTTCTCTCCCGTAGTCTCCTTGCGTACTGCAGCCCTCCCCGACGCACGACTTCGGCTTCTGGCGCATCCTGGAGGGAAGTTTACATCCAATCCCTTTACACTCCCGGGCGGCACTGTCATCACCGGTCTGGTGAAGAGACATTGTGGTCGGACAGGTCCCTCCGGCGCAGCCTGGATGAAAAACCTCCGCTGTAATGGTTCTCGAGTTTGTCCTCCTGGTGCCATCTGTATCCACTTGTTGCGTAAAGCCTGCGTTCTGAGGTTGGACTACGCTGTAGGGCGCTACGGGCGCACTCTGGACTTGGTGATGACTAAAACGAGAGTCCTGTTGATAGTTCTGGTAGACTTGACCCTGTCTAGGTTGTGCAGAATGGCTAAATTGTCGTCTGGACGCCACTGCTTCAGTGCGTCCCTGGCAGTGCGCTCCGACGCACGCTCTTCTCCAGTCTTGGGCAGGAAAGCAGCGCGTGCCTCTACAGGTCTGGCATACACTGCCGTTGAAAAAAGATACTATACAGAGTAAAATTAATATACAAGTGCGTGCCATGTTGAAATGCTGAAAGGTAAAATTGGAAACAGGCCACGAGTGAATGGTGACCCCTTTTACGCATCAATCCTTTAGCGCAGCAGATCGTGTTTGATCATTTCCTCAAGAAAAAAAAAATCAGCTTTGTAATTGCCCGTCGATGTTAGTGGTATTAATCTTGAACTGGTGATAGCTTAGACATTCAGCTCTACTCCATCGTGCGCTCCGCGGTTTCTGCCCTCTTTGCCCCTTCTGGAGAGAGCTGCGTCTAGCCCACATGTGGCGCTCACTGCTCCTAATTGGCAACAGGCTTTGCTTCTAGTCTTAAATTAACCCGTAGTTTTCCCGGACATACCACTCTGCAGAGTCACTGTGCTCCAATAGAAGCCGTGCATGTGGTAGATATTTGGACTTATAATGTTATTTTTATTCTCACACTGCAGAGGGTCATTCAGAAGTAGCTCCAGAACTTCATGACAAGCTCCAAATGGTTCAGTTTATTCTAAAGACTTAAGTTCGTGGAATCTTTTTATGAGGGCAAATACCTCTGTTTTCAGACCCTTTTCTTCCTTTTGCCATTTATTTTAAAGAGTGGGTCAGCTTCATGGGTTTTTAACATACTGGAATTAAAAACATTACTTCGTATGGCGCCAAAGCTTTGATGTCCTCCATATAACTGGATTAGGGTGCAATAGTAGGACTTCAAAACACAACTCTGTGATGTAGTAAAGTTGGAGCCAAACCGCCTCTCCTGTAAAATGTAAACATTAATGCAGTTTATTACCACTCTCATTTCCCCTCCCTCACCCACATGGCTCTGATTAAAGCTTTAACCCACATTAAAAACCTTTAAATGTTTCCCCTCTTGTCATTTTCATGATAAAATGGAAGTCAAGCATGCACACACACACACGCTCAGACACACACTCTTTATAGCAGCAGCTTGTTATGTAGTAATCAAGAACCTTCAAGACAGTAAAATAATAACTTTATACAACAATTAGAAATTTAATCTTCTAGCAAAGAGCTCTCTGAGGGACAAGTGCAACACATGTGCACACATGTGCACACACACACAGTAGGTGATAGCATGGTCACACAGTTACTAATTTACCCTCTGAGGTTAAAGTGAGACCACACACAGTCTGAATGCAGCTCCTGTCTGCACTATTAGTGCTGCTTTTATCATTGGTGTCTTATTCTATCTGCTGTCACGTCAACTATAGTTAGGTTGGTTGTAGAGATAAATTCAAACTATTTATATCTTAATCAATATAATGAAATACAACGCAATGCAATTTTTTGGAAAACTAACAAATTGGATTTAACACATTTTTACGAAAACAAACATGTTATAGCTTCAACTTGTAGGCAGACTTTATGTATTTTATGTTGTATAAAGCTAGTTTAAGACAGAGCAAATTTTGAACCTGACAGATAAGCGTGAAGCTATATATGTTATTGATAAGATGACTGCATTTTGATCAATATATTGTGATCTGAGGAAGAATGAACACTGACTGGACATGATACTATGACCATCTGCCTCATATTGTCTCATAAGGTCAAGGCTTTAACAGTCCTGATCTGATGAGATATGTTTTCCGCTTGACTGGTGGTATCTGGAACCAAGATGTCAGCAACAGATCCACTAAGTCCTTCGAGTTTTAGGGTGGGACTCTAATGGATCAGACTTCATTCACTGATCAGCACATCCAGCAGATACTCAACAGGGGAATTTGAAGACCGAGTCAACATGTTGAACTTGTTGTTGTGATCCTACAGGCTACATTCCTCCACTGCCTTGTGTTTATTTCAGACATTCACATGCTAACAGTGGCCAGTTTCAGTGGATAAAAAAATAAATTAAAAAAAATAAATAAATAAAAATAATAATAATAATAATAACTTCATAAAAAATACATAAATAACAACAACAAAATAATAATAATAATAATAATAATAATAATAATAACTTTATTCAAAGAGCATGTTTAAGTTAGGAACTTCTGCTCTCTGTCAATCTTGGCCTGTAAACAGTGATCTCTCTGATCTCTTGTTCTGTACGTTAGAAAAAAAAAGTGTTGTCAGACAAAACCCTTATCCTGTTTCCTCTAAAGAGTTAAGTGTCTCACTTACTTTGGATATTGGCCATGCTGGAAAAAAGCAGAAAAAGGCTTTTTTTTTTTAGCCTGCTGTCAATCATTCACCCCTCACAGTAGTTTCAGACATTATAAAATCACTATTTAGAAATGATTAACATTATTGCTGGCAGTCATGTTTGTTGGGTGGCTTGGTGGAGCAGCAGGTAGGGCACATGCCTCACAACAAGTTTGCTGGTTTGATCCCCAGGTCGGGCTGGGCCTTTCTGTGTGAAATTCACATGTTCTTCCTGTGAATGCATGGGTTCTCTCTGGGCACTCTGACTTCCTCCAAAAACATCATTAGGTTTATTGGTGACTCTAAATTGTCCTTAGGTATGAGTGTGAATGTGAGTGGTTGTCTGTCTCTCTATGTGGCCCTGCAATTGACTGGCAACCGATTCAGGGTGTACCTCGCCTCTTGCCTATCCCGTGACAGCTGGGATAGACTCCAGCCTACCTGCGACCCCAAAAGGGATTGATAAGCAGTATAGAAAATGGATGGATGGGTCATGGTTGTTTTGGAGATCTTTAAGAGGCTGTATTAGTTAGTCTGTTTCTAAACTTGTTCAAAAACTTCTCACAGTAACTTTAAATACAAGAATAAACCAAGTTTATTGTCAGACATAGCAGAATAAATTTATTTTAGCAGCATTGGAGGAACAAACTATTAATCATAGCAAAAATAACAGAGAACTAGAGCTGCAGGACAATGAAAATATTACAAGAGGGTAATAAAGGTACAGATACCAGGTACCACAAGGGGGATGGGCATTGATTTGGTCTCTTGGCGAACCATGACCCTATTTGAAGACTCCATCACATCATTATTACTGTTCCCTTCACTTCCACTCACACTGTTGTAAAGCTATTTTTTTAACTACACCCTGGGAGGTAGTAACTCAGTTTAATGCTGCATTACCTCGACTGACCCGTGTTTTTTAACGCTCTGCACAGTCACACAGGTGTTTCCTCTTAAGCTGATTGATCGTCCAGGAGAGGCTAGTTTATTTAGAGAGCACCTTAACCAGGCGGCAGAGCAAGGTTTAACATTCACACTGGACATGAAAAAAAAGGCTTTTATACAAGATATAAGAGACATTCAGGGGAATATAAAAAGACATAAAAGTGGAGTAATGAACCAAAGCATGAGTTTGTATTTTGTCTGTTTCTAAATTAGACAAGCAAAGTAAAAAGTTGGCAGAACTAAAATTTTTAATTAATTTGTTCAAGATACATTGACCAAAAAAGCTGAATGCTGAAGTGAAAGAATTTTGAGTTTACAAATGCATTTAACCCTGAACATCTACCTGTCTCCTCAAGCCATAAGAGAAGAAGAACAGACACAGGTATATGATGTTCAGTAGCTGCTTCACATCACTGCAGAAACGCAACATAATTAGAAACTTTGACTCTTCTCTTGGTCACCGCAAGAGGTGTGAAAGCTACTTCCCTATTTCACAGGATGTTCAGCCAATTTCTGCAAAGTCACACGCAGTAGTGGTTTCTTGTTCATGAACATCTCAGCACTGACTCAAACTTCATGAGAGACACAAAAGGTAAGACCTTTGACAAACTCAACACACACAGTTCCTGGTTTTTTGATACATTTATGAGAGATAGGTGGGAGTTATAGCAACCGTCCTGGTCTGTGGTGTAAAATATGTCTATATGTATGTACCTGTTTTTGCTTCTGTTGATCCCATGAGGGGTTAAATTCTTGCACAGCCACATCAGCTTTGTTTAGGACAAACACATGTCCTCTCTCGGCAGCCAATGGATGGATGTGCAACTAATTAGAAAACAGTAAGGGCTCTGGACCACAAGAGAAGAGCTAACATGATGGTGTGCTGTCAGCAGAGTTTGACTTTTTGATTCCCTTCAAATATTTTCGTCTTAATAAATTGCTCTGTGTACCCGTTTGCCCCATCTCTGTCCGTCCATTCGCCTGTCTGTTTATCTGCCAGTGGCTCCACGCTCTGCTGATGTGAGAGACCACAGAGGGAGACAGCGGCGACAGACCAACATGAGCTTGAAATTCCACAACAAATGTGGTTTTGTTTGATGCAAATTCAGCATCACCAACAACAAACATGTGTAATACAGAGATAAAAGAGGTATGCGTGTACAATAATGTGTTTTTTTTTCATAAGAGTAAGAACTCACAGGAACAGAGGTAAGGTTTGACTTTCACATATGTGAGACAGAAGCTCAGGAAGGCCTCAAAGGTGAAGTGTTTGACCTAAAAATTTCACTTTCATATGGAAACAATACTCCATCCCCTCCTATCCTATTTACTGTTCCTCTTTTACCTCCTTACAGTTTAATGGATGCTCTGTTTACTGTGCAGCGTAAACACAGAATGAGACTGAACAGCTCAGTCAGGACTGTGTACTGTATGTCAGTCTGTTTGTGTATGAGCACACTAGTCTGAGTATGTGTGTAAAAATAAATATATATGAGCTACAAAGAGCAATAAAGAGCAGATCAGAGGCTCTACATTTATTCAAGTCTCAAACAGCCCCCATGAGTTACTGTAAACAGGACAGAGAAAGCCCTCAAGCTGCTGCAATAATGTATGAAATACGTCAGTGAAACATTAAACAATGTCTGCTCTGTGTTTCAGGAATTAAGACTCAACCTGATTTTTATCTCTAGGAATTCATTCACTTGTTCTCAGATGATATGTAAAGCTCTGTTATGATGCATGGACTGAAAAGCTTTTTTCAATTATAAAGAGAAAGATTATAGCTGTCTGAGAAGCTAAAATGTCTCACAAAGTATAGAGATAATAAAAATGGTGAAAAACACCAACAGCTGATTTAAAAAAAAACAGATCTTCATCTTTTCAAGGTTTAATAGAGAGAGTTAAAATAAAAGAAAATGTTTAAGAGTGACAGAGAGTAGGGTTTGCTCAAGGTTGTTTAGCTTAGATGTTACTATCTGCATTTAAAGTCTCACTCTGATCATTTTTTTTTTACTACTTAAAAGTGTTGTCAGTGCTCTTTAAATTGTGATTATGAAGTATTTAGCCAAAACCACATTATCTGTGTCATTTGCAAGGGCTTTTCTTCGGCAGAGCTCCAGCAGATCATTAGCAATTCGTCCCTGAGTCGTGGGCGGTGACAGCGCTGCTCTGCACACTCTACTTCACGCTAGCTTGCAGCCTAACATTGTCTGTGTCGTTGAAGAAGCAGGTAACATAGGAGCTATTCAACTAACGGACATTAATGTCTTTAAGGACATAATGAAAGTTAATATCATAATTAGCTTTCTTACGAGCATTGCAATCTGCTAACACACACACTTGTTCCGCGATTGTCCTCTCTATTTTTCCGAGTCTGGCCTGCATAACGGGGCCCTGGGGGTGGAGCTTGGATTTGCTACATAGGAAATCTCACTGTATCTGAACCTGCTGTTGAGCAGATTCCATGAACATGCTATGTCTACATGTCATATGAACATGTAGACAACCAGAAAAACATGATTTTCATCAGAGTGGGACTTCAAAGACTAAGGTAGCTAAAGGTAAAGAGCCTGCTGCTCCCACAGTCTTTGTCCGGTTCCTTTTTGTAACTTTCATTTCCACTTAATTCCAAACCTACTGTACATCACCGTCCCTGAAAACAGACACAGCGAGCAGTTAGCAGGTGAACTTAGCGGAGCAAGATATTTCCCACAGTGGTTGGTGGAAAGTGATAAGAGCTACGTTAGGACTGAAACCTCCATGACTCTGTGAATGCTGTCTGCTGTCAATCAGGTAAATGAACACATGAACACTGTACAGATGGTCTCGAGTAAAACATTTGTCTGTTTGTTTGTTTATTAAGCTCAGCTTTAACAGGAAATCAAGACACAAGGACTCGCATAGCTGCATCACATTCACCTCCTGAGGGCAGATTTAGTCGAGTGTAGGAACTCAGGGGAGGAAAGAATTTCCCAGCATTCACCAAACAACTGAGAAGTAAAATATGAGGATTAGACTGTGGTTAATGAATTACAGAAATAATGGTTTCAACTGGAGTCAACAACTTAATTGGACACAGAAAAAATAGAAAAAAATGGATTAAAACAATACATGTTGAAAAGAATGCAAATTTGTTGAAATATGAGTAACAGTAGAGGTCAGAGGGTTTTTTCACAGGGAGAAAAATGACATTCAATCAGCATGGGTTACATTGTTTGTGTCATCATACAGCTGATTCTAGTTTTATGAAAGGTTTTTCAAAAATCCTGGTTTTGAAAGCCACCATTAATAATACATTAAAACGACTGAATTATTGGTTAGATGCAGCGCAAACTCATAATCTTGTTTGGTTAACTGAAGCTGGTTAAAAAAAATAGATTAAACCTCAAATGATCAGATTTTCCAACATTGATTTGTTAGAATTAAAGCAAAATGTATAATTTTCACATATTGCCAAATTATAAAGCACCTCAGTTGACTTTAATCCAAAACATCCATTAGTGTGATTTGAGCTTGAGCACTGGTGGTGTTGCAAGGACCCCATAGTTTGAATTTAAGGAGTTACGTCTTTGTCCTACTCAATCATTTTGGAGGCTGTAATGTTTATGTGCCATAAAACTCACTAAATTTGGTGGATGCATCAAGAGTAGTAGAAATTTGCTCAGTTATTGGTGTAAAGTAAAATGGCTGTATGAAACTTAAATGGAATTTTGGAAATTCATTCATTCAAGTGGGCTTGATATATACAATTTTGTAGGCTTATGTGTCATGGACAGACCAACAAATATACTTCAGTTGTCATGGTGTGTCAGCCATTTTAAATTTTATTCAAGATATGGTATATTTATGGTAATAGGCATGGGTCATGTTAGTATGACCTTTGTTCAGTTTCATCTGATCAACTCCAAATTTGATCAGCATGTCATAAAATTTACCAGACACTAACTGATTTAAAAATGTTGGGGGAGGTTTTAGGACATGGCTGTGGCTGGGGGTCAAAGTTTGGTTATTTCTGCTGATTTACTTCTGTAGCTCTCACATTTAGTACTCAAACCTCTTGATATTTTTAACAGTAAGTGCTTGGCTTGAAGGCCACCTATCATAAACACAACAACACAAGACACCCGTACTACCACAAGATGCTCAAAATAGTCAAAATAAGAGTACTCAAGGCAATTTTCAGTGTTTATATTTAAACCAACTTCTCTCCGAGAGTTTATGTATTTAAATTTAGAGTCAAGACAAGACTTGAGAGATGAAAACCTATCAAAACAGATCTTATCTATTATGGCCACTGTGACACTGACAATGAAACAGGAAGTGGATTTCACTCTTACTTACTATATTGTATCTGTGGTCATATATGTACAACCATGGGCCACCCCTGAACACATTTACAAGCTGATGTCAAACTGTAGCCATAGTACCACCCACTAAAATGAGGCAGGAGTTCTTTGTGTGTGAAATGTACTGAGATTGATGGCAGCTTTGACCTCCACACTGTTAAATTTGCTCACATCTTATTTAGTGATGGCTATATGAAAACCAAAGTGGCCTCTCTGACCTAGAGCAGAGCCAAACCTTGTAGATGCTGCTCTCTTTGCAGATGTGACAAACCCTGATGTAGGGTGGGGACCCTTTCATCACTGCTAGCAGCTTTGAGTTTAAACTTGAACCACAGAGGAAATGTGAATTTATTTGAACCATGACAAGTCACTTCAAATTATACTTAAACTAGTTTATGAAAAAGTAGGTCACATATCTAAAACAGGGAATCTTGTCGACCTAGGTCATGCAACGTTTTTGTATCTCAGATCACAACATTTCTCAGAAAACGTCCATGTATGTTTGGTGACAAAGACTGAAGTTAATTCAGATCTGAACATGTTTTTGATGTGTTTCTGTCACCTGTCTGCATGCTGCTGTGGCTTTACTAAACTGTGACATCTTTTGTTATTTATAACCGCTCATAGCAACGACCTCTAAGAGTTGGCCTCAAACATACAGCTCATTCTTCAGTTTGCTTTCTAAGCTACTCCACATGCGAGGTGCATTTTTGACCCTAAAGCTGGCAATATGCCGCCTCCATATGGACAACCCCAGACGCTGAGTAACATGAAGTTTCTCCTGAGGAAAATCTTTGATCTCAATAGGGCTCTTCTTTCAGAACGTATATGTTATCAATGCAAAGATGAACTGTGGTTTGGTTTGAGTTATCACCCATTGACTCAAAGTTAATTTCATGACTTGAGCTCACATTTCCCCCCTGAAGGACATTCAGATTGTGTTACATTTGTTGCAGTTGTGAGATCTTATGTGAGGAATCTTCACATTAAGATGTTTCCAGGAAAAAGACTCCCTGTTTTCTATCAACTCACACAACTTTCAACCAACCGAGACAAAGCCTAACCTAATAAATCAGTTGCAGTGGATATGAAGTCTTTTGCTTAGTGCATGTTGTTTGTAAAATCTGATCTTGAGTGTGACGTTGTTGTTTGTTGACAGCATTTACTGTTTTGCAGGGATGAGAGAAAAACATGTTTGCCTTTGTCAAAAACTCTTGAGCGTGTCTCTGTCTGCTTTGTCACACTGCTGAGTCATGACAGTCTGCATTACACCGTTTGTGACGTTGAACGTTTTTACAAGACAGGATCATTTTTCTGTTTGGTTTCTTCCTGCAGACTGATGGAGCACTCTTTGTATTGGTCTGAACAATCAGCTGCAACACGCATATCTAAACCATGTACATGTGTGCGTGCTTGTGTGCAAGTGTTTGCAGAACCACTCCATTGTTAAAAGAGAAGCAAATAGAGGTCTTTCACTAGAGGTTATTAGCTTTTTGTTATTTTGAGAGTGTGTGATAAAAACTGAATTTATAATGAGCTGAAATGATCCCATTTTTTTCTGTTCCTGTTTCTCTGAAGTAGTCTACTATAAACCTCTTCTTACAGTGTGTTAATCTTTGTTTTCCCTCCCAACTAATATGCTCTTTCACCCTCTACAGATGGATGACATAGATGCCATGTTCAGTACCCTGCTCGGTGAGATGGACAATCTATCTCAGGTGAGTTGTATATTGATGCTGCAAGCTAACTTCAACATTTTCAATACTTATGAATGTGGCAATGCTCACAAGCTGCCTGATGTTAGATAAAAGTGGCAATAGTCTACCATGTTAGTACTTGTGAATGTGCTTATTAGCAGTGTGTAAAAATGTTAAATGCAGATTAAATTAGTAGCTGTACAAAACATGCTCATATTGTGGTGATGTAATAATATCAAAATTTAACACTATGTTATTAATCACTGGCTCCAGTGTGTTTACCTACCCTCTAAATCTTTCACTGTCAACAATAGAAAATGCTGTCACTGTTTGCTAATATATAAAAAAATATTCTTGTCTCTTTTTCTCATTTCTTGACTCAGGGAATTGAAATGCTTCCATATCAAAACTAAAAGGTGTTGAATCATCCACAATTTCAAATTTGCCTCTTCATTCTTGTCCTTCGCATCTTTTGTTGTCATATCAACCATATTTGCGGTACTGATCTGAGGCAACAAGCAGAGTGCAAAAGGTAATGGGAACATATGGGACAATAGTCTCTGTAGTTCCCACTTCCCTTTTCCCTGCAGTGGCTGAAACAGTACTACACTTTTGTCTAGAAGACCAATCTTTTCTCATCATCGTAGGTCAACAATAGCATTGACACATTACTGGTGTCGCAATAGAGCAAAATTTACACTATAATTACATCCCTGGTGAAGAGGGTCTGAGCTTTTGTGATTCAACATTGTTATTCACCCTGTGAGCATGCTAGTATTTGCCAAAATAACACCTCACGCAAAGTCATAGTAAGGTTGAATTTGGGGCCATTACTGGATGAAAGTAATTTGCTATTTGCAATTTATATCAACAAAAATTGGACTTTAATATTTGTAAGATGTTATGGTCTCAGTCTTTAAACTGAAACTGTTGCTGTTTATAAGCTTTAGCTGTGAACTCTCTAAGTTTAGGACTCACTCTGTACACAGAATCCAACCATTTAATGTCACTGGGCTTCTCTATAAAATCTGACAAAATGACTCATCAGTTAAGCCGATTCCTGTTTAGTTTTTTGAATCCCTTTATGTTCGCTTTTAGGACACAGAACGATGCAAAAAGACAGCTTGGCAAGTTGGTATTATGAAAAAAAAAACCTGAAAATGAGCCACAGTGGCCTTCTTTCTATAGCTTTGTTATTGGGTTGTTTAAATTGCTAAAAATACCAAAATCACCCACTGAAGCATTTGGTTTATATCCTTTAGAAAGTGCAATATATCAATGGGGCTCTGGGCTGAGCTGCCGCTGGTAAGTGTTGCTACATGTTTTCGACAGGGAGTTAGACTTTCTCAGCAATATTGTGGACATCAAAAAGAGGAGGAATCTGCATTTTGAGGCAGTTTAATCACACATTTAAAAACAGAGCTGTGGAGGCTGGAAGCTGAGCTGCCAGAATCTCTCTTTGGTCAAAAGCGGCTATGTTGTCACTTAAACCACTCTGACATTGTTTGCTGCATGTAGATGATGAACCGACTGATATTCATCATGATCATTAGAGCCATGTAATTAATATGGCTGCAAATACCCTGACCAACGTTTGCCATGTTGGTTTAGAGATTTTTATCAGGAGTAGCGAAGAGAAGAAACATCTTTGGGTTACATTCTTTCTGAAAACATGACCAGATGAGCGAAGGATCTACACTCTCTAATTGTTCCCATCAGAGCTTTTGAAGTTTGAACAGGTTACACTGACTGAAACAGACAAATTACTTGACATTTATTTCACTAATCTGTATGTTATCTGATAACACATGGCAGCCTTTGTTTTGAGACTTGGCATCAGACTGAAAAATGTAAGGTGATGCTGGGATGTGAAGTCTAGATCTGACCTTGGGGGAGTGCTGCAGATTTCTTTAAGCTCACATAAGCTGCTCATCATAAGGCTGCGGCTCGCCAAGAAACACATGACACATTTCCAACTGATGCAACTTCAGCCTGCGGCCATGTTCATTATTGTCCTTTTCAAATTCCCACATTTGAGCCGAGAGTGGGATCAATTCAAAACATTACATCAGACGTACCAGATTAAAAAAGCTCCACAGTCTGTGTCACTTTGGCATGAGTCCTCCTGGAACGCCAACACAGTAACAAATGCCACTCAAGACACGCTAAGCAGAGTGTGTAAGAGATGCATTGTGATTAAAGCAAGAGGCTGAAAAACAAAAGGATTATGATTAATTCCTCTTATTGTCCTGTTGGGGTCCATTTTCTGCTAAGATGAAGGGAAAAAAATGAACTTTTTTATCCCCCACTTGGCGCTTTAAGGTGTTTTTTAAGCAGGAACAGCTTCAGCATTACAACATGTGTTTTCAGCACAGTGACGACGGTCAAACTGCGAGCTGGCAGGCCTCATGTTGTGTACAGGCTGGCTTTCTGCCCAGTGTGTTTACAGAATATGATTGAGCCCACAGAAACATGTGATAATGATTAAAATGTTGAAGCCTCTTTACTTTATTTTGTTCAACTTCTTCAGAGCACCGGACGAACTGCTTGTAGAGACTCTAACATCACAGGTCTGACAAATTAGTGTTTCTTTACGACCTGACGTTTGATTTATTCTTAATGCATACAATAAACAGAGTACAATCTGCTCTCTATTACGGGCACTTGTAAACACAGTGTGATAAAAAGCAGGGAGACCGCTTCATAAATGACAGGCTCCTGTTACATAACGAATAATAGTACACAGAAACTTGTGCTTTACTTTTTGGACTGCTCTATGTATCAAAAACTTGAGGTTTTCTTCTGTACAAAATGGCTTAAAATTGCAACAAGACATGATTCATCACATTCATTAACCTTCATATTTGTTTCAGAGTTTGGCAGAAACAACAGAAGAGGTTCCTACCTCTCCGAGACGGAGCACCTTCGGCTTCACAAACCTAAACGGTAAGAGTTAACTTAGAAAAAAAGTGATGCTCTCACTCAGAGCAGGAGCAGCAGATAAACTTCAAAAATGAACCCCCAATTTCCACCGCATTTGGAACGGCTACGAAAAGGCCCTATCTGCTGATCGTAGCTGATCGTAACCATTCAAGGTAATGTGTCAATTTCCAACGGCTTCTTTCCGTTCCGCTGTGGATCGCCGGACTGCGCAGCGGATTGCAAGAGTTCCATTTTTTTCTGGAAGCCGGGCATGCTAGATAAATCAGTACAGATTAACCTGTGCTGAATTAATAATTAATAATTATTTCTAAATTACACTTAAATTCAGAACATGAGATGCAGTTGGCATCTTCCGTCATCTAACTGCATCCTTTACACTTGTGTAGGGCTGAATGCTTTGCCGTTTAAATATTGCATTTACTATGTGTAAGTGCACAATATCCCTGCTGCAGGAAGTGTGCTGTCAGTCATATGACCCCTTTAATGTGGCTCCTCACTCCAACACACAGAGAAAACTAACCACTGTGCATTCAAAGTCTCCATCTCCATGTCACATGACTGTAGAATGTAAACATGCATGCAAATCCCACCACTGCTAACGCTGATACAGAAGCAGAAGCCTTTTCATAGCTTCAATGAACCTATTGCTCAAAGTAGGAGGATCACAGTGCAGGGGCCCAAAAGCAGAGGACGGCATAGGACACCCCGCCTGTTAAGCCTTTATGGACGACACTACGGTTATGATTCCGTCAATCCAAGGAACACAATGGATCCCAAGTGCTTTGGAAAAGACAGCGACATGGGCCCAGCTGCAGTTCAAACATGGGAAGTTAACCCTTTGATGCGCAACATGGGTCAAAAAAGACCCGGCTGAGTTTAAATTTTATATATCTTTTCAAAAAATTAATTCCATCAGTCGGTACTCAAGGAATTCCTCAATTAACTTGTTTTTGACGACCCTACATCCTTATGTTAATTTTTCTTTTTTTACTTTTAGAATAAAAACCGTTTTTGTATCACTACCCCTCTAATGCACAACATGGGTCTAAAATGACCCGTATCCATTTTCAATGTTATTTCATGTATGGCTGAGTGTTTCTTTGGTATATCTTTGAAATAAATTAATTTTATCATTAACTATTCCAAGTATGCAGTAAAGATCTTGTTTTAGTTGAGCACAAATAATCATTTTTATTTTTCCTTTCTTACGTTATGAGGATGCACAGATTTTGTATTTCTACATCAAGTTTACATATATGGGTCAGAAACGACCCACATACAGTGACTGTAGCATTTAGCATGAAAAGACCATCTAATACATGGAAGTATGGTTTTTCAATTGTTCTGACATTATCTTAGAAATTATTTGATGACAATTGTGAAATATAATTGTACATAGATTTGATTTGATTAGGTTTAGGTTACCTTGAGAGTGAGGACATTACATGTTGGAAAGTTACACAGTTACAGGTAAAACAGCTAGCGTTATTTCAGCTAGCTATAATCAGACGCATGTGTGTGTGACAAAATGACAAATAAACATGTTGCTGATACAAAATACAAAAGTGTTTGGCCCATAGACTGTATAAAGAATGGACAGCGTCTGCCTCCTTGCCGGGTGAAGCCGAGAACAGCACCCCCTGTTTACAGGCTGCAGTATAGGTCATAAATCCCGCCTCCGCCAGCAAACCTTATGGAGCTGTGGACAAACTTTAGAAATTTATTACACAGAACATAATTTTTTCTCCCCCCCAGCTTGTGATGTTGACATGTAGTTACAGTAAGACTGGTTTGTGCTCAAGTCCTCTTTTTTCTGTACAGCTCTGTTTTTAAAAGTTATTAGGGGGTTCATGTTTTCTATGATTGACACCTGCCATAGACTGTACATAGAATGGACAGAGTCTGCCTCCTCGCTGGGTGAAGCCACTCCGAGAACAGCACCCTCTGTTGATGGGCTGCAGTATAGGTCATAAATCCCGCCTCCGCCAGCAAAGATTATGGAGCTGTGGACAAACTTAAAAAATGTATTACACAGAACATACATTTTTATCGCTCCTGATTGTGATGTTGACATGTAGTTACTGTCAGACTGGTTTGTGCCCAAGTCCTCTTTTTTCTGTGAAGCTCCATTTTTAAAAGTTATTAGGGGTTCATGTTTGCTATGATTGACACCTGATACAGCCTATGGGCGTTCAGGGATTGCGTAGCTCTCCCAGGGGATATGCTGTTTGAGCTGTGTGTCATCGCAGCGACTCTCTTCAACTGTGTGGCCAAATGCGCGCATTGCTACTGCGCAGCGCTGGTTTCAGGAAATGAAGAAAAATCCTGGAAATATCGAGAGCTATTTGGCTTCAAATCTGTATACAGGCAGTAGGCGGAACGAAGTTGTCCATAGTATATACAGTCTATGGATACACCCTATGGGCGTTCAGGGATTGCGTAGCTCTCCCGGGGTGATACGCTGTTTGAGCCGAGCGTCATCACAGCGACTCTCAGCGACTGCGCGGCCGAATGCACGCTTCGCAACTGCGCAGCTCTGGTTTCAGAAATGTAGAAAAGTCTCGGAAATACCGAGAGCTTTTTGGCTCCAAATCCGTATACAGGCGGTAGGCGGAACCAAGTTGTCCATAGTATATACAGTCTATGGTTTGGCCCCACTCACTGCTAATTTCATTACTTGAAACAAATTATTGTTATAGTGTTAGGTAATTCAATATTAAATCAAACTTGGATGAATGGGTCGTTTTTGACCCATGTGTGTAAACTTGATGTAATAATATAGAAACTATATTATTTCATAAAGTATGAAAAGAAAAATAGAAATAATGATCAGTGGTGATCAAAAACAAGATATTTAAAGAATACTTGCAATATTCAATCAGAAAATAAACTTATTTCAAAAGATAGAACAAAGAAAAACTCAGCCAGCATGAAATACCATTGGAAATGAATGCGGGTCTTTTTAGACCCATGTTGCGCATTAGAGGGGGTGTGGATATGTTGCGCATCAAAGGGTTAAGGAGCCTCAGCATCCCGAAAGGGAAGCTGAAAGGAAACATCTTTAACATCCAAGGCTCAGACATCCAAAGAATTCAAAAGCAAGGCATCAGGTGCCTTGGAAAGGCCTTTGACAGCTCCCTTAAGGACAACGATAACCTCACCAGCACCAAAGCCCAGCTTAACAAGTGGCTTAAGGTGATCGACAACAGCCAACTGCTCGGAAGGTTCAAGGTGCGGTGTTTCCAATATGGAATCAAACCTCGACTGCAATGGCCCTTTTTACTCTACGATTTCCCCAAGTAGAAGGGATAGAGAGGCTCTGTAGCAAGCTCTTGCGGAAATGGCTGGGCGTCCCTCCATCTTTCAGCTCAGTCAATCTTTACAGCAAGACCTCAAAGCTTTCCCTACCAGTAACATCGGTGGCTGAGGAGTTTCAAGCCGCCAAGGCGAGGGCAGTCAGAACACTCTTCTTGTATGAAGATGGGAAAGTGAGGCATGCAAGTAAGAACATCAAGTGTGGCAGGAAATGGAGGCCTTAGCAGGCAGTGACTGAGGCAGAAGCACACTAGAGACATCAGGAGATGGTAAGCGTGGTATGTCAAGGCCGCCTAAGTCGAGGAAACTATGATGGCAAGAGGTGGAGCAAAGCCAACACCAGAGTCAAAAGAACACTAGTGGTGCAAAGGGTCCGGGAGGCAGCAGAGGAGGACTGTCAGGTGAAGGCAATAGGGCTAGCTTCCCAAGGTAGGTGGACACAGTGGGACAAGGCACAGGTCCTGGAAGGACCTATGGCAAACTGACCATAGGGAAATTGTCTTTCCTCCTATGAGCAGTGGCTGATCTGCTGCCAACCCCAAGCAACCAGAAGATTTGGGGTGCAGAGGAAGATCCATCTTGCAAACAGTGTGGAGTGGCCTACTGCACACTGAATCACATTCTGACTGGTTGTCCTAAAGCATTAACGGAGTGACACTACAGGTGGAGGCATGACAAGGTCCTCATGGAGATTGCCAAGTGGGTGGAGTAGCAGAGGACTAAGGCGAACAACAACCACACCTTACCACCTAATGCCATAGGATTCTGAGGGAGGGTGGCAAGGCCCCTAAGAGCAGAACAGCAGCTAAAAACCTACCTTTCATCCTGCAGAAACCCTCTGACTAGGAGTTGAACATGGCCCTGAAGAGGGAACTCATCTTTCCTCATGGTGCAGTGGCAACCTCCACACAACCAGATTTGTTCCTCCTATCCAGGAGCTTTAAAACCATCATAGTGGCAGAACTTACCGTGCCCTAGGAGGAGAGGCTAGCCACGTCCTACCATCTGAAAAAAGCCAAGTACCAGGACCTGATTGATTGAAGCGGCTCTGAAAGGGTGGCACACAACCATTTTTCCCATTGAGGTTGACTGCCATGGGTTCCCAGCAAAATTGGTGCGCTACTTCCTCCAGAGATTTGGTTTCGAGCCCAAACAGCTGAAGAATAGCCATGATGGCAGAATCCAGCTTGAAATGGTTTTGGCTGAAGAGGGCCCAAAGTTGGAACCCTTCTGCAGGCGAAAACTAACCAGCTTCTGCAGCTCCACTCAGGCGAGGTGTACAGGTTAAGGGGCGAAACACCCTGAGATACCTGCTGATGATGCAGAAGGGTTCCTGCAGCAACGGTCTAGAGGAGCCAAAGAGATGGAGGAGCTCAGGGCCCAGGATGGATGCAGCTGGGGTCAGGCAGTTCCGCAGCAGACCGTTTGCAGCATTAGTCCAGTGGCAGCTAAAAGACTCAGAGACACTCAGAGAGACAGAAAACTGGTCAGTGACTTATATGGGACATAAAGATCTAAAGAGGAGATAGAGACAGACTCTAGCTCAGTGTGCCAGATAGCCCGACAAGTACCCTGTAGAACCCTATACTCACTAAATTTAACTTTGTTCCTACTTGGAACTGAATTTTGGTACATAACCCTAGCCCTGGGGCAAACACACAGAAGCACAGGCCCCTATACAACAGTATAGGAGCCAGATTAATGATAAACTCAAGTCAATGAGACAAGCCAAAATAAAAAAAGGAAATAGAAAATTCCCTATGGGAATTTTATATTCACAGGGGATAGTGTCTTGGTGCATTTGTCCCGTGGTCCTAGTAAAGGCCAAAGGTTACTCTATTTGTACCCTCAGGTGAATTTTGTTTGCAGTGAATCACATGTCTGACAATAGATGAACAAAAGCACAGTACATACATGTAAAGTGACAACAGTGCTCAGGTAGGAGAATAAAATACGACCAAATATAAACCAACAGCTCTCAAGTTCTCTTCCTCGTGTTAATGTGCCCAATGGCTGATGGAATAAAACTACTTTTGTACTGCTTAGTTTTACAGACTGGTACCTTGAGCCTCCTGCCTTCTTTTCCCTAAAGTCAAGCTAACCTTGAATAAAATCGAGGAGTCACAGCAGCATCTGTTTGGACAATAAAAGATAAGCGAAGGAATGAAAGTAGAAACAAACCACTGAAAGTTGTTGGGAATCCGATCTATGATTTTTAGGGGGCACTTCTGCCTTTATTAGATAAAATAAGACAAAGAGAGACAGGAAATGTGGGGAGCAGAGTAGGGAAAGACATGCAGCTATAAAGGTTGTGGCCGGGAATCTTAGGGGATTGTGGCCCTGTCCTGAAAATCCTACCAAATTACGCTAGAGACAATAATAATGATTATGGAAAAAATGTGTTGTTTCCACAAAAGACCGTAGGAAGGGTTACTAGTTTGGCACAAGTACAGAGCAAATTAGTCAAGTGTAATTTATTTTGGCTGTATTCTTTGACTAATCTTCAACTAAACAACTAAACAAGTACAATTTATTTTGGCTGTATTCTTTGACTAATCTTCAACTAAACTAACGGAATGGGTGAGACGCATGTGCAGAGTTGTTGTTTAAATGACGAGTCCATTAAAAACATTGCTTGCTAATCAGCATTATGTTAATGTGTAACGTATTAAGTTTAAAGTTAATGTTTAAGTTAAAACATCATGTTTTAAGAAGGTACAACCTCAAGATTCAAGATATTGTTTTTTTATCGTTTAGTTAACAAATGTTTATTTTTGACTGATCAGACCAGGAATATATCAGGGTAAATAATGAAACTTTAAGATCAGAAATCTTCTCTTTCCAGAGTCTCTTAATGAGCTTGAAGAGCAGGACCTGGATGCTCTGGTGGCTGACCTCAGATCAGACTCAAAGACGTCAGAGGTTTCCACAGATCAGCAGACCGGCAGACAAACAACCGGTCAAAGTGCAGAATCAGCCATGACTCAGCAATCTGAGCCAGCAGTTGCCTCTTCATCATCATCAAATGCTGCTGAATCCTCTAAACGGCTGCAGATGGTAACAATACAAACACTTGAAAAGTTAATACTATTTTTACAAAGTTACAATACATAACTTCCTCATATTATTTTCCAGAGTGAACCTCAGACGAAGGCAGACAAAATCAAACTGGCTCTGGAGAATCTGAATGAAGCTAAAGTAAGGCATGTGAACACAGTCTTGGGTTCTTCATCATTCAGCCGCGCAGTTACAGTAAATTCTTTCTTCCCAAGTTGATAGTAAAGGTGCTGATGAGTGATGGCAGCTCCAAGGCGCTGATGGTGGATGAAAAGCAGACGGTCAGGGAAGTTTTGGACAAGCTTTTTGAGAAGACATACTGTGACTGCAGCGTTGACTGGAGCCTCTGTGAGACCAGCCCTGAGCTGCAGATTGGTGAGATGAACGCAAACACACATGCTATACATGTATAACTCATATGCAGGCAATCACCACCGTGTACATACCATATACATCACGTGAGGCAAACTCCTGTAAAGAGGCATGAGACTCTGCTGCACGTGTCCCAGGACTGTCTGAAGGTCTACAGTATACTTATTTGAAAGTCTATCATCATTTCAGAGCGAGGCTTGGAGGACCATGAATGTTTCGCAGAGCCGCTGTCTGTGTGGACGTCTGAAAGTGAAAACAAAATCTATTTTGTGTCAAGACCGCAGAAGTATGTGATGTTCAAAGACCCTCAGGTAAGTATGGGTGGATCCGATGATCTCCTCTTTTAGTAACACATTGATTAAGAGTAAATATCCAGTTACTATAATGTGCTTCTTAGTTATTTTACATGTGGAAGAAGAAGACAGCAAGTTTGAGTGGGATTAACGAACAAGAAAAACAGCTTCTACTCAAGGTCAGTAACAGCACCACAAGCCCACCTCAGCACATCAGAGGAAATAAACCTCTTGTTGCTCTTTATTATTGCACCAACTTAAAGAATTGTATGAATATGTCTCATTTTAACAGCCTACAAATGATTTCCTTTTGTAAGGCTCAAGAAATTACACTCTTGCGATAATGTAAGATCTTTCCTCTATCGTCTTCTTTTGATGGCCTTCAGGGACAAGCCCTTAAATGGCTGCTTCCCACCTGCTAAGGAGACAAGATTCAGTTTGATTTTGAATTGTGCTCCTCTGGCTAATCTTCTGTGGAGTGCCACAAGGCTCTATTCTGGGCCCCTTTCAACTGCTTTTACAGAAATATTACAGAAATGTTCTTACAGTATATGTAAAGTATAGTATATGATAATTTTACGCTGTGGATTATCTGTGTGGTATGGCTCTGCAGGAGAATTTTGGTGGTTCGACTGTGATTGTTCCCGATCTCGAGGGCATGCTGTTCTTAAAAGAAGATGGAAAAAAAGTTTGGAAACCTCGCTACTTTGTTCTCAGAGCCTCAGGCCTGTACTATGTACCCAAGGGGAAGACTAAGGTATGGAAAAGATAACTCATTGTACAAACGCAAGCATGTTAATGGTTGAGAGGTTACTTTATAGATATGTGAGCGATACCACCAGTAACACATAGCTTTAAGGAAACTGGTTCTTCAAGAGTGAAAGTTATTCATGACCAGTGTATTCTGTATTTTTAATTTTTGCTAGTTCAAGTAATTTGTTGATTTCTGGTATGCACATAAAAAAGATAAACCGCTGCATTTTACTCATAATCCTCATTCTAAGTAGGAAATATGTGTAAGGCATCTAAAATGCTCAGTAAAATAGTAATAACAAGCATATGGGATATTCAGATTGGCAAGTCTGCAAACTGTAAAGTCATATTTGAACTGAAATGAAAAGTATTGAGTGGTTTATTATCCCATTTAAAGTTTCAATGTGACAACTGTTTTCTGTTGCTATGCTAACAAACAGGTTGCCTATAATCCAAAACATCCTTCTGTAAATCATTTTTTCAACATGCTTTTATATTTTTCTTCAATTGAGATAGTTTATATTTAGCAAGCCAGTTGATTTCCTCAGTTTACAGTTTTTGTGTTACTCTTGCTGAACTTACGAGCTGCTGTTTTAAGCTACATGCTTGACATCAAGATCTGTGAGTGCTATCAGTGTTTCACCTTACTCACGGTCAAATAATAACCACAACTACAACAACTTGTTCCTCAAAATTACTATCTTAAAAGTAGAATTAATATTTATCAACCACATGGCAGCCATTTCCCTAGAATGTTATTAGTAGTTAGCGTAGATGCTAGCATGTTGTTCTGCTTTGACACAGGCTGTTACTCTGATCTAACCCAATACATTTTATTTATATAACACATTTTAACGAACAATTTTTATCAAATTGCTGCACAGTAGGATAAAAATCTAGAATAAATGATAATCACAAAGAAACATAAATATGCACAAAACAATAAGAGCCTGTAATACACATACAAGAACAGACATAAAACCACAGAGACCACACAACTCTTGAGCTGTGTAAAAAGCCAAGAAATAAAAGTATGTTTTTACAGAGATTTAAACAGTAGGGGACATTTTGAAGTAACTTGTTTGTCGTATAAATGCTGGCTATAATTAGACAATTATTTTAACTGCTGGCCAATGAAGACTGAAAGATAATTGATATTTTTTTAAAATGGAGACATTGGACTATTTTAAGCTTAAACAGTTTATTTGGTGGCACTTCAGCTTCTGTTGGACAATAACTAATGTTGATGTTCACCCATATCTTAGCAAACATGGAGTATATTCTCATTGTGTTGTGTAGCTCTATCAAACAGGGAGATATAATACACAAAAATAATTGAATTTCAGAATTGCTTGTAATCTACATTAGCTTTAGTTTTCTAGCATCTAGTAGTCTATTAAATAAGTTGCTTCACTTTGTAACATGGTGGGATATCCCTCCAGACATCAGATGCAAAATAAATAAGAGGCTTTGACTGGATAATGATTGGTCAGGTTTTCCAATTGTCGACTTCAAACCAGAAACACAGCAGTTAGATTGTGTAACAATTTTTGAGTCCCCCAAGCCGTTATATGATGTCAGAAGAAAATATAAACAAGTTTTTCATGCAAACTATTTAGAAAAGTTTAGTAGAGGAGGAAACAAAAATGGATTAGGGGAGTTTGACAGTAAAAAAAACAGGCAAATACCGCCCTGGCAGGTATTTGATGGCTCACATCTGAGTGATTAAACATATTAAAAGCAGAGAGGAAAGAGAAAGAGCCTGAAAAATGAAGATTGACAGAGTGAATAGAAGCATTGCAGCATTTTTAAAAGGAAACATGTCGCTCTTTCACCAAGACAGAGGAGGAAAATTCCTTCCAAATAGATGGAGGGGAAACTGTGTGAGACAGATGTGCAAATGGTCAACATAAGAGAGCTGCAGGAATCATCTGGAGTCAAGGACACAAGGATGACCTGCCGGGAGATCTGGAAGAGACAGTTCATAAGAGGAGAAGAAATGGCCACATCAGACAAGGAGGAAGCATAACTAATATTGTACAGCAGTGTGAAATGGACACACATGTAAATACAGTTTAAGACTCTCAGTTATGAAGGAAAGACAGAGAAGGAGAGAGAAGTGATTAGCAAGCAGTGGTAAGAGAGGAGGTAAAAGAGGATGAACATCCATGAAAAAAGTTAGGAACAAAGCCCGACAGGGTAAAAAAAAAAAAAAAAAAGTCTTTTTAACATACAGGCAGACACACTTAGTATTGTCCAGTACACAGTGTTTCTTTGTTTTTGTGGTTAAATGTGTGACCATGATGTGCCTCTGCTCAATATTAGACCGAAATGAAAGGAATAAATGCTCCTCTGAGAAAAAAACTCAATCTTCTCAAGAATTCCCTCTGACATTTTTGGAAAACTAAATCAAGACAAACAGATTTGTGTAAAACTGTTTTCTTTGAAGTGTCCTCATTTAATTTCTACCATAAAGTCAGACTGCGAAAGTTTGTTTTATCATCAAAACATGTTTAAACAACTACCAGAGCATCAAGACTAATCGGTCATTAGATGAGTTTAGACTGATTTCATTCACACTGAAACATCAGCATGCTCTGGATTACAAGTCCTGTAAAATACACTAACTCACAAACATATTTTCTTCTGACGTCAATATAAAAACTTCACTGAGACGAAATTTCACTGTTGTTAACTGTTTTTGTTGTTTTTCTGTCTGACAGTCCTCCAGTGATCTTGTGTGCTTCGTCCATTTTGAAAAAGTCAACATCTACACCTGCATCAACCACAGACAAAAGTACAGAGCCCCCACCAACTTCTGCTTCATGCTGAAGGTAAGCTACAAAGACATGGTCCATGTTTCTGCTATGGGTTGTCCATCTTTCCATGATTTTCTACTTAAAATTTGTGTCAGTTTGAGTTAAAAAATCCCTGCGTAATATTATTAAGAGAAAAAAGAAAGTTGTCATTATGAGAGGACAGAGAAAGTTGCTCCTCCTATTGTGAAATGCAAAGCCAAAATCCTGCCTCTGTTGACATATTCTACGTGGGCATGTGCAAAAGTGATCTAGCTGGTGGAGCCAAGGGACTTAAGGCCCACCCCTTTGACTGAACAACACTCATGATATAACCTACCATAAAATGTGAAAGATTCCTGAGGTCAATACAGTCCACAGCAGATCAGATATTTGTGCTGATTTGAAGCAGACACTCACAGTTTCGGAAAGTTCAGAGACTCTTGTGTTAGTGAGCAATTCTTTTTATCTCTCTCCACTTCTCTGCTGAAGAGTGCTTCTCTGTCAGAGCTATCCATCAATCCTCTTTTGACATAAAGAAACATATTAATTACACTTAAACATTAATAGATGAGAGCAATCCATCAGGGTACTATGCTGTAAAGTTGTGGACCTGCACCCTTTCGGGTGAAAACAGTCAAACTGAGTTGACCAATGGCAAAGTGAAAACTCCAGTCTAAGGCAGAGGTTCTCAAGTCCAGTCCTCGAGGCCCACTGTCCTGCATGTTTTGGATGTTTCCCTGCTCCAACACACCTGATTCAAATGATCAGCTCGTTATCAAGCTCTGCAATGGCTTAATAACGAGCTAATCATTTGAATCAGGTGTGTTGGAGCAGGGAAACATCCAGAACATGCAGGACAGTGGGCCTCGAGGACTGGACTTGAGAACCACTGGTCTAAGGCAATATAATAGCTTAGAAAAAATAACAGCAATACTGTTATTGATTGGCTATTGAGAGCCTGAATCTATCAGCCAGTCGTGTAAATCATGACGTTTTGATTTGTAAATATGGATCAGGATGTAACGTTTACAAAAATCAAGGTTATGACAGAATATGAGAGCTTCTAGACAGGGGTGAGAAGCTGTGTGTCGCTCTACATTTCATAGTCATTTTGTATCGGGCATCTTTGGTGTAGTGCTCACTTTGTTAAAGAGAAATATATGAGATTGGAGAAGTGATCCGCTGGGATTTATCCACTTTGGTTTTGGTGACAGAAGCAGTTACAGTTCCTACTTTCTAAGAGTTCTGTGAATGGTGCCTTAAGGTTGACTTTTTACCATCACATTATAGCCCTGTGTGGTGCCAGATACTATCTTTAAGAAAGGCAATTTAAAAGTGATAACCCAATTCAGGCAACACAGTTAAAACACACACATGAATTTTGTGAAATCAGTTTATAACAGTGGCTACAAGATGGGGTCGTTCATCCTAAAATGTAGGCAGATTTAGAAGATATGTAGACCCTTAAGCTGAACTTTTCTCTGATGTTACATCGCCGATCAGTGAATAAAGACATAATTAATGTGTTTTCATTACAGACCATCAGATTTGCTGTCAATAGCCATTAAATGATGGGTTTCTCTCAAAGACCCCAGAAATCCCATTTACCGCCATTCATTTAGATGGACTGCTTCCACCCACAAGGGGGCATGGTCAGTTTTGAAAGTGGAAAGGGACGTTTGACTGCTCTCAACCATCAGCATGATAAGGACTAACTGCAGTGACAGAAGTTAGGTGTTTGAAAATTATTTGACGTGTAGACAGATTTATAATATGACTCCTCTTCCATGAAGAAGGTGGGCTGTAAGACCTACAGTACACCACAGCCAGTCACCAGGGAATCAAAGTCCATAAGCATCTGTTCTATCCGTTCAAGTGTCCAGTCAATGTAAAATGTACACTCATTTTTATGTAGAAATTAAAGAACAAAGCTGCCAAACTGAACATCAATCAACTGTAGGGCGCAAATCTATCTGCTGAGCTGTGATAGACATGCTGAGTAATTTACAATACATTGTGTAGTCTAAGCATGACCACATCTTTTGACCCAATCAGGGGCCAATCCAACCTTTGAGAGGGACCATGCTACCCCTCTGAACACACCCCTGAACACATTGTACTACTTACACAGTTTTTTTGTGATCAAATTGTTTCTATATTACTCCAGCTACATATATAGAAAACAACTATGCCTGAGGACAATGGAGAAAAAAACACAAATACACTGAATGTGTGTTATATCTGTGGTAAATACCTCACATCTGCTCTATACTTTCTGTTCTTCACAACAGCTTTGTCTCATTAAACCCAGACATAGGTGAAGGTTCAACAAGACACAGAGACTTCACACAATAACAACACTTCATGTGTTATGGTAGACAGTGATGGTGAAGTAGATCACACTTACAGCTGAAAGTTTATTTATGCTGACAGGAAGGGAGATGTGGTTGACTGTAATTGTCAGTGTTGACCAGTGTGAACCGATTTTTTTTTTTCAACAGCTTGTCAGTGTGTTAAACAAGTCCTCTCAAACCATATGGACACCTGGAATTAATAACGAGTGAATGTGGTGTTATATCATATATAGAAATATGTTTCTGTCTAATAGGAAAATCAGTCACACCCAAGATTTTCCAGTTTTGTCTTAAGTTTCTTACTTATAGATTTTCACAAATTAATCAGTTAGGTTGCCTAAAAGACAGCAGTGTGGTCCTGTCCTACTTAATCCACCGGTCTTTGTGGTGTTTGCAGTGAAGGGAAAGTCAGGCATATACTGCCCTCTGCTGGATCTTTCGTGTAATACAGCTCCACAAACAGCAAAAGTAAAAAATAAAGATTCAGTCTGTAAAATTAGATGCCTGATGTTTTTTGTGATTCTGTTGGACCTGATCAGATTGAAAATAGATTAGTGATGTCACCAGGGTCATCTCAGCATTGGGTTTGGTGATCATGTGTTTAAAGGAGAGTTTCATTAAATTAATGTAGGCCGCAGACAAGCTCGACACATACCAGATAATAAAACTGAGGATGCCTCTCCACAATTTAATTGTTCCTTTTGCATGAGGTCTGCCTCAAGTCATCTATCATCATGAAACCACAGATGAACCTATAACATCACTTCTCTTTTTGCCTGTATTTTTTGTCCCAGCATCCCTGCATCCAGAAAGATTCGGACTACATCAAGTTCCTGTGCTGTGAGGATGAACACACTCTGCTGCTGTGGGTCAACTCCATCAGGATCGCCAAGGTTAACCTGATTAGAGTGAAAATACAAATTTAATTTGATTTCAGCTCCAGCTCAGGACATTTCAAGAGTTAAACATTTATGTGTGTGTTGTTCCTTTGTGTGTTCAGTATGGGACTGTTCTGTATGAAAACTATCGGACTGCTATGCAGAGAGCCTCCCCCAGTATCAAAACTCTCTACTCTGCTGCACACACAGGTGAGTCTCAAACACTTTTCATATTCCCTGGCTAAATACTTGATTCTGATTGGTCAAAACCCTATGACAATGTGGATTAATTCTAAATAGCAAAATTGATGCTCGAGACAACCTTCTTACACGTCATATCAAATCAATCAAGTTTCACTTCCACCTGTTGACACTCTGGTAAAAATAATAGTTTCCATCTCAGACTTGTTTTAATAGTGAGCAAACAATGACATTTAGTGATGGAAAGAGGTGGAGCAACATCCTGTCCCGCAATCCAGGCAACAGCTGCAGAGCTGGTACCCAGAACCAGAGGCTGTTGTGTTTATTGCAAGAAGTTGTGAAATTTGCTCCATTAGTGTTTGTGTGTCAACCGAGAACGAGAGCTGAATGAGGACAGAAATGTCAACATAAATATTCTTGCAGAAGTTCTGCTCACCTTGTTTCACCATGTTTTCTTTGGTGGAAATGTTAGCTTAAAGGCCCCCATCAGGAGTTTTTTTTACATTTATGAAACAGCCTGCAATTTAGGTTGCTGCCTTTACATAAAAGTCAAGAGCAAAAAAAGACCACCAGCAACAAGACTGACAATTTGTACTGATTCAATTTTTATCCCTGAAACCAGTGTGATGAGGGTGTCAGCCAAGCCAGTAAAGAAATAGCCTCGTTTTTACGGTTCCCACATAACATAATCACAGTCAGCAGCACATTTGACTGTTAAAAGTAAACAGGATGAGATTTTTGCGAAAAGACACTGGTCATGCACACAATTGAAGATATAACCAAACCTGCTTTGTCTACAGTGGGGCATAACATTGACACAAAGCATAAGTTCCTCACATGAGCTTTAATGTGAACTAAAACATATAAGCTAGCTAATACTTGAACTTGTGCATGAATTGAACTGTTAAGTTTAATGTTAATTCTTCTGGCACATAGATTAGGAATGTGTGAGCATGAGAGGGTTACTGACCGAGGAATCAGAAGAGCTATTGTTTTTACCTGTATTAGTACATCATTTTTACACAATAGTCTTTAAATCTATATTTTGTTTCATATGTTCAATTCTTTATGAAATGGTTGGACAATGTGGTGAATGTTGGACAAGTTGGACAATGTGGTGAATGGGTGGTTCATGCAAATTAGAATCCTGACAGGGGGAGAAGTGGAGGGGCTCATCTCACTCTGGCCATTCTGGCTTACACTGACACCTGTTCACCATACATTATCCCTTATTTATAGTGTGTACAAATAGATTGATTATTTCTTAAGAATAAGAGCGAAATTACATTTTGGTTTAAACTTCAAGAGCAAATGTTTACCTGAAGCAGCATGCACATACTAACACAGACCAGTGAAGTGCAGGTTTTGTATCTTTTTTTTTTTTTTAGGAAAAACTGAAGCAGAATATATAATCACAACTTACTCGACAGTATTTGAGTATACAACCCTGATGCCTGGATCTGTTTCTTGTTTTCTTCTCAGACAAATCCAATGGCCATGTCACAGACTGTCCACATGAGCCACCACCTGACTTCATCCCTCCTCCACCAGGGAACACACAAGGATGAGACACACCTAGACCTCCCTCTTTAAATCCGGATCAATCCTATCCTGTCTTGAGCCCTCAGATCTGGGTGAATGTTAAATCCCTGGTCTGATTTGATGTGTTAGAAATGTTTAAAAATGCATTAATGTCATTTTATTTATTCACTGACTTGTACTGATTGTTGTAGATTGTATTCCTGCTCTATTAGCTTAAAAACATAACAAAAGCACACAGCCGTGTTCATTGTTTCAATGAGCCGTTTATTACAAAAAGACTGTACATAAATTTCAATGAACACATCCTATGTACAAATCAAGAGGAGAAGACAAATATTGGATTCTGTTCCCATGAACATTTAAGTTACTGATTCTTTTCATTGTTAAGAAAACACACACTGAAGAAAGGCGCCTGGACCTGTGATGCCCTGAAATGCTCGACGTTAAAGTGGTAAACATTACAAAGTTCTGCACGTCAGTGGTCGTCTCATGACTTCTCTATGAAATAAGTATAAATAAATCCTTAACATACAAACTGCTAGTGAGCCTTCCTTGGCAGTCTCAGACACAGAAAAAAAAAGAAGTTGAATGCAAAGCTAGAAATACACTTAGTAGAAAAAGTTGTATTCTCACAAAAAATGACCTCATGATGGAAAAAATACAATCAAGAATGGGATGTACTTGCAGATCATTCACTGAAATGAGGTTTAGATACTTTCATGCACAGAGTCTGAATGAATACTGCTCATTTCAGTCTTTTGTTGTCTGTGTGGAAACCTGAAAATGTCCTCTGGAACAATTCTTCTCTGTGATTTCTATCGTTTTTTTCTTGCGCTAACAATCCCTTTGTAAGCAGGCATCTTATTTTGAGAGGGTAACAAAACAGATATTTCATACCAGCGCTGTCTGTAAGACCTGGGGTTTTGAAATTCACTCCTTCACTGCAGTCAGCAGAAAGACAAACACATACTAGAAGTAGCTGAATCTAGCTTTAGTACATTACGGATCAGTTTCCTACATTCACTAAAAAATGCAGAGGTGATTCAAAACAGTTACAATCAAATCTGAAGTTTCTTCACTTTCTGGAACAAAGTCATGAGATTAAATCCCTTGTTTCCTTCTTACAGTAATAAGAGCGCTCATATTTTGAGGTTGTTTGTGTCGGTGATTATGGTAGTTGAGCACCAATGTAAAGCACCACACCAGCAACCACTGAAAGAACAGACGACATGTGGATAAAGGTCAGTCAGTACTTCTGGAAAGAGACTGTCGTGTCAGAATCAAAGCGGTGATGGCTACTTCAGAGTCATCACAGCAGTTAAAAACAAATCAGTGCACAATGAAAAACAACATAAACACACATACACACACACAGGTTAGTCCTTCCTCTGCTTCACATTAAGAAGCAGCAAACCCCTCAGAGCTCTGCTACAGTGGCTGGACAGCATGACTACATACAGTGACGATGATTGAAATGATACGACTATGACAGAACGTAGAAAAATAAACGCTTACATGCGGCAGCTTTGCCAGCTTTCAGTTAAAATGGCACTGTGAGTGATGAATAAAATTAATATTCAAGTAAAATGAAACACCATCTCAAACAAAAACAGCCAATCTTGGCATCACCTCCACTGACGCTGATGGAGAGTCACAGGTGACACACACTAAACCGACAAATGTAACTGTACTGGCAGCTTCTCACGTTACACTTTATATACAAGTCCAAGGACAGAAAGAAGAGTCTGTTTTCTTTTCTTTTTAGTTTTTTTTTTTCTTTTTTTTCATGTAATGCGTTCTGTACACTCAGTTCACCCTTTTGAACAACATCCCCACCATCACAGAGCATAGTAAATACACAACTCCAGGTTGTTTGATCCCCTTTTTTTTTTAAACATGATGTGGTTCGGACATCGACGTCATCCAACATTCAGTCTTGTCCTAATGCACTTGTTAATGTCTGGGTATAATTGAGACTGTATGTAGGAGGTGGACAGTTTGGAGCCCTTGGTTTTTAAGCGTTTTTGGACTTTGAATCTTTGAGGAACCAGATCAAAGGAGGGTCTTGTTTTACATCACTACACCAGAGTAGGAACTTGTCAATCACAGGTAGACACGCCTAGAAGCATCTCTTTCCAATTTAGTTTTGCTCTACAAGAGAGCAGTGTTGTCACCCCCTCCTGGCCATTACAAACACTGCACCCTTGAGTCATATCTGCATTGGTGTCCCTTTGAAGCTGAGGGCTATGTCCACTTCCTATCGACAGTCCCTTTCAGGTTTTTTGAAGATAAGGTTAACTGTTTAATGAAAGGAGAGGCAGATTGGTCTGCGAGTTTGCAATGCAAATAAAAGGGGCGGGACCTTCGGTGCAGCATTTTATATTCAGAGAAATGCTACACTGCCTTATCTATTCATAAAGTTGTAATACTACATCTACAGCACTGGAAATACTTGAAATCTTGGTAGCATGTACATCAACTAACTCTATATCTAGATTCACCTGGACGTCTTTGAACTTTTCTGGTTGAGAGTAATTTCTTGTGAGGCATTTGTGTCCTTTAAAGTTTGATACCCATTAGTAACAAATAGGCGTTATCTCCCCCCTTTGTTCCACAGTGTAAACTAACAGACCCCCTGGTTTTCAAAGCTTTAAGCCCCTCCTCTTTTGTGCGACAGTTTTTCTTTTCTTTTTCAGAGCACAAAAAAAAAAAGTGTGAGCACAAGCCCCCCAAATGAAAACAGTTTGTAAAATCACCATGGCACTTCATTCAAAAAGGGAGCTGTATGAACTGCATACGCCTGTCTGTACATCATCACTCTGTTTCAAACTGCAGTGCTGTTTTGGGTGTGTTTCCTCTTGTTTTTGTTCTTTTTTTGTTCTTTAGTCAGCATAGTGCATGATGGACTCGACGTAGTTTCCTGGGAAGAGTCCGGTGACGCCGTTACAGACGCCTTCGAACCAGCCGTCATCGTTTTTCTTGATGATGTAGATGATGGCGCCTTCCATAAAGGACAGCTCGTCCTCCTTGTCCTTGGTGTAGTCATAGATGGCTACCACTGGAAAAAGAAATTATTTCACAGAAAAATTAACCTTATGGAATCAAAAACTGAAGCTCAATGGGAGCAAAACTGTCTCGAGGTCACTCACCTTTCTCTAGATACACTTTAGGAGCCCAGTGGGGGTCCCCGTCAGAGTATGGATCACTATAATGGACCACTGCAGCCTCCTCTTCCTCATAGTCTACAGGTGGGGGAGGTGGAGGGGGAGAGGGCTCCTCAAACACACCAATGTCCTCTGGGGGAGGCGGAGGAGGTGGGGCGGGGCTGTCTGTTACTGAATAAAGACAGAGGACATAAGAGAGTGTCAATAAAATCATATGAGAAAGGAGGACGGTCGTATTTGCTCTCCTTATGTGTCTCTAAGGTCGGTCTTTAAAAACTTAAGATGCCGAAAAAACACTTCTTCTGAGCAAAATGAGATTATACTGAGCTCATACTTTTCTACACTTTTCTGCCTTTTGGCCAAATTATTCTTTTTTTGACAATCATTTACTTTGACACTGTTCAGACCTAAGCGGGCAGTAAATGCCAAAGTTTATGTGCACTGATTTAAATGTCCACTAGAAGGCAGCTTGGGGCCCTTTTTAACCTCACTACTTTCTGGACAGCAGTAGAATAAGTGGAACATTTCTTTAGTTAAAGTTCATAGTTCAGTCATATTTTCTCAACCTCTCCCAACCTGAAAGTCAAAATGATGTTTAGAAGTCTAATTCAAGCAAATGCTCTAGTTAGGAAATACTGTATTAATTCATTTGTTGGACCTAATTATACGAGTATTAAGTCTAAAATCCTGTCAGCAGCCATAAACTTTCATAACGTATTTTTAAGACCTTGAAATGAAGCCAAAGCTGTGCTTGCTAAACTTGAGGAGTCATAATGACATCTTTAATTAATGACCTGTTATTAGTTTTAGTTATTGTGCCTTCAGGGAATTTTAGAGCATATTAACTTCAACTATTGCCATCAGCCTGTCTCATTTTGGATTTGTCTGGACTGATACAAAGGCAAGTTTTGAGTAAACAAAAAATGTGACCTATAATTTGGCATTACATTTTTGTTCTGATGCTTTGTTTTGAGTGCTTAAAACTGTTTTAAGAATTTATGACAAACTATCAGAGTCTGGGCATGTTAATGAATGCAGAGATCATATTGGCATGTACACAGATGTTCACACCAATATCAAAAAAACTTAGAACAGCCCATAACTGCTTGATGTGTGTGTGTGTGTGTGTGTGTGTGTGTGTGTTCCCATAAGTATGAGGTGCTAAGGTGTGGCTCAGCATGTGACAAACAGTTAACTGACTGGTGTCACAGTCTTTGGTCTTTAAATGTTTGTGTTTGCGATGTGAGAGTCTTCATGAAAGCCCAGATGAAGCCTCTTATCCACTTTATTCACTCTCTTGAGTTAAACTGAGATAATGGACAAGATGACTCAATATAATGCAGCTGTTGAATCTAACCTACTTCCACGGGTCCAACAAGTGAGTCAAATTCCTTTAAAACATTAAGAGCTGAGATTACCTCACTCTAGAACTAAAGCTGTTTTGGCTTCAGACAGTCATCCCAATCATCTCTTTGAGGTCTGAAAAAACACAGCTCACATTTGGTGCGAGTATAAAGCCCTAACCCTCTTTAATGCGATATCCAGCTTGACCTTCCCCTGACTGAATCACAGTGGTGTGAAAGCACTGGTTATACCAAGAACAGCAAAGTGTGCACATGCTGAGTTCTCAGCCTTAATCCTTCACATGAATTTTTAATTTTCATTGAAAGAAATTCAGAATTTGCAACTTATGAATTTGCTGAGTGCTCATTATGGGAACAAAAAAATGTGTTTGATTGTGCGACCCTTTCCTCAGTCTTTTTTTGTCTTGTCATGTTGCTCATCAAAAGTAAAGTTTAATTCAACATTACAGTGGTGGTAAATGAATCTTGTTTTAATGGTTTGCCTTGTGCTGTGATATCGTTTCATCCCTTTTCTCTCTCATCTTTGCCTGCTCAGTCATCGATGACGTTGCTGGTCTAATCCCTGTTTCTGCTGCTGAAATTCTTAAATGCGTCTCTTCCTGTGTATTGGAGGAGCTCCACTGATAGAAGCAGCCTGTTCAGAGGGACAAAAGTACAATCTTTCCTGCTCATTATTGGCTGAACATCTTAAACCTGGTCTAATCTGTTATTTGTCTCATTGCATGACTCATCATTCGGTGCGACGGCAGCCTGCGTTTCGTTCGACCAGACAAACACAGACAGTTTGGATCTCTACGCAGCTGCATCTCGTCAGACAGGCGGGTGGGGAATCAGGACACGGCATCAGGTCACATTTTCTCCCTTCAGTGGACTGAAAGTGCTGGCTGCAAAGCTTTCTGTGATGTGATCCATCACCATGGCAACAGACAGACATTCTAGGGGCGTGTGCTCCCCTTCAACCCCGAATACAGTGAAAGAAAAGGTGTGCTGAGTGTGTGGACAGCAAAGAAGAAGAAATGTAAGGCAGCATGTGGATGATACAACAATTTCAGAGAACTAAGAGAATTCTGGTTAATAATGAAGTGAAATAGGAGCTTATTATTGCCATTTTAGTCTGTGCAAAGAATAATAATCACTTAAGATATAACTGAAAGGTTGTATTTTAAGTGATTAATGAGAGAAATGTCATCTTAAATATGAATTATAAGCTGTTGAACAACACTAAGACTCCAAATGAAATTCAATATTGAGATAGATATGGATTACATGAATGTGTTTTACGTGATGTAGAATTTGACCTCAGTTTTAATGAAGGCATCTTCAGTATGAGGTAAGATGATCTAGGACATGTCCCTTAATGTCTTCTCTGTTCAGGAAAATGTGACCTGACACATGGGGGTGTTATCACTTCAAGTATAATCCTTTATGTCTCCAGCAGTAAGTGAAATGTGATGTAAACACTTGAAATGAGCTCATTAAAGGTCTTCTGAAGTGGCTTATTTTTTAGTCATTTAGGGCTACTGTAAGGGACTTTATGTTTGTGTCAAATTTGGCGCCCCCTGTGGACAAAGAGGTCTTTGGATTTTTTAAATCTAATATCTTCTTATACTGTTCTCTGACCAAATTCTCATCTTTTTGATAATTGACGATCAAATTGATTATTATTATTTTATTTTTTAAAAACTACCCCCACCACCAGTTTCAGGTAACAAAATTTACCATATCACAATCATGTATCTTGCAATTGATGGTCTTAAATTCTTAAGTAGGTCACAAAAAGGCATTAGTCAAAGTCTTGAATATCAGATAAATCAAAGAACCCTGAAGTCCCTGATATTTTGTACAATGTGACGTGAAAACAGCTGTAACTGTTTCCCGCTTTCTGTGAATTATGACTCGAAGCTCAATCAGCAGAAGTAATTATGATAAATGCCATAATCACTGGGTCTATTTTTGTTGTTTTTAATGCTGACTCTGTTTGGCAGCTGACTGGATGGTGAAACATGCTCTTACATGGCACTGGTTGTTGTTTTACCTCCTACATAATAGTGCTTTAAAGAAAATTGTTGATCCTGTCAACGATTTATAAAGGTACGTAAATCAATGCATCCATCTTTTATGGTCCACATATGTGGGAGTGAAGGTAATGTGGAAAGTGTTTTATTCTTTTATGTTAAGAAGTACAAATAGGTGTTTTTTACTGTCTCATGAATGTATATCTGTTTATTAAAACATATGCGTACATTTCTGAACAGATTTCTACTTACTGCTCTCCTGCATTCTGGCCACAAAGCCGGTCAGAGGGATCTGTGGGGTCAGCTGCACCATTGGAGGGGGAGGTGGAGGAGCCACAGACACTGGAGCAGCAACACCCAGAGTGGCAGACAAAGCGGCAGACAAGCAGGCAGAGACAGAGAAGATGGACAGGGGGGAGAAAATGGTGACGTGAGAAGAGCAGAGAGAGATAATCGAGGAGATAAAGCCCAGATAGGAAAGGTAGAGAGAAGGGAAAAATAGGAGAAAAATAAAAACAAGAAGCTTGTGAGAGAGCGAAACAGTGCAGGAAGCTTGGCTGAGCAACTCATTTACACATTTCCAATCAAGGCTCTTTGTGCACTGTGTTTTTCAAGCTGAGCTAAAGAGGCGTTCATCTCATCTCGGTCTGAGAATCTACCTCATCAGCATCTGTTTTAAGTGGAAACAGCAAAGGACATAGCCAGCGAAAGGTTCCTGCCTCAGAGGAAGAGCTGCAAAGCAGCACAAAGACTACAGACATCACTGTGTGGACGTGAGAACACAACGCTGGCGTGTTCTTACAGGTAAAGCTGCAGCATCTGTTTCTGATCTGACAGGGATTTCTTTAAATGTTAAATTAATGAGGTCTGTCTGGATCAGGTGCAACATTTAGGTGCATCACTCCTTCACTGAAAGGCTGAGGAGTTTTAATTTTCCGAATTTCACGAATTTTTGGCAACATTTTATTTCAAAACAGCTAAATGGATGGACAAAAAAGAGAGAGCCCAGCTGTCCTCGCTCACAGACATGTCGTCACACAGGCTTATATCCACTGTGACTCATAAATCACATGTAATGGAGAGACGTCTGTACATTCACTCGGCAGTAATGTCTTATTATTCCACCCTGCTTCCACCGCAGAGCCGCATCTATCCACAGCTACACCCTCGGAGATCAATGAGCTCCCTCATGAACCAGCTCTTCCTCTTGTAAAACTTCTCTTACAGTCTCCAGAAATCCAAAACGGATCTTTCACTTTAATGAAATTTCACTAAGGAGACAGCAGCGAGATCATATGATGTCCCAGTTTGAGTCCCTGGTGGATGCAGCTCTACATGATTGTCTCAGCCGTCTCAGACAAGACAGACAGCCTCCTCCGCCTACACCGACGCACACGTTTGTCCTTTGAGGGAAAGCTATTAGAGGAGAATGGCTCCGAGTGATGCCTGCCAAAATAAATTCGACTCTTCTGAAAGAAAATATGCATATGTCCTGAGTTTCCCCTTGTCTCTCGGCAGTTTCTCACCGATTCCTGCCTGCCTGTCTCCTCCAGCTGACTGAGGCGATAATGTCATAACTCAATTAGTAATGTTAATGAAACAGAGCGCTCAGCAGTGCTGAGGTGGGGAGGTTTCAGCATCCCTGACTTCAGTAATTATGCCTCATCGCTCATTTTCATTAGTCTCTGGAAGGCCTGGCTCCTGCGTATCTCTCAGACCCAGAGGACGAGTTTTAGCAGTTTAACATAATTATGGATTATGAGAACAAAAACTGACAAGTGCTGAGGACGGACGGTACAATAATGATAATAAATTTATCGAAGATTAGCCAAAATGCAAATGCAAGTTTGCTCATTTGTACTATTTCTACACTGACCGTTTAAAAAAAAAACTGCCCAACTCAAACAGCAGAAACATTACTGATGAATAAACTGATTCTGTGTTACCTGAGTTCTGTTGGTAGGCAGGGCCTCCGTTAATGTGGGGCTGCTGGGAGGACACAGAGGGTGCACGGCGATAGGTGCCAGTGGCAGACACCATTGACGCTGAAGAGGTGGTGGAGGAGTTGTGACGAGAGATCTGTCGGGAGATGGTGCCAAACTGGGACATTGGAATGGGGCCCAAGCCAGGGCCCTGAGGCACTGAGGCCGAGGACGTGGCCACTGCAAGAGATATGAGAGAGCCATGAAGCCTAACCCTGATGAATCACCTTGTTTTTTTCCCCCTAAATCAATCCTTGTTTACAGGCTGTGTATAAAAATGCAGAATCCGTGGGCAGGAGCCTGGAGTAATATTGATCTACTCAAATCAGCTGACTTCGGAGTATGCAGGAAAAATAGTCGGTGTAGAGCACAGAGGCAGGTGGAACATTTTATCCTAACAACATCCTGGTTCTGATCACTGCTAATCCAGCAACTATTTGTTATCTCTGCAAACAGATACCGTCATGGAAGTGACAATCTGCTAAACAATCTGGGTCTAAACCTTCAACTTCTGACAACTCTGCTGTGTGTTGTGTCAAGACAGTCAGTCAGCATTTCAATTTTTAGACTTCCTGCAATGAATGAATGAATAACGGGGATCCGTTTGGGGATCCCCATCAGAGTGTTTGTATTGTATGCCCAAGAAATGATCAATCCAGCCTCAAGTCCTCCTACAACAAACCTGAAGGAGCTTTTTATTTTTATGTCTTACAAAAATGCATCAGAAGTTTGTTATTTTGGAAAACTGCAGACCCACTGACTGCAAGGAGAAGGGTTTTTTTTAAGTGAGATTGTAATTTCTTAATATGAAGTAGATGAATATGAATACAAAGAACTTTAGTTAAACATGTATCCTAAGTTTACATGTGAAGAAGGAAAAATAGGATGCTGCTTTTGGTTGAAAATATTCATTTGAGATGGAAGCACTAGGACAACACTGTGGTTGGACTTATGGGCAACAGATAAAAAATATAAAAACTGTACAGTGTAATTCTTTTTATCTGAAACCAGTCATTATCTCTGTAAATCTGTCAGATTTCCCTGTTTTTCTCTCAGCCAGGGTAAAGTTTTTTTTCTGTGCAGCAGATTTTTAAGGTACAGTGTGCAGAAACATATAGCAGTGAATGTCTGGATTGAAATGCTGCTCACCCCTTCTGTCTGTGAAGTCATGGTGGCGTTTGAGGACAAGAAGCTCTTGTGATGCATGATAAGTATGATCCTCCTTTGATCAAGCTTTGTACTGTTAAAAACCTCGATTGATTTAAAAAAAAAATGCATGACATCAACTGCTCTTGTCTTTTCAAATTAAGTTCACACGGGGTAAAGTATGTCTGCCACTGCAGAAACGTAGGGACACATGACCATATGTAGATATGAGAGGCTTGTTTCAAATGAAGGAAACAGAAGAATTTTTAAAATCAGAATATTATTCACTAATTCAATTACACTAATAAATATGACTTTCAAATGACTTCCACTGCCTCAGCAATGGGGCAGTTTCTGTGCTGAAGTGTAGCCCTTCTAGTAACATCTGTTATCACCACCCTGCCTGCTACAGTTGTCGAGCTCAGCCTACAGCATTGTTGTTATCTGGACAGACAAATCACCAAGAGTAGTGCCATTCATGTCTCGTGGTCAATCACTACAAGGTATACACCAGTTTTTGGTCAATGTATAAATAATGATCTATGGAGGGAGACAAGCATTGAAATGTGGTGCGTGTCGACTAGTCTGCAGTGAAAGTCTGCTAAAAAGCATGAAAAGAACATCTTAAACACCAGAGTTTACAGTGCTTTATGTGCGTTTGAACAAAACAGTTACAAACAGATGATAAAAATACATCTTCACATTGTTTTCAAGTACAGACACTAGTATAAACCCATCGTAACCATGTGTCTTTGTGTTGATGTTAAAAACATAAAAGGGCTTTAATAAAAGTATTTTTTAGTTATGGTGTTATCATCCAGAGTAATTGTTATATTCCAGTCCTTTTAATCTAACCTGATAAAAGCCATTTTAAGTGGTCACGCTATTTAAATGAGAGAAACTGTGCCGGATATATCAGACAAGTGAGATCCAGAGACTTGAGAGCTTCAAATATTCAACACTGTAAACAGCAGCGATGTCCTGCTGTGGACACCTGTGACGGGTTTCACCTGTGAAAGGTTACAGCTGCTGAGACTCACCTTGCCCCATACTGGGAGGAGAGGGGGTGGGAACTGCCAGTGGGACTCCAACAGCACTGCCTCCGCTGTTCTCCCTGCCGCCGCTCCCCCCACTGCTGCCACTGCAGAAAAACACACGTACACAGAGATCATTAGAGGATGTGGGAGACAGTCCTAATTACATGACAGCATCTGACATCCCATCATTACTCAGTCATATGTCATTCAGTAGAACAATATCCCCCCCATCACCGTGGCGACAGATTCACAGCCTTGTGAATATGCTGAGTGTTCACACATGAGCACTGGGCACAAATCTGACGGCACACTGATACATTTGCTGTGAACAAAAACAATCCAAGAGCCAAGGTTTTGTTTTTTTTTAGGATTTAGGATGGAGAGCCACGTTCACTCTCAGACGCTCTGACTGAAAACTAATTAGATTCTGAACATGAATAAATTATTACTGCTTAAAATGAAAATTAAAACATTAGTTTAGCCATCAGAAAAAGACCGATAAGAGATAAAGAGGGACAGCTTTGGCAAACGTGGTCTTTGTTAAGCAGAGATTCATGGGAAATATGGACTTCATTTTACAAATACACACTTGAATACTGATGTGGTTCTTTGTTTTGGGGGAACAGGTAAAATGGATTTTCTCCTCTGTAATAAAACAATGACTATGATTATCAGGCGCTTAACTGAATAATAGGCTTTTTAATTCATTCAGGCTGAAGAGGACTCACATCTTTGTCCTGCTGTGCTGTTATAAATTTTATTAACTAGAAGAAGAAAAAAAGGCTTTGAGTGGGTTAAAACACACGATTAAACACTCTCAACTGTGTTAGCCTTTGAGTTGAAGAAATTATGACTCTGATTATGGGACACTGTTAATTTTATAGTCCCTCTCACAGAAATACGATGAGAAGAGTCAATCACTTCGCAAAGTTCTTGACTCGTCTACACAAATCACAAAGCTGTCCAAACACTGAAGATATTCAGTTTTGTTCCCGAGGAGAGATGGTCTGTGTTACCTGTGTGTCCGGGGCCTCTGGTTGAGCGAGGCTGTGCGTGCAGGGCTGTGCTGGCTGCCCAGCCGAGCCGGGCTCGTCATGTAGTCATTGGGCACCACAGGAGGCTTCACTGGCTCCAGAGTCTTGTAGGGAGTGTTACGCCTGGATATAGAGAAGCAACACAAAGACAGTACATTTAAGCCTCCGTTTTTATCATTTAGAAAAGATTTAAGAATAATAACATTATGAAATCATTTAGCGACTCGAATTTCTTCTGCGAGTGCTCACCCGAGGGTACCACGACCGGCCATGGGGGGGCTTGGAGGTTTCTGTGTAGGCGGGTTGGTCCTGGAAATCGTGCCTCCTCGTCCTGCTGCATTGTTCCCATGTTGCTAGAGGAGTAGAGACAAGTTAGAAGGTGAACTTTGTATAATTTGTTGGCTTATGATCATGTTTACAAGCCAGTAACCTACATGTAAAAGGAACCCAGTCTGCAATAGGTGTACAGATAAAGACATACAGGGCTCAGATATGTCCAAAAAAATGGCTTTGAGTCGCCTTTCATGAGTATCCTACACTGATGGTAACAAATGCATTGAGTTGAACCTGTTATTTACTGTTAAAGTGCAAATGTATATAAATTACCACATTGTGTCTGCTTTTACAAATTAAAAAAAGCTTCATGTAGACCTTGGATGATTTGGATTTTTATTCAAAAAGGACAAAAAGAGGAGAAGACATTCATGACTTACCTTGGCCTTAAGCCACTGAGTGCAAGCAGGCAAAAAGAGAAGACAGAATTAAAGACAGCTGAACAAGTAGGACGGGTGGAAGCAAGTGAAATAATGGACCCTTAATGTAACATTCATTTATACGTTTGAGGAGCATCAGAAAGACAGAAGAAAGGACAGAGGGAGTGAATAGCTACAAAGTGACACTAATGAGAGGCCTTATATCTGTGTTTAAGACCATTTCCTGCATCACAGAGAGTTCAGATGTAATTACATTTCAGACGGTCCTTCCTTTAATGTTTAATGAATGCTGAATATACAATCAAAGTAATGTGTTTACATTTATCTGGTTAACTCATGACTGACTACATTACCAGCATAATTACAGCTCTGTAAATGAAGCCATGAATCACACACTTTATGTTTATGAGATTGCCATTTCATGTAGGTTTGATCCTTTTAGTTTATTAAATGTCATATAAAACAGAACGCTGTGGTAAAATGTCACTTTGAAAGATTTATTCAAAGTGCTTTTTTGTTAAACCAGCAGCCTGACACCCACAAAGCCCAGATGAAGTAGGGAGGAACAGAAAGGAAAGCAGAGAGTGGTGATTTGGCTCTAAAAATGTTAGTTAATATCATTTCAAACAACTTGACTAACCAAACAGTCATTTTAGAGCCGTATGAAAGTCAAACTATCTGGTGTTATTTTCTCTGTAACACTTGTGAAAGTGTTTAACAATTTTGCTGTCGGCTCTGTACATTTACATTCAGAAACCTGCTAGCAAACGAAACCCACAACAAACAACCCAATTTGGTTTTTTTCATAACGCACAGGAAGAAATGACTTCCTTTTGTTCCCTTTTGTGAGCTGAAAATAAAAAATGAAATCCCCACTCTAGTCTTTATCAAATATACATTGTGAAAATTCTCCTCAGCCCAGATTGTTTGTATGTAGGTCTTTTCTCTGTGCTGCAGTGTCTAGACGAGTAAGAGAAACCCTTGGACTGGCAGATGCATCAGAAATAATGAGAAGTGCCTGAGCTACATGTGTGCGGGCGCTCTAAGTGCTGCACTAACACAAAATAAAACAGGGCCGTAAAGCAGGATGAGGTCATAAATAACAGCAAAGAGGGGTCGGGACTGACCGAGTGGCTGAAACTATGTCGCCCTGGTTACTGGCAGTAATGCTAATAAAAGGCTGTAATGGTGGAGGGGGCGAGCACAGTCATCCGTAAATGTGTGAATGGGTCTGTCCCTGCTCCACTCTGACTTCACATCTGTCCATGGGTGAGTTCCTCTGCTTATGTGCATCAGAGGTGGAGGGGAGATGAGCACGCCTTCAGTGCATGATGTAGTTCACTACAGCCAGGAGCAAATTAGGCTGCAAGGACTGAGCTCCAGTGAGCACTAGGGCTGTAGTCAACCAAAGAAATTCTTGGTTGACTAAAACCCTGAAATTTTCAGCCAAAAATTGACTAATCAGAGGGGGATTTCCGACTCTGACTGCAAACCCTTCTGTGGCGGGGGAACGGCGCGGTGCGGCAGAGTGCAGCTTGGCGGGGTGAAAATACACTAATATCAGCACAAGAAGGCAACTTAACACAAAAGGCTAAAATATAAATAATCAGCAAACCACTAGACATCTATAAACATGGACTAGTGTTGTGCCGTTCATAAACGTTTCATTCAAAAGAATGGAACTGCCGAGTGAGCGACGTGAATGGAATCACTCTGAGACCTGATTCGTTCCTTTCTCAGTTCAGTTGAGCTCAGCCGCAAGCCTGATATGCCGGTGGGGAGTGGAATTACCACCTTTGACTCTTTGACGACACACAGCCAGCGAGCAGGCGGGCGGGCGGAGTCTTGTGATTTGCTCACAGCGAATGAGCGATATGTATCAGTCAGTCTGTGAATGAAACAAATGACTTCCGAATGACTTGATGCAGGCAGAGGAGGGAGGGGTGTAGCCTCGTTCACGAACTGCCAAACACTGGTTCATTCACTGAGGCTAAGATAAAAACAGTGCATTATAGTGCCTTTGCATTAATACATATGTATAAACTTTCCTGCAAGAAGGATTTAATTTCAGCTGATTTAAAGCAATACGGTATTTCATATCTTTTAAAGTAGCAGAATCTCCGATACAGCTGCCATGTTTATTTATTTCTAATCTCTCCACATTTCGTTTAGCACTCGTCTAAGGCGTGCTGCTTGCAGCTGTGTTGTCTTCGCTGACAGCGATACACAGAGAGGTGAGTTTTTTAGGGCAGGGGAGTGATTCTTTCTTCACGACTTGGCGAATGAACGACATGTGTCACCGAGTGAACAAAACAGTGACTTCAGCGGCAGGGGAGGGGAGGGGCTCGTTCAATGAATGAACTCGCCGCTGTGTCACTCAGTCGTGTACTGCACCAGCAGGATGGGGCTCCGAAGCACTGACTGATTTAAGTGAACGAATCGTTTTAATGAATGGATTCTAAAGATTCAGTTCAGTCAAAAGAACTGTTCTTCCCATCACTAACGTGGACGCTCTTCAATCTTCCTCCCTCCAGTTGGTCTCCAGTGGGTTGGATGAATCCGAAATGGTGAAAACAAGGGGGGTGTTTTGAGACAGGCTGTTACCTGTGAAACGAGGGTGCTCTGAAAACACCCCCATTAGCACTTGGTACGTTCCTCCTGATGAAATTAATCACAGACTGTAAAAAATCGAGTCGACCTATCAGAATTTTGGTCAACTAAGCACGTATCGACCAATAAGTCGACCAGTCGACGAGTTCTCCACAGCCCTAGTGAGCACCAACACCACATGAACATGTGTGAAATCATTAAAGCAAATACACATGCATTAGAGGACCTCAATAATCACTGCTTTGTGAATGTTGTGTCTGCTGAAGCTTTGAGTAGAAAATGATCTCGGCCCTTCTGAATTATTCACAAACATGTGCGAGAGAGGGAGGCTTTGGCAGAAAGATATGGAATGTGATATGCATTTTCACTCTGCACCAAGCCAGACAAGTGCAGGACCATCCATGAACAAAAACACACACACGGAGCCAGACAGAAATCTGAGAGAATTTCTAATGAACCACGAGTCAAGAATCTACCTCTTACTAAAATCTCTGCTTTTCTAAGAATACTATCTAACCTAAAACAGCATAACAACACATGATCGAATTGTGCTCCCCAAATGTAGACTCCCGAAATGAGTCGGTCTTTTACACAAATCTGACTCATGCTTGTTAAAATGTTTTCAGTATAAGCTTCAACTTTCCAATGTAGGTGGACTTGAATAGGAAAAGAGGTTGCACTGATTTTTTTCCCTGCATCATCCTCTCTGATCTTCACTGATTCCTGCAGAGATCCATCATTCGTAGCGCCCATGAATGATGCTTCATTTGCATAGCAGGCCATGCCAAAAATCTGCCTCAGTGTGAGCCAGCTCTCAGAAGAGGAAACCGTGGCATTTTGAATTTGAATCAGCGGATGTTTGAAAATCAGCAGACAGCCGATATCTTAACGGAGACAGACGGGGATGAAGAGGCCGACGCGAATGCGCTGGTGTCACACACATTTCTGCTGCAATCAATGCACAAAACCGTGTGTGAGGCAGAGGAGGAGAGGAGGGGAGGTGGCGGATGGATCATGTGGAGAGGGAGAATAAAACATTAAAAGAAAATAGGAAAAGTGATGAAGAGTATTTTGCCACCTATCAATCATGGGGCGTGACAGCGTGGGTAGCACTTGGCCAAGACGTGTCTCTCTTGCTCACACTTTTCATTAACAGTACCTCCCGTTTAGCGAGTTGTTACTGTGCACGAACAAAACATCTGTCAAGTAAAGCTTTTTTTGGTCTGATCATCGTTTTTCTACGAGTGTTACATGTGTCGGTGTTTCTGTACTTCATTAACTAAAAGCCCTGCGTATTGATCACCTCTAAGTGTTAGTGGATGTGTGCTGAAGTGATTTATAGAAGCAGACAGCTACTGTGTTCACATGAGGGTACAAGGTATGAACTCCACTAAGGGCGTGTTTTGCTGTCCAGCCAAATTGATCAACTCTAAAAATCCTGTCGAGATATCTGAGTAATGACTTTGGGATTTAGCTGCAACAGTCTGGTTGTGGTGGAGCCTGAATAGAGAGGAAATGCTTTTTAAGAAGGTTTTCATATGAACACATAAAGTTAATTTGTCTTTAAGTAAGTCTGTTTTTCATAAAATTATGTGTGCTTTTATTGGGTATATTTCTTACTTTGACGCCGTGCCCCACATCATCCAGCAGCGTGTAGTCAATAGGCTTTCGGATGTAGCGCACCGGTCGTTCCATGTTGCCGGGGGCGATGATCTTATGAGTACGGGAGGTGTTCTTGTTTGTGGTCAGGATGCCGATTTCTCGACGTGCCACTTTCTCCTTGTGAATATCCACAGTCTGCAGGGGAGAGAAATGAAGAGGAGAGTGAGTGGTGGGAATAAAAGAGGGTCACAACACTTTAAATGTTTCCTCTTAAGCTTAAAAGCTGCCCTTATTTTTGACAGACTTTCACTTAAGTCAAAATAGAACCTCTTACTTCTCCTGTTTCACAAAGAGATTGGGTTATATTTTACTAAGAGCCTTCACCAGGGTCTATTACAGTTTATTGTCTTGAATGCAAACTTGACACTCCCTCCATTTGCTCGATCTAAAAACATGCAAGAAGCTCAGTGTGAATGATCACCTTCCTTTCCTTGTCTGATGGAAATCTACCATCAAATACCTGCAACAAGTGTTTCATTTCCTAAGGTTGGCTTAACAGTATACTGCTGAAGCATTTAATGTCTTAAAGCCCATCTCAAAGTATTCAAATAGTTGCAGCAGGAAAAATGCAACATTGTAAAAATGTAGGTGATTAACATCGAGGGGTTCCTCATGGCTTTGTCTGAGGACCTCTTTCATTTCATTTCTTCACCTTTTAACATATTCAATTTCATTACAAATTCATTATTACTCTATTTAGTTTGATTTTAACCTTTTTTACAACTGTTGTTCAGGGTCACTTCAGGATGAGCATTCACCTGAAAATGCACAAGTACATTTTTATCAGCCTGTGAAAGGCAAAACTATAGTTTATACATGCAAGCAAAGCCTTGACATTACTATCTTGACTTTTTCAGCTCATGTTTTGGGATTTTTTTTATTTCCTGTGGATCCCCATCAGTTATTGTTGCAGTAAGAACTTTTCATTTGAGGAGTTCATGTTCATACACATGAGTAAAAAAAAAAACAAAAAAAAAAACAAGTAAATCAACAAAAGAAGTTCTTACAGGTAGAGCTATTATAGCATCAATTTTTCCTCCTCACAACTGATTATCAAATGAACTGAATGAATAATCGATTGAATTAATTAAGGTAAGATTGTTCTCGATTTTGTCATACTCTTGTCCTTGTGCACCAGTAAAATGTGACATGCAACTGGTGCATGTGACGGTTGTGACATGTGATCTGAAAGCACTTTGAGTGGTCAGAAGACAAGAGAAAACGCTATATAAACATACTAAATTCATCACTTATAAACTGGGACTGTTTAAATAAAGACAGTTTGATTAATTGATCATCTATAACATTTTTGTTAGCAAAACCCACGAGCTCCAAGACTGGCATGGATGTGGGTGTCATCTTTCTGAAATGATTTTCACTACACTAGAAGCTGCACACTTTTGTTTAGACTATCTAGCTAGTCGGTTACTGAGTCTTTTTCTCCCACTTCTGTTTCATCTTTTTTATATATATTTTATGAAAAATGACAACAAGCAAAACAAAACACTTATGTCCTCCTCTATGATCCAGCTGCTTACATGGTCTTTCCATATGCATATTTCTGGCACAAGATCTATATTTAAGTTAAGATCAATACCAGTGTATCACTGGAGTCCTATTTTCTTTTCAAGAACGCCTACAGATGATGGTAGTTGGTTTTCAATATGCACATATGACATCTTATTTAAAGCCCAAACTCACTCCATTCTTGTAACACCATTTCTTTACTATTGTTGTTTTTAATGACTGGTTTTATTTATTGACTAAGTTAAGTGTAGTGTCAGCTTATTCCAGTACAATATGACCTAAAACATGACAGCACTCTTAAAAATACTGGATCTAGAAAGAGCTAATGTGAAGCACCCGAGACAGGCAGGTGAAATAAGAATCCACAACCACTCAAAGCACCAATATTGACACTCAAGCATGTTTTTCGGTAAATGTCTCTCTTATTTCCAAACCCTCGGGCCTCGCTGAACTCCTATTGACCCACTATGATGCTCTATTGGCCTGCACCCCAGGGCCCATTTGACGAAGCGCCCCTTCAACCCCTTTCACCAGAAGTGATCGTAAACAACTGTGACCTCCATCTCCGCTGGGATTACAGTCATCATTGCTCACAGCACCCATCCACAGTGGGCGCTTTACGTACAAGCTTTCAGTTTATGAATGATGAATGACACTGGCAGGAGGAGGGAGGCTGATGTGGTTGTCTGTGAAGGTATGGGGGAGGATGGACGGCTTCATTTCTGGAATACCAGCTCAGGTATGAAAGATGAAAGCTGGGTGAAAATGAGGCTTAGACGAGACGTATTCGAATCTATGTCTGTATTTCTAGATGAGCTACAGCCTACCGGATTTTAGAAGAGACTTATCTGAAATGAAAATGACAAGTCTGGGTGTGTGTGTGTGGATGTGTGTGCATGCACGGCTACAAAGTCACGCATCCATCACCAGCTCAACAGCTCACCCAGTCAACCCTGCAGCTCCTCTGCTGCGGCAGCTTCTCTCTCTGAGTGAACTGAGAGGTCAAAAGTCTGAAAGGTGTGACCCAGAGACTGCCACTCCCTCCTAAAAACTCTGTGACTGTCTGATGTGTAGTCTGGTAGCTGCATGTGAGATATATTTAGAGAGCAAGCTGGAGAGGAAACTGAAGCGACACGCCCCGGCTTCAGCTGGGAAGTTCGAAAGAAAGACACCACCTATTTCCTGCAAGTGATAGCTGAGCAGAGGTGGAGCGCAGATTAGAGAAACTGAGAACAACAGATTCAGAGACACAGCTATAAGACGGGGTTGAAAGGGATAGAGAGAGGAAACGCTGCATGTTAAACTAGAAGCAGATTCTTACATTTCTTAGGAAAGGAATGGAGGAGAGAGCAGACATTTTGAAGTAAACTGAACATTTTAGGACTCATAATTTATGCTGCGTTTCCTCCATATACTTGAAAAAACTACAATCTAAGTGAGTGTTTTTGTCTTATTTCTGATGAAAAAATGCCTTTGTGGCCAAAATTTGAGCCAAATTCACCTAACAAACAACACAAATGTATTACTTTGAGGTATTATGTGCCAGAATTCAGACTTGGATTGCTTGTAATGAGTAAACCTTTTCTTTTTAAAACTCTTGAAATAAGAGAAAAAGTTTTATTTCAAGAACCTGACAAGTACATTTTTTCTTTTTTACTCATGACAAGTGATTCAGGTCTTATTTTTGGCACCTATTATCTCGGACTAAGACATTCTTTTGGACTCGTGGGGTGAATGAGGCTTCAATCAAGCCTAATAGGATACTTTTACTGGAAGTAAGACAAAAACACCCGCTAAGATTTGGGTTTTTGCAGTGCATCTGTGCTGTAGTATCACTCAAGAAACACTTAAAATAGTACATCATAACTGCAGATATACACTGCACTCCGTCAGCTTTATTTCAGCATTCCTCTATACAAGTGCAGAACTGCAAATACAGTAAACAGTTCACTGTGAGCATGTCTGGATGTTTCTCTAACAGACCTCTGTCTGCTCTTCCTGAACGCTCTCGATCTCATTTTCTGTGTAATCTCATTATTAAACATCTGTCTGTCTCTCTGTCTGTGTGTCTGCTCAACCTCAGCTGTGTGTGTCTGAGAGCAGATGAAGCAGCTGCAGCTTCACTGCTGTATTTTGTTGGTGCGTTCTGCCTCATTCATCAGCATTCAGCTATGATTATCCCCCCAGCAGTACAGTGGAACATGTTTTTCCTTCAGTCAAAGTAGAACTGGCAGGAGGTCACTATGATGTAGTCTGTACTGAGATTCAAAGGCGTGTCAGCAGATGTGTGACTTCATATAAAATGACCTCATTAATGACTTAGTAACAACAAAAACAAACTCTAGAGTAGAAATGTTCATATCTGTGTCTGAATTTACACTCACACATACACTCATTTATTTTTAATACCCTCCGTTTGTCTGAAGAGGATGTCACTAATTGAAAAGGACACACATGTGGGTCGTTCATGATAACTGACATCGTCTGATACAAAGGGAACAGATGAATCAGATGGTGAACTGGCATGTGGTAAGAAATGAGGAAATGGAAAAGAGCAGCAAAGAGACTCATGGGAAGCTCTTTAATGTTTGGATCACAACAGAAGCCCTCACACTCGCTGCACTTTTGAACTGCAAATACACACATATGCAAAGCTGCACCAGCTTCGCTTTGATAAAACACACTGTTGTTTTCCATTTTGGAAACCAGCGTTTCTTGTACAATTTTGTGACAGCCTCCTCTGCTGTGGGCTTTTTAATCCTGCAGAGATGGGCCATGGATTTGGCAGCAGTGTCTGGCTACCTTCTCCCTCTGTAATCCCATTTTAACTCTTTCTAGCCCAGACAATTTGCACAGTTCAAGCCAGAAAAAAGTTGGCAAGAACAAAGCAAGTGACAATTTAATTTCTTGGACACATCACCATCAGGTTGATGAATGGAGCCCTGTGGACATGCTGTACCTGTGAAGATGCGTGTTAGAGTGAATTAACTTTTTGAGGAGCATCCAAACGATCTGTGTCTGAGATATCAGCTTAGAGAGAGGTGCTTTGGCAACACAGACCACCATGTAATGATACTTTCTACCCTGTATTATATGTCTATCAGATGGCTCTATAATGAGCCTCTATGTCTATTTGACATAGAGAAAAGAGAGCTGTTTTGGTAACAATACATGACGATGACTTTAGTTCCTGTCCTAATAAGAATTGTTTGTTCTGAAGTTCCTGAAATAAAGAAATAAAATAAACCAAACCCTCAACTTCTTGACTTTTAGAGTGCTCTTATCTACTGCATAGAGGATCCCTACTTTCTGAAACTGATTTCACAAACATGTCTTGATGAAAGTTTAAGTAATAAGATAACTCAACAGTAGGCCTGTCACGATAACAAATTTTGCTGGACGATAATTGTGCTACAAATTATCGCCGATAAACGATATTATTGACACCATTTTTTAAATTATAGATAATGATATTATATGGCATAATAATGCGAGTACACCGTGTCAAAAGTGATAAACTTTAATTTCCACACGAGAACAACACTGGTTGTTTTCGTAGACTAAAATATTTCCCTTTTCTCCCACGACGAAGACGTAACGTTGACGAGCTAAACATAAGTCGGAGATGACTAAAATGTGACGAGACGAAAGTGCGTTTACGTTGATGGGACGAGACGAAAATGACGAACAGAGTTGCAAAACTCAGTCAGTTAAACGCTAAACATATAGGAGCAGCTTCAGTCCGCTCTGACAGCTCTCATCAGCCTGCTGTGCTCCTCCAACACACAGACACACACGCACGCGCGCGCGCGCACACACACACGAGTTTTGTGGTTGACGAAAACAAAACTGGTTTAAAGCCGAAATATTCCCACACTTGGGCTGTTGCGTTCGGTTTAGACACCAAAGCTGTCGTGTTCATTCTGTTAGCTTGCTTTTCACTCACGACGCGCACTTGCAGCACTGTATCCAAAAAGTCTGTGTCTGTGTGCTTGTGCGCGCCAGCCCCCTCGTGACAAAGATACTGAATGACTGACAGGAGGGTTCACTAACTCCGTTCATTCCGCTATAGAGCCAACGCCCCCAGGTGCCGAGAACAATGCGCAGAGTGAGACCTCTTCTCTCATCCAGCGTGTTTGGTAGCGAGAGAGGAGGAAAACAAACGCACGTCAATTATCGAGGCTGGCAAAGTTATCGACCTCGTTTTTATTTATCGAGCGATAAGGCGATTTATTGATTATCGCGACAGGCCTACTCAACAGTCAAAAATTGTTCCTGATTGAATGATCATTACAGTCAGTTTGCTAATATGGTTCTTGCTTTGTGCAAACAGGCTGCACTGGTGCACTCAGTGTGGACATAGTTGATATTGTTCTGTTGTTTAAATGTTACTGTTGCTACTCAAGTTAAATGTCGAGTCAGCTGATGAAAGTCTCTCTAATTGACTGATTATTTGTTAGCTGAATCAGTGATTCTACAACAGGTTTCTTTTTTTTCAGGTCAACACACCATCAGAAACACTTACTCCAGCCTTCATGTGTCACATTTTAAATTAATAAATGTAAATGACTGGGTTCTAGGCCTACTGGCCGTAAGTCATGCATTAATTAGGGATGTCCTGATACAATATTGATATCGGTATCAATATGGGTCCGATATTGATACCGGACCCATATTGATATTGGATATCGGTCCAAAAATATTAAATTATATCAGACTGCATCTAGAATCTCCGATATCAGCACTCTGATACAAGCAGTCCATTCCAGATTCCACTCCAGCACCTCACCAGCACCCAGATCCAGCATGCAGAGCCCACGTAATCACAACAATAGTGTGTACTAAGGTACTAAGGTACTAACAAAGTAGCAAGGAGTAGGAGTGATGTCGGCTGTGTGGCAGTATTTTTTGTTTGAGTCCGAAAAAGACGTTCCAGCTTAGTGCAAAAACTAGATCCAAATCAGATCAATATCGGTATTGGCCAATACTGAAGGCTACAATATTGGAATTGTGTCAGAAGTAAAAGTAGTATCAGGACACCCCTAGTATTGATAAAGCAAACTGGTATCTTGGTGTTTCAACAGGGATTCACAACATTATTGACATATCTGTTTTGGCAAATTCCAGCTTACAGAACATCTGTGTCAGCATGTATAAAAATATAATTTCTGTGAGGTTTTTAACCAACAAAGCGAGGCATTAACTGAGTGCACATGATGGCAACTTGCTTGCTTCAACGTGTCAGCTGCATTATTATTATTATGAAGTGATAGAAACTGACAACAAAATAGCTCTTTGCAAAGCTAATGAAGCACAGACGAGCAAAACAAGCCTCCTTTAACACTGCCAGTTTACCTGTTCATCTCAAGAACCATCATCTTACACATCACCAATAATTTGTGAAAAGCAAGAGCAAAAAAGTGTCAGTGAAAACCTGTCAGTTGCTTCTACTCCAGTTCTTTACCAGAGCTAAGAAATCAAGCAGCAAGAAACCATTAAAAGGTAAAGGAGCTGAAGAGAAATATTCCTTTCAGGTGTGGTGGAAGACGGCGGCTTTACAGGCTAATGATGTCCTTGGAGCCACACTGTGCTGTGTCCAACTGGTGTTACTTCTCACCTGAACTGCAACGCTTTGTCTTCAGCCACATAAAGAAGCTCCCAGCTTGTATCAGCTTCACTGCTGACAGACACACATCAAGTGTAAGTCCTGAAAATTTGTTGAGCCTCACTGCCTGGTAAATTGATGACTGTAATCAATGATAAATCTTCATTTTTTTAATCACTAAATACTTGTACTTAAAAAGAGTGACATTGATCATTTACAGGAAAATCAGGTTTTGATTGTTAGTTTTCTGTTTCTAAACCAAATAGACTATTACATGAAAAGTAACTGGTAAATTCAAGAATGGGAGAGACATTTAAAAATTAAAAAAAAAAGAAAATACTGGCATACTTGTTTACCTGCAAAATCCCGTTATATAGACCCTATCATTTAAAGTCGTCATCAGTAAAGTGGATGAAAAACGACATTTTTAAGCTACTGTAAAAGATCTTTAGGTTTGTGTTCATTGTGGCGCCCCCTGTGGACAAATCAGTCTCTGCTTATCCTTTCTTCTACATGCTTTATTGTAGTCGTGTCTTCTAACCAAAAATCCCATTGTGCTGACTTCTGACCCTCAAATATATGTGCAGTTTTCCAGTGCATATTTTTAGTATGAGTCATAAAAATGGGGCTGTTTCTTCAACAGCTCAACAGACACCTTCCTCCACCGGGGGCATTAAAACATACTTTATAAAAACCAAAGATCAAGTTGCTGATGGTCTGGTTTGCTTTTGGGTATTTTAAAAAGGCATCAATATAAATTTGAGTCTATTTCCTAAACATCAAAAAAAAAACTCCTTCAAGAGCTTTGAGCGAAACTACTTTGTCTTGTTTTTACCTGCTTGAAAAATAAGCCCCTATTTGTTTGTGAGAGGGGGTTACCTCTGCTGGAATTTGACCCCCTGGTAAAAACCTTGTCAACAATCCAGGCTCCTAAAAGCCTACAGCCTGCCATGCTGTTACTCTGACAATATTAAATGTGATGATGCAGCTTGAAATTAAAGGTATATGCATTCATCCCAACAGAATATGTTTTAATCACAGAGTTTTAGAGGGCAACCAACTAAAGCTCTGGAGCTTTTGTATCTAAAGAAGGAGAATTAAAGGAAAGCAAGATTAGACTGTCACTGACCATCTCTTCAGGATCAATAATCAACTTTGTAAATCTGTAACAGACTGCATCAAACTCTCTTGGGTTCTGGAGCCTATGGAGTTCACCACCAGCTGAATATGTGAACAGGGCAAAAGAGCTGGCGTCAGGATTTCACTTCATCCCTGACAGGCTTAATGAAGCTCACAGGGAGGGGACGACCGGGGACATTCACAGGCTGACAGGCAGCGAGGCCACATGAACCGCACAGAGAGGGAATGAGAGATAGAGAAGAGAGGACTGCTGATGAAGCAAGAGAGGAGAGGGGCTGTGGAGGTTTGGCAGCTCCAGCATGATCCATGCTCCCTGTGCCATATCTGTCTGTCTGTATAATGTGTCAATGTGTCAGTGTGCACAGTGACACAGAATAACATCAGCAGGTTCTGGTCTGCACTTTAAAAATAAATCTGCGAATCCTCATAACTACACTTTGAATCCATTATCACGCCTCTTCTTAAAGGATGGCAGCATTTTGTAAACGGGAACACCCCTACTCAGACCCCCCTCATTCCCATAGGCCATCAACATCATCGCTGTTATATTAACAAAATAAAAGAACATGACAATTATCAGTCGGCTGCTCTGAGTTTCCCCTCAACAGATTTATTGTTCTCTCTGATTTATTAAATTGCTCACTTTGAGTTACTCGCCTAAAGCTACATGACTACTGTTGCAAAAACTCATAAAAGCTGCAGATGTTTAACAGTAAAAGCCTTTCAATAAATGGATTGTGATCTGTGAGCAAACAGGGTTTTTTTGTATTTGAAATATACGTAGATGCTACAATAAGGAGATTGTCCAGCTGGATGTTTAACTCATGACAAAACTGCTGTCTCTGATTACACAGGACATTTTAGCAAGATGATCTGTTAATCTGATGATAGAGTAGCAGGAGAGCGAGGCAAACCAATCCAGTGATTTTTAATTACTGCTCTTACTTTTTTAATCACCTTTTCACATGGACATAAATAAACAAAAAGATTATCTCGAGCCTTTGACTCTTGTTAAATTCAGTTTTCTTCCATGTCCTCATTTTCTAGTTCACCGACTTCATTGCAGTGTAGCAGCAAACAGTCCACACACTAAGCTGGGAAGCATAGTAATGTGTTGGTTGTGGACGACTTGGCTCTAAAAGCCAGCTCTTGCACATGAATGATGCTATGAAGAGTCATTTGAGAGCTGTGAGAGCTGGAAGAGCAGCTCTGGTAGAGCTAAATCACCTGAATCACTAAAAGGAGTTTAAAATACACTGCTAGGAGTAATATGGTGAGGTTGTTAACCGGAGAAAGAAGAAGGATCCAAAATAAAGCCTGCTCTTACATGGTACCATTTCGTCTGGATCATGGACAATTTGAGTCAGAACACAGACTGTGTAGACTGGATCTAATCCATGGATCTTTTTGGATGTACTGTGTTGGAATTACATCTCTCAATGGACTAAGATTCCAGTGACCATCTCCATTCCAGAAGGACAGGAAGCAGACCATCAAAGTTAATGTTTTAAGATTAGGGTAGTTAAATTTGAAATTAACCACACCCGCCTCTACTTAGCAGCTATGTCTTACATCAACACCTGCTTCTGGCCTGTAAGTGCTCAGGCTAGTATGTTACGTAAATATAATGAAATATGTTAGTTACATTTGATGGTTGAACTAAAATGGAAAGTTACCATCAGTGTTGGCCAAAAGCTATTTTATTATTATTATATTTATTGTGTTGTTGTTTTTTAAGTTCTTTGTCATTTGATTTCTTGGGGTAAAGAGGCAGATTATATAAGTCTGTTCTTATTTCTGCTCCCTTTCATTCACATTTGGGAATGTTTGTGTAATACTATTTATTGAACTGTTTTGATTTTAATCAATAAGTTAAATAAAAATTTATAAAATAAATTAAGTGTTGAATACTGACATATGCAATCAAATGTGATAACTTAATCAAGAAGTTAATAATTTGAATTTGCTCTACAAATTTTCATGACAGCCCTGGTTTTAAGTTGAAGAATCATTGAAACTACATTTTTGCTGTTATTTACTTTTTTAAAAACATCATTTGTTAACAGTACCCTAACATAAAGTAAAGTCTGTGTAGGACACTGTTGTTATCCAAAATCAATGTGTGTCATAGTGTGTGTTTTATAGTGATCAGTATCATATCATTTGTTTGTATTGCACCCTAACATATTGTGAGGATCTGCTCTGGAGTAGACAAGACAGAAATAGTGAATGGGAATGTGAATGGCGTGTGTACCTGAGAGATGTGGTTGATCGAGGACTCCATGCGCCGTAGTTGCGACGCCTGGATGTCCAGCAGCTGCAGCACATTGTTAGCTAAGGCATTGATCTGGTAGGCCACGCTGGCCAGGGACTGGGTGGTGTAAGCCTTGGTCTCCTCCAAGGCCTTCTTCTTGTCTTGAGCCTGGAAGAGAGAGAGAGAGAGAGCAAAACAATCACAGGCAGGAAATGAAAAAAACTAACAAATGAGAAATCAGTGGAAGGATGTGTGGGTGGAAGAAATGAAGAAGTTGGCAGAGGGAAGTAAGGTAAGCTGCAGAACACTCAGGAGGAAATGCTGCAGTCTCATTGTTACTCTCTTAGTAGTGTGAGCGAGGAGTGAACTACATTTGACAGGAGCATTCCTACTCCTCTGTCTCTGCACTGCAAAGCTGTGTTGAGATCTTAAGGCCTGAGAAACGAGTGTAAATGACTCTCAGAGGGGCAGACTGGGGACAACATAACTTCCGAATAACTCAGATGGACATCAGGGGACAGGTGCATGGTGGGAGCTGAGCCCTGTGAGCAGGAATGCCAAGACATTTCATAGGATCCCAAATCTCCCACCCGGCTGCTCAAACCATCTGTTTCTGGATGCCTTTAAATAGCAAAGGGACTGAATGAACATATTTATAGTTTGGAAACAAAACAGGAACAATAAGGCTGCTCAGAGTAACACTCCAAAGAGGACTGCCAGTCCAATGAGGGAAACTAAAGGCAAAGGAAGAGTAGAAATGATCTTCATGAAAAGCTGTTGCAGTGAATTTAGCGTAATTAATATTGATAAATTTCTCATTAAGAGTACAGAGAGTCAAGACTGGCAAGTGACCACAAAGAGGAAAAGACTTTGTTTGTTTCACCCTCAGCACCAAAATCCAAACATGCTAATCCTGTTACTTTTTCATATCCTAATACCCGCAAATGTTCATTGTACAACCACAGTGTGTGTTTCGTGAATGTAACAGTCTTTGCTGTGTTTCAGTCTAGTGTTTATAACATGGAGAAGGTTGAAAAGTACATGTAAATTGTTGTTTCTGATATGGATGTTAAAATCTGAGGTTGTGATGGGTTTAATTTTTGTGAAATTACTCGATATTGTAAGAAAAGGGCAGGACCAGATAAGCTTTTGGCCCTTTTTCCCAAACACTTTCTTCATACTGACTATGTCTTGCACTGTCAATAGAGATATAATTGTATTATTTTTAATTTCGTGATCAAATTGTTTGACCAATTTGGGACAAATAAAGATAAATCAAACTAACTGTCATTTTAATGTAAAAAAAAAAATACTGTAAATATATATATATATATATATATATAAAGAAGCACTCTGGGGTGTATAACATGTTGCTTATGTTCTGGAGGATTACATACTACTCAAAACAGTCAAAAACACTCTTTTATGAAGGCACAGCTTGTCTTTTAGAAACTAAAAACCTAACTAAGTTAAGGTGGGGTTTTCTCTTGCAATTATTGGACGTGTACAGTCTGTCTAACAGTGAACAATTAGATCATAAACTTTGTTATTTTAGCAAAATGATTAGGGCAATCAATAAGAAAATTAGAGTGACATTTGTTTCTAAATTTTATGAGTTGTGCAGTTTAAGAGCAACCAGTGTTTGTTTTCTTTGCTTTCTTTCTTTTTTGAATATGCTGCAAAGACAGGGAATAATACTCTTGTATCTCAGATACAGTATCTCTTGTATCACAGAACCTGGTGGAACCAGTGGAAAAAGCTGTGAAATGCAGATGTAGTTTGCTAAAACATGTTGCCCATGTCTGTACTGCCAGGTGAATCACTGCACGGCTCTGTCTTCATAGGTGACACAGTGATAAATTAGGATATCAGTGATACAGCACAAGAGCGATGTCAAAATTTCATTCTCAAGAAGGGGAACTGCTGTGCTTTCATAAATTGTGAAATATTCCTGTTCAAACCAGCTCACTGCAGCTCACATTGACTTTGATCTGTTGCTGTATCTGTAGATGTTCTCTCATCCTATTTTGGGCCTGTTTTTATTTTTAATACTCAGCCATAAAACAAGGTGTCAGTCAGGGACAAGACTTCAGCTACGACTAAACAGCTGGAGACAAACAATTATTTGGTGTGTGTGTCTGTGCATGTGTGTGTGTGTGTCTGTGTGTGGTAACAGGAGGCGAACAGCCAGCAGAGTGTGACACCACTCTTACAACAGGACCACCTGTCCACCTGCTTCTCTACAAACCACCTGCAGCACCGTTATCTGATGAAGGTGTGTGGTGAGACAGCAGGTGGCGTGGACAAGCAGATTGTAGTCTGACAGTTTGTCAAAAAAAAAAAAAAAAAAAAAAACACAGTTAGAGGGTGTAACTCTGTGGGCTAAGTTAGCATTATGACAGGAACTGACAAGGGTATGTTACTGTTGTCATGGTGAATCAGTCCAACACAAAATGCTTTGAAAAACAGAACCAGGAACATTCGACATACTGAAAACATCTCTACAAAGTGGAAAGCAAGAATAAGAGTGTAAAGGAAGAAGGAGAAATAAGAAAGAATTTCAAAATAATGTTACACTCCTAGTCACAATTTAGGGCAAAAACGAATTACAAATCCATAATACAGATTATTTATCATGGGTCATCCTTCATCTCCACACACTTTCTTCTGCTTCGACATATTATCATACAAAAGCTTTTGTATGAGCCTCACCAGATCCAATCTTTGAAAAAAAATCTAAAATACAGACTGACTGCATGTCATTCTGAACCCCAGATCTGACAGTGAAAAATCATGAACCTCATGAGTCATGAAGGAAACAGCCATGAGTCAGAGGGGTATCATGTGAGGGACCAGGGTTTTTTTTTTTGTGGGTCAACACGAGGGAAATATTAAAATGAGTCATGAGCTTTCATCCAAGACCCCTTGCTTTACCCACTGTGGAAAAGATTATCTATTAAACAAAGAGGGGAAATTCAGATGTAATGAGCGTGAGACAACACAAAACAGGATTTAACTGCTGCCAACAAGTGTCCCTGAAAGTGTCTATAAATAAACGAATATATATTATAATTAGGGGTCAAACAGCCTGGCTCATTCAGGCATTAATGTATGAGATTAAAGTATTCACTCAGCCGAGCATTTAGCACTTGGTCTATAATAAACATGACCAGTATGTGGCCTGAAGGTAAATGCTTGTATTTGTACTGTTGTGTGTGTGAGGTATCTAAGCTATTTGTAGTCCTTTTATTTCAGCCTGTTTGGATCCCATGCTGCTGTGATTTCAGCTCCAGCTCAATCATTGCTGTTCACTTTTTATGACCTTGTTGGGACGACTGAGATGGATGTTACCCAAAGCACCAACCCAGGCTGTTTAAGATAATGATGGATCGGACAGTACAAAGATAGTGAAACTGGGACAGTGGACTTGCAGCTAACAGACCTGCAAGTGTTGGCATTGCAGAGATTTGAAGATAAAAATATTCTTCTTGAAAATAATACTTGGACAAAAATGGTCAGTTTAAAAGAACCCTAATTGAACACATCAATTTTCATTTCGAGATTTAGATCTGCAAAGAAATCGAGGTACGAACATAGCTCAATTTAACTGGATACCGTCCCTGTCCAAGTTTACATGCACTGGGCGAAAAACTGAATTCTTGACAGAGGCATGCCTGCCTTTTCTATGTTAGGTGGCGACATGCCCCCTAAGATTGTTACTATAAAGGTCTACCTGTTAATCTTATGCATACAGCAACAGTCACCTAAACAGGTGAACAAGAGGCAGACAGGATGTATGTTGAATAACAAAAACACTGTCACTTAAAGCTTCAGTTTGTTGGGAAAGTTTTTTTTTTTTTTTTTTTGGTCCTTTGCTCATCTTTTAACATTTTGTTTACTACCTCCTTCCTAACAACACATCCATCAACTTCCAGCTCAGAGCCAAACATGCAAACACTGATGCATGAGCACAATGTTTATGCTTGTGTCAGTTTTGATTGAGTGGTATACATGGAAGAGAAAACTGATCCCAAATCACATCATCCGGGTATGTTAGCAGGTTAGACTTTATCAATATTAGCTAGTATTATCTATAAAGTGATATCATAATATAGCCACATAGCTGACACATCACCCTTCTTATTGGTTTCAGGCATTAAAAATTAGACTACAAAAATCTTTAGTGTTGTTGCAGACTATTTTGTGTGCTTTTGGATATCACAGAAGACAGTCCTTTGTGTTTCTTTAATTTTGGGGACTTTGCACAGGCGCCTTAGGTCTTTGCAGCTGTTCAGCACATTCTAATCTGCTGTATGTTTCAGTTTTTCTCCCGGATCAGCTGAGCCGATATGGTATGTTATATGACTATATGGTAATGCATTTGAAATGCATTCAGGATTACTACTCAAGAGGGACAACCAGGCTGAGTATTTAGTTTATTCAGAAAGAGTCTTCCATCAACCACATCTCCCAGGTACTAAACACCAAATCATTCTCATTCACTGTTTTCATTTTTTAATATAACTTTTCTGTAATCCAAAACAAGTATCTCTTTAATTCTCTTTAAAATCAGAGAAAATAAATGCAATATGTTTCCATAGATATGAGAGCCAGATGCTGGAACAAAATAAAGACGTTTTCATTGTGGGATCCAGCACAAAGCAACAGCAGCAAAGGTCCATCTGTCCCCCCAAAAACAGCATCCTGTTCATTTTTCTACATTCGAGCAGAAGCCATACAAAGAGAAGCTATTTCAGAACACAAAGGCCTGAAGAAAGGTGCCCACAAAGACACTTTGACACAACTAATCATTGTGTAAGTGACGTTTCTTTCAAGTGGCTCATTTCAAATATCTAATCCAAATATAAAACCCTTTCTTTTCCTGCAGCATCACAGAGTGGCTTTACACACCAAGAGCTGCACTGTCACTATGCTGTTTTGTGACATTTTGCTGTGCAGTTGATTGTGTGAATACAAAAAAAAACTGCATTACAAAACCTTATCCCCACAGGATTGTGTAGATCTGTGTCACATCATGACAGCTAGATCTCATTTTAAGTCTACAGTGACGGTATGAGACCAAAGAAGTTAAAAGGGAACCCTTTAGAAGAATAGAGATATACAGTACAGCTAAAGGCTAAAGCTCAATATCTGAATATTAGCTGTTTGGCCTCTTGTACAGCTATCCTGCTGCTAATTCCCAATTGTTTTTCATATCTGAGTTTATATGCATGCAGCTAATGTTTTTAATGTCCCTGAAGAAATCATTATTCAGGAGAAGCCGCATACATGCATCTTCATATTCCAGCCAGTGTTCTCCATACTGCAGCAATGAGAGGCTCTGAAAACCAGCAGTGAGAAAGATGAAAAACATCATACATCCACTTCACAAAAGCACATAAAGAAAGAACTGAAAGAATATGTAAGTATAAAAGTACGATTTCAATTGTATCACTTATAATCCTCCTCAGTGTTAAATAAGCACTGAGTTCTCATAGTAAGATGTTCAAATGATAATTAAACCAAACAAATCTTTCAAAGCTTCAAATCTTCTGGTCTATTGTGCATGAAAAGTGTTTATTTGTGTCATTGTCTCCCTGAATAACAACACAGCAATGGAGGTTATCTAATTAGTCCTATTAAAGTCATCATGTCACTAGCATAAAAAAATCTGTACTGGTTTCAGGACATGGATTACTGGAACTCAAACACACTATATTCAGTGTTATGTAAATCTGCAATCAGAAGCCACAGAAGGATTTTCCAACATGTTTTTCCTTATTGTTGACTACAAACAAACACCTTATTTGTCCACATAATTTCAGCCTTTCTTCGCACTTTACAGCAGAGCAACTTTCATTCTTGATTGGCTGTTTTTTAAAAGATCTGTCAATCTAAATCAGATTGAAGCCTGTTTGCCACCAATCTCCAACACCTCATGTGTGCAGAGTTTCACATCCTCTATCTAATTTTCATCCATTCACAAATTTATCAAATCAAGCGTAAATCTCAGTGTAGGAGCATTCTCAATTAATTAACATATTTAAAAAATTAAGAGTTGAGTGAGAAGCCAGCATGGATAGTACAGTATGGTTAGAGGTCTCTTTATGCTTTTTCTGGCAGATATTACAACTGCGATATAGATCTTAATTAGTAGAGTACTGATAAAATTTAGAAAATGAGATGACGTTCTATGTGCCCTATATCATTGTACCACTTGATCAGAATAATGCATCACCAAAAGGCATGCAGTCATGAACCTGCAAAGAAGACCAAAGTCTGGCAGTGCTAGCTCTACTAGAGGTAGCCACACTTCCTACATGCAGTTTTAGACATGTTAAATACATTTTACTAAATTTTAACTATTTTCTGGGTTTTCTCTTACTGTTAGATTAGTCAAATAGTTGGAATTTAATTTGCTGGGTAAAAAACTGGAATTTAAAAAGGCCTCTGAATATTCCTAGTAGCTTCATTGAAAAAATTTAAGCTTGTATGATGTTGGTTTTGATGTTACTATTATTGATTTCAGTTTATTCATTAATTGTGCAGCTGATGCCCAGTAGTGGCAGTAAGTGTAAAACTATCAATCTAGAGTTCATGACAAAATCTCCTGGAAGTTTGTTTTAATCATCATTTAATAATCATTACAGCTGTTGCAATGGGTACTGTTGTACTCAATACTGTGGCAGCTTTGATTAGATTACAAAACTGCACTTAAACTGACCTTCAGTAAAGCGAAGCGGAACCTTTAAGCTTATTCATTCAAATTCCCAGACAGCTTTCTGCATTTTGAACACTCCAACGCATTCACCACCAAGAGCTGCTTGACAGTGTCTAAGCGCGCTTTCAGGCAGTGTAACCTACATTGCGTTTCTGATGACAAGCAGGGCAAAGTGATCTGACATGTTATTAAGACGGCACGACTGTGGGCTTTCTCGGCTACACAGTCAAAAACACGAGAGAGAACAGTGGAGTTTCTGGAGTTGCCTGCTCTGTCATAGACACTGTTGTTCACACCAGACCATTCAACCCACAACGGTCTGCACCGTCAGCTCACACCATCGCCCACACACACTCAATACTCTCCCTCACCAAGGAAAATTAACAGGGTGATGATGAAGATTCTCATGAATAACTCTTACGGGTGGAAATCCCCTATTAAGGTTTTAATATTTTATACAAATTGGGCAATGGATCATTGTGATTTCCTCTAAGGAAGACCCCAATTACAGATGTCTTTACACCATTTTTTTTTTCTTGCCATTACTGAGCTCTGACTCCCTCATTTTTTGTAGAAGACCACCTAAACCTTACAAAGTCTCACAGTGAGTCATAACAGGAAAAAAAAGGGAAAGACAAAATTAAATTGTTTCAGAGGAGTGAAGAATTTATCAGTGAGAAGAAAGGTTAACTGGTTGTAGAGTCATAAACAAAAGTGTAGGATCAGAATATTTACAAATACTATTCTTCATATTGAAGACATCTCCAGCACGATCAGTATCAACAACCAACAAATTTCAAACAGAAAGTGATCTTGCTTTTGAGCAAATACAGGGATGAATCATTCTACAATGTCACTCCAATCAATAAAAATCATTAAATGAAAGACAAATGAGAACGGCCACCACAGGTCTTTTTCTTATTTGAAAAATCCCAGCTTTGATTTCAGATTTGTACTTCTCATAATACTGATTGGACATTCTGCGTCAGACTGTATGCAAAAACAGGCAAACACGCCTATTATCAGTCTGTTCAGGCATTTAAACAGGCAAATGAGAAGAGCAGAGGTCTTTCCAGGTACACACCAACCTTAGATGACTGTTGTTTGCATATTATCTTCCTGTGTCTTTAAGAACTAAGACATTGATATCCTAATGAGCAGTCAAACTGAAAGAAAGATGTCTGGACTCTAAACCTGACAATAAGAAAGACTGAAGCCAGATGAAACCCGTCTTTGGTTTTTTATTTATTTTGCTCTGTCTTTTATGGCCTTGCACGCAGAGAGGAAGCCAGCTGTGGCATGGCATCCCTTAATTGGTCGTCCCCATTAGTGCAAAAACCTCATACTCTTATTGATTATTTGCCTTAACAGTCTCAAGAAGTCGCTCTTTGGGCTGTGTTGGGACTGCTAAAATTTGAACTATCACATTTTCTTCTAATAGTTTAAAATTCTGACTTTATGCTAATTTCTTTTCTGAAACTGGAGCTCAGAAAAATGATCAGTTCCTACGATTTCATCTTACTTTTCACTGTTGAAAAACTATTTGCATAATAAATATCTGTATAATACTTAAATGCTTGTGATTGAAATCAATATGATTAGTAGAGATTAGGCGAGAAAAAGTAAGTATGCAATTTGTTTGTGTTTTCAGAGAAACATAGTTCAAGATAATTCCTGCATAAATCAGTAAATGTTCAAAAAGTCAAGTTATTTCATAAATCTTACTGAAAATTGACGTTTAACCACCAAGTCCAGTTTCTCAAAGCGGGACCAACACCCTAAAATGTGTTCCAACTAGTTTGAACCATCACCATTTTTGCCTTTATGCTCTATTGGTGTTCCCTCCCACTTATTTCCTTTGTAGCATTGCAAAAAGGAGACACATCAAAATATTCCTGCGCTTAATGTATAATATATAAGCTCTAAAAATGTAACTGTATTAACATGCTGTAAAATCTACTGGCTTTTTGAGACTGCCAGCTATGCACTTAACTGTGCATAGAGATTTACAAGGTGCCCCAGTTGGGCCACCCCAGTCAATAAAATCTAGACCCGCCCCTGTTCCTAGCACTATTGTGTGACTTGTGTCCTGTAAAAAGATACTGAACACAAACTGGGTGTCAGAATGTGTAAACTATGGCCTTTTTATGTTATATTAGTATTACTAATAAAGAGAAAGCAGTGAGTGACAAACCATTGGTCATAACAACGACACACCCTCTAAACCCCCCAGCAGCTTTCTTCACATCCACTGAAGCCTTTTAAACGTGAACACGACTCCGGTAAACCGGGGCCGCCTCACTCCAAGGAGAAAACGCGAATCACGATCACAGACCCAAATCTGAAACCACATTACCGGGAGAAAAGGCCACTCCGTGTGGGAGCTGGCGGTTTTAGGTTTCTTTCGTTACAACCAGCATTTCCTGTCCCTGTGGTTTCACTCACTCGCAGCTCACCGCAGACACGACGGAGATAGCTGAAGAATAACCAAAATTATCGGCCGTGAATCTCCTCTTACCTGAACATAATTGTTTTCACAGTATTCCGCAACCCGGGACAGGTTCTGGTAGCTTTCCACGAGAGCCCTTTTGCCGGCAGGGATTTCCTCCTCTAATAGCATTTGTAGCTCTGCCATCTTACATCCCTTTGCATTTCTCTCCTCTCTCTGTCTTTTTCACTGAGGCGAGGCGGTGATGCTGTGCTGTGTAGCTGAGAGAGGGGCTCCCCCGCCTGGCATTGTGGGGCCGCTGGCCTCCGATTCACAACAGCCTGTGACAAATGGCAGTTACGTTATCGACGGAGGCCTGTGATTGGTTGAGAGGCTGAAGCAGGAGGGCAGTGGACCAATGACATTTAACTGTAATGATGACGTGTCATCCAACAATTAAAAAAAAAGAGGAAAATAAAATAAGGATGGCCAAATCTCTACATTTTAGAGTTTACTTTATTTTGTAAATATTAGATATTTCATATTTATGAGCAGAAGTATCCAGAAATATTGAATTACACATCTAGAATTGCAGCCTGATGTTTGATCAATTAAATCAGAATCAAAAGCAGAAATACTTAAATAATAATAATAATAATAATAATAATAATAATAATAATAATAATAATAATAATAATAATAATAATAATAATACAGTTACTTCAGTTAAAATAAAGTAGAAAGAGGAGATAAATGATAGATAAAATAAGTAAAAATGAAGAGATAATTGACAATATATAATGTTTTTATGTTTCAGTAATTTATTTATTTATTTATTTATTTATGTATTTATGTTTTGTTTTTTATAGAGAGGACATTCTTTAAGTTTTGTTGTAACTTGTTTTCGGGGTAGCCTATATATATTTTTTCTTTTATGTCATCTAATATCATTTCACATTTCATCACAAATATTTGGGTGATTTTATGTCACTGTTGGGCAGCACTCTTGGCATGTTATGTAATTTGTTTTTAAAATACATTAGTTAATTAAGCTGTTGGTTGTTAAATAAAGTAAATTAAAAAAAATCACATGGCTAGAACATGAAATATCATCTTTCCCTGAAATACTTTGTGACTGCTATGATTTGCTCTTTCCATTTGGATGTATTATTAATGGGTAATACAGATACTTATGTAATAATCAAATACAAATAGAAGTTTATGTAACATTAAGTGTAATTGCACTAATCAGGTAGCCACCTACACCAAAATGTATCATATTCTTCATCTCATTAGCAATTTCAATGCAAATACAATTCAAGCTTGGCAAGCAGATAATCGAGACTGTAAAAATATATATTTTTTCATGATTATTTAATTTAATTTTTCTTTGATTCCATAAACGTAATTAATACTGAATGTATGTTAACGCCTCAATAACTGTGAAAAAATGGCAGCGTCCTTGTTAAAGAGCCAGTTGTAAAAGGCACCGCAATGAACTACATCTCCCAGACATCACTGCGGTTTAAATACCCTCTGAGAGAGGATGCTGGGATTTAAAGGAGCACAGCTTTGATTATCAGCCAACATTTTCCAAGGGGTTTCTCAACAAAAACTACAATTCCCAGGTACGCTAATATCATCAGCCCTTGCCTGTTTGGCTCATCCTTGAGAGGAGTTCAGATTGGCTCCCTGCTGCATTTTGCTGACAGATAACGACAAATGAAATAATTATCGCACCGGCCAACGGGACCTTTACGGTGAGTGTCTCTGAAATCAGCGACAGATAGGAAATATTTATGTAAAATGATGTGGTCTGTGAACGTCCACCTGAGGAGAATTTCTCCAGGAGACCAATTTGTCCCCAAAACATCATAGCTTAATTAGAAAACCCTCTGCCTCCTCTGCCTGTTATCCCCACAGGCTGCATTGAGGAGCTAACTGGGTTACGTCTCAGTCGCTGAGCACGATCTGAATTGTCATGGTTTCTCTCATGAATTGTCTCTTCTTTTTGCTGAAGATGTGAGCACTCCTTCCTGTCATTCTTATTGGGAGTCAGCATGGCGCAGGAGGAGGACAAACACAGCCTGGAGGCGAAATTTGCTGCTGCAGTTAAAGTGATCCGGACTTTGCCTGAGGAAGGTGATGGCTGCTCTTTATTACAGCCTGTTTAGATCTATTCAAGGGTCACTGATGTGCTAGACTGTATGAAACCTGCTCCTTTCTGGTACCTAGGTGATTAACCTACATGGAGAGCATTTGGTGCTGTTGAACTCTTGTCTAACCCAAAGATAAAGCTGCTCATGATAAGAGCCAGGGGTGGAAAGAGTAGCCTACTAAAGTATTCATCTTAGTTGAAGTATGGTTACTTTATTGATATTTTACTTCAGTAGTAGTAGTAGTAAAACGACCAGACTGTAGAAGTATATGTAGTAGGGAGTGAGGTGGGATACGCCCCCTAAATTATGTTTAAGCACATTTTTCCAATCTAGTTGTTGCAATATAACCAACAACTCGATACCAAGTGTGGAGTTATTGAATATATTTGAAGGGTCTTTAGTCAGTATTGCACTGTATATATTTATTTTCTGCACACTAACTCATGGCTGGCTGTAAATCGAGGCTTGCCAAAAATGAGGGCTACATGCCAAAAGTATGGGCTTAATTGACTGTGAAGAGTAAAAATGGCTGCAAACGCTGCTAAAAATGTTTTTTTTTTAATAAATCTGGGAAAATTTAATGCTCAATTCTGGCTTTGCATAATTTGAATTACAATTTAGATTTCAGCCTGTCATGTCAGCCAAGCTGATGTTAATTGAAACAATTGTTATAAGAGCAAGATTTGAATAGTTTTCAGTGCAGGCATTACACAATCAGCTGGCTATTATGCAGTCGGAAAGTCAAGAAGAATGTATTTATTTAGTTATGTTTTTATTCTGTAATTGATCCCATTTATAATGTATTGAAGTGTAATGCTTTCGGCAGATATCGCACAAGTGATGACTTTATAAAGTACTCTAAAAAGTACAAACACAGAAATGCTACAAAAAAAAGGACAGGGTTAAACTCAGATACTTTCCACCTCTGATTAAAGCTGATACATAGTTCATATGTATCCCTTTTGTTTCTCAGGTCCTTTCCAGCCCTCTGATGACATGATGCTGATGTTCTACAGTTATTACAAACAGGCCACCGTAGGGCCCTGCAACATCCCCAGACCGATGGGCTTCTGGGATACACGAGGCAAAGCCAAGTGGTACATTTGTAATGCAAATGTAGTTTTTGTGTCTTACAACTAAATTTAGAGCTATGGTTGATGTAGCTCTCCCAAGAGAGATATCTGTTCTATTTTCTTTTTTGAAAACGTATACAAGTGCCATGTCCTTACTCACAACTGTGACTTAAAACTGCACATTTTTGTTGTTCCACGCTCACTCTTTGCTCAGTGTTGAACTGTGACTTTGTGTTGCCAGGGATGCATGGAACTCTCTGGGAAATATGACCAAAGAGGAAGCCATGAAAAATTATATTGAGGACATCCAGCTGGTAAGTCTTTCAAAGAAAAATAAAGCTGAATAGAAGCAGCCCACTGAATAACAAGTAGCTGAACCAGGAGCACACAGTTTTCACTGAAAAAGAAAAAGGACACTGGCATTTCTGCACTAAACACACAACCAGTGGCCTTTCTATCGTCAATCCAGTGCATATTTATGATTTTTTTGTACAATATAAACATTCGTTTCTGCAATTTGTTAATTAAGCAAGTGATATAATTACAACCCAACAGTATGCAGGTGTTTTTATTAAGCTGTGTTTGTTTGCTCCAACAGAAAAAAACAGTCATACTTTCTTGTTATGTTTCTCTCCCTTTGTCTCCTTCCTTCATTTTTTAAAACACATTCTCTATCATCCATGTGTCATCAGATCTTGGAGACCATGCCAATCTCAGAGGAAGTGTCTGACCTGGTGGAAATGCTTGGCTCCTTTTACACAGAGGTAGATGGAGATGAAAGAGACCCTGAAGAAAATGAAGTGGACAGGAGACCCTACACAAGGCCTTTTGCACATCAGGCAGGTAAAGTACTTCAGTGACTCCCAAAAAGGGGTTCTCAGTGGGTGGATGATTCCTGTTCTAATAAAAGACTATGACACAGTTAAATGAACTTGAAGACACAGGAATATAAGTTGGAATGGATAATTGGTTGAAATTGTTTGCATAATTTGGTGGATAAACAGTTTAATAATTTTGTTAGCGTGGCAGATTAACAGTTCAAATAGCTAGCCAGTAGTAAATATGGTTAACTTAAAGTTACAGACCAGCAATTTATTTATATAACCAAAATAACAGGTAAGTTAAAAAAGATAGCGTTAATTCGAAATAATTGTACATCACAGCATAATGATGACATGTAATGTAGGGAAAGCTAAGCTAGTGATGAAATAGCTAGCACAGTTACTACATAAACAAACTAATGGATGAATGGTTAAAATCAGCAGCTAGTATGTAATTACAGCCTCCAAAGTTTTGGTATAGTTGTTATAAAATTATGAATTTACTGTTAAAATTCTTAGCTTGAAATATTTGTTGACAGATATTTAGCAATAGCTATGAATTAAGAGTTTAAACTAAAAGGTATTTGGATTAACAGTCTAAATAGATAGCTATTTTGGCTGTTAATTGTTGAAATGTTTGGCTATAAGTAAACATAAATAGCTTGCTGAAGTAATTGATTGAAATACATTTGTGTATGATAATAAGGTTACAAAATCCACCATTATACATGACAGATGAGAAATGATAAAGAAGTAGAGGACTTTATCCGACAGGGCCAGGATGTTAAGCCAAAAGCTCGGAACCAATGATACACATGATCAGCTGTGCCATGATAACTCTGTACTTGAATGCTCATCAAAGAAAAAGAATTAAGTCTCAGGAGGGCTCTGCTGCTCAAGCTGGATGTAGTACTGCTGTAAATCGCCTTAGTCAGTCTCACAGATGATTTAAATGGAATAATGAGCCCGTCTTACTAGGCCTGGACGATATAGAAAAAAAGCATATCGATAAAAAATAAATCATATTGATCGATATCGATAATTATCGATATTATTATAATTATTTAACATATATTTTAATTGCAGCCCTGGATGTTTTATGCTATTGCTTAATGACCTACTTTTAATAAAGAACACACAAGCACTGAATTCAAATTCAAACCTTTATTCAACCACCTTTTTTTTTTTTTTACCACAACTGAAAGTTTTTTAAAAAAGAACTTAAAAAAAAAAAAGAGATCAACTTAAGTGGCCTGAGTGATGTCAGTAAATACTGACAAACATAAAGACTAAAGGGACCAGAAAATCTGATAAATAAATATTTAAATAGTCTTTTGATGAAAATAAACAAAACAAACAAATATATAAATAAACAGAATAGCTTTAGGTGGGAATAGCATACTACCAGTTTTAACTATGTGGGAAACTGCCCACAGCCTGGTGTCTGAACACTGAAATATTTCTCCCGGGGTCGGGAGATTTATTTTTTTTAATTATCATGTGATTGACTTAATACGCAAACTGAGCACGAGAAGCAGGACTTATCCACGCCGGTGTTGTGTCGTAGATTGCACCCCTGCCGAATGCACCCCCTGCTAGTAGCCATGATCCAAATACTCGCGTCTTTGTAAAATATGAGCTCATTTTCTTCCACTTTAAGAAGCTAATGAGTGGACGGGATGCAGGGGTGCATTCTACGGTACAACACCGGAACGTATTTCCTCCGCACCCTTCTCACCTTTTCAACCCCTGACCCATTTTCATGCCTGAAGCGCTGTGTTTGAGAAATACTTGCGGCCGGGCACTTCATATCGCGGGTCGAGAGTGGCTAGAAGCTGGTCGAAGCCAGGCTTTTCAACGGTAGTTATTGGCAGTATGTCCCTCGCTATGAATCATGTTACTGCATGGGTGATGTCCTTATGCCGCTCGACGCTTTGTCGTATTTTGGCAAGAAACTAAGTCCAGTTTGGTCTGCTTCACTTGCTTTGTGCCGGTGCTGGCAGCGGTTCCAGAGGATTCCTCCTCCGACGACGTGGAGCCGCGGCGCGGCCGACACAGCTCGTACTCCTGCGGCTGCGACCGGTTTAGATGGTAAAACAAGTTGGTTGTGTTACCAGACTTGGTTTTTACTAATTCTCGGCAAATTTTGCAAACGACCGCTGTTCGCTTTTTGTCAGACTTCTAAAAACCAAAACATTGCCATGCTGGAGAACTGCTGAGACCTTTTTTCGGGACAATGTCCTCCGCTTCTCCTTGCTGTAACATTTTTTCTAATACACGTGCTGTCTGTTGTGGTTTGATAGGGGCTGGGCTTGGTGCCGTAGCGTACCTGGGTCTGCGTTTGTGATTGGTTGGGAGGAAGTAATGACTGTAGTAAAAGCTACATGATAGGCCATGATGAAAAAGGAAGGGAAACTGTGTTTTTCTATCGAACTTTTTATCGACCCGTTTTTTTTCTATCGCCCCACACGTCTATCGATCGATATATATTGTTATCGAATTATCGTCCAGCACTACGTCTTACATGTCTTTTTATCACTAGATGAGCTGGTCAAACCCTTTAAGAAACCTACTCTGGAAGGCAAGTCTTTGGTGTTGTCAGTAGCTGTAGTCTCCTTATGCTAGTGTGAAAGCTTATTCTGCCTCATTAAGTTGGTTTTATTTCTGTTTAAATGGCTGAGAAAAGATGGATAAGTGCATTGTCCCTGGCTTGCACTGGGGAAACTGCAATTATTTCTAGATGGATGAAGTGTTATTGTGAAACCTGTCATGTGTGTGCTCTAGTGAGTCAGTTTGTTTGCTGTTGGCTTGTGCCGTATTTGCACTGTGTGGTGTAGATGTAGTTCGTTGAGGCTATGAAATATAAAATGTGTTGTCAGTCGTCTGTGGGTATGTCTTTGCTGTAGGATTTACACTGAGAATGACAGAGTTAATGGAGAGTGTTTCCCCTTGATGTTCAGGCTATGGGGATCTGTGGGATGATATTCAAAACCTCCAAGAGCATGACAGAGACAGCAGTGTTCATGGGAAATGTGTCAGTAATGAGGAGGCAGAGGGAAGCAACGGAAATAGTGAAATGGAGAGAAGTGAGCAAAGTGGTGGTTGGAGGAAAACTGAGGAGGAGGAGAATGGAGATGAAGAAGACAATGCAGAAGATGAAGACAAGGAGGAGGAAAAAGGTACCTTCAGTAGCTTTTAGCATTGGTTGTGTTGTAGTTTGAAATTCAATGTACTGCAGACACTAAAAGATGTGCTACAGTATTCAGGACCAATATCTTTTTCATAGTAAGTATATCAAACACTTCACACTATCAAGCACTTCAAGTGATACCTGGTGTCACTCAAAAACACATCAATGAACTCCACCATCACAATGAGTGACATGTTTCCTCTTTGCTTTAATCACTCTGTTGTATATTTAGATGCAGTCTTATTAAAATGCTGCTATAAATAGTCACCAGTGTACTAAATATGTATCAAGCAGCTGCTGAAAATAGTCCCTGACAAGTATATTATTAAATCTGGGTGTAAAAGAAAACTTGGGGGTATTTTAAAATATGAATTAATATAAAAAGTGATCTTATAGTGACCTGAGCAAACTCAAAAGAAAGTTTTGTCCTTTAATGCCTAACAGATTTATTATTTGATATGTATTTGAACTTCTGTAATTCATAAGATAAGATCAGTATTTCAGGGAGTCGAAAGTAAACAAGCAATGTCATGCAGTATATAAGACAGAAGAACTGTACCAACTTTGTAATGCTGTGTCATACTCCCTTTGCTGCACTCTCTCTGTCTTTGCTGTCATTTCAGGCTGGAGTCCTGACCCAAGGCTGCTGATGGTGGAGGACAAGAGGTGGAGGTCTGACACCAGGGGGTCCAGCAGCAGCATAGAGCCCAGCATGTCTTCCTTGACCAATGGGACACACAGCTCCCTCAACAGTGAGGTGGAGGAGGAGGAGCTGGCCTGCTCTGTAGATCCTGGTGTGCAGTATAACCCCTACATGACCTTTAATGGACACCTGAGTGGTAAGATTACAAGTATAGATTCAAAAGGTGCTCAGTTAGTTACATAATCAACAAATATACTCAGTAGGTTAGTTAGTTGGTAGTTAATTTGTCATCTGCCAGTCAGTAAGTCAGCCTGTGGTCAGTCAATTCATGAATTATTATGTTAATTTGTAAGAAAATAAGATAAATGTCAGTCAGTCAAAAGGTAGGTAAAAAAAAAAAAGTGATTTTTGGTGAGTGAGTTAGTTAGTTTGCTAGGTAGGTACACAGAAAGTCAGGTTGTAAGGAACTAAGTAAGTCAGGTTGTTTGTAAGCTGGGCAGTCGTTTTGTAAGGTAGCAAATTATCAGTTCGATTGTCAGTAATTTGTTAGGTTGCTTGTTTGCAAGCTTGTTAGACAGTTATTTTGAGAATTAGCTAATTAATCAGTCAGACTTAGTTAGTTAGTTAGTTAGTTAGTTAGTTAGTTAGTTAGTAAATGAGTTTTGATAAATATGTTGATAATAACTGTCACCAAAATAACTGTTACAGAGGCTGACAAATCTTAACACATTACACACATCCACAAAAAAATACTCATCAACTCTACATGTAACAGAGTATTCTTAAATGCTCCTCTTGCACACTGACACTCTGTACCTCATCTCAGTGAAGTTGCAGGTTAGTGAATGAGTGCACAATACTATTAGCAGTGTGTGTTACAGCCTTACAGTGGTATGATAACAGGTAGGGAGTGAAGGGATCTGTTATTTTGACAGCAGTGCTGGTTTTGGGTGTAAGTTTGGTGCAGTTTATGACATTGTGGTGAAGAAATGGAGCAGTAGGAAAAGGATGAGTTGATATTCTGACACAGCTGATGGGCTATACAGAGTCCTTAAAGTTTTTGAATGGTTTATAGTCACTGATTGAGTTTTTGTTTCTAATTTCCTTTGTGTTTTGGTTGAAGCTGCTGTCCAGTGTGAGCCTGAGAAATTGAACCATTCACTGTTTTAAACAGTTTTGATAAAAGTGATGATGGGGACTGGGTTGAAGGGCTACCAGTGGCCATGTCTTAAGATTAGCTGACATTGAGCTGGAGGTGGTTGTGCTCACATCACTGGGTGACATGAGCTGCAGTGTTATGGTGGACCAGAATAGAGTCATCACTTCTGCATATTTGAAGTAAGTGCTGGTGGGTGAGAGGCTGCTGGCTGTGGTTTCAGTGCACAGATCTGCAGTGCTACATTGTAGGTGATATTTATAGGTGTGGTTGTTGTGATTAAGTAGTTTCCTGATCATCAAATGCCTCTGTGTGGTTGTATAACATTTAAAGCACAAGATTTGACTGAGCAAACCGATGAATCCAGGTCAAAATAATGATTGCGGTCCTTACGATTTATACCATTCAAAAATAACCACAAATTGAACTAAATAGTTCTAACAACATCCAGGATAGCAAAATGTTTTATCACTGTTTTATGGCCCCTCGGTGGCAGTGCATATTAGATATAGAAAGGTTTGTGTTGGATAAGATTAGATTTAGTTAGATAGATTTGTATTGATTGGGAAGGTTCCCTCAAGGATATTGAAATATTTGTTAAAATATGGCAGATCTGAAATCAAACATTTCCCTTTAAATAATCTAATACGCTGAACAACAGAAGTTTTCATTCAGAACCAGATTTTTATCAACATGATAAATGTACACAACTTAGCTTTCTTTTTGAGTCTCTCTTGGACTTATCTTCTATTTCTCTTTTTGGTTAATTCCCTAGAATGCTTCACATGTAAATATTTCTAGGTGGCAGAAAATGGTATAACAACAGAAAAATTAAAACAAAATATTAACAAAGTGTGTAAGAAAAACACATAATGTCCTGGGGGCACTGTAATGCATATTACTATGTAATGCACTGCTGCATATGTATCCTCTGCTGTATATTTATATTTTTATTCTAGTCTTTCACAGGACTTCTGCTACATATGTATATATATATATATATATATATATATATATATATATATATATATATATATATATATATATATACTGTATATATATATTGCTGCTGGTTTCAAATCACCATAAACCTTAAACTCCTGCTGCACATATTTACATATTCAGTATTCATATAAATATGTATTCCTATTCCCTTTGCAGTTCTTGCACATTGTAATAACCACTATCCTTATAATATCCTTCTGCACCTTATACATACATATATACCTTTTGCATATATCTGCACTGTACTGAATCTGTAAACTGAGACCTATGCAAATGATTTTTCTTCTGTATTCACCTGCTGCATACGAAATGACTTTAAAAGTCTGTCTAAGTCTAAGTAATGCCAAACAGGGGTGATGTATTTTGTCAAAATTGTGGATTTTCTTTCTCTTTGGATATTTTGGGGACTTATAGCCATTACTTGAGAGGACAACTGATGAGGGCGACAGGAGATATGGGGAGGGCATGACATTTACTAAATCCTGTCAACATCAGGAATCTATCCTGCAACCAAAGAAATGCATAAAAATAAAATTAAAAAAAAACATTATATAGCTCTTTAATTGAGCATTAAAAGCATTTAAATTGATATTTGGGTTCTGTGTTTTGCACGATTTAGATCACAGTGGTGTTGTTCATGAGAGGAACCTCCGCAGATCTACAGACTCCGACAATGAGGAATTCTGTGACTCAATGGAGCATCTAGCCATGGAGGAGGTAGGTTTTTATTTCCTTGTATGCGCCCCAAACGTAATGATTACTTCAGATACGAAGAAATGCTTATTGGTGTTCTTTATGTTGATTGGCCTTCTTGTCTGTACACCGAATTCTGCAGCCAGCTGGAGCCAAGAGACATTTAACTTAGCTTATAGTTTAAAGGCTGGAAACAAGGGAGGCAATATGACATTAAGTAGTTCCACTAGCACCTCACTATACAAACAGACTAAAAAGTTAATTTAAAGAAAGTTTTAGTCCAACACTTTGAGTTATTTTATTTGTACATGTTGATGGGCTAGGTTTGCAGTGAGTGAATCAGCCTCCTTTTACAACAAAAAAAAACAGTCCAGGACAAGTTGTAAAGGAAAGTCCGTAAACTTTTCTCTCAGTCTTGATATTGATACAGATATTGCTGTCACCGGCTACAAAGATTAGGTTTTTTAAGTGCAGGTATATGTGATTCTAAAAATTCAAACAGGACAGACTGGCTCCTGTCTTTGGGCAAAGTTTTAATACCCTCCTCTCCCTGCTCAAACTTCATGTGTTATTACTGTAAGAGCTGTAGCAATGTTCTCAATCATAGGTAAGAAATCAAAAAGTATTTTTCTAAAATAGTCAAACTACTCTTTGGTCATTCTTTTTTTTTTTTTTAACAAAAGAGACTCATCAAGAGTAACAATTGAATTCAAGAATTGAATTATTCTGACTTAGTTACAGCCATTGACACTACAGTTGACTCTCCTCTCTTCCCATGAAGGGCTTGTGTTCGTCCAAAAATCTGCCATCTGCATCAAGAGCAGCTTCAGTGAGGCAAAAAGATCTTTGGTATGAGAGCAGCACAACCCTGAATGGAGGAGAGGATCAGGTACTCATGGGAGAGTCTTACTTTAAAGAAGGGATTAGTACAAGCCAACACAGCAGCTCCTTGTCTAGAAGAGGGAGAGGTGAGTCTGCAGTCGCCAACTTTGATTAAAACTGACACTGTGTCCCTCATTGACCCTTCCACTGAGACACACTAGCTTACTCTTTGAAGCATTTAAAGTATCGAATAAACAATAACACAGCAACATTTTCCTCATGAGTTGCATTTGTTGCACTTGGCTGTCACATTTTGACTTTGTTTCAGGTGTTCAGTCACCAAGGGCAACCTGCAGCTCTCAGCGATGTGTTAGTGTAGATACTGCGTGCTGTTGTGTGTCACAGAGCAGACATCCTGTCAGCGCCATCAGGGGAAACGTGGATGAGCAAATAGCTACAGCTCTGCTCAGGCTGCAGCATGACATGGCAGCTGTGCTGCACAGGTTGCATGCTCTGGAGGTGCTAACTGTGTCACAGGTGAGAGACATCAAGCATTAGATGCCCTATTTACATGTGAGTGTTACAACCGTTACTTTTCATCGCATAATTTTCATCACAGTCCAATCAACCTCCTTTCACAAAGAAATAGCAAATTTAACTTTGCACTCTGACAAATGTCAAATACATGGTAAATTATCTGACTTTTTTTATTTCGTTTTTCAGTCAAGAACATCTACACCGAGGCAGGAGGACTCTCTACAAGTCACGCAAAAGGTTTCTTTGAATCCCTGGTTATTGGTGCAATTTTCAGTGACCAAGCTGTATGCTTTCTGTTTTTATTATTATTATTTGTTTTGTTTTAAAAGGTACGCTCTGACATAAGTTTGTGTTTTTGTAGTTCCTGAGGCCCTCCTGGTGGCCTTTTGACTTCTGTCCCCTTACCGTAGTGTTGACGGCACTCTGGCCTCTGATTTCCCATTGGTTGGTCCAACTGTACTTACAACGGAGAAGAAGGTGAAAAAAATATATCATTTTGACCTTTGGCAAACTCTTTGTCCCAAAGCCTAACTTTATGTGTACTAAAATTTATTTTCTGGTTTTCTTTTTACAGGAAGATTCCCTGAATTGCATGATCGCTGGATAAAAACCTTAGCACTTTGGTTGCTTTATGGCTTTATGAAGTCACAATTAACCCCACTCTTATGGGGTGTAATGAGGCCAGCATAGACATAGAAAAGGCTACACTAGAGAGGTAAAGAGGTAGATTGCCAGAGAGCGGTTTAAAGGGAGATCCTGCTGTGAAGTGTAGCATTTTGACTAACTGACAGAATTAAGAGGCTTAGGAAAGAGAAGATTTACATTATGAATGCTTGCACATTTTCTTTCTCACAGTATACCCAGCTTTAGGTGATAATCTTATTTATAGAAGTCTCACAGATCAATAGAAGTTCAATATACTATACACATAATATACTCATAACTCAAACAGCAGTTGTTGAAATTACAGTAGGTAACCATTGTCAGTTCTGGTTGTTTAGTTTGTTTTACGTCTCATTTTATATGTGAGTTTCCTTTGAAGGTTTTGTCCAACAAAATATTTAAAACCAAGAACATCAGTGTTTACATAGTTATGCTCTGATATGTAGAAATGCATTAGGAGTTCTTCTCTTTCATATACAAAAGGACAAATATAATATTTTAAATGTGCAATTATGTATTTATTTTATGGTTTCAGTGCAATCATAGAAAAAAGCACACTCTCACTTTGCAGAAAGTACAGGACAATCCATAAATTTGTGTTCTTGTCTCTTTTTTTATGTAAGGTGAATTAAATAATTGTTTAATTCAGGATGTAATATTACTTGACCTGCAGTTGTAAAACATACAAATATGAACCAAATTTTGACATGCAATAAACTCATTCTCAAAGATTATCAGCTGGACATTTTCTGTCTGCTCATTTTATTTTTTCATCATGAGTGTGGAAAAGAAGGTGCAAAGTTATGGACTTCTTGGTTTTCATAGCATATTATTATCAACTTTACTTTTTAGTAAAAACAACTTATCAGTGACACGTTAGAAAAGTAGGACAAGTAAGGACAGAATGTTTTGTTTAAGCAGCAGTTAAAATGTAGATAATGTGGGATGGAAAACAAACACAGTGACCCTGCATCTTTAGATTTTAATATTCAAAAGTAATACATACAGAAAATGTCAACAACACTGGGCTGATAGAGTGGTTAAGGAATTCAAAAATACACACAAGACATTTATCACTATATTTATTCTCAGTACCAGTCTTTGCAGACAAACAAACACTGGGGAACAATTTCAAATAATAGCACACGTATCAAGATGTTGGCAATCATAATTGCTTGATAGAGTAAAATAAATTGAAGGACATGGTATGTTGGTTAAGACAAACATACAGAGACAGACAGACCAAGAGGCCTTGGTGAACAGGAAATAACATCAGGAAAGTACTAGAAACTGGATAACTGCTCTATGCACAGCCCCACTACTTCCTAAACTTAAGGCAGCTCCTTTATTTCCCGTATTACATGATTTGACAAATTGATTAATCCAGGTGTGATTGATTGTTGTGACTAGTCAGACACACCTGGATTAATCAGTTTGTCCAATAATGTAAGAAAGGAAATAAAGGAGCTGCCTTAAGTTCAGGAAGAAGTTTTTTTTTAAAAATTGAATTATAAACAAACAAACAAGGCAATTATTTATCATAACAGAGAATTCAAGAATATTTGCCTTAGATTGAGCATGAATAACATCAAGAGAGAAAAAAAAGAAAAGACACAATTTCAAAGTTAGAGGCCATTCTATTTCAATTCGAACATTTCTAGGAAAGAAAATAGGCGTAGGGCTTTCTTGTCTGTGACAAGTTTTAAGGATTTACAAAAAAGTAGCAACTCAGTCTTCCAGTGAGGTAGGCATGGTTTTGTTTTGAAATATCGACACATGTGAATGAAGAACTTCCCCAAAAGCAACAAAGCATTTAGAACAAAATCCAAGTTCCTATCCTCATTAAAAACACCAAACAAAATGTTCAGGGAGTAGTGGATCGATGCATAGAGCTCATTTCTAAGAATATTTTATACCACGACGATGATAATGTTAGTCCAAACAATAGTCGGCGATAATCCATCGCAAAGTTGGTGTCACCCGCCAGCTAACAACAAAGGGGAAGAAGAAGAAGAATATGTCACATCCGGCTGATAAACGTCACTTCCCTGCTGAAGTTCGCAGTTAGTTAATATGTCTGCTTCAGAGAAATAAAAGTGAAAGAAATACCAACCTTATACTCACAGGGACGGTGTTGCAACTTGAAGAAGTTCTCGGAAGGCTAGTACCACCGAGGATTGAAGATGTTTTCCTTCACCGTTCAACCACAGGTGAAAAAAGGCGGAAATGAGAGGCCAAGCTGACGTTAGCTCTGTTGTTGTTTTGGTTGATAGGAGTTTGCTAGCATGCTAAGTTAACCTTAGCCTGTTCTCATACAAGACACTCTGTTGACAACCTATTGTCACTGTTTTTTTAACTTAGAGATAAAAATATGTACACCAGCAAGCACAGTGTTGTCTCAGTATTTAGACAGTTTAAAAATATATACATCTGCGGGCCGGTGAGATGATCCTCAGTCATGTCGCTAATGTTGTTGTTGCAGCATTCATTCTGTCCTTCATTGTCAGAGAGAAAACTAAGAAAACATGAGGATTTATATTTATAATCAAAAGATCATTTTAAAATAACAGTGTGTTTTCTTTTTTAATCAGTGCTGGATGCTGCGTCGATATCTGTATTGGGATCTTGTTGAGTCAGCTGTGGTTGGTTTTGTTTGTGATCATCACGAACTTCCCTGGTAGCTCAATGCCATTCTCTCTCTCTCTCTCTCTCTCTCTCTCTGTCTGTTTGAAAACATGTGATCACAGGTTACTGTACCCCTCAGCCATCTTATCAATGTCCTCCACTCTATGAAGAGTTCAGTTGGAAGCAGCAGTAGTGTATCCTGCCCATTGAGAGCACACAAGGAGCATGTCTCAGACTCAGAGCGACACTGCACAGAGGTAAGACGAAAGTAAGATGGAAGTTGTAGACCCCTTCTAATAAAACAATCATGCTCTTAATGGTGAAATGTCTGTGTGCACAGCCCATGTTGAGCCTGCGTGAGCTCGGCTTATCAGACCTGGGAGCACTGCAGCTGGATGAGCTAGAGAAACATATGTTCCCACGCTTAAGTCCACAGGAGGCGCCACAGACAGCATGGAGGACCTCACATCTGTCTACACACTCTTTTTTCTCCAATAAGTATGGTGAGAATACTCAACTTCAAACTGCACTGAAGGAAAGGAAACACACCCTCCTCTCTTGAGATGTCAGAGTACTTTGAACGGAGAAACTCTGGACTTGTGGATGTCAGCCTTTATAAGTCAAATTATATGGTCAGCTGTATGTTTCTGTGCTTGTGTCCTAAAATATTTCTTAGCTGCCACACAACTCTTAAGTTAAGCTGCTTGATCAAGTCTTTTGTGTACTTGGTCATCAAATACCTGTCCACACGTACAGCACAAAGAATCAGGCAGATTGAATATAAACCAGTTGGAATTCATCAGGATCTCTGAAGTCCTCATTATCATTAAACTTTTTTGGGGGGGTTCAGAGAGAAAATAATAATAAATTGTCTTCTGTTCACAGGTTTCTCATATGGTCTTACACCAGTGTCAGCCCAGTTGTTCTCCAAGCAGCATCTGTCACCTCTTCAGTGTGTCAGCACAGAGCTGCAGTACTGGCCAGGTAACCTTTTCTAACTGATTTAGATCTTTTTGTTTTTGCATCTTGGAATTGACAAAGATTGATTTGCTGCTATTTCATTGTTTTCATCTTGAATTTCGTATTTTTAATACATCAGTTGTAAAGTACCAGCAAAAGTCTGTTTAGTCACAATGTTTGGGAAAGTCAGAGTTGAATGATTTGAAAAATTTTAAACCTTACAATATAATTTCTAATCATGTACCCTCTGTGTATTTTAAGTATGGGTCCCGAGCAGAGGCTTTAAAACTTTAAGGAACAAAACCAGACGACTGCAGGCAGGCCATGACCGCCCCGTGGAATCTGAAGGGTTCACACCATCTTTCATGAAGGTGAGATTACATGCTTTATATGTTTAAGTTAAATCTTTAAGCTTATCATGGACAAATAATTATTTCTTAAGGAATATCCATGATATACTTTATAAGTATATTGAAAAAAAAGTTTGAAAGTCTTAATATGCAAGTTTAACTTGATGAGCAATGTCTTCTTCTCATTACCATAGACCTGCTGAGATTTCTAACTGATCAACATTCAGCCCAGTTCGAAAATCCTTAACATATCACTGCAGTTTTTTTTTTATTATGGGTTTTGTCAAATAAAAAAGTTTAGTTAGAAACTTTTATTGAAGCTTCTTCTTCCAAAACAAGAGTAAAAGATGGCAATTGATGTACTGGGCTCTTGTATTTTTCAAATACTATGTCTGTGCTGAAATACATTTACATACATATGTGAAAGCTTCTCATCCGTTTTCTGTGGTATTACAGGGTTTTCTTTCACGGGACAAAGGGTTTGAGGTTGAAAGTGTTGACAGCCTTGTGAAGACAAAGAACATACCTGATGGACAGCAGGAAGCTTTCAAGAGAGGCTTTGCTGAGGGCTTCCTGAAAGCCCAAGCTCTGACACAGCGCACACAAGGTGCATTTTACTACAAACGCACACTGCTAGCATTCTGAAGAACCATTAATATACATTAAACAGTGCTGATGCAAAGATTGTTTTTCAGACTCTCTTAGGAGGACTCGTCTTATCCTGCTGGTGCTGCTTCTTGTGGGTCTCTATGGTATCTCAAAGACCCCTTTCATATCGGGTAAAGGCTCCTTTTCTCCTTTTAAAGCTGCTTTATTATCTTATTTTGTTCATGAAATGGCACAAAATACACTGACCTGTTGATTTTTCATACAACCCTAATTCCATAAAAGTTAAGGTGTTGTGTGTAATGTTCATAAAAAACAGGATTTCATGGTTTGCTAATCATTTCAACTCTATATATTAGATTTTTTAAAAAATGCAAAGACAACATGTCAGATGTTGAAACTGAAAAATGTTTTTGTTCGTGAAAAAGTGTAATCTGATTCCAAACTTGATAACAGGAACAATTTTCCAACATTTGAGGCAGGGGCATGTTTACCACTGTGTTGCATCACCTCTTCTTGTTACAGTGCTGTAAATGTTTGGAAATCTAGGAGACCTCTTTAAGGGGTTTTGATAGTTACATGTTGTCCCATTCCTTGCCTGATATGGAATCTCCTTTGTTGTAATTTTTGTGTCATGACAACTGAATATTTTTAATAGGTGGCTAGCATGTGCTGACAAGCAGGGCAAGCTGGGAAACTAGACAGGGCTCTTCTACTTCAGAGCCATGCTATTGTGATGCATGCAAATTTAACTTTGGCATCATTTTGCTTTTTTATGCAAGTTCTCCCCTGAAAAAACGATAGTCTGAATGGTAGCATGTTGCTCTAAAGCCTGTAACGCTCAGCATTAATGGTGCCTCCCCAGATATGTAAACTAGCCATACCAGGGGCGCTTATGCACCCCCATACCATTATGGATGCTTGCTTTTGGACTGTGGGTTGATAACAAGCTGGCCCCTAGACAGGAAAGTCAATTTTTGATTCGTCAGACTACTGGACAATTTTGTCACTTTGCCTCAGCCTATCTTAGATGAGCGAGGGGCCTAGAAAAGTCACTGGTGTTTCTGGATTGTGGTCTCCTTTTAAGGCAGTATCTGTGGCTGTTGAAACAAACTGTGTTTACAGACGATGATTTTGGGGAGTGATTTTGAGCCAGGGCAGGGATTTCCACAACAGAGTCATGTCTGTTTTTATGATGCAGTGATGCTGACTCAAAGATCATGGCTGTACAGTATCAGTTTTGGGCCTGGGCTCTTATGTACAGAGATTTCTGCAGACGCTCTTAATCTTTTAAAGACATAATGTACTGGAGTCAATGCAGTCCTGCAATTCTTTTGGAATTTTACACCCGCATACGTTATCATAAGATCACTGAACTATATCCTAACAGAATTAGTCCTCTCTGAAATGTTGTTTATTTACTCAGCCATGTTACTAACCGGTTACAAATTCATCGATTAAGTTGGGAGGTTTTCCTCTGGATTTTTTAGCATTGCCATTTCCAGTGTTTTGTTGTCCCAGTCCCATCTGGTTCAAGTTATTTTACTGCCATCAAGTTTCAAATATGTACTTTCATAAAAGCGTCAAGTCAGCATTTGATATTGTCTTTGCACTAGTGTCCCTCAAATGCAGGGGTGGGCAATCATTTGCCATGGAGGGCCGAGAGGCTGCAGGTTTTCTTTCCAACCCAAAACTCCACCAGGTGATTTCACTGATTACCTTACCTCCAAGCAGAGAGCAGGGACTAATCAGTGAAATCACCTGGTGGAGTTTTAGGTTGGAAAGAAAACCTGCAGCCTCTCGGCTCTCCATGGCACATGATTGCCCACCCCTGCTCAAATGGGATTTAAATCATTTTTAAACTACAAAATTCTCGTTAGCATCACCACAAGTATGAAATTGGGGGTTGCATAATAATCTAACATTTGCCTGTAGAAGTTGTGTTTGCATATGAAACAATCAACACTTTTTGGAGATGAATTAAACGTTGTGTAACAAGTAGATGATTGTGCCTTGTTCTAACCAGCAGTATTTGAATATTAACAGATGCATTCAGTTGTGTTTCTTAGATAACTGTCTGTAAAAAGCAGCATGTATGAGAGAGCTCATTAACCCCGCCATGCAGTGTGATTTTCGAACTTTAATCTAACCATTTTGGACAGTGCGGTTCCGAACCACAACAGGCCTGGACTCAGCGGTGGATCCTGTCCAGATGAAAAACGTGACGTTCGAGCACGTCAAAGGTGTAGAGGAGGCGAAAAATGAGCTGCAGGAGGTGGTGGAGTTCCTGAAAAATCCACAGAAGTTCACAGTTTTGGGGGGGAAGCTGCCAAAAGGTAAAACTGTTTAACTGTGCATTTGAAACAAGGTTTTTTTTTTTTTTTTACTGTATGATGATCTTTTATGAGGAATATAGCTGAATCCAGAGCTCTGTTTTGTACCAATCTCTTATCCCCCTTCCCCTTTCTCCTCTTCAGGTGTTCTGCTGGTCGGCCCCCCCGGGACAGGAAAGACTTTACTGGCCAGAGCAGTGGCAGGAGAGGCAGACGTGCCCTTCTACTACGCCTCTGGTTCTGAGTTTGACGAGATGTTTGTTGGTGTGGGAGCCAGCCGCATCAGGAACCTTTTCAGTACGATGACTATTTTCTGGTTTGATCACTTTATCATCACTAATAATTGACCTGTTTTGATTGTATTATGGCGTGATTGGATGAAAGCCTCATGTTTGTGTTTTGTTTTTATGCTAGGGGAGGCTAAAGCTAATGCTCCCTGTGTGATCTTCATTGATGAACTTGACAGCGTGGGTGGAAAAAGGATTGAATCTCCTATGCACCCTTACTCCAGGCAGACTATCAACCAGCTGCTTGCTGAGATGGATGGGTAATCTCTTCGATTATGTGTTGCATGTGAACACTTCGGGAACACGGAAATCATGCATTTGGCTTACATCAGGTTTTAGTCTTTGCCCCTCTAGAAATATGGTAGTTTTAAGTTTTTTGTTATAGGCATCTAAATATACGTCCTCCTTGCACTGTTATGCAGACACTGACCTGTATGCATCCTGTGATATTTCTGCAGGTTTAAAACAAATGAAGGTGTGATCATCATCGGAGCAACAAACTTCCCAGAGGCTTTAGATAAGTATGTTCAGCCCTGCACCTCTAAAACCCTCTTATAGTCTGTTCAAATGTCAGAGCCGACCACATACTTCTACAAATGTCAGAATTAACAGCCCTCACAGTCACAGCTGTTTTGGTGCTGACTAACAGAGTTGTATGATGTTTTATAAATCATCGGACCCTCTTTTTGTAGTGCCCTGATCCGTCCAGGACGCTTTGACATGCAGGTGACTGTCCCCAAACCTGACGTGAAGGGACGCACAGAGATCCTCAACTGGTATCTGAAGAAGATCAAAGTTGATCCAGGTGTGTTTATTATTACAGTATGGTATTTTAAACACACAGCACTGTGGCACAACATAGAGCACACTTTGTTTTAAAAAGTTGTCATCAGATGAAGTCCAGTGTGCCTGTTTTTGACAGTGATGAGATCTCTGTTGTTGCTGTTTGTCCTTTCTGCAGCTATCGAGGCCAATATCATCGCCAGAGGCACAGTGGGCTTCTCAGGCGCTGACCTGGAAAATCTGGTGAACCAGGCCGCCCTGAAGGCAGCAGTGGATGGCAAAGACATGGTCACTTTGAAGGAGCTGGAGTTTGCCAAAGACAAAATCCTCATGGGTAAGCAACCAGGACAAGTTACAAGTTGTATTATTAAAGTATTATTAAGTATTGTTAAAGTATTATTATTAAGTATTATTAAATTATATGAAAAAAAACCTCTTACTTAGTTTCAGGGTAAAATCTGCCCAGCAGGGTGTTGAAAATCAGAAAAAAAATCTGTCCTTTGTGGAAGAAGGTTAAATGAGCGACTGTTTAAGATTAAATCACATCTCTGAAGGGAATAATGAAAGCTTTAAAAACATAATTTACACAAAGGCTTTTCTAATAAAAGTTTACTTTGGCCCCTGTTGCAGATAAATTAATACTGACAGCTAAATAAAATAATCAACAACTGTGAATTAAAAAACCCTGCTTCAGACTCAGCTATGATATTTTTTCAACTACTGTATCCCTAAAGAGGGTAATTGAAATAAATCCAGTAAATAATAATAATGACGAGATAACATATTGATTTTAACAATGACTCTGCACTGCTGCTACCTCATCCAGGTCTGTCTAGTAAATAAGATTTTGATCTCAGGAGGACTTTCTGATGATATACAGGTTGAATAAAGAATATTATGAAAGTAAAAACATGTTTACTTTAGTTCATTCTGTTGACTCGATTTTGCTGCTTCATTTTAATTTTTTTGTACAATAATAACAGGGCTTTCAAAAGTCTGCTGCCACATTAAAGCCTGGTCTGATACCCTTTTCTCTAGAAACAATCATGACTCAAATTCAAGTTTAAAGCTACTACTCTCCTACATGTAATTATCTGTTACGGCAACAGCTCATGCATTATGACTAGGGTTTTTTAATCATTTTTAATCCACACTGTTTCCAATGTTGTGATTCATTTCTTTTTTCTTCTTTTCCAGGTCCTGAGAGGAGGAGTGCAGAAATAGACAAGAAGAACAAGCTCATCACAGCGTACCATGAATCAGGCCATGCCATTGTAGCTTACTACACCAAAGATGCCATGCCCATTAACAAAGCCACCATCATGCCCAGAGGCCCCAGCCTGGGTCATGTAAGGAAACCTCGACACAGTAACACAATAGTAATGCATATCAACACTTCTCTGTGCTCCACTCCCCTCGAGTTTATCCTCTCTCACTCTGTCCTTATCGCCTTTTCTCAGGTGTCGATGCTCCCAGAGAATGACCGCTGGAGTGAGACTCGTTCTCAGCTTCTGGCCCAGATGGACGTCAGCATGGGCGGTCGTGTCGCTGAGGAGATTATCTTTGGTAGTGAGTACATCACAACAGGTGAGAAAGAGGTCCTAAGAGAGCCATAAATTGTTCTGGACAAAGACCAGAGTTAAAAAAAAAAAAAAAAGCACCAAACTCATGAGTCGTCTTTACCACAAGGTGCATCGAGTGACTTTGACAGCGCCACCAAGATTGCTAAGATGATGGTGACCAGATTTGGAATGTGTGAGAAGGTGAGTGGAGAGAAAAAAGAGGCTGTCAAGTTTCATGTTCTTTAAATCCTCCAATATCCCTGAATCTCACTCTTCCTCCTGTCTTGTAGTTGGGTGTGATGACATACACTGACATGACAGCTCAGAGTCCAGAGACACAAGCAGCTGTGGAGCATGAAGTTAGGGTCTTGTTAAAGGTTTGTCATTTTTTCACAAAGAAATCGTTAGAAGAATCGCCCAATGAGCTTCCTTGAAAAACTTCTGTCATTATCTCCTGCTTCTCCAGGATTCCTACGAGCGTGCCAAAGCCCTGCTGAAGTCTCACGCCAAAGAGCACAAGAACCTGGCCGACGCTCTGCTCATGTACGAGACTTTGGATGCCAAAGAGATCCAGCTGGTCCTGGAGGGGAAAAACCTGGACAGTAGATGAAAGTACAGAGGACAGCAAGAATCAAGGGGCGGTAATGGGGAGAGGGAAGGGGTCTGATTTTATGAGCTCAGGGGTCGTGGTTGGAGAGAGAGACTCAGGTCAGTGAATCAGAAGGGACTGTGTTAAACCTTCATGCTGAGTTTTTTGTGTAATTTGATCAATATTCCCCGATTAAGTAACGCTGTGATACAATAAGAGTTGAACAGGGTCTTTCTGTGTTCAGAGGTGGGCAGGTGGATTCCTTCATTTAAAGCAGGAATGGTTCCCTTTCTTTATTTCACAGGTTACATGAGATATCACCTGAATGTAATCATGCGCCAATGTAAAAGCAGCACCTAGACACGACTCCGTTTTAGTTTAAATAGTTCAAAAAAGAAGTTAAAATTTGGTCAAAGTCTCAGCTGCAGATGGATATGTAAAAGAGGAAAACTGAATGAAGTAGATATTTAACTCTTCTGTGCTATAAAGGCTGTAAAACCTGAACCAAATTCCAGCTCCTTTTTTACAGTGGTTTTTTCACTTTTCATTAATGTGTCTTGAGCTCGGGATTCCTTCATCCACACCTCGCTGTCTCTTCATGCTGCATTTGGTCTTTCCATCTGATCTCATCGTTTGATGCTCATGCACAAACCTCTTTCTCCCCTGCTTCACCCTCTTCATCCAGCATCCTTGTTACTCATTTTTTAATGGTGGCCTTTTAGGGAATGTACTGTAAGAGCAAAACAAATGTATATCTTTTTAGGTAGGAAGTGTAAAAAGTTATAAACTATTATGTCTCAGCACTTTAGGAAAGTGTACAAACTCAAATGCACTTGTGAACTCTTCATGTAATTTATTTCATTGAGTCTGTGTGTACAGATCGAACGTTGCTGCTCGGCCTTGAAAAGCATGACACAAATACACGCTGGGTTTATGTAATGATAGAGCACTTGAACTTATAGGATTTTAAAGATGCAGAATTGGCGTTATTTATTTAAATAGTGTGAATCCTGCTTGGAAATTTGTATTATCTCTTGCAAAATGGAAAAAAAGTGGACTGAGGCTTTAATCTTTGGTTTATTTAGACAAAAAGCAAGGCCAGCTCTGCCAGGACTCACCATTCGCCCCCTCTTTCATTCCCAGTTCAGAGCAGGAGGATTTTCTCACATCTTTTTAAGAGTGTATTTCTGTTTCAACACATTTCAAACAGTTTAGTGGGAGAAATTCAGATTTAGACCTGTTTAATTAGAAAGCAACATCAAGGATTTACATCTGAATCCTATTTGGCACTGATGCATCCAAATAAGAATTAAATGTTTAAATGTTCTAAATAAAAAGACAGAGCAGAAAGAGTATTTATGGGTCATACCAATCATAGCTTTTGTAAAACTCTCACTCTTATCAAGATGACAACCAGCACATTAAGTTATACTTCATGAGGTTTCCATTTTCAGTCACTGCTTCAACACGAGACACAATTACTTCAGTCTGTCAACCTTTTACCCATGTTAATGTGTATATATGATTGTGGTGTTGTGGGAACATTGTAAATAGATGTATAGTAATGCTTTTATGCTGTGAACACATCAAATAGCTGTCTGCCAGTGACTGACAAAGTCTCTCAACAATGTGATGGCAATGGTGAATGAATGTTCGTGCAGCTGGAATAAATAAAGAAAAACATTTGAGATCTTTGCCTGCTCTGGAGTTTTTTCAAACTTTTTTTTTTTTTTAACACGCATGTAACTTGCAAGTTGGACAAAATAGGCATCCTCTATATTCAGCTCACCAGCATAGAAGAGATTTGTAGGTTCCCACTTCATAATGAAACGTTGAAGTTTAAACCCCACAATAAATCCTGAAATTTGAAACTCATTAGAATTCATTGACCCCAAAAAGATGCAAACATTTTCGTAATATTGAAGTATACTGAGAAACACTATTTGTGTGAATAATCAAAAGGGTTTTCTCGGAGGGTATTGTGCAGATTTTTCATTATTATTATTAATTTTTTAAACGATGCACAATAAGTTCAATCAAGTGGTAGCTACAACTATTCACTATTATAAAATATAGCAAAGTCAAGGTAGTATTAATAGACTTTTTGAATAGACAGACATTTGGAGGAATTGTTGAATAGATTGAAGAGAATGATGACTATTATGAATACTAAAATGCAACTGGTAAAAATGTCACTAACTGCACATGGCTTTTAGTGCAAATTTTTGTGAACATAGTATTTATTTTTATTTTCTTTACAATGCGGCTCAGCTGTACTTTGCTCCCAAGAGATGCACAATTCAAATGTATACACAGCAACACTAGGAGGATATTAGCTCAGCAGTGCAATTTGTGAACCAGTTAACCCTTTGTGTGTTTTTAATGAGTAAAATAATCTCTTTGGCTTATCTGCACAGGTTTAGTTGGCACAAAAGACACGTAACCCACACTTGAACAAACATCTTGGCCCCACAGTCCTGCTTTTAATAGAAGCCCACTTCATATAAAGCATCAGCACTTAAAGCAAATGAAGGACTTTCCTAATATTTGAGGATGAACAGTTGTTTTATACAGCCTGATTGAAAACTGGATCAGAGCATGTTGATGCAGAGTTTTCTTGTTTAAGTGATGCATTGAAAATGTAGACATATGTTGCAAAAATAATTGTTATTAGGTAAAAAAAGGTTCATACTGAAAGCTTTTTATGGTATAGCATGCAAAGGACAATATAATCAAAGACTGGGGGTGCCAAAGTTGACACACACCAAAAGTTCTTCACAGGAGCTTGTAAATGATGGTCATATTATGTTTTAAAGTTATATTTTACTTCAAACTGAATGCACATTTGACTTCATAACATCTTCCAACAGATCCCAGACAAAGTCAGAAACACAGGGATAAACACTAAACCATGCAGCAGTCCAAATGTAATCACCAGAAACACGATCTTAAAAAATGTCCTGAAGATGTAACTCCCAGACGTAGACAGCACTACCACACCTAAGATGGTGGACAGAGCTCCTTGCAGTATTGGGTATCCTAGATGTGCCAAGGCTTCCCTAGCTTTCTCATTAATATCACTTTTTGGGCTTGAGATAAAGGCATAGGAAATATGTGCTGAAAAATCTACAGAAAACCCGATGCACATGATGAGGTTGATCATGGAAATGGAGTCCAGGTTTACTCCCCAGAGTGCCATGAAACCTATCACACCAACAAGGACCGAACAAATTGCAAAGGCCACCCATACAGAACAAAGAGGGTTTGGCATCAAGACCAGTGAGATGACTAGCATCACAATCACAGCTACCAGAATGGTTTGGAGGGTGTTGTCCTTGATGATGACGTACTGGTCATAATAAATGAAAGCAGGATGGTACACCAGGAGCTCCACTGGACAGGCCTCTGCGGTTTTCCTGAGTTTGGTCATCAAGTCCGTCATTGGGGTTTTGTTGAGTGTCTGAATGAAAAAGCGGGAGGCTTGAGTCTCGTCATCTGCGGTCAGGTTAATGTCTTGTTTAAACATGGGGTTGAGTTCTAGGAAATAGCTTAGATGGGTTTGGAAGGCCTCTGGAGTACTTATATTGAGATTGGTCACATTTGTGTACTGTTCAAAGGATAGAAACCAAGCAAAGGTGCTGTTGACAAAGTTCAAACTCTCAAAGTTTGAAATGCACGAACGCAAATGCTTCAATTCATTCTCATCCCAGTACTGAAATGGCTGCTGCACTGCTACCATCACAGTGCAGCTATATTCAGCAAAGTGTTGCCTTTGATTGTTATAATAGTCGATTATGTATGAGTCATCTAAAGCCAGATTCCTGATATCCAATCCCTCCTCTAAGGTAAAGCAGCCATAGATACTAACAGCCAAATAGATGGCATAGATAGCAAATACACAAGCCTTAATTGTTTTGTGGGTCAGAAAAGGGCTGTAAAACTGCTCAAAAAAGTGACTCATTGATTCGGTTTCCTCCTTCTCTGAGAATCGATCGTAGCTCCCTCCAACACAGCAGATACTGAAGGCTCTGGAGTTCCCTGAAGGTGTATCTTCAGGGATTTTGGCACAGGTGAACCAGTGCCTTTTCCCTGCTTCCCTCCGTCCGTTCAAAGCCATGAACGCCCCCAGGAAAGTGATGCTGTAAAGATAACAGAAGCAGATAGAAACCCCAGCATAGAAGCAGAAGGACCGGACTGAACCAAAGGGCGAGCTGCAGCCCAGGAAGAAAGCCAGAGCGTCTGTCAGCGTGGTGATAGAGATAGAGATGGCAGCTTCCTTGTAGGTTTCTGCCAGTCGTTTTGGGACGCTGTCTAGAACACCAGTCCTCTGCCAGCAAGAGATCATGATGAACATGTCGTCCAGTCCAATACCTATGAATTAAAAAGAGGAGGAGACAGCGAGAGTCAACAAAGCTGGGTCACTGGGTGGGTGAAAAGGTTAGTCTCTGTTAGTGACTCTGAGGATACTTTTAGTATTACTCTCAATTTACTTGAAGATTCATAGTTAAAGGCAGAACAAAAGAAATAGAGATAAGAAGATCAAAAAACAACAAGACAAGTTAAACTAAAAGAAGCTTAGTGAGTGAGACATCTACAAAGTTGCAGAAAACACATAGTAATATGACTACTATGGGGAAGGGGATCTTTTGACCTTTTAAGTCTAATGTTAATTTCTCTACTAGCTGGCAAATAACTTTTTTGGCGACCCATGAGGTATAATGTGGCACAGGGATCATCAACATTTTCAAGATTGATTTATCTTGATCTACATCTGATTACACATACTTTGACAGGAAACTTTTATGTGGTTTAGCAACATGGGAGTGCTAGAATATGGAAACATGGAACAATGAATACCATATCATTTCTAGTTTTACTTTGAAGATTAAAATGAAGTAATATTGTTTTAGTTTTTTCAAAAATTGATTTAACCTTGAATAGGGAGACCACATGGACTGAATTATTCAGTAAGACTTACCCAATATCATGAAAGGACAGGAAGCAACTGTCATCACAAAGGGTTGATTCAGCAACAACAGCAACCCAAAACCACTCAGTACTGCCAGACCTGTGGAGAACACCCCGCAGGAGGCCACCCACACTTTGGTCCTCACATTATCCAACCTTTGAACACAGATAAAAAGGTTTTAAAAAAAGAGCCATATATCCAAAACTCAATTATGCAGAAAATTTTTCACCGACCTCCAAGATGACAGGATTGAAAATGTGACAGCAATGGCGTAGGTGATGGAGAAAAGAGAAATGACTGAAGATGGAGTTTTTTGAAATTCCCACTGCATTGACATGGAGGTGGAGTATGACACCTAGAAAGATGAATATATTGCCACATTATACAACAAAGAAAAGCAGATTATTTGGAGCACTTGCAGGTATCAAAGTTGTGCTTACCTGAATGGACGTGGATGATGAGTTTGAGACCAGCTCAATGAAGTTTTCCATCCAAACGTCTGTTTCTGTTTTGTTGTCCTCTTGCAGAAAGTAATGGAGCTGTATGGCTTTAGCATCTCCAATGACTGAGCTCTCTTTGTCCACATTCACACTCCCCAGACTTAAATATAAAGGAGAACTCTTTAAATCAGAGTAATGCCATGGAAATGTCAGATTGACTACTCCTATTTTGCTTGCATTGTACTCAATAATATCCAGAATTTCATTAGAGTAGCAGGATCCCATCACCTGAGCACAAACATCCAGATAGTCAAATGACCGGTTATTAAATTGCATCTTCATACTCCTGACTTTAAAGTCCAAGTCTAAGACATGCTGAAGTGACTCCACTGTCAGTATGTTTCTGTCACTTGTAGCAATAAAAGTTGCATAATTCCCATCTGTACTCAGCCTCAGACGTGAAAACACAGAGTGGTTTCCTGGAAAGGTTTCTTGGATGTATTTCCTCTCTGTCTTGGCAGGTCCATCCACAGGTGTGAACTGCTCCTCTATATTATTTGACATTCTGTCCTTGAGGAAATAAAATCCAGTCCCAAGACTTGTCGACAGAAGAAGAGGAGTGATCAAGAACAACCAAGGATGGGATCCAATAAAATGACCCAGCATCTCAAAACTGATGCGTAAGGGTCTCTCTATGCAGTCAGTGCGGAATCTGGCCATAGCTGCAAAAAATGTGCTTCAAATGAGACCCAGACCTCTTCTTTTAAAAAAGAAAATTAATAGACTTTTTGGAATGCAAAAGAGCTCTTTTTCCTCTCACAAATTTTAGAGTTACACTGAAGAGGTCCTTGAGTTTTCACAACCAGCAGTATTTATTGTACTACAGGCCTCTTCAACCCCTTCTTAAGATCACATTTGCATAATAACAGGGTCAGCCCTCTCTGTAATGAGGAGAAGCAGCAGAGCTTTGGGGAAAGGTTCAGTGAAAGAGACCATTGAGGGTCTGCAGGTGTAGTATGGCTCACTGATTTCATTTCAGTATACTCACAGTTCTGGTCTACAATAGCTTCACCCTCAGGTTATTCCTCTTCATGGTTGAAGTAACAGTAAAATTTGGGGTTATTGAAAACTGGTGAAACGTGGAAAAGATGTGAAACAAAGAGGTATAATAATGAGAATCGAAATTTGGACTCCCTGATGCTTTCCCTCCCTCAGTGGCTCATGTAGTGTTTCCACTGATCCCACCCCTGAAAATAATATTTGAGACAGACTTACATGAAAACAGCAAATAAGCGGCATTCTGGCTCTGATTCTTTACTTACCTACAGCTTTCTGTGGCTTGAACTGTCAATAATTTAGATGACACTCATGGAGCTGAGCAGGGGATTTTAGATGGACAAGGGCAAAGGGGATTTTTTTAATTTCAATTGAATGAAATTGTGCCTGAAATAGCTACCTTTGTGACACTGTCTCTGACACAGAAGAACTGAAATATGTATGTACTATAAACCCATGACTAGAATGAGTTTTACTTTCCTACTGCATTACGTGAATTCAGATTTAGCAGACATCATCTTCTTCTGTCTGAGTGTCATCATGATGATGAGTCACTTCAAAACAGGTACAAACCCTCTTTCTTTTAACAGGTAAGAGCACACATGATTTTAATCTGGCACCTCACTTACATACACAATAGATACCCTCTCAGTCAAAGGTTAAAATGCTGAAAAAGATGCTGATGATATACAGTGAACAAACTACAGGGCAACAAAAACTGGGACTTTGAAAGCATTATGAATTTTAGCTGTAGTTCAAAAAAAGCAACACAAAAGGTATTATAAAAAAAAAAAAAAAACTAAAAAAAAAAATGAATTTTGATTGGTTCTAGAGGATGATTTCAACCATCCCATCCCGTTTCGTTTTTTTTTAACCTCTAAATAAGATAAAAAAATATGTTACTTATCTATCTATCTATCTATCTATCTATCTATCTATCTATCTGTATATATATATATATATATATATATATATATATATATATATATATATATATATATCTCGATAGATATAGATATCGATAGATATAGATATAGATTTTTTTTTTCTTACTCTTCCTTCATTTTGTTCATTAGATGGGCTTTAAATTTATCAATTTCCCCGTAGGAACCTTCCCAAAAGGATCAATAAAGTTCTATTTGATCTAATCTAATTTAATCTAATGTAATCTAATCTAATGTAATCTAATTTAAATTTAAACGAGGCCTATTGACACCTGTTGCCTTCTACCCACAATAAAAACCTGAAAAATCTTGCAAAAGTACTCGAACTAAGAAAGATGTTACATATAGATGTTGTGATATAAAAATTGAAGTGCTTTACTATTCGCAGGGAAATTTATTGCAGCAATGGTCAATGAAAGAGAGAGAGACCTGTTAAAAAGGCGTGTTTTGTTTTTCTGAACGACTGAGACTGCACCTTCGTGACGTCATGCGTCGCAAGTTGGGCGGAAGTTGCGCGAGCAGCAGGCTGTCACCGGAGCCGTTAGCCGCCTGCTGTCCTGAAAACAAGTGAAGTTTAACGATTATAGCATCGACCATAAGATACTAAACCAGCTAACACGTCGGTATGGACGAAGACGTGCTGACGACCCTGAAGCTGTTGATTATCGGCGAGAGTGGAGTGGGAAAATCCAGGTTTGTCTGTGTTTACAGTGCTCTTGGTAGCTAGCCTGTTGTAGATGTTGATGTTGGTCTCGTTATGTAACTTTAGTCTCAAGCAGCTGTTAGTACAGCGTGTTGGTTTAACTTTTTTTCTACAATTATAGGTAAGGTCTTCACTGATAACAGGTTGGCAGAAAGGATACTAACAACATTAACTTATTAAAGGCAGAGGCCAAACTTTCAAAGCTATCAGTAGTTGTAGCTGCTAAAAGCTGATGTACAGTCAGGTCTCAACGTAAACACTGTACAGCAGCTGTGTGTTTGATCCTGTTACAGGCACAGAGACAGTCTGACTGATATGTCAGGACACTACAGAGGCCTCTTTGTGTACCCTTGTCGTGCTTATTTCCATACTCTCTTTATGTCCCATTACAGCCTCCTGCTGAGGTTCACAGATGATACTTTTGATCCAGAGCAGACAGCAACAATAGGTAAATAAAGTATACACTCATGAATAAACACTGTAAAGTTAATGCAAATATCTAACAAAACTTGACACTGGAAAATTCACAGACCCTGCTATCTCTTGTTTTTCTGCCAACCAGGTGTGGATTTCAAAGTAAAGACACTTGCAATTGATGGAAACACAGCAAAGCTCGCCATATGGGTAAGACTGAAGTCATGATCTATTGTCTACTGTTAATCTTTGTTAGCAGGAAAAACATGATGAGAAGCAGGATCTCTCCACTAGATGGAGACATTATGCAGGAAAAAAAAATAGAAGGACACAAAACAGCTGAAAGTTTCTCTCAAGAGGCAGACAAAAGACAGGTCCCCGAGTCTGATTCATTGAAAGGACAACATACACAGTGAGGCCATGATGGAAACCCAGACCCTGAACTCTCTGGACTTCATCTGGTGTCTGTTGGGAGAATGTCACTCTGTGCAGGGGGATGCCAGGGCTCAAAATATAGAGACAGGTGGTTAATTTTTTTAAGATAAGTAAGTTTTTTGATAAAGTGTTATTTTTTTACTGCTATTTGTATTTTTGACAAAATAAATAAATAAATAAAAGTCAATCTTAACCCAGCAAATAAAACTACACGGTCACATTTTAATTTAGTAGTAATTGTTTCCAATTACACCCACAGTAAATCATGATTTTAATGTTTTTATGATACACAGTACGGAAAATTTCCTCGAGGAAAGATTAAAGAAAGTAGCAGACTGCCAAGAGTTTGAGTCCTCAGGAGATAGCAAGTTTAATAATTTGATTCGGAAATACTTCATTTACCTCAGGGGAAATTCTATTGTTACAGTTCCTGTACAACACAAAACAACAATATGAATAGAGGACTATTGTTCAGACTAAGAATCGCATAACAAATGACTAAAAAGTGATTGAAAGTTTGGTTTAAGGTTTAATTGAAGTCCCTTGCTTTCATTGATCTTATGTATCTTTACTTCTTCAGGACACAGCTGGACAGGAAAGGTTTCGCACCCTGACGCCCAGCTATTACCGCGGTGCACAGGGAGTCATACTTGGTAAACAGTTGTTATAATATCATAAAACCACTTAACCTTTTTTAATACCACACCAGAACAGTTTGTTTTTCAGGAAGAGTCATTTTATTACCATAAACACTGAGCAGTTTAATATCACACATTCATTTTAAGGATCCAGACATATTGCTAATTTGGACATCACATTAAAATTCATCACACTCTATCAAGAAGAATTTCGACATGAATTAAATGCTCATGCTGTGAATAAGCTATCGGACAATTCCAATATTCTGCAAAAGTTCCCAGTTCAACTCCATAGTCTTAGAAATCTCGTGTGTTCTTGACCTTTTTTAATCTATTATCTCTGTTTCCATGGTTTTGACAGTATATGACGTCACAAAGCGCGACACTTTCACAAAGCTCGAAAACTGGCTGAATGAACTGGAAACCTATACGACACGCAATGAAATTGTAAAAATGCTCGTTGGGAATAAAATAGATAAGGTGAGTCATCTGTTTAGGTTCTTAACACTTTGTCACAATTCATCCGGCCTTAGTGTTGTTTCAGTTAGTTTTTTGGTCCTTCATGATTTTTCTTCTACATGTAAAATGATAAAGGATATCTGTTTTTCAGGACGACCGTGAAGTGGACAGAAACGAAGGGCTGAAATTTGCTAGGAAACACTCTATGCTTTTTATTGGTAAGTATCCGTATGAGAGTAAAATCAGATAGAAGGCTATATGACCGTCATGGAGGTTTAAAACAGCAACAAGTATACAAAAAAACAAAACCAAAACAGGCCTGCACACTTACCCAATTCTGCAAAAAGTTCATCTTCTCCTCAGAAGCTGGTTTTCCTGAGGATGGGGGCCACACCAGAGCAGTTATCACAACTGCATTGTCTGGGTTGCAGCTCAGTTTGAACAGAATTTCTAATTCAGGGTGGAGTTTCCATTTTCCTTCTTTAATGGGGTTAGACCAGCAGAGATAGTGTCAACTTGAGTGAAAGTTACAACTTCAGTTTTACTAGCTCTGAGTAGGTGCAAAGTCAAGGCAATAAGGTATAAGAGTCACCAAAGTAACAAACACCCCACTAGGAAGAGAACTTTTCACTGACTGGCCAAATAGAGAGCGGCTGGTTTTTCTGGGAGCGTATTTTGTTTTGTTTGGAAGTTCTGCTTTTCTGGTTAAGTTGAACCTGATGTCTGCATGGAGGAACCAAAGACACAAGCTAAGTTACACACTAACGTGTTTCAACACATGGTTTGTAGAGGACTTTGGACCTCTGGATTAAGACACAATTAAACGGTGCTAATATCTGTTTATACTGAAGGCAGAGAAGGAGAGAGTCACTAATCAGTGATTCATATTGACTTATAATTGGTGAGAGAGAGACACTCTACTTGGACATGAATGTTTGATAGTTGGTCTAACTTGTGAGTCAAATCCCTGTCTTTCACTGAAGTCCCCTCTAATCCACCAACAGAGCCCCCTCTGTTACACATTGATCTAACTGTTGCTGAGCTAAATAACACACTTGGGATGAAGTGTTTGGCAACAAGCAAAGGTGTGTCCGGACATTTTTGACAGGGGTGGCCCAGTCTCAGCGCCGACACTGCTGGCATGAAATGAAGCATGTGAGCCCACTCACCAGTAAAAAAGCATCTATTAGAGATACGCAGACTGATTTTTTTTCCAATTTCATCTCTTCTTAATGTTTCATGAAATTGGTATGGCTTGCCATCATGGTCCCTATCAGCTTATGTGTTCCAATCTCAAAGTATCTGGGTATGGCCTCCAGCTTTTGGAAAGAAATGTGGTTGTTCGAAATTTTGAAGCATTGAGTAAGTGTGCAGGTCCATCTTGATTTTATTGCAGCCATTCAAACCATTAGAGCGCTAAGTGAAGCTCATAGCCATGAAAACACACCATTCAGTTCTAACATGTCATGCTGTCGTTGCTCCTCTGGAAAAAGTCAAGACATCACTTAGTAAATCGTGCATTCAGTTTGTGTTTATACTCTTTTGGCAATTTTGAGTCTCTGCTGTCAGATCTGAGCTCAAGGATGCAGCCACTCCAGCAGAACTGAATTATGATTAAAATCAAGCAGGCTCTCATTTAACAGATCCATGTCTACACGTGTTCCTGATTCTCATCTCCAATCTGCTGCTCTCTGGGAAATTAGGTTAACATTTCTGTAGAGTTTCCATTTTAGATCGGCTAAATGAAGGGCTTTTCAATAGGGTCGGGCATGAAAATGTGGTGACTTTAATCTGTTGTGAGGATGTCTTCATCCCACTTGATGTCTGCCGTCTCTTAAATGAAGACATTTTATACTTTAAATGTCATGTTTGTTACCACATGGATGTTTTAAATCTCTTGTTAGTTCAACTTTGAAGATGTTTGGAACAAAGATGTTTTGTTCTTTTTTCATCGGTGGATGTCATCATTTTTGGTAATCCTCTTTCTGTACTACAGAGGCCAGTGCAAAGACCAAAGATGGTGTCCAGTGTGCCTTCGAGGAGCTGGTAGAGAAGATCCTTCAGACTCCAGGGCTGTGGGAGAGTGAGAGCCAGGGTCCAAGGGTCCGCCTGGGAGAGCAGGAGCAGGGCGGGGGCAGGGCATGTGGAGGATACTGCTCCATACCCTAAAAACGGACAGAACCAAAAAAAAAAAAAAAACACCAACCTGAGGAACGACTAAAGACCAGAAACAGAAAAGAGGGCGAGGGGTGGAGCTAGATGGGTCTTTTTTTTAAAAGCTGGATTAGTTCTGTTGGTCAAAAGGACTTTGCTGTTTGCACACTTCCTTTTCAACCATCTCTTGTCACTACCTTGTATTTAAGACATGAACCAAGCATCATGAAGAAAAAGCCTCTCGTCTGAGAAAGTACAGCATTTGAATTTGACAAAAGCATGCCAAGTGTACGTCATACAAGTACGTGTCTGGTTTGAATTCATCATGTTGGCAGCGGTTATACTGTTGTACATTAAGGCTTCAGGTTGATAGCATATAGTGCCTATAACATGAACCAATTTGTAGGCTAGAGTGCGTAGCTTGTCAAACAAAATGATCCAGTATAATCAGTGAAGAAGTCCCTTCAGGAAACTTAAGGGGGGGTAAAATCATCCTCTGGTATGTAGCTGCAAATTTTAAGTATTAATTCTTTAAAAGATATTTCTCCTTGCTTTCTTTCACATGAATTGGATCGATAATAGTGCTGGAATTGACCTGTTATGTCAAGTGTGTCAGCTTCTATTTAAAGTCTGTCATTCTGCACCACAACACTGTGAAAAGCTCCTAAACGAGACATTTCACACCGGACCCCAGTTACTGACTCCACTTATTTCTTACTGTTTGCAATATTTGTTTAAAGGTTATTTCCATCACGTTCCATGTATGTATAAAGGCTTTTGAGTCAACCTATTTTCTGTTTATTTTTCTTTCGTTACATGTAAACATCTGAGACGAGTAACAACCTCTGTCTTCAAGGATTTTCAGCTACCGAACCTGTGTTTGTTTTCTTTGAATGTCTGCTCTGGACCATAGCCGCTATAGATGGCAGGTTTATAGTATTAGGAGCTCTTTAAGGTCTTGACCTGTAACTTTGACTTCTCATCTATTTGACAGTTTCTGTGTGGTGTGGTCTAGTCGTGTATAAGAGCTGCTGATTGAAGGCATTTTTCACACGTAGTAGTTTGAGATCATTCCTGTATTGTTCATATTTGTCTGTATTCCTTTTCTGTCTTTCCGCCACGTTGACCTTTTCCCCCCTTAATGTCATAACTTGTTGCTTTTGCTTTGCATCTGTTTGAATCATAAGAAGCAATATGTTAAATTGCCTTAACATTAACAGACATTCAATAGGGTTATGGTTCAGTGACGCGTGTAAGGTTTCAAACTGAAATAAATGACAACCCTGAGATGACTAATTATTGTTTAATTGACATTCGAGAAGTGCCATTAGTTTGTGGAGCAGCCCATTTCAATCAAAAGCAGGCTAACAGTGGAAACAGGCATGAGCTCCTCTTTCCACAATGCTTTGTTGATGACTAGTCTTATATAAATGCATGACTGAACACATACTTTGCACAAAATGTCAGAAAACAGACCAAAACTGGGACACGAGTGGAAAATTCCTGTTAATCATGTTTTGTAAAATAGTCCCAGAGGACAGCTGATTACAAGCTTATGTTTGGTGTCAGGATGTCCCCACAAGTCTCCCTGCAGAGGCACAGCACCAAACGTTCCCCTGAGGCTTATTGAGTTCCAATAACATTACTCCTCTGGCAGCTGATGCTAAGTTGGGGTTTGGAAATTCCTTAGATTTAATTTGGCACCAATGCTGCGTTTTATCATCAAAAACAGATGACAGTTTTTCATCTAGCGCTATGATATTTGCTATTCAGGAAAATACAGATTTTTGGTCCTTTAAACACGCACCACAACTCATTAAAATATTAGATTAAATATTTCCATTATCTCCAACCTGTTTTAACCAACTTTGAGGCAAACCAGCAACTGGCCGAGTACCAGGGGACTTACAGGTAAGAGAGTGGCATGGGACCCTCTTAAAATCTCATTAACCTGCGACTGCAAAATATTGAACTGCAATTGGTTGATTGCCTTGTTAAAGGCAGAACTTGTATTCAAATGAACTATTTGAGCCAAAACAGACAGCATCACTTCATGTCTGCCCAATGTGAGTCTTGAAGCCAAAGATTCACTGTCATGGATGCTGATATTCACACCGATGAAAGATGATCGACTTGGCTGATAGTTTTGAGAGAATGACTCCACAACTGTGACACTCAAAAAAAAAAAAACTTTAAAAAACCACTTTAAACTTACCAGTATAAAAAAATCAAAGACCTCTCAGATGGCTTATATTTACAGCAAGACAGATTTCTGTGTTGCTGCAGACACTGGGGGTTATAGAAAGTTCATTGACTCTCATGTTTGTGTGTGTTTTCTTCTACCCATGCCATCCCTGTTCCAGTGCCTCAGTTTAGCCGCAGTAGCCAAAAAAGTCTTGATGATTCCCAGACTCGCATTGAATCTGACCTATGGCAACAATAAAAATAACATTAGAAAGACGTTTCCCTTATGAAGGCTGGCTAACATCTTCAGTGTCAACATTTTAGATCCTATGCTGTGGATCATGGAAATGTCTCAACCTACTGGAGGTGGCAGATTGAGACTGGTTTCTGATTTGCCAATTTTGTAAGCTTTGAAAAGAACCAGCAACGAAAAAATGTACTCCCCATACAGGGGGTACAGTGGGTGCAGGCATTCGAACTGCAGTTAGCACTCCTACATTGGCGTCATTTCTTAAGACAGAAGATTACTGCATGGGAAACAATCTGGAATAGAACAGCTGACTATCTCACATGTTAATATGGGGCTATGCTGACCTGACAAAATGCTTATGCACACTTGCTAGCTGTTGTCTAACCTTGCTGTTCTGTACTACAAGCTTGGCCCTCTGCCTGTCAGGAGCAATTACTTAAGGACGAAGTGCAATCAGCTGATTATCAGTTGTAATATCACAAACAGCAAATCATTTCCACACACACATAGTCTGTTGATTCCCCTGCCTAAAAATATGGATCCTAGCCACTTTGTCTTTGAATCGGGAAACTGCAACGTGTCCTGGGAGTTCCTGGGAATTCTCTCCCTGCTGGTTTTTATGATGCCAAGCCTTTGCTTAAACTACAGCCTTTATAAAGCTACATGAACAGATAGAATAGAAACTGGGATACCCACATTTGCAAGCATGAGAGCTTCCTCTAAATGCAGCCCTGTAAAACATATCTATGCCTCTGCTTCAAAGCATTGATTTAGAGCAAACGGCTGACCAAGAGATTTCACATTACTTTTATTCAAATAGCTGCTGTCAAACTTTGGCATTGGATGATTATCCAGTCTCATGAAGTTAATATAACTTACTGCAACAGACAGACAAGAAGACATTAGAAACATTACAAAAAATAAAAAATTACACTGTTTGGTTGGTTTTTCCATTTTAGAACATAAAAAGTGTTGAACATGTCAAAGTTTATCAGCTTAAAAAAATAACAGGGGGCTGTACATGAATTTCAAGGCACTTAACCATCTGGTATTCCTGATGTTCTTGGACAATGTTCTTGGACCAGATGCTTAACTGAAATGCCTAAACACTGTTAGGTAGTGCCACGTTCACGGTCTGGACCTCAGAGATGTGAGAGGACCTCTGGATGATGCGGCTGGTAAAAGCAGGCCCCTTGGTGCAGCTCTGCCTCAGAGCAGTAGTAGGTCTCGTGGCATACATGCTGTCCATGATAGTGGTCCTGGTAAATGAGAAAGGCTTTCTGGTGCAGCTCTGCCCTGTGACAGCGCCTGGCATGGTAACACAGCTCTGGTCTGCGGTGCAGCTCGGACCCTGGGCCAAGTTGGTCAAAGCGACGGCGGCATGGATCTCCCGCCAGCCCTGACTGACCGGTTTCTGCTGGACTTGTTCTTGCTGCTGGATACTGAAAAAGAAAATCAGCAAGAAATGAATTTTATTATAAAAGGAATATTCCGGCGTAAAATTAATTTAGGGTCAAACACACCATAACACCAAGTTAGACACCCCCCTCAAGAGATGAATGTTGCCGACCTGCACAATAGCAATATACAGTGGTCTATGGGACCACACACAAACCTCAACCAAAAAAACACTCTATAGCCACAAATAATGCTCAGAACAGCACCTAACTTCATCAACAATACATATACGGTCCTAGCCACAGCACTAGCCACCAAACATCTTTTTAGCTTTGCCTGATTTCTTTAGCAAAGAGACTTAACACAACTCACCCACTGTCTTCCAGCAGCCACTTGTTTGTAGTGAGACCTCCAGGCGAGTCCATTGCGGACTGCTGCAGGGTGATGCATCTCAATGAAGAACATTTATGATCATTATTTGATCATTTCCTTGAAGTAATAATCGCCATATTGCACTGCAGACACAGTAGTTCTTCTGCCTTAACATCTCGGTCTGATTGCATTTCCATGAAGTAATTATCATAAATGTTCTTCTTGAGTTGTGTCACCCTGCAGCAGTCCGTAATGGACTCGCCTGAGGTTTCGCCACAACCAAGCGGCTGCTGGAAGAGAGTGGGTGAGTTGTGTTTGGTCTCTTATCTAAAGAAATTAGGTAAAGCTAAAAAGATGTTTGGTGGCTAGTGCTGTGGCTAGGACCCTTTATGTACTGTTGATGAAGTTAGGTGCTGTTCTGAGCATTATTTGTGGCTATAGAGTGTTTTTTTGGTTGAGGTTTGTGTGTGGTCCCATAGACCACTGTGTATTGCTATTGTTCTTACTAAAGTTGGTATAACTAGAGAAGCAAGCGGCTGGCAACATTCATCTCTCGAGGGGGTGTCTAACTGTTATGGTGTGTTTGACCCTAAATTAATTTTATGCCGGAATATCCCTTTAAATGTGATAAGCACAGTACTTCGATTGTTTTGATCAAATGAATACTGATTTTTCCATTTTTCCTTTTTACACTTAATGGGCCTTAATATTTATTGCTGCTGGGACAAGAATACAGCAAACAAAATAACACAATACAGGACAGCCACACCTCATATGCCTCTTATTTTGATTGGCTTCTAAAATACACATCAAATCATCAGGAACCAGGGGATATAGAACCAGACCCAGAAGTGTGTCATGTGTTTGGTAGGGCGCCTGACTTTGAAAGAAATGATCTGGGTTTAAATCTAGTGCAGGGACAGTGCATGTTAAAGGGAGGAAGAGTTGAGGCAGAGAATTAAATGGGAGGAGGCAGGAGTAAGAGAAAGAAAGGGGAGAAGAAAGAAGGAAGGAAAAGAGTAGGAATAAGACTACATGAAAATAGACAGGGAAAAAAAAAGCACCCCAGAGAGGGTGGTCGAGAGGGCAGTGAGCATGAATCAAAATGTCAAAAGAGATGTTGTAGGAATCCTGGGCAGGAATAATTTTGATTCAAAGCCAACGAGATGAATCAGAGGTGGAGGCTCACTTTCAAGAACAAAATCCCAAATAGATTGTGAAAGGTATTACTCTTCATGCTGATGAAAGTTGAAAAGTGCAAACAGCTGATTTGATTTTGAAACAACACTCACCTGTCACATCTAGTTGAAGAATAGTCCATTGTATCTGCGAGACAGAGGGAAAAGATGCATTAATATGCAATCAGTTCACTTGATAGCAGTGAATCACAGAATATATTCAAAGTATAATGGAGGCTGGATTTGGCTGTAGGTCACAAATTGCTTTATAATATTATGTGTAAGAGTTTGTGTGTGCATCTCTGCATGTTAGTGCATTTAGCGTATAGAGTTACTTCATGTCTGGTACGCCTTCTTACATTGCCAGAAACATCTGACTCAGTGAAGTCTTTGCTCAGCTACTCTTTCCAAAACAAACACAACAGTGTGTTTTTTCTGGAGCTTTCATGAGGAAAAAAATCTGATATCTGCAGCGTGTCATTTGCTCTCATGCTGTTTCTGTGCTAGTACCTGTAAAATCCACTGAATGTAATATTTATTTCCAAAAGCAGTCTCCATTTTTTTAACAAAGGCCTGAAAAGCACTTAGTTACGTGTCTCGTTGGGGGATATTTGAAGAAAGGACAGGTCCCCTGCCTTGTAGTGAGCTTACAATATCTCTGTCTGCATCTGCAGCAGGAGCAGTGTAAGACTTTCGAGTAATATTATCGTACTTGTGCAATTTCTGTTTGAGGTCAGTGCATAAACGTGTGTTATATATAAAACATATTTTCCATTTGGGCTTTGGGACACAGCCTCATTCATCGGAGCAGATAGAAAATGGTCAAAGTGGATTTTATCTTAAGCAACATCAGACGGGGAAATTAAAGGCCTTCTGTCAAACGCAGTCTTTCAACGCTAACAGTCCAAAACATCCCTGTCTCTGATTTCTTTAGCCCAGCTGGGGCCAAAAGCAACTACTTATTGATAATAAATCATGCTGCTGTTCTATGCTATTTTGCTACTGAGAATTTCTCTCTTTGGCTGCATGACAATCTGCCAAGAAAGTACTTTAGTACCTCTGTTGTGTTTTTATTACCAAGAAAAAAACATTATTCTAACTCTGGTGAGTCTCAAATTTATGGCAGGGATAGGATTCAACTAAATTTATAAGGCGTAATGAAGCTGGCTGCTAGAGATATTAGAGTCTGCTTGTACTTCTGAAATTCAAGAAGCCCTTTCTCATAGAGTAAGATGAGTATTTTAATACCTCCTTTGCGTCTATGGGATGTAAATAGATACACAACAAGCAGCTGGTAAGCTAAGTGTAGCAAAAACAAGGAAAAAGCTGGCATGCTTCTTTCAAATGGTTACAGAATTCACCAAACAACCATTCTAGCTCTCACTAAACTATAAGTGATGTTCAATTTAGACACTTTCAGCTGACAGTTGAGTCAAACATCACATACAACAGGGGAAATGGTACCCAAAACTATGATTTTATAAACCTTTCTTGCCAGCTTTTGCTTAAAAACAGCTAACAAACATTAAAAGTCAACATCAAACAACCAATCTTTATTAATATAGCACTATTTCATAACAAGTGTTATCCCAAGAATCTAATGACAAAAAAAACTAGTCTTAACTCTATTTACAAAGTCTCAATTTAAAGATGGGATAAGCCTGAGCCCCACCTTGTAAAATCAGACCTACTTTGATCTCATCTTCATCTGCATGAGTGATGCTCTGAGCAGCATTTAGCAAGTGACAGTGGGGAGGAAAAAACTTCTGTTTAACAGGCAGAAACCTCGAGCAGAACCAGACTCATCTAAGACAGTCATCAGCCACTACTGCATTGGGTTTAGAGAGAGGATATAGGAAGATGCAGAAAAAGAGAGATGGAGTACGTCTTTTCCTTCAATCGGACTACATTGCCAACATGTCTTAATGTCAACACGGGACTTTGTTCAGTTCAACAAGTAGACTACTGAGGATTACATTTTGAGAGAAAGGGAACATCTACAAAAAGTTGGCCTCATTTTTTGTTGGAAAACTGCGAGCATCAGTTGTCCCATATTAATCTTTGTAAATTCCTATGAGTGTTTATATTGAGTGAATCTTGGATGAATCTTGAACATAAAATTGTAGAAAAGCAATAACCACAAGTTAAGATAAAAATCTATGCCAAAAGTTCTGATTCATATAACCCATTAAGAGTGATAGGAATCCTTTCACGACCTAAAGTAAGTAAAGGTCTGTCATCTCAAGTGTGTCATTATGATCAACACAGGAAAACAAGTGTATACCGAGGAAACACTTTCCCCAGTAAAGAGGTGTATTTGCAATCAAGAGCGTCCCCTCTCAGCATGTGAATTTTTATATGAAACAAAACGGCAGAAACTGCAGCAAGGTGTTTTCCAGATAGGTTTTTCACTGCTTTACTTCCAATAAAAAAACATGTCTGGTCGCATTTATGGTTCTCCAGACTTTCAGAGGAAATACTGAAGTTGTTGCAGGTCCCATGTACATACCAGTCAACATGTTCTGTACATTGAATGTGATCTAACTAACACATACTACTCTATAACATTTTTACTGTCTGTGGGAGTCGGACTGATATGTTTCAAGTTTCCTTGTTGTGGCATCACTTGTTAGTCCGACAGTGGAGCTTTAGTGACTGTTTAAGTCGTCTCCCGGGCGGTGTTTAAACGTGTTAATGGTGTCAGTGCTTGTCATGAATCTGGCAGCTTGACTTTCCACTTCACCTCCACTGAGCAGCCGTAGTGGGTCACAAACACCCTTAATATGACCAGCAGGGAGACATTAAAAGTTTGAGCAAACATCTCCACACTGTAAGCTGCCCACATGGAGTGATGATGACATCAAGAAACCCTGAAGTACTCCAAGAGAAATAATTTGAAGTGAGAGAGCAATAACATGTTAGAAGGAGAGGTAAAACATTTTGGGATGTATGTGTGTTTGCTTTCTTTAGCTGCAAAGATGCCAGATTGATACCATGTGGATACTTCCCGACTAAGTTAGCAATCAGCTTAGCATTACGACTTACAGCAGGGTAACAACTGGCTCAGCTCCATCCAAAGTCAGAGAGCTTGGCTAAATCAATCTAGCAGCTTCAAAGTGGAGAAACAGTCAAAGGGTGGTGGGCGCCATATTAGGGAAGCAGACTCAGCCTAACTTTTGATCAATCTCCCCTAATTAAGCAAATTTATACATAATTCTGGGCCTAAATTTGATCAAAACATAGAGGTTATAAAAAAGTCAAACTCTAATGATTGTGTGTAAAAAGAAATTAGCAATTCAGACCAAATGCTTTATTTTTGTAAAGTGTTTACATGTTTAATTTTGCTGTTAAAAAAATGGTATTTGACTCAGAGGGGTCCATATCAGCAATTTTTGCCCCAAATCCTGATCAGTTTATTTGAAAATACTAAGATATAGGATAACCAAGCTATAATGCAAAACTTTTAATTAACTAAGCTGTTGAGCTGCTTTTTTGGCTGAATACCTCATAGATGTTTTCAGCTTATTTTCCCTTAAACTTGTGTATGATTGATATGCAATAATGCTTAAACTCAAGTTGATGCTGTTATGAACTCAACCCTTAGATCCAAGAGCCATCATAGCAACACTCAGCTGCTGGACCATGTCTTCAGCTGACTCCCACCCTCTTACATCAGTTTCAGGGATTACAAGTTACCGTATAAAAATCTGCAATCTTTTCGCTGATGGTCTTGTTTGCTTTTGGATATCAGAAAGCAGCTTCAATATGAATCAGTCTGTCAAAGAAAATCCCCACAAGAGCTGTACAGCCTAGCAGCGTTCCCAAAGGCATAGTTTGGGTTTTAATGAAATGGGATTGTATGAAGTTCTTGCTAATCAGAATCAGATTCAGAATCAGAATCAGGATACTTTATTTCTCCCAGAGGAAAATTCAGTAAAATCACCTGTGGGTTAGAGTATTATCCACAAGTGATCCCGTCCAGTTTGGCTCCTTTCTTGAGGAACAGGCCAGAGAGCTAACAGGAAAACTGAGCTGTCAGCTGCTGCACCCAGAGTCCACTTTACTTTGTAATTTAGATATCCTTAAGAAAATCCAACCATAACATCAAAGTAGATGAAAACGTAGAATATTTACACAATTTCAAGACTTCAAACTCCTGTCAGAAAACTTTTGTTTTTCATAGATTATATGTTCAACACCTACATGTTATTGATCCTCTGAGGGCAGAACACAAACTTAGACTTGTTTCATGGTCTCTCTGAATATTGTTTATCATATACATATAATTAAAATATATGCCTACTACTATATGTGTTGTACTTATTTTAAAGCTCTTGTGAGGAACTTTCTGTCTGTGTTGATTTTGGCACCCCTTGTGGACAAAGAGGTAACCCTTATATTATCACTGACTTCTGTCATTCTAGAAAGAAAAAGGGTTTTAATTGACTAAAAAGCTACTCTTGTTTTCTTTTTAAAGGGAAACTTATCACTCACAGCGAATATTTGCGGTGGGAAAAGCAACACAGGCTGTTATTTCTGTGTACCTACCCCTTCACTGAAGTTACAGGCATGAATATTATGATATAGAAATTGTCAGTCTAGTGTCAGATAGTGTTTGCTTTTGTGCTTTGTTTCAGTCTGTTTAATAACCAGTCAAAGACGCCTCATGTGAGCTTTCATTAATTTATGAATCCTACATCGTTGTGTTTACATTTTGTACAAGAGCAGCTTTAGTGCTTGAAGTTACCTCATAGATTGAGTATTCCTGATTCTGATCCCTTATAAAGTACTTCCCATTTTTGTTGACTGTTTTGATTCAGAACTAAAGTTTGAGCTTGTTAAGATATAAAATTGTACCAGTCTGCAAGAAAACACTGAGCGTCCCCGTTGGAGGCAGACTTTTGTCACGGACTGTAAAAACTAACCTTAAGACTGGGAGCAGCATTTAATATTTGGCTGGAAAGTGGTTGTAAAATATTAACTTGATGCATTGTTTTTTTAAGTGTGGGTGAAATGTATTCGTTATGCTAAAGAGCAAAATCAGTTTCAAAAATCTTTTCACAGCTCTTATGACATAATGTAAACCTGGATTGATTTTGAGTTGCGGGGTCACCATTGGGAGTATCCGCCTGCCAAAGCACATAAGAGTGAAGGAAAGCCTCAGCCTCAGATGGTTATTAGAGATCTCGTTCTGCCTTTCCTCACAGCTGAGTGGCAGCTCTGACACTCCCTCTATGTGAGGCGTCCTCAGCACTGTACTGACAGACTGCTCCATTTCGACGGTTGGCTATGGTTCCCTCTTCTCACCCGGGGAAGAATAAAGTCTCAGACGTTCTGTAATTGTCCTTGAGACTGGACTGGACATTTCCACCATGGCAAGAAGCTGAAGCGGAACAAATGGCACATTCTCGTATATGGAAATGATATTTGCGGTGAGCAGCGGCAGCCAGAATGAGCTCTATCCAATTTTAAAATGAGGGATTTCAGCGTCTGCATGGGTCTTTATTAGTAATGTTTGTAAAAGGTTTGGCTCCTGTACCTGAGTGGATCTGAGGCTTGTCAGTGGGCTAGGATCCCTGTAGGTCTGAAAGGGCACCCAGGTGTCAAGTTTAGCTGTAACTTTATAATTGAATCTCGCAGAGCTTCTGACTCTAGGTGCATTGCCAGAGATTTATTAATGTCATGGAGCTCTGAGGAGCCATGTGGAAGTTTGTACAGTCTGTTCTTCTTTAACTGTTCACTGTGGTGTGTTAAAAGTGAACCGAGGGGAAGCAGGGTCGTTAAAGTGTCATTTTAGCTAAAATCCAACATAAATCTGTAATTAACTAGAAGATCTGTTTAGGATTTCTCTGGACGGACAGAGGGTGCTCTAATCTATCTTCCTCCACTTTTAGCTTACATGTTGTATTTGCATTACATGGTCGCACTCAGTGTGCAGTACAAATGTTTACTCCAGTTTTCCTGATCCCTCAGTGCACAAGCTGAGTCTACATTGAAAACAGTTTCCGCTCTTTCTTTTAACTAAACATGGTGTGGGGTGAAACTAGTATTTCTCACCCATGTGGTAGACAAAGTTGGCCTCTGTTTCGTACGAAGATGCCGGGGAGACAACATCTCGATCGCATTCATTGGAGCTGAACGACTCAGAGTGGCTCCTCCCCCTGCAGGTTGAAGTGACGCCATCGGCCTTCGCTGCCATCATGTGTCGCAGGCTGTCGTTCAGGTACCGGTTTAGTAAGCTGCTCTTGTACTTGGATGGAGGGGATGTGCTGTCATCACTGTTGGCAGAATCAGCCATGGCGAGGACGCTGCCGGGCTTTTGGAGCACGCTCTTATGAGAGGATGACCTGCCAAATTCTGATTGGCTGATGGGAGCTTGTGAGGGACACTCTTCATCTGTAAGAACAACAAAAAGACTTCAAGTTCCTCTCACAAAAGCATGTAAATATAGGAAAAGTACAAACTATTTTTAAGTTTTAAGTTTCAAATTCTATTTCCACGGTTTCAACCAAAACATGGGCTGAAAAGTTAACTCAATTAAACATGTACCTTCTGAGTGTGTTTCATCGCTGCACACGCTCAGCCTCTCAGCGTTTCCCTGGATATATTTGTTGTAAAGTTTGATCCTCAGGGCCCAGCTCAGGTCTGGTTGTCTCACTGTGTTCTTCAGCCTCCGTCGTGCATTCGCAAACCAGTTGGACACCTGCACAGATGCACAAATTAACTCATGCGTTTCTGCGGTCACTGTTTAAGTCCAAGTTACTTCACTAATCCTTCTCTGGGCTTAGTGAGTACAGAAAAGATAGACATGGTACATACAGATGCAAAAAATAAACTGTACCTAAGATCTAGGATATGAAATAAGATCTACAATCCCTCCATTGCTGCTTTAAGTTCATCCCACCTGTACTAGTGTCATGTGTGAGCCCAGAGCCAGCAGCACCTTCTCTGTCTTGGTGGGGTAGGGGTTGTCTCGGTGTTTGTACAGCCAGTGTTTCAGGGGTCGAGCCATGTCCTGAAGCACCTGTCGCTTGTGGCGAACTTTGACCCCACCCACACGAGACCTGGGGGAATCAGAAGTTGACTGATAGATTTGGGAAGACAAACAAACAGACAAATCCGCTACTTATACGTGAAACTACACAATACTTAATGACTGTGTTTTAACTGCTGAATAACTTTCCAGCTACAAACCTTACAGCACACATTGTTCCTCTTTAAATAATGTTGGTTGAGGAGGTGGCTCAGATTTCTAATTTGATTAAATTTTTGTTTTATTAAATGTTTTTGAGTTTGCCATTTCTGTGTCTGGAGCTACAGTGGTTTATTCCTGGAACGTTTTTCCTTAATCTTTGTTTTCTGAACTGTTTTTCTTTTTACTACACACTGCATTTGTTGCACTTGGTAGGGCTTCAGAAACTCAAATCTCAAAAATCTTTCCCCTCCTTAACTTATGGTAAAATAGCTCAGGATATGTAAATTAATACACATTCACTCAATGGAAAAAAAAAAAAAAGATAAATTAAGTTTTTTGAAAACAGATGCAACTTCATATTGCAAGACATTAAAATTGCAGTTCTGACAGCTGTTTTAATAATTTAAAGCAACTCTGACTTTCAGACCTCTTAGGTCAATGTGGCTGATATTGAAGCTCCTGTGAGGAACTTTTGGTTTGTGTTAATTTTACTGCCTGCTAAAGACAAAGACGTCTTCTTTTTACCCATCAATGCCTGAATCTTTGGACAAAAAAATGATAACTTCTGAGAGTCCAGTGTGCCATTTATTATGAATATTCCATGTGGAAAATGTAAAAAATGACTGTTTCTCCAGCTGCATGGCTGTCTCCTACCTTCCCACACTGATTTCAGGCAATGAGAATTACAAGATAAAATATACCAGTCTTACCGCTGATGGTCTTGTTTGCTTTATCATGTACGTCAAAAACTCCTGACTGTAGCTTTCAGTGTCATAACGTGTATTGAGCAGAAATAAGTAACATACACTTTTGAGGCTCATAAACAAATCTATCCATTTACAACTGCTCTTAGGAACAGATAAAAGCAATTATACAAAATAAGACCACCTTTCTAGCAGTTTTTGTGCTGTATAAACAGCATAAACATAAAGTACATACCCATATCTTCTGTATTTGATGGTGGAGCTGTTTTCAGAGCTGTCATTGCATCGCAGCAGATCTTTGTTTTGTCCGTCTGTTAAACTGCTCTGAGGTAAATCTGCACAGCTCAGTCTGCTCCTCTCCTCGGCTCTCCTGTCATCCTTCAAATGAAGAAGAGTCCCAGATCTCATCGCAGCGACTTTGTTCATTGTTTAACACTGAAGTTCTCCTAAATCAACAGGTGCATCAGTAGATATCCTCCAGATGTGGATTAAAGGAGCAGGTTCCCATCCTGGATAGATTTGAGTGAAGCTGTTTGAAAAAAATCAAAGTATGGTTTAAAAAGTGATCCTTGCGCGCATATGAGAGAAAAATGTTGGAAAAGTCAGAGGATGTCGTCTGGTTCAGTTGTGAGGAGAGTTCAAATAACCTGCTGCTCTGTCTACTATTGGCTTTCCCTCTGTCCAATCATGTCTCTTGAAATCTCAGTGGGGAAAACTCGACAGAGCAGAGCAGCAGCCTTCTGAGGCACCCTTACCCAGCTTCTGAACAATTCTGCAAATGCAAGAATATCAGCAAATGTGGTCTTCTGATATACTCTGAAGTTTTTTTGTCTGCTGTTTCTGTACTCTGTGTTTAGAAGTCTCATATTTTCAACATGAGGCATATAAATTTCTTCAGCGGTTTTACCAAAAATCATGTCAGCAAATAATACGTGTTTTACCAGGGGGATTCTGGAAATTTACGGGCATAATTACATGGTTGCTATTAACCAGTGAAACCACCAAACTGTGCCTCGTGTTAGGCCCTGAGTCCTGCTGGGCAGAAATGGTTCTCTGTACAAATTGGCTCATAAAAGAGTCGACAGAAAGCTGGAAAATGATACGGATCCTTATTCAAGCCTTTCACAGATTTTGAAGTCAGCAAGTGTGCTGACATGTGCATCAGTGTCATATTTGTGCATCTTTGCCTCTGTCTGCAGTTTAAGCTTGGATAATCCAGCTGTAATGCTCACTTTTGTCAATGTTTGAATCTGTTTTGGAGCAACTGCAGCTGCGAAGTATTAGAAAAATAAGGCCTGACAGAAGCTTAGCATCGTCATTGTCCATATGACAGCATGCAGGCTGTAAGCCCAGTTTACCAAGAGAAGACTCCAATTCAACTGAGCTGACATTCACGAATGTTTTTCCCCTTGTCATCCAAACACTCTTATGTAATACTGTTTGGACAGTAATGACTTTAAAACACAATAATGTAATAATCTTTAAGCAAACACTTGAATGAATGTTTTTTTGGTCAAGAGCAGAAACTTTTGAGTGTTTTGGATCAAGTTTGTGCAGCACTTTTTTAATCATTAAACATATCGGGAGTTCATTGGTCTCGTTTCTGTTCATAACTCAGACCTATCAGAGGGGAGGTTTGGTTTCAAGGGTTTCAAAGCTGAAAAACACATGGAGCAGAAGCATCCCCGTTAGGTGCAGTAAATTCCTCACTCACATTCCTCAGCAGCGGTCGGAGAATGCTACATGCTATCACACACCATTTAGTCCTGTCCCTCTGTGATAAGTTCACCGGCTCGATTGTTGATATTAGCTGAAACACACCCTCATTCAGCAGCCAGGAGAGCTGTAAAAAACACAGTGAGAGGACATATATCTCTTCTTGTTTGGACTGTTAGGAGTTCATGTGTGTGTGTGTATGAGTGTGAGAGAAAGAGACTTACAGGCTCACAAACTACAACTCGATGTTTGGGGCCAAATATCTAACAAAGAGCGTGGTGGACAAATTGATTGTTCTCCTGAGGCAGTTTGAAGATTTTTTTTTTTTCAATTTGAGAACTTTTAAAAGTTGTGATAAGATTTTTTGTTCTGTAACATGTTGCTGGAGTGTGCATCAAGAATTAGTTTTTCGTATCAATAACATTTCCACTGTTGTCTTAATTTTTTGGCTTTAAAGCTCCACTTGTCATCGACTTTGTGTAAACATCGGTAAAACAATGACAAGATACAGAAATTAGTGCTCAACTTTTCCAATCAATATTGCCAACTCGAAATTTGGCAATTACTGATCCATGGTTGGCTCTTCGTCAAGTATTAAGTAGGACTTGTGCTTAATTCAACTATCTGGGTTTTTTTTTTTTAACAGACTGCTCATAGTTTTCTTTGCATTTCAAAACTGATTGTAGAAAAAAGCGTATCTATTTCATGAGACAGATGTGTAGAAGAGGATTCTGTCCTGCCCAAAACTGTGACCGAACCCCCACAGTCTAACTGGACATTGTTCTCCTTTGTGAGTCCTTGTGTTTCTTTAAAACGCTCAAAAGTAAACACAGGATTGTGACATCGTTGTCATAATTTTTTGTTAGTTGCTGAAGAGAGACAATTTGTGGGGAATGGAGGGCTGTGACTTCAATCAGCATTTTTTGAGGCCTCTGTATACATGGTGTGTCTAAACTTTTTAGGTGGGGTGGCCCAGCCCCCCTACAGTTGGGCCCCCTCACCTAAAAAGTCTGGACACACCCCTGATCGTGTCCATCATTTTTTGTGACAAAGGGGTAAAAACAATCTCTGTTACTTGGTCACATGAAGTATACCAGTACATTTCCTTTATTTTTGTTTAGCCACAGAAAAATTATATTTAAAATGCAGAAATCATTGATCATTAAAATACATGACAAAATATGTCAAAATGATGATTTGTTATCCGATTTGGCTTGAACAGTTTCGATAACATGGACACTGCAGCTGATTGATATTCAAAGGTTTTTATTTGTAAGAGGACAAGACTCTTCCACAATAGCGACATGGTCTGGCTTCAGTCTGTCAGTATCAGATTTTGAGCATTATTTAATGACTCTCCTATTTAACAGTATACTCTGTAATAAACTGAAAACTTTTTTCCCTCCATGCTTTTACATCTGTATAATTCCCTGTCGTATACTTTCAGCATGTGGTTTACTGTATGAGCTGTTCAAAAGTTATGAATCTCTCATGTAAAGATGAAGATAATGTTCAACATCAGTGGTATTTATTTTACATTCTTTAGATAGACAGTTACATGATTGAGCCAAATTTACCAAGACCAATTGACATCATACTTCTGTGTAATGTTTGACGCTGGAGCTGCTGCGAACATAAAACGGCAGGTTTTCATTGGACCACTCTGGTGTCTTAAATGGCATGGTTATGATCTCAGAGGGTGCCTGCAGATTCTCAGTGGTGTGATGGATTTATACTGCCACGCTTTGGCAGAGCTCGAGCTTCAGGTCTGGCAGAAGTGTGACTGCTGTCCTGACTGTCTGGTTTGTACGTTTTATTACATAGGAGACATGTAGACACACCACTGACTGCATCTCCACTCATCCATTTGTGCCTCTGTCTTCTCTGTGTAAGCAGTTAATGTTTGACACTGACAATGAGCCTGTTAAAGTAAAATAAAACAAACTAAAGGGCATGCTCTGTATCCCTGCAGGCTAATTCACCGCTAAAGCCTCGCTGTGCTTTTACAGTAAGCTTTTATGTGCAGTCGTAACTCTCTCCAAATGTCTGTGAAGGCTGGAAGTCCCTGGAAAGCCATTCATGTCTCTCCACATCATGCAGCTCCCACTTCCCCCCCAAACACGACATGATAGACACATTAACACTCCTTCACACCCAATTTAGCTCAGCATCCAAAAAGAGGAAGGAAACGGCATGAATGTAGAGGAATGCAACTGTACAAAAAAATTGACTAAACAGCTTGTGTGAGCAGATGCTGCACCCAGAAGGCAGCTCTGATGCTCCAGTACAAGGATTTGTTAATGAACTGTTACTAATAGAGAGTTATTTTTAATTTTCTTAACAGCTTAATGTTTAAAATAATAATCTACAGGCTAAAAAATCAATAAAGGAGCAAAGTTTTAGAGTAGCTTGTTAAAAAATCTCAAACTCATGCCCTAAAATCTATCAAACACAGTGTTCCAAGAGTGTCTACATTAATATATCAAACCAACACTGGTTAAAACTTCACCAGACCTCATCTACGATCCATTCACAGTCCCAAAACACAGGGCCATGAAGCAGGTTTTCCTCCTTCTTCCTCCACACTCCTAATGGACCGTTATCTTCTGTCTGTCCTGATTCTGTTCAGCTTGTTGTTGGCAGCGTGTCTCTCTGGCTGCTACTAATAATATTTCTCTGGTGTACATTACAGTTAATTGAAGTGCAGCAGCTGTCAGAATAATTACATGCTGATGTTTGCGACTTGGCAGGGGAGGATTACACTCAGCCACAAGCCCTGGAGAGTTTCCTCTTTTTTCCTTCTTCTTCTTCTTCGTCCTGCTAGCCGACGTTATTTTAGCCTGATGCCAATAGAAAAACTGGCTCTGAGACAGACGGAGGAAGAGAGGAAAGATGGATTCTGTTCGCCTAATTAGATACACACAGGGGGACCACTGTGGAAAACTGTGGTGGTCACAGGACTTATTTACCAATGGAAAATAAAAAAAAATGAAGAAATTCAGTGTTTATAAATAGAAATTAAGACATTTCTTTGTGTTCTTTTGCTCTTCTTTCGTGTTTCTTTTGCTGGCGTAATGTTCAAATCCAGCCGCCCAAATAACCACAGCTTCTCCGAGCTTGTGTTGGAGAAGCAGGGCAAATCCACTCTGCAGGAATCCAGTGGACTTCTGCCTCTTGAACCCTCTTCAGGTCGGCCTTCAGCTCTCTAAATGCCACGGCGATGTCCCCGTTGACAATCACTTTGTCAAACAAGTGACTACACTGGCTCTCCATGGTTTCAGCTGAGGAGAGCATGTCCTCAAAATCCTCCTCCTACGACAAATGAAAAGCAGGATGAATACAGTGAAAAGTCAGAATGCAACACATGGTTTCCAACCCATCCATAGATCGTCTGTCATAGCATGGTTTGTTTGTGTCTATAATAATCAAGAAGACAATGCAAAGTATTAAAGACTTAAAATACCCATTTAATGATTCATGGATAATTTTTTTAGTCCGCAGCTCCTGCCACACATAATCTCTTGTCTACACATTTAGACGGCATCTTGGCTCTGAAATCCTCCAGAATAGCTGTGTAAACATGCACCTCGCAGCAAGTGTGGAAAATCCCTCCTCTCCTCCTTTGAGTCTCCTTGGTATCTGCTTTTGGATTGGCAGAGCCTCAGAGTCAGTGAAGGCAGCTGTTTGTTTGTTACCTGTAGCAAACTCTCTGTTGTAGTGCCTCCTTACCCAAGAGGCTTAAACTGTGTGTTTGCTTTGATTTAAAATGAACAAATAATCAACATTTTAGAGGTTTATGCTGTATTTGTCATGTTGAGTTTGATGCAGCTCAAGTTATGTTATTCTTACTCAGAGATTAAAAGATAACATTTTAATGATGACTCAGTTTTTATTAAAAATTTGGGATAAATATTTTGTAGTACCTTCTCTATTGTTACCAATAATACCAGTTCACCAGACATTACTGGTCTGTGTACTTTGCCGCCAATGGATTTTCATTTTCAAATGAAAAAACAAAAATCGGGAGACAAGCAGTCTACCGACCACTGGTAGGGAATTGGAAAATGAAAAACGGAAGACATACCATTTTCCATTTTTTGTTTTGATCATAAAAATCGGAGGTCGAAAAAACAACTCAGTATTTGACTTTGTCTCCTGATTATTGTTTTTTTTTTTTATTTGAAAACGAAAATCTGTTGGCCGCCAAGTACACAGACCATTACGCCCCTTTTCAGCAGGTTAGCAGGCAGACTGCCACTAGTACTGACACCTCTTTATGAGCAACAAAGGTCCTCAGCATAAAGGTAAGATATTACCATACCCTGCTGTGTTTCCCACATATAGATGTTACAAAGTATAATTTCTGCTGCCTAAGTAAAATCACTAAGTCGTTCCATATTTAGTCATTTTTTTTATCTACACAAGATCCCCATCAGCTGTCAGTGATTTAGATGATCTTTTGTTACTGACTGCCCCTGTTTGTGATAACCATGCTCTGAGATAGAGGGAGGTCTTTCAGTATATTCCACCCATCAGTGCTCTGGTTGAGAAGCTGCTCCTCATGTTAACCTTCTCATGTTTTTAATTCATACTCTGTTCTGTTATCATTCTGTGCTGTCTTAGTTTTGGACTGCAGTGAAATAACACCTCATTTGGGTAGATGTCATACAAGAAAATTATCAGTGTATACTGATTGCACCAGAATTTTGTTAAAAAATAAAAATAAAAAATAAAAAAAATCACCAAAATTGTGAATATTTTTAGTGAAGAGTCTGTGGTTATGAAATACACTCCTGTTATGTTCATGAGCAAGTCCCATGACCATTCAGCTGGACAAACCAAGGTGTAAGACATCGTTACATGCTCACAGTCAGAGAGAAGAGGCTGTTTCATACCAGTTGGACCACATGTTAAAGCACAGCCCGTGTTAGATATGCCTGAACTATCTGTGGGCAAACCTTATCCAGGCTGCAACACAGGTGTGTGACCTGCTGGGTTTAATAAGGGCAGCATGAGCAGCTGTGTCAGACGGGGAGTATGAAGCCAGATGGGGATCTGGACAGTGACACTGCATCTTTTTGTCAAGCCCGACATAAAAACAGTAATCAAACGTGCATGACTTTGTTTCAGGGCTCTATGTTCCTCCAGTCCATCACAATCATGCAGACAAGTCTGTCATCCTTATGACCCAGTTATTAAAAAGAAATTTTTCCAGAATCAAAGACACAGATTGGATCAACTCTTGTAAACATGTTGGTCAAAGAATAAAAGATCTGATGATCCGATCTTGGTTCAGATCAGGATAAAGCTTAAACACTTTAGTGTAGGTTTGAGGTAACTTTAACAAACACAGTCTGGATAGCTAGATTTGGGCCATGTCACTAAAACAAATGAAGTTTTAAATGGGTTAAGATGAAATTAGATTTACAATGATAATACAACTGAGGACATTTCTGTATTGTTACACTGAAGTAGAAGAAGGGTGAAATAACAAAAAAGCAAGACGGGATTTTGTCCTCATAATTATTTCCTCAAAAAAACTGTTGACACTGTTGAACTTTAAGTTTGTGTGAGTTTGGTGCCCTCTGTGAACAAAATGTGTATTATTTTATGAAATTCCACTGAAGTCACCGCCGTCACTCTAGATTTGGTAAAACAAGACTGTTTCTGGATCCTTCTGTTACTTAGTGAGGGAAACTAGCTGATTCTAGACAGCTCTGATTGGACTTTCAAATCCAGACCATTTTTATCTCGCTCAAACACTTGTAATGGAAGCGTTTGTAATGGAAGTAGTAATGGAACAAGAAGCCACCCACCAAGCAGCTTGTAACCCCCCCTGTCTCTTAAATGTCTCTTAAATACAAACCTCTGGGTCAACCGTATGACACAGACAGTGTGTGCCTGAGTCGGGGAGTTTCTGTGGGGTTGGGTGGGTGTTGAGTGTTTGACCCCACTCCTCCCTACATGTTACAAGACATGAAACAAGCACCTGTCTTCACACATGTCCCCAGTGTGTTCCTAGTGTTCTGTTATTGGTTTTCTTACTGAGAAGATCCTCAAAGGGTTCTTTTCCTCTTCGTCACAGATGAATTTAGCTCTTCGTCTGGTGAGGCGTAGCTCCTCGATGCGTGGAGGCTTCACAAACACAACGTATGGTTTGAATTCAGACGTGTATACATGCTTGATTTTCTGTGGTGGCAGAGAAAAGAAATGAGGAATGGGTTTATAAAAGAAGGTGAAAACATTTGTGGTGCTAAAAGTTGTTAAACCTCAGACATTTTCTGCAAAGGAATAACTGGGGTGGTACCATGACTGCAACACTGTGTGAAAAGTAGCATCCGCAAGTTGTGTGTATCTATATCAAAACAAAGCCAAAACAAAGTGTTTCAGGCAAATGCAAAAATTAAGATTTTCATGGACACCAGTTCACGGTTTGTAAGGAGTCCTTTGAGCGGCTAATCATGCAAAGCTACTCTATCTGATATGTATCTGACATCTATATATCTGACATGATGAAAGGTTATAGGTCTTCTTTGATCAGACCCTCTGCTGTAATGTTTGCAACTACACACACAATCCCTGCATGTGGAGTGATACACATGGTGAAAAGTCCCTGTGCTATTACACCAGCACTCATGAAATGTTTCTTGTCCAATCAGATTACTTGGTTAGAATTCACAGTTAAATAAGTTTAAAATCATCGAAAGGAATGTAGAAGATTGGTTAAACTGATTTAAGAGCTTTCATACTTTGAATCATGAGAGATTACTTTTCATGCTGTCTAATAACATGAAGCTAGTGATGCACATCAGATTAGGAGACTCACCACAGAAATGTTTTTCTATTCTGCTTTAATTTTCTTTTTATCCTCTTGTCCCCCTAATATTGGACTTCTATGAATTCCTGCTAATAACCAGGTGAAGGCAAAGAACACTCTGTGCCTCTGTTCGCACACATGAGAAGGTTTTGGACTGCTGGGCAGAATTTTTTTTTTTTTGCATAAACCAGTTTTAGTCCAATAATTTTATTAAAGAGGAGGTACTATGCATTTTTTCCAGACTTTAAACCTCCTTTCTGATACCTCTTTAATAGCTTTATATGATAAAAAAAAGCCTCAAATTTCTCACAGTAATGTATTAAAACACAATAATTCAGCCTCTGGCTGTAATGCTTTGTTTCAGCGGCAGTTAAAGTAGCATTACGCTGCTCTGGTGTGGGTGTCACCTCACTTGCTGGTGGAGGCAATAAGGAGTAAGGAGTAAGATGAGCAAATAAAGGAGAGCCTTTTGTGACCACAAAATTACTTCAGTGAGCATTAAATGTTCTTAAAGGTCCCATTTTGAGCAGTTTACATCTATTTTCTAGGATTACGACAACATACGTTTACTTTGGAGCTACATACATACATTTAGTACAGACGCCAAACATTGTAAATTTGAATTGCTGTAAATGTGGAAAAAAAACATAATACCACACCTGTAAGTCTGAACAGTGTAAAACCACATGAAATGGTTTTCACCAATCAGATCCAGGTCACATTTTAATGTGTTTGACAAGCATGTCCAGGATGATTTTGACAGTTTGACAGTTGCCTCTGTACAAAAAGATGAACAACATGACAGCTCCCCAAAAGTGACACCAAAACATTTGGAGCTCCGTAAAGGTCACAAAGCCCATTTCCTCCATGTCAACAGATGGGACATGGGTCAAGCTATAAAATCAAAATAAACATTGATTTCCTCAAACATGGTTTCTGTTATGGTTCATTCTTATTATGTTGATTTATGCCTGTGTGTTCCCTCTTCTTAGGAGCTTTAGTTCAGCACATGCAGGAGCAGGGCAGAGGAGGAACAATGAGAGGAAATGTAGAGACCACTAACACTACAGTTTTTGAAGTTATCATCACCGTGAGTGTCTGCTTCAAACCCACTCAGGGATCTCTCCTGCTGGGATGCCGGTTTAGCTTGGCAGGTAAATCATGCACACTATGTACAAAGGCGACAGTCCACGAAACAGCTGCCTGGCTTTAATCCCAGCCTTTGGCCCTCAACTTCACGTTTCTTCCCTGTTTCCAACTTAATCAACAAAAGCACTGAAAAGCCCCCCACTACCACAAAATAAATCTGTGTTCCCTCAGACTTGACCCACTCTTGGGGACCTTTTATCAATAAGTTTAATGATTTAAGCAGACCAGGTTAAGTGCCTGTACTCCCCCTATTCACTTGTTGGACTGTAAAGTTTGGAACCAGACCAACATTAATGTTATCTTTTCACTCAGATTTTCCCTGTTTATACAAAACGGTAGAGACCTGATGGTTTGCATTAATGTGGGATTATGGTGTGTTCCATTTACCTCGGAAGACGGAAGTTGAAGCTGGGAATGACGTCACACCTGAGTTATCAGCGTTTCAGTTACGAAGTTGTAAAAAAGTAGCCAACAGCCAAAAACACATACTGAAACTACCAGGCTACGGTTAGCCGTTGTCAGCACGGCGTGCTTTGTAGTTTGCATATACATATGAAAAATGTCAGTTACACTATGACACCATTTCCATATATACACATCTATCAATACTATTGTATACAGCTGACTTATTGTGACAACAAACAGTATAAAGTGTTAATAAACGGGTTATTACAGGAGCTTCTACTTACTATTTACAATCGCCTTTACAATCCACTTTACTGTGGATTGTCTGACTTTCCAAGTTGGAAATCGAACCTCAGGGTTCGTTCCAGTTGAAAGTTCCAACTCAGAGCTCGGACATTCCGACTTCTGCGTACAACTGGAACGCATCATTAATCCTGGTGAAAGCATCTACCACAGACTTAGCTCTTCCAGTGTGAGATGACAGCATCTATTATCGGGATGTTTGGCTTCACTTTTGAACAGCAAAAAAAGACCCATCTTTAAATACAATTGATGCTTATGATACTGCTGCCACCGAAGCAGGAAGTCGCCATGACCAAACAACAAGACTGCTTAAGGGTAAAACAGAGGTTTTCGGTTTGTTGGAAACCGAGGAGCCTTTATAGATAGATAGATAGATATATATACTCTATTGATCCCAAACTGGGAAATTATCATAACTGAGATCTACATCTTTACATTAGAAACTTATGCAAGTAACCGTGAAGGGCGTCTTTCCTGATGCTACCACTGAAGTCTAAGGTTTGCAACAGTCTCAACAGAGCCACGAAGTCACCAGTTTAACTTGAAGTCACGGACTATATTCAAGAGCGTAACACATCGGAGGTCCATGCTATTCATCCCTGCTCAGGCACTTGAACAAACCAGTAGCATGAGATCCTTCATTGGCTTCCCACCACGCACACACTCTGCCAATTCAGTGTCCAATTCAGTGCCTGGCCAAGTGAAAACACTGCTGCCTGGAACTTAACACTGCAGTGGTGACACACAGGCTCTCGGAAACCTGATTTTTATTATTTAAACATTCACAAGTCACCCGATAAAAGCGATTAAGTTTCACAATGACCTTTTTAAGTGTAGTTTGAAGCACCAGTTTAAGTGATTTACCAGGAACACACAAATGACTTTGGCTTAAAAATTGGAAACTCATTCAGAATTAGTCAGCCACACAAAATGAATCTAATTATCTTCTTTAATGGAGTGATACATACACTGGGATGTACATCCAAGAGGCACACCTTGCCCTCAGCAATCACTCTTTTCACAGAGTCCAGACCAGTTCCATAGTAGTGTCCTCCATGTCTCCCAAACTCTATGAATCTGGAGGCAGAAAGACAAAGAAACAGACAGGAAAGATAACATAAAATGACACTCAGGATGGAGAAATAAAGAGTAATACTCTCATAAAAAGGAGAATAGAAAGGAAGAGGGGGTGTGCAAAACACCAGTGGGACTATTTTAAACATCCTGGGAATGGAAACTTCAAGAAACACGACCTCTGATTGAGGATGTCCTCTTCAAACATGTGAACTGAGACGAAGTGATAATCCACCCCTTCGCTTTCATTCCTTTTCTTTTCCCGTGTGGTGTCTGAAAGAGAAAAAGACAGGAGGCCGATACGGCTTCAAAAGATGAGAAATCATTACTGGGTGCAGGAGGTAAAGGTGGCGGTTTTAGATGTCCGTCTTACATGGCACGGTGACGCCATAGCGGTCAGGGTCGGATATTAGCAGCCTCCTCTTCAGTTCAGTTACGCCAACGCCGCTGGGCCCTGGAGACAAAGATTAAAATCAGTGAGGTTTTACTCTAACATCAAATAGACTTAGTGACCTGGTGACACATCTGTCTTTATCATCAGAGGAGAAGAGGAGGAGAAGTCAGACAGACAGACAGAGCTCTGATTTCATCATGATTTCAGCTTAAAAATGATTCCCTCATTCACCTCAGTGGACGTAAAATACTCCTATATCCTCTGGAAAATCTATAACATCACATCGAAATGTGACATCTGCAAAGCCACACAGTATCAGTGTCATTATAGAGTAGGATGCACAGGATGGAGCAACAACACACACACACACACATGCAGACTGAAGCATCTGGGATATTCTTCTACAGCAGCTTTCTGCACCGTGAGATTGCATCAGACTCTAATGGAGCGCCGTCTGAAAGGAGGATTCCTGACATACCTGCCTTTTCCATCACAGCGCTGCATGAGCTCGATACATTACAAAATATCAGGTTTATAGGCTCCCCGCTCTTACACTGCTGATGTTTTCCACAGCTGCTCCTCAGAACCGGAGAGGAGCATCATCAGGTTTTTTGGATACTTTCTTCTGACCTTTATAAATTCAAAAGCTACAAAAACTGCACGGCTTACAGAAGCTGGCAGTCACTGACACCGGCTTTTCTGGGACATAACGGCCTTTTTGTTTCTTGCAGTTAAAACGAAAAAAAGGCTACAGTATATTCCCAACCTGGTCAAACATTATCCAGCTGGTTCTGCTTTAGCCATTAACATTTGAGTTTTCCTGTCTCTAGCCTTCTTTGCCAATAAGCTATACTGTATATTCTTAATGATGAACTTTGGTCAGGGAAGAGCCATAGCAGCAGACAGTTAAAGGTAACCCACAGTCAAGGTGGGCTCAAACTCAATTAATGAGGCTTAAATATAAATCCAAGCTGTCTTTACAGTTCCAGTTTGATGATGGAGAACTTGGCTGACATTACAATGGATCACAGTCCACTCGTCTCTTTCACTCTATCATTCATCTCCTCACTATCTGGCCTTGTTATGCACCTTTTCAGTTCAATGAGTTTCTCTCTGATGCACCTTCTACTTTCAGGAGTAGGGCTGGGTGATATGGCCTCAAATCAATATCTTGATATATTGAGCAGTTCACCTAAATAACGATAAATGGATGATAACTAGTGATGTGTCATTCATGAATGTTTCGTTCAAAAGTACGGAACTGCTGAGTGAACAACGTGAACTGAATCACTCCGAGACCTGGTTCGTTCCTTTTTCTGTTCAGTTGAGCTCAGCTCTGAGCCTGGCATGCCGGTTGGGAGTGGAACTGCTGCCTTTGACTCTTTGGCGAACGACACACAGCCATCCAGCCAGCGAGTGGGCGGGTAGGCATGCAGGTGAAGTAAGTGAACGGAATGATCCTGTCAGTCTGTGAACGGCATGGTGAACGAAACGAACGACTTTCGAATGACTTGATGCAGGCAGAGGAGGGAGGGGTGTAGCGTCGTTCACTTACTGCTGAACACCGGTTCGTTCACTGAGGCTAAGATAAAACAGTGCATTATAGTGCCTTTACATTAATACATGTGTATAAACTTTCCTGCCAGAAGGATTTAATTTCAGCCGATTCTCTCTCTGAATCTCTCCACTTTTCTGCGATGTAAAAGAACGACGACTTGCACTCGTTTAGCAGGCGTGCTGCTCGCTGCTCGCTGTTGGCCCAAAACCAACTTGTTTTTATTTATTTTTTTGACACCAAATATACGGATATGGGCAAAATGACGTTGGTTATTGTTTTTTCGGTTTATCGCCCAGCCGTAGTTCAGTGGTCTCTTCCCTTGTCGTCTGTCTTCTTTGTCAATTTCTCACAGTCACGACTCACAGATGATCTACTGCCGAATCATAATCTGACATTGAAAAGACTCAATGTAGCATTCCCTCGGGAGAGATAACACTCAGAAATACATAAAGCAGACCTGCAGGTCTGGCAGAGAATTGAATCTAGGGTGGGCCACATAGCAACTTAAGAGAAAACAATATATTCTGACTCTGAGTTTACGTGCTTCTGATGGTAAATGATTGTGTTTGAACCTTAAGAGTTGAGACATAAATCTTCATCAATGCATTATTTCTTCTTTTGATCAGCAGCAGCTTCAATAATGTTGTCCTTTATGTGACTGGGATTGTGTTATTCAAATTTAATAAGTAGACAAAGGACAGCAGTGCGATAACATAAAACAGAACACAACAACAGACCAGAACATGCAATCCTGAGCATAGCACCATGACACATTTGAAGGTTTTTACACAGCAGAGTCGTAGATCAGACCAGCTGACAGCAAAGGAACTGGCTTTATGCCTCTGGGGTTGCGCTGTAACACCAAAGTTTCCACACAAAATAGGGACTTTTTTTTAAAAGTATGACTCGTACCATGGCTGTCATAATATAATATTTTCATGTCATGGTTATCAAGGCCAAAAAAATCACAAGACTGATATTTTCCTAGTATTTAAGGAAAACTATAACACAAGTACAATCCTATCAGTCAAATTAGGTCAAGGCAAGGCAAGGACTGAGCAACATGCTACGTCATAAACTGGACTGCCAAACACAATTAGTGTCCATACATGCTGATATCCATTTATAATAATGTTCAGATATGTTTTATCCATATCATTGGCCATCGTTGATGATTATGTTGGACTTAGCAATAACTTGATTTCAGCGTTACAGTATAACAAAGGTAAAAATCAGGGGCCACCCCCATGCAGCAACTCAGGAGTCACCTATACATGTTCTTACTTGAAACTTTTTATTGATTTAACCTGGAGAAAAAATGCACCGAGACTAAATGCTGCTACAGTTCACAAAGTTTCTGATCGACACAGAGCAGCCGTACATACAAACATAAAGTGAGTTAATGTCTCAACTAATTTCTATAACACGATGAAATATGACATAACACAGTAAGTCGACATTTCTTTGTCCAGTCTACCAAGGGCATTTTTACATCAAGCAGAACACTTTCAGCCAGATGTGTGTCTGCTTCCAAATTCTTCAACAATGCCTTTAAATTTACCAGTGAAACCAGTTCTAGCGACTCATTCCGACACCAAAGTATTTATCTGGGGGGAGGAAGGCAACTCAGCAACTCATATAAGTATGACTCATGTAACTGTTGTAAGTGTCAAGTTAGTTTTTTATCCAAAGAAGCATGATTGTATTGTAGGGGAGACCGGGGCTTGTTGTCACATGGGTAAGTTGTCACATTGCAATTATCTTTGCCACCAGAGGGCACAACTAAAAAGTGGAATACTAGTTTTCTTCCTTTATATGGTCAGGGGTTGTGTCCTGTCTGAGAAGAGAAGAGCACATTGTGAGCTGAGATGAGCGCCAGTTAACCATTTCGCACAACCCAAAGTTAAAAAAATAAATAAACTTTATATATTTTAAAATAAGCTTCTTCCAGTTAAAAATCCTAGCAGTGAAACATGTGGACTTGTCAGTGGACAGATTAAGGCATCCTGTCATACCTCAGTCATTGTTCAGTTTTAAGCTAACTTTAAGCTAGAGCTAGAATTAGCAGACATGGTTGTTTGGGGCAACATGTCTCAGTCATTTTGAGGTTAGTTGTTACATGTTTAAAAGGGATTAAAATTAACATAGAGAGTCTGCTTATCAGCGGTTGTCCTATTGAAATTTTGACTTCATCATTACAGAAAAAAAAGTGGTTTAAAGGAGAGGAGAAAGCGAGAAGACATGTTCAGGAATTTCAAAAGAAAAACAGAACGTGACAGTGCAGTACCTGACGTGATGCTGAGGGCAGTCAGGCAGGTGATCCGAGCTAATAAATCAGTCTGGAGGACAATAAAGGACTTTAATGTCAACTACCATACCTTGGCTCAGTACTGCAAAACATTCACCCCAGCCGAAATACAGAGTCAGACAGCTCTCCAAACTCCAGAGCGTGTTGCATGATATTTTATGTTAACGTTTGTTCAATGACTTTTTCTAGCTCAATGAGAAACATTTTCTGTGCCTGACTTTGATGTTCACTTACATGTAAAAAAATGAGAACAACAATAATTTTGTTCTTGTTTTATTAGCTGCTAAATCCACTGTGACATTTTACCCCATATAGTGAGACAACTTACCTGATAGCGGGACAACATGTCACATGTTCACACTATTTGATTGCTAATAACTCTGCACTGAGACGAGATATGAAAATAACATGAATACGGAATATATACCTGAGACTTTGATCTTTCATCTGGTACACATTTTGTTTATATATGAAGTATTGATTCCAAGAAATATATAAGAGTGTAAAAAGTGTGACAACAAGCCCCGGTCTCCCCTACTATCTGTTGCAAAAGCTGCTGCGTTTCCATATGCAGTCTCTCTCTCTCTCTCTCTCTCTCTCTCTCTCTCTCTCTCTCTCTCTCTCTCTCTCTCTCTCTCTCTCTCTCTTTCTCTCTCTTTCACTCTATTCCTTCTGACTGCTGCACACCTGAGAGCTATCAACACTCAAGTAGGAGGTGATAGAGTGCAGGGAAGCTACAATGCAGTGAGGAGTTTTTTTCTCCTTGCCTTTCTTTTCCTTCAACCCCTTTCTCTAAAATAAAATGCCCAAATGAAATGACTTCAAAAGTGAGGAACATACACACAGGCCTGTGGTGTGGTGCCAATAGCGACAAAAACATTCGAAACAATAACAAAAAGTTCAGCCCTGCAGAAGTGTGCTGTTCAAATGCTAGTAGGATTGAAGCTAAGAGTTCTGTAGATACACTTCTGTGTTTCTCACCTTTACCAATGTGGACTATCTGGACTGTGGATGTTTCATTCTGGGTGTATCCAGTGGATTGAAGTGTGAGATGACTGTGCTCAGTCAGTGTGAGAAGTCTGTGGGTGTGGTTCATCTCCTAGCCACAGTTAAATCTAGTGTACAGTTTAAATCCCCACCAATAATTATCTGTTCTCACTGATCAATGCTGAATTTGCTGATATTGGCAAAACAGAAAATAGAGCTTTCCATTCCAGCCAGAACAAACTGAGCTAATCGTACAATCAGAGGAAATAGATGAGAAACAAATGATTTACACGCCCACACACAAACAAGAACAGACAGAGAGAGTAGAGAGGGTAGGTTATACGTACCAACCAAAATGACCAGTCGGTGTTTGTCTGAGGGGTCTCTGTAGTAGGGGATCACCTCAATGTAGGTGGGGGCAGTAAATGTGCTGTGCACACCTGCGCTCCACCTTCTGGACCGAGCTACTTCTCTGGCCCAGCTGCTCCTTCTCCCCAGACAGAAACTTCTTCTTAATCCAGCTGGAAAAAAGAGAGTATAACCTCAGATCTGAAAATCGAACAGAGTGTCCTCTTCTATTAGTATTACTGACAGGCTTACAGAAGAGTATCCTCTGTTTAGCAGCATGGATGCAGAGTGACAGCATCAGATCCATCACCAGCCTATGAGGAATCGTTGCAGTATAAAAGTCTCATGTTTAGTTTTAAGCCTACTTTATAAAACTCAAAGCTGCGTGTCTCAAACCCGTTTAACTCACACTTGAACAAAGAGGACCAAACATTTTATTTATAGACCATTAAAGACTACAACTACAGAAATATCACTGTGTTAACTCTACACTGTCTGATCTACAGCACTCTTTTGCAATCTGGAAACTGACTGACTTTAGTCAAATGATAATTGAGTCTACAGAGCACAGGCCGACTTTTAGGACTTCAAATGTAGCCTGTGTAATACGTCAGATATCACATCCTTCTTCACAAAAACCATGGCTTAAAAGGCGAGATTGAAACATGAAATGGTATCCCACACAAAGACTTGAGGTTCAAACCCACAAGCTTTACAGGGATAAATAAAACCCCCAAATTCCTCTAAAAGAAGGAGACACAACAACAAAAAGGAGACTGAAAACCATGGACTTTCAAGTTGTTGGTGCTTTATTTTCTTAGTTTTGTTCCTTCTTTAAGGGAGGTGCTGGAAGCAAAGGTCCATTGCGTAGCTGGCCCAGCACCTTCCCATCTTTTGTTCCTTTTGGCCGGATCTCTAGACGCTTTTGTTTCTGCGGTTTTGTTTCCTAGATTTGAGCATTTTTGGGTTATATAATCATTTTTAGAAAGCTTCTGGGTTAAAAGTTTAAATTCTGATGTAGTGTCTTTTCTGGGTCTTTTGGCTTCTGGTTTTTAATCTATAGTATAATTCTGAAGGCCGTAACAAACATGATATCTCCATGCACTGAGTTTCAAAGTCTGACTGGGGTATGGAATTGGTGAGACTGGAGCTGAGTTGAGCTGCAATTTTACACAGATAAGACAAAATCAGATATTCCTTTATTAGTCCCACGAGCTACAGATCTGTTTGTAGCTGTTTTCTTAATCCTAAATCATTGTCAGGGTGACTCAAATAGGAACCTGGATCATATCAGAGCCTTCTTTGCTTTTCACCAGACTGTCTCCATGTGTAGAGCCAATACAGATTCCTGTCAAACCGCTTTGGAAGACGCTCCTCAAGCTAAAAATGGAAACCAAAACACTTCTGACACCTTCAGTTTAGGGAAGGTTGGGTTGACTGAAGGCAAAAGTTTTGCTTTAGATGTGACTAACTCTTTTATTTTCAAATACTGGTCTGGTCTGGTGTTGGTCCAGTTTCAAACTCTGAAAGTCCTGGTTTTATCTTGTTCTGGACATTTTGGATTGGTCCTGACATGGTCCTGGTTTAAGAGGTCCTTCCATCCCCTGCCATTTTATATCTAGCTGATATAGAGTTTGCAATTTCTTTTAACAATTCTGCAACTGGGTGAAAATAAAACTATTCCCCAACTTCTTCTCTCTCCTCTGTTTTCAGTCTCCTCCAGTTTATGAGTTTGAAATAGTTATATTTATCCATCATAATGACTTCCTTGGCCAATTTTCCTGTAAGTACTGTATGATTTGGGGATAACTTTCATACCTTTAAATGTTAGTAAGGGTGAAATTACTCAAGAGCTCATTAACTTCCATGATTCATCGTCTAATAAACATCCCTTCACTGGGCGAATTCACTGTAGATGCTAGAAGAAAAAGCTTAGAGGGACCAGACGAGGACAATAACAAACACTGAGAAAAGCTATCAACACCCAAACCCTGGTGTAAATCTCTACTGCAACTCAAAACTCAGTCAGAAAATGACAATTCAGTCTGTCATGCAACACTTGTAGGCCGTCTGACTGTGGTCTGGCCTGGACTGGCAGTCTCACTCCCTTTTATGATGTTAACTGCTGTTAAGTTTCGGTGCCAGGCTTTCTTTGACGTCAGCTGCAATTTCACTTTGTAAGCGTATCTGTCTGTTTCCTCCACAGGCTCATTCAGAGAAACATGGCAGCATTAGAGGAGATAAAAAAGCTTTTAAATGAGGAGATGGTTTGACTCAGAATGTAAAAGGGAACTGGTTTGATGAAAAACCTTCTGTCTGAGCATCAAATGAGGTCTGGAGGAAAACACTGTCAAACTTGAGTGACTCTGGCAGTGAGGGGCTTTCCTCTCACCATGCTCTCATCCATGGAACTAGCTCCTTTTGGTAACGCTACATGAGAGTGACGTCCTACAGGACTCTATGAAGTAAGGGTTAGATAAAAGATAAGACTGAGAAGAGAGCAATAACATGCAGCATAAAATGGGCCTGCACCCTTCATGTCAAGATTGTGAGATATGAACCTCAACAATCAGTTGCCAGTAAAAATATCCACCATGGATTCACTAAGACTTCTTACGGCATTTACTAAAATAATTCAGTCTCATCATCAAAATGTAAGTTTGACAAAAAGTTTAGAAAAAAGAAGGAATGGTTCCACCCCAACTTTAGTTGAATAAAGTTAGAATATCTAAGACGTACATATCTTCAAACACAAGCCTCCTACTTAAAAAACATCCATCATAGTTGCTAAAGGCTCAAACAATAGGATGGTAAGCTTGTTGGAGTGTCCAGCAAATCATGACTCTCCAGTGTTCAATCTCATAAGAGAAAACTAACACCGTCTGAGATAGACAAAGAGAAAACTAATTATCCTTTTGGGGAGCCCTGAGTCTGAAATCTTGTGACTTATTTCGTTTTTCTGGGAAACAATGGTTTTCATGGTTCTCAAGGCAAACATGGAGCAGATGAAAAAAAAATATCTGTTTGTATTATTGATTTTAAATCATTTTATGTCTTTTTGATTTTAAACTCCTCGTCATTTTCTTCCGCTTCATCCGGGTTGCGGGGGCAGCAGCTTCAGGAGGGAAGCCCAGACGGCCTTCACCCCAGCCACCTCCACCAGCTCCTCCAGGGGGATTCCAAGGTGCTCCCAGGCCAGGCGAGAGATATAATCCCTCCACCTGGTCCTGGGCTGGCCACGAGGCCTCCTCCTGGTGGGACATGTCTGGAACACCTCTAACGGGAGGCCTCCAGAAGGCATCGTAACCAGATGCCCGAGCCACCTCAGCTGACTCCTCGACGTGGAGGAGCAGCGGTTCTACTCTGAGCGCCTCCTGAGTGTCCGAGCTCCTTACCCTGTCTCTAAGGCTGAGCCCGGCCACCCTGTGAAGGAAACTCATTTCGGCCACTTGTATCTGCGATCTTGTTCTTTCTGTCATTACCCACAGTTCATGGCCATAGATCAGAGTCGGCACGTAGATCGACCCGTAAATCGAGAGTCTCGCCTTATGGCTCAGCTCTTTCTTCACCACGACTGTTCGGTTAAGCGTCCGCATCACTGCTGACGGCGCTCTGATCCACCTGTCAAATCTACCCTCACTCGTGAACAAGATCCCAAGATACTTGAACTCCTCCACTTGAGGCAGGACCACCCCGCCGACCTGGAGAAGGCAATCTACCTTTTTCCAACTCCGTGTGTTTTGGACACTCGGGTGAAGAGAGATGCAGAGCTGTCAACTGATCACTACCTGGTGGTGAGTTGGGTCAGGTGGTGGGGGAAGCCACCACGCAGACCTGGCAGGCCCAAACGTATAGTGATTTGAAACTGTTTTGTCTTTTTGAATTTACATCTTTTTATGCCTTTCTGATTTTAAATTGTTTTAATCTCTCCTTTTAAAATGTTTTTTTATGTATTTCCTTGCATCTGTAAAGCACTTTGAATTGCCTTGTGTATGAATGGTGCTATACAAATAAACTTGCCTTACCTTGTGTGTCAATTATCATCTTGGCTCTAATAGCATAAAAGCTAGGAGAGAAGCTGTTTCTTACATTTAAGAATTTAGAAAAGTCTACTGTGATTTATCATAATGTGTTTTAGATATTAGGGGGAAAAGGTGATTTTTAATATCAAACTGCGGTCTATATAGACATTTTTCATACAGCCTGATTAATCCAAATATAAATTCAGAAGACAGCAGAGTTTTACTGTCTGAAAGCTACAGCCGATTGATTTAACTCGACTTAAGCAACAGACATAAAAGCAGACAAAAACAGCAAGCGTGACTCAACAAAAGATACCAAAATGTCTGGGGATCAACAGTGAAGAAAGATTAACTTGTTAAATTAGGTTAAAGAGGGTTAAATGTTTTCCCCGAAAAGACGGTTTTATGCTAAATGAAGCCAGCAGACTGCTGGTTTTGGCTTCATTTCAAACAGTCATTTATTAGTTTGGTTACGATGGGTGTTAATTGCAGGCTAACGTCTGCTGGTCTGCTGCTACAGTCTGCCAACATGACTCATCAAATCAAGTTTTTTAAGATGAGACTCGAGAACAAAGACACAGTTTTTTAGTTTTGAATAAATACAACAGTGAAACTAGATTAGAATAAGGAAACTAGCTAGTTTGACCTTTAACAGGAAGTTGGCTCTCTATTTACCAAGTCTAGATAATCAATACTTAGAAATATTGAATCTGGCCCTAAAGAAGATGTGTATATCCCCTGTGTATATCCCCTGGTACAAGCTTCATATTCACATAGAGGACAGGAGATTGAGATTTCACTTATCAACACAGATTTTCACCTTGCCTTTTTTTTGTCAACCTACTCTACATTTAAACCCCCCCTCCCTTTCTGACTGAGAAGTGCACATGAAGTTGCACTGTTGTAAGCTACAACATCAGCAAAGTTTTAAATGTCAGACAAAGAGGAAACACAGAGTCTGAACCACATCCTCAGGTGGAAACTGGCCTCAGATGAAAGGAAATTAAAAGCACATGACCTTGAAACGATATAACGCAACATTTGCAATTACGTTGTCTTGTACAGACAAAAAAGAGCCTTTCTACAATCAGCCTTAAGTACACGCCCTCATGTGAACATCCTGCACTGCTCAACATACAGTACATACATCATATCCAATCCGTGAGATCAAGACAAATAGAATAAATGGGAAGGCTAAAACCACATTTACTGTTCCAGTCCTGTCCCAAAAATCTCCAGACCGCAAAACTACATCATCAGAAAAACTGGTTCTGACAGTAAATATAACTACAGTGTCTTTTTTTTTTAGCTGTTTTGGCTCCATTTAGGTTTCAAAGATACTGTATTTTTACAGTGTACTGTAGCTGTGTTTTGTGCTGTAATGTAAGATTACTTGGAGTGTCACTGTCTTTTGCCTGAAATGATGTCTTTCCTTGTATCAGTGCTAATAATAATAATAATAGAATAATAATAATAAACATCTCACCAATGTGAATCCCTGTAATAGCTCTGTAGTCTACATCCTCCATGACTGGAAAAAAAGAAGAGAAAACAAGTAGAGAAACTAAACCATAGTGTATACCACGTTTGCATTTCCCCCAAAAAAATCTGCTTATTAAATCTTAATAATAGTTTTATTTAAATATGATACACATATTTTTTGATAATAATAACAACCGTACTCTGAAAAAGGGATTGTTAGCAAAAAACCAGCAGACAGCAGAGGGCCAATTCTGCTTGGACACAAGAAAGGGAACATTTAACAGGATCCTCTCAGTTTTTGAAATGTGAAGCCCTTCAGGAAATACATCATCATTATTTCTGGATATGACACCTCCTTAAATCTTTACAAACACCAAACTTTAAACATCCATGTGTTTCTTATCATTTGAATAATGTAGATGGTAAGTTTTCCAGAGCACACTCGCACACACACAAACAGTACCTTCCCGCTCATCTGTGCAGCATGTGGAGAAAACAACATCAGTGAGTACAACAGCAGGGCTGCAGACCGCGAGCTTCAGACATGACCTGTCACCTCTCAGTTCAGCACTAAGGGACCTCAAATGTGTTTATTGGCAAGTGTTAAAAGGTTTTATTCTTTTCAGGTGGGCTGTTTTTTTACTGGTTTGCTCATCACCTGGTGGTTTGGCTCGTCGGGGTTTGAAGAGAGCTTTAGGCCGCTGCAGTGCGACTCTCCTGCAGCAAGAAAAATAAAACAAGATTAAAGCAAAACAGGATTCAAATAAAAGGTACCAGAGATATGATATGGCACTACCTTTCCTGGAGCTGTTTGGAGGGGATGAGTCCTGCTCGGCTGCTGTTGTCCCCAAGGTGACAGGCCTGCCACCAGGTATCGTCCTCCATGCTGACTATCTGGAGGATGTCCCCTCCTTTGAAAGGCACCGCTGCATCCTTACAGGGGACTGCAGGATCCTCGCTCGGGTCGTAGTCAAACAGAGCTCGCAAAAACAGCTGAGGACAGGAAACTGTTTGATATTTCTGCCTTCAAACATCCATCCATTAATTCAGTCTTCCTTCTTTAATGCTGCTTTCTGAACTTGGTCTGTATCCTGGTGATGGACACAGAGTCTCTGTCCAGTACATTTCCCCATATGTTAATGTCATTATTGAGAGATGACCATGATGAAAGAGATAATTTGTCATGATCATTTACTGAAGCTCCCAGCACAAACTGTTTCCAACATCTTGGACATTCACGTCATGTACATCATGGTCGTGTCTTTAAGTCCCAAACAAAGAGGATTTTGGGACCTTGATGTTTCCACATCAGGTGAAGAGATTATTTTTCAAACTTGAATCACTGGATCTCTGTATAAGTACAATCATATATTTTCTGCTTTAAATGATTCAAATTGTTCTGTTTGTGTTTTCTCATACTATCTGATTTTAATTTACTTCTTGACATCATCCTGCTTTAACGACAGCATTGTGGCAAAAATACAACATCTAACCAAACACACAAGATACCGCTGATTTCATCTCTTTTTACTGAAGCCATGTGGGCAGGCCTCCACATGCAATGGCACTGCATGATCACATAAATTCAACAAAGCGAGCGGTGTGTGCAGTTGATATTTACGGTACCTTCCTCTTTTTTGGTGACAATTTTTCCTTGGAGGCGGCAGGTATGATTTTGAACTTCACCTCCCCTTCAGAACAAGCCTGCAAAGGAATGACATGATAAATCATTAAAAGTTTTCAGATTTATTCTTGCTTTACACTTTCTTACGAGCAAATATGTTGATGAAGAGGAACACCTCTCTGGCTATGTAGTGTAAATAAAAAGCTACATTCAGCAGAGACATAATTTAATTTAAATCATGAAGGGTCTAGCTTGTTTTGGTTCTGACAAAACAAAAATTAATCTCAGCAGAATAAATCTGAAGGGTTCGATGGATTTAAATAGGTCTGCATCTTCTTTTTATTTATTGTAATTTTAGCTCACTGTTTCATTCTTACTATTTATACCCTAACATTACTATAGTGCCTCTCTGCCGTAGCCCAGTTGGCAACTTCCTGGACTGAAAAGTAGAGTCAGCTCACCTCATGGGCTTGATTTCACCATTATGTTCTCTAAATTTAGCAAAAAGAAAATACTTCAATCACATTCCTTGCTAAGACAACCATGAATATTTTATTCAAATGTGCATGAAATAATGTGTTTTTCTCATACTGGGCACAAATAAAGGACAAAAATGCATGACTCTGGCACCAGGGGAAATGTTCAAAAAGGCTTTACTCAAAAATCAGGCAAAGGTAAAAATCAGAAGGCTCACAAAAGTCCAAAAAGAAGGCAAAATCTCTATCAAAGGCGGAAAAAAGGCTGGGATGTAACTCACAACAGCAAGAGCCAAACTGGCACTGAAGCAGGTGAACACAGAGACTTAATACTCAAGGTGAGTGAGGACAATCAGACACAGGTGAAACACATTAGGGTGGGGCAGGTAATTACTGGGAACACAGGAGGGCAGGAAGTGGAGGATCTGAAATGAGACACTGAGGGGAGTATCAAAATAAAACAGGAAACACAGGATAACAAAAAGTAACTTAACTGTGGGGATGTGATAGTTTATACATGACTTTTCACAATTTTAATCACAGTGTTAACCTTTTCATTTATTTTCTAATCATTTGAAATGGTTGTACGGACATCCAAAATTATTTTGTGTTGATATTTTACTTGGTAAAAAAACAAAAATCACTTAATAAAACATTTACAGATGTTCAGCAACTTTCTCTTTTATTTGTTAGTATTACTAAACTTAATGTCTTGGAGTCTTTATCGGTGACTCAGACTGCACTTGGTTTTGAACACTGGAGACTTGAGACCAAAGGTTTGGTGATTTGACTACATCACCACTGTATAGTCAGGAGGTGATTTTTTCTTTGTAACTTGTTTATTTTGGTAATGTTGGGGCTAAGTTATGCATTCTTAATAAGGGTGTGCCTGGTATGACTGAGAACTTTTCATAGTGATGGCTTGTTTTAAGATTTAAAGGCACATTGGAGTGCAGAGTCAAACATTTTGTGCAGAGTGTTTTTATGCCAGCGTTGGTCAATGATGACTCAGGTAACAAAGGGGTTGGCAATAAATAAATCTAGAAATTATAGCTGCTGATTTGATTCTCTGAGGGAATCTTTTGGTTTAAGTTTGATGAGTCATTTCAGACCATGCTGATTTTGACAGATGGACTGAGATTAAGTTTTTTTTTTCATTTTTGTTGACATAAAAAAAACACAATGTCCAGTTTATTCTTCAAGTAAGGATTAGTGAAGAAGAAAGAAGAAGTGTGAAGCAAAGAGAGGAGATACTAACCAGTAGAGGAAGGATTTCTTTAGGCTTTTTGTGCTCCAGTGAGACTCCATTCAACTCTTTCAGCTCATCTCCTTCATGAATCAGGCCTTCAGAGCGATGGAAGTACAGAGGTTTAACATACCATCCTAGCTTCATGGACAAGACACAAACTAAGATGACAGAGGTTTTAAACTCACCACTTTTATAAGCTGCACCTCCTCTCATGATCCTCGCCACTACAATGGCCCCAGTGGATTTATCCTTCTTAATTGTGGCCCCCTGAGGATGGATATCATTGAATTAGAAACTGATAAACAAACTGACAAACAAGAGTAGGAGCTAAGGACAGTAAAAATAAAAACATGTTGATTTCATTAGAGTCCAGACACATATCCAGAGTCACCTCAGTCCAGAGGAGCTTATTTGTATCAGGACGGGACCGGCCAGCCAGCTGCCTTCATGTAAAACACAAAGCGCTGGAAAAGGTTATCCAAATCAGCATCATTTTCAACAGATGTTATTGATGTGAAGCAAATGCAATGGAAAGAGCATCTTATGTAGATGGCTACAATCAGCTCACGCTCGGGTGTAACTCTGTTGTCTGGAAAACTGGAACATGTTGGATCAATCAAAGCGACCGTGTCAGAAAAGGGTCAGCCCTCTGTCCAATCTAGTTTTGGGATCAATACAAAAGTATGTTCTCTATTATTGGTTCTGCGCTGCTCAAACGATGACACACAAGCATAAATGCTCTGCAAAAATGACCCGTTACTGAGTAAATTATTCTCATATTTTATTAAATCATACTCAGAGTAATGAAGGTAAAACTCATCTTGCTGAAGGAGTTTTGGTGAGCGAGATATTGGTGAAATTTCTATTGAATTTGCCGGGAAGCCGAGGTCACATGTTAAAAAATGAATGCCGTATTCTTGATGCGGATCCAGGAGTCTTTTTTTTATATGAATTTCACTGCGCGTGAGGGCATTCCTGATTAATTCTGATATTTCTAATGAAATACTGGACCTGTTCAAGTGGAAAACAGTCTGCCACATGTGCCTCACATCTGTCCATCGCTATATGCACTTTTGGGACACGTTGATCCAGATGCAGATGAAAAAAATCTTACTTTTTTGATTATTGAAATTGCAAATTTAAGGATTTGATTCCTTGGCAAGGGTCTGTAGTCTTTGTACTCTGATTTGATTCCAGTATTTTTCTGTTGATCCAGGAAATTTCCAGAAATAGGGGACAATGGCTCAGATCAAGGTGGAATCAGGCAGATCAGTCAGGTAGTATCAAGAAAATGAGCCTTGATTTAAGACCCTGAAACAGACTGGTTTACATCTGAAACAGGGGAGAAATTATTCCAATCTATTTAAATATGATGGATATTCACATACACACTCAATCACACACAAAAACGCCAAACTGTGCCGTGCGTCACAACAGATATATGGCAACAAAACTGTGGAAGAACTGACTCTTTGAATTCCTGGTTGAGGAAAGTGAGCAGTGGTCCAGACGCAGAGGTGATCCAGGCTGCTGCAGGATCCTTTCTTATGTTTCGTGTCAGTTCAAGATTTGCAGACCTGCTGCACCTTGGCTTACATGACTCAAGCGGTCACGCTGTTTGACTATATGACACAGATCCAGCCACTAGAGCAGAAAAAAATAAGGTATGTGGAGTATTTTGAACTGTGTGTGCATGTGAAGGACTATGGCGGGACAAATTGCACACAGAGGTGCAGTTGTCATACCTCCAATAACTGCATTTATGTATATTTTATGCATATTACAAAACCTGGTAGGGTGAATTAGAAACAGGTTGACTCAAATCTAGTCGTGGCGATTTTTCACATGTTCTTCTGTGGAGATAAACCCTGGAGCTGACAGATGCAGAAGTGTAAAAGCTGACATTCCCTGAAGGCCACTTTAGGCTGGCTCCAAAGCTCAGGCGGTACCGTTAGGGCCCTGTGGTATAATAGGGGTTAACTGATAATTGGATTTAGAGGGACAGCTCAGATTATTGGTAATTTATAAGAAATCACTGACATGCATTTACAGTTCAAAAGAAATCTTTCAATTCAAATGTAGAATCTGGAGAATGACACACTCTGAGGGAAATTTTGTTTAACGCCTGTTTGTAGTCCTCACAGGGTCATAATGTATGAAAACAGAATTCACTCTTCTAGAGTATACATGTATACTACAGTCAACCACCAGCCTAGCAACCCAGAAAATGTGAAAGCAAAAGCTTTTACGTTTCTTTTCTGTGATTTTCACAGAAATGCACGAAAAGCAATTCCTGCTCCCACTTCTTGAGTGGTTCTGCTCTATTTGTTTGTCAGAAAGTTTAACGGTGCTGCTGTCTGTTTTTGCCAGCATACTGTTTTCAAGATTTTAAATCTCAATGATTTTTTTCTCTTGGTCAAATTGAAAAATAAAAAAAATAATAAAATAAAAACTTCTTGCTCACTTTTGATATTGATTTAGCAAACACAAAACACTTGAACAGTGGACTTATCTTTAAACGCTATTGAATTATGAATGAAAATATAATCCTATGACTTTTAATCTTTCATTCAATCAAAACAACTCTTTGTACTACATTTAAATGAAGAGACATCTTTACTGACCAGAGGCTCCTTAGTTTTGACCAGACTGACAATTTTGACTGTATCTTCATCACTGTCCCAAACATCATCAGGTATGGGCGGCAGAGTGGGCTCAAAGTCTCTCTGGGCGACAGCGTCGTGGACAAAGAGGAGACTCTGTAAAGATGACAGACATACAGTGAGGGAGTGATATATGTACAGACAGTAGATGCAGTATCCTCACATGCATCTCAGTTTGAATCCTACAGGCAAGAGAAATGGTCCAAAACAACAATATGTTTACTTCTTATTTAGTCACATACTGTATATAAATTCAAGCTCAATGTGTACTCAGGAAGGACCTCTGCAAAAATGATTACAATTATGGCTGGTATGTGCAGAATTCACTCCAGGGACTAAATCCAAATAAATCACTTTCCTCACAGTCAAGACCCTTCCATTTTGCCCGTACCAACAAGCCAAATTCAATTTAATTTGAAATGTACTGCCAGCCTGTGGGCCACCTGAAAGCAGCCCCCCATACTCCTGACTCTGCCTGTCTGCAGGCACACTGGCTCAACCCAAACATCACACACATCGGAGAAAAAGGTTCTCCTTCACAGCGGGCTGTGAGGTGATATATGAATCACTATCGATGCCCAGACAGTTCAACTGAGTGTGGTTTTTGTTAACTTTGGCAGAGGGAGCTCCAGGTTTGTTTGCAGAAAAACAATCTACTGGATCTCTCACTGAGAGCCTGGAGAAAAGTACAACTTGGGAAAAAGTGACTTTTCTGTAATATAATAATAATAATAAAAGAATGAGACCAGGGAGGGAACATCTGCTCATCTATGTAATTTTAACAATCAGCCAATCCATCTGTCAGTTAGTCTACTTGTTATCCTTGTGTCCGTCAACAGCTGATCTGCTTAGGAGCTGACGGTGCGTGAGCAATGTGTCTCTGGCCACTTTTGGAGAGGGTTTTTAAAAAACAAACATTCATTTACAGAATATTAAACCTGGAGTCCCGTATAAGTATGTGTGAGCTCCTGCACCGAGGCCAAGAACAAACAGGTCGTTAAAACTGTTTAAACAAACCTGTTGGTTCTCGGCGGGCTTTGGCTCCTCATTAGGAAACGCCACAACTCCTGCTGCTCACTGGAAAAGCCTTTACTGTGTGTGTGTGTGTGTGTGTGTGTGTGTGTGTGTGTGTGTGTGTGTGTGTGTGTGTGTGTGTGTGTGTGTGTGTGTGTGTGTGTGTGTGTGTCTGAAATATGACTGTCAGCAGATCAGAAAAAAGGAAACATGCGTTTGAGTAGTCTGGGCCTCTGCATGAGTGAACACTAATAAACATAACCAGGGAGTAGATTAGCTTCAGTGCCAGTGTGGTTAAAAGATGTCAGCACCTCTCAGCAGGCAGAATGATGAGGTGAAATCAATTTGAATAAAATTTACACTTGGATAAACTTGTCGCTTTGTGTGACCCATATAAGAGCCCAAATGTAGGAGCAGAATACTACGAGGTATTTGATGTGTGTTTAAGCTCCAGTCTTCAGCCGCCGTGACAGCTTCAGAATAGCTCAGATGAAGCATGACTGCATGGAAACACGTTCCTCAGATTACACCTCTAGCAAAAGCAATGTCAAGAATAATAGCTAAGCATGTTATCACACAGTTCATGAGGTGTTTTTTTGGTGATAATGATCTGCGTAGCTAAACCATGTATCTGTAACCAAAACAACATTTTCCAAGTGGATTACATTCTTGCTTTATAAATGATCCATGAGAAGAGTGATTATAGTATCTGCTTCAGTGAAACAAAACAAAACCCTGCGTGGTGCACTATCAGGCACAAACTGATGACTTTGTATGTGTTTGTGTGCAAATACTAGAAGAATAAAGAGGCAAGAGAACAGTGAAAGAGCTGTAAAGATATATTTTTTAAAAAGCATTAGGAAAGTGAGTTTAAGATTAATGCAGTTAGCTCCAGTTTTTCAGAACAAAGACTGGAAACAGGATTAAAATATTAGCCAGGCTCTGTACCCACTGTATGTCATAAATCTATCTGCTCACACACACCTTTTAACTTTACATTTGAATAACACTTCAACAATTTCAATCAAAGCCATGGACACGATCTGGCTTCAGATCCTAACCTCTGACCTGTGATGTATCCTAGACAGGGTTACTAGTTAATGCATTAGTTGTAGTTGGTTTGATTTATACTGAGACTGTTTCTTTTCCCCAAGACATTTCATAAAGTTAAAAATGTTCTACCATTAAAGAGGGTGAAGTTAGCTGTTTCGACAAGTGAGGATTAGGGCCACATGAAGAGAAAAAAAATAATAACAGGAAGGAGATTAGTCAAAATTTCAAGATTAACTTCGAAATCTTGAGATTAGAAAAATTGAAATTATGTCAATAAAGTTGAAATTTGGAGATTATAAAATGTCGAAAAGTTGTGAATGATGTTTAATGTTGAAATTTCGAGATTAAAAAAAATAAAATTCTGAAATTAAAGTCGAAATTGAAATTTTGACCTTTTTAAATTTGGACTTCAATCTTTAAATTTGGACTTGGAAATTGAAATTTAAAGAAAAATCTCCCCCCTGTAATTATTTTTTTCTCTTTCTGTGGCCCTAATCCTCTTTCGTATGTTTTTCTCTACCCACTGTATGTATGCTAAACTAAATTAGTATTCCCCTGCTTTTTATCTCATGTATTATGTAAAATACAAATCTTGAATATTTGCAGTCTTCCTCCAAAACACATCTATGTTATCCAGCTCCTGGTTAGAAACTGACTCCAACAGCTAACTCCAACTAACTTTCAGCTAAGCTTTAGTAACCAGCTCAGAGGTGGAGCTCAGACCACAGAAGCTGCCTGGCAAACGGCTAAAATCTACAGTTCCCTGAGTGCCTGTTTGAGGCTGACTGCAGAAGCAGCGGAAACCACATGCAGACCTAAGACAAAACAGCCAAATAGAGCAAAAATAAACATGTTTTGGTCTCCACTGCTCAGGGCTCCCACAACATCCCCTGTAAGAAGAGGGTTTTATTCTGTAATGTGTTTGTTTGAAGTTTACAATATCGGCAAATCAGAGGTACCGCTGACTTGACTGACAGGCTGGCACACTGGATCCATTTGCGAAGAGGCTAAAGGCCCACCTCTGGTAAGTTTTGGTTACTTCATACCCATTTTTTTTTTTTTACCAGGCTGTAGATGTGTTTATCTCTGCTGTAAAAATGACATCTTAACATAGGACCTCAGATGACTCCAGAAACTGCACTTTTTGTATCTACATTGAATGCATTATTATTCATTAAGACCATTTACAACAAAAACAAAGTTTGAGTGAGGTTAGTTTGTTTTATTTGGAACAAAACTTACACAAACAAGCTCATTCCTTGTTTAGTCTTTATGCTAGTCTGTGTCACAGCTTTGGATTGGATAGAAATGAGAGTGGTAGAACTTCTTTTTTGCAAACACACATTTCTCAAAACATTTACCCTTTTTTAGACTGCAGTTTATTGGTGAAAATGATCGATTTTGACTGGACCTCGACAGGGCTTGGCGGGGTAAGTTCTGGGCTGGTACACGTGTGTGCAACACAAACACGTAAAACCGTGGAAAGTCATAATATTCACCTTAAAATGGGGCTTGGAAAAGAGGTCAACCAGTTCTTTGACTTCATCTCTCCAGCTTTTGGATATCAGCTCCTCAGCCAACTGGAAGCAGAGAAAAAGAGAAAAGACGGCTCTATTTTTGATAATTAGAGGTATACATTTATATCATGGCCTGAGTGAGGTTTGCAGTGGACTAGACTAGACCGGCCAACAGAGACAGAGACACAAGCAGAGATGAACAAAATGAGTAAATTTTAACTTTGAACGGTGTGACACGTCATCGTTTCTGACTTTATTTCCACGCCTAAAACCAACTTGTTCTCCTCATTGGGAGTCTGCTTCTCTGTTCTTGTTAGCTATCTGTGTCACATGTTTCTTCCTTTGTTTCTTGACTTTTAGCCACTGTCGGAAAAAAAGCTCCTGGATGTTCAAGGCTGCACGACAGCTGCGGCGACGGCTGAAACAGAGCAGCCTTGACCGTGAGCAGCGAGTGAGGAGGCGGAGAGTGACCATATGCAGTCGCCCGTCTTCTCAAGCGTATTACTGTAATGACTTCTACTGCTTCAAGATGTGGAGGCACACTCCAGAGACACAATGCATGAAGGTCATTAGTTTCCAGTGCGAGCAAACAGAAGCCTCTCTGAGGGGAAACAGACCCATGGTTTGGCCCTACCAGCAGGTCCTGATGATTTAAGCCAGGCGGAGAGTTGCTGTCGAAGTGAATCTGATGCAAAAGCGGTGAACGGGAGGAGGTGGAGAGGAGAGGATAGATGGACAGTATGGAAACATGGCAGGATACACAAATCACACAGGGCAGACCTGTCCTGGACGGATTCAGGCCAACTCAATACCTTAGTGTAGGACTAAAATACTTGATTTACAAAAAAAAAAAAAAACATGAATATGTAAAGAAGTATTATAACAATATCTATTAGAAGTTGACTAATAGCAGTTAGTTAAAGAGACATTTTTACAAAAAAAGGAAAAATTTTCTGTCAAAATGTAGAACTTGGGATTGAACAAACTCCAAGAGAAGACTTTCGGGAATTTCCCCTTGTGGGACTAATAAAGGAGTATATAATCTAATTTTATCTTTCACAAAATTCAACTATACCTGAAACTTTTCATCTCAAATACAACAGTTAACCACTTACACTTACACTACAGTTACAGCCAATAAGATAGTGTTGTAGGTGAGACATGAGGTGAGACAAAGTGGTGGGTGAACACAGACCTGGAGGAACAGACACACCAGCAGTGGAGTAAAAGGGCCACTCTTTTCAGAGATTTATTTTATACAGGATCAGTACAATGAAACCGGTTATCAGTCAAATGCCAAATATCAACCAGCCACAGTTAATGATTGGTCAACCCTTAGCTAAGAGTTATTATCTATTATGTGCGAAGTCATGCAAAGCTGGCATCAGTTCATTTGTAGATACATTGTTCAGTTATTAGATAATACATTCTATAAAATCACTCAGTTATGTTGATGTGTCTGTTTCTATGCACAATATAATTTCAAATGAGCTTCAGGAGCAGCAATCCGCTCTGGAATAGAAAAAAAGGTGTTCCAGCATCACGTCTTTAAGTTTCTCCTCATTTTTTTCTTCATTTCTTTGAACTTGTCCGAGTTTACAATTTATTTTACATAATAAAATCTTCTCTCATCTTAAAATAAAAGTTTGTTTCAACACCAACTTCCATCTCCTTTAGAATCAAAAATCCATTTTGTGCATATATTTATTGTTATAGCTTCAAAGGTTTGAAAGGCCAAATGTCAGTGCCTTATTGAGTCTCCCTCTCTATAAACCTGGAGTCTCTACAAATAATCACATCATGCCTGAGGAAGTGTAAAGTATGACGTTACAAAAGAGGGAAAAAAAGGAGAAATGGGACAGCGCATGAGGAAAGAGGGGAGAAAAGAGATAATGGAAGCAGAGTGATGAAAACATGGAAGCACCGAGCAAAGGAAAAATGTAAGGAGAACATTTTCTCTTTAACACATCTGTGCAGGACCACGAGAAGCCGATCAGGAAATCAATGTGGAACAAAAATGCTAGAGAGGACTTGGTGGTTTGAAATGGAAATATAGAAGAGGCATGTTGGTAACAGAAGTGATGAAGACTGGCAAATGAAATATTATGCACATCTGATGGAAAGAGAGACTGGTTTTGAGTCGCTGCATCACTGAGAGTACTCTCTGTCACTTCATTTTAAATGTGACATTAATTTTATTACTCCAACCCGCAACTATGAACTACAAAGAGAATGGTTTTTGCAGCCCTCTGCTTGGCACTCTCCTCTGCTGGCACAGAAACACAAAATCCTATCTGCGTTAGAACGCTGCCTTTCGATCCGTAATACCCGCTGTGACATAGATTTAAGATAAAATTTCATAATTCACTACACATGAGACAGAATGAAGGTTCCACTTGTGATTCTGTGTGATAGGCAAGTCATTAGTATATCAGAGGTAACAGTTTAAATGCTGAAAAAACTCCCTGCCTTCTCTTTTTGTGAAAGATGTCTGGAGAGAGTGGCTTACGTCTGAGGCCAGACTGGCTGCGTTCTCCTGGACAGGGATGGGACTTCTCTCCTCAAAACGCTTCAGACGCTCATGGATCTGTCAAGTCAGGGAAGAATCAGAAGAAGGGCTGTCAGTAGGAAGAAACTTAGTACTAAATCAAATGCTGCCTTTGCAGTAGTTTCAGTTTTTACCATTAGAAACATCAATAAGAGAACAGAAACTTGTGGAAGACTGAAAATTAGGTAAAATGTGCATACTCCATGAAATAAAGACTAACCTTTAATCTTCCAAATGATTGGTCAAACAACCATTATTTTCAGTATTGTTTGCTTATTTAACAGCTTTTAACATTTTTATTCGACTTTTTAGTTATTTTAATCTTTACTACATTTGGGGGGAGGCCCTCTGACTTACAACTTCCATGATTATTGTTGTACTGAAAATGTGTTATTTGTTTTCTGTAAGACGTGTCAAATTATGGCATAGTTAAATGAACAAAATAACTTTTGATAAAGCTAAAATTGGATCAGTTGGAGCGTCAACTCTAGTACTTGAACTAACTGACACATTACTGTATAAAGCGCTCAAGAACAGCGGGGCAAGTTTTTTGTTAAGGGAAGTGCAACCTGGAGGTGAGACTGTAAAAACTGCAAATACTACGTGTTTAGTCACATGTTGACGTCATGAGCTGTCGTTTATGTTTTTGATTTTGCTGTCTTACCCTCCATGTTTTGTGTCTCTTATCTCCTGTGCCCTTTCTCTGCTTTTTTGTCTTTTTTTTCTACCATCAACAAACCTGTGCATGCACTGATAAGATTACAGTTAGTAAGCAGGGGCCAGTCAAAGCAGTTACCCACGATTTGGTCTTCGTAGCAACAGTCTGACCAATCAGGATTAAGTATTTAAGCCACATGAGGATTGAATAAAATTAAATCATTTAAATTTATCAATCAGTTTAGGGAACAGACTCAAATGAATAGTAATGATCTACATATGTAAACAAGACCAATCAGCCCACCTGATCACCTGCATGCTACTAAAAAAGCCTATTTTTAATTTTTTCATCATCACAGTGAATGATGTATTTTGATGATGAAATAAGTCAGGGCAAGATTTTGCTCAACTTTCGAATAACACTAGTGAGATCCATTTCCGACTAAAATATGAACATGTTTGTTTTTATACGACATATACTTCCTTATTTCATAATTATTCCTTGTTAATGTGTTTTTTTCCTGATAATATGATGTAACCTATTTTTATTTAAGCCACAATTCAGTGGCAATACAGATTTTTTTTTTATATTAGTGAACTACTCTAGAACTGGTTTTACCACTTTCAGGGGGATCAGAGCATTCAACTGTATATTTTGACAACTCAGCAGAGAAAGTCATAGGTCTAGTAGGTCTACCTTGAAGAGAAGGTGGAGCTTCTTCTCTATCAGCATACTGCTGAGGAACCTGTAGTCCTCCTCTCTGTCTGACTGAGACTCTGATTCAGACATCACAGGTGAATGCAGTCTGCACACGCCTGGAGGAGTTCTAGTACAGAGCAGACAAGTACACAAACACACACACATCACACACAAAAACCCACGCATATCCACCTGCACCTGTTAGTGATTTACAGAGACTGTTTATAAGGTCAAACAGCCAAAGAGAGAGGTCAAAGAGTAAATGGAGGGTGAGATGAAAAAAGTGTGATAGGGGAGCCTTTAAGAGACTCCCTGTAATGAGGAACATGGTTTTCTGTTCCAGTTTGGTGATACTCTGTACTTAATGGTAAAAAAAAAACATAATCGAAAAGAAAAACGTATTTTATCTACCTACTGTTTAGAAGTATCTTTGTGTTCTGTTCAGCTCAGCATTCTCCATGTGCAAGAGGAAAAAAACAATAAGGAAAAAGAATGTAAGCATAAATTCACACAACATTACTGACATAAGGCTTTCTTCATTTTTACCAGCCAAAGAGGACCAGAGTCGCACCAGTTGGAGCATTTATTCAAGAAAGGACAGAAATGTTTTGTATTAGGTACTTCACATGAGATATTACTGCCCCCTAATGCCCGACTGAGATAATTCAACCAACACTGCTGAAAGCTATGCTTCTTCAACACATTTTTAAATAGGTCAACATTTTTATCACAGTTGTTCAGGATTCTTTCAGGTTTGTTATTGCCTTTTTTTATTTTGACATTTTTGCATCGTTGTCTGGTCAGTATATTTTTACCTGGAATACTGAACCAAAGATGACAGCAATCTGGGTTGCAGAAAGTGGATCTCTTTAGCACAGGAACAGGTTTAAGCTCGACTAAAATATTATTGCAGTTAATTTAGGATATTTTAACTGAGCTTAACTCATGCAGATAGAGTTAAAGAAAAAAAAAAGATTTGTAGTTTTAAATTTGTAAATTAAATTTCACTCACCACACACAGTCTGCTACATAGGCAAAGTTCAGGGAGTCCACATCATCTAAAGCATGAAAAGTGCCAGCTGCATTGAAACGTCCACTTTGAGACAGATGCTGTACAGTGATCAACTGATCAGACTGTCGAGGATCTATGTCTGTTTCATCCAGTCAATATGTGTCAGCACTGACCTGAATCAGGCCAGTGAACTGTAGTCAATTAGGCAATCAAAAAGCATGGCTGTGAATTGGACCAGGTCACCAGTGACTACTACTACATTTTATGCAAGTGTAATCCAATGTAAGGCCAATGTTTCCATCCTGTTATCACCTTTTCTCTCATGTTTCTGTCAATAAAAGACCACATTTCAGTTTTAGCTTCAAGTACTGGCCATGTATCCTCAAGTTTGAGGGCAGGTATTTGTTTTAGTTCCACCTTAGCTTTATCACTGGTATTTATTTTTACATTTTAAATCTTTACCGCGAATCAAATTTTGTCTGTCCTTGTCGTTTTACTTTCTTTAAGTGCTTTGGACTGTATGTTTGTCTATAAGGTTTTACACAAGATCTAAATCGATCACAATAATGCTAATTTATCATTATAGAGGATGCATGTCTGTGTCACATTTCAAATATAAATACTCCCTATCATAGGCTACAAAACATGGATAAATTGTGTTACTGTGTGCATTAGGCCTCATCAAAAGTTGCCAAGTAGCCTACCACACAGGTTGTAGGCTATGGTATAACCCAAACCCCTTACCTCCTCTGATGTAAAATAAGAAAACAAAACAAAACAAAACAAAAAAAAAACATTAAGGATTTGAGGGAAGGGAGATTTGAGGCAGAGAGATAAACACACCTGTTTAGTCTGTCAAACGACCACAGATCCAGACTAATTTGTCCAAACTCATATTATACAACGAGAAAAAAGAGGTATATTAAAGGAACAGATGGCATATAATGTCAGACTAATGGAGAATTAAGTGTTCGTGTCGTATATGTGCACATACAGCAGACCAGACAAGCGGTCTGACCGTGGGTGTGTCTCTTGAAAAGGCCAGCCAACGAGATGTGAACTCGGAGAAGTACTCTGCAACCAGCTTCGTTATCAGCTGCGTCATGTTATACAGACAGAAGCCAGGCTAAACCGGAAATGAAGCTGCGCCCTTCAAAATAATAGCCACGTTTAAACCTCCAAAAGTAGCTTAACACTTGTCGTTTTAGCCCATAGACTGTATATACAGTAGAATGGACAGTCTCCCTCCCCGCTGGGTGAACCCACTCCAAGAACAGCACCCTCTGTTGATGGGCTGCAGTATAGGTCATAAATCCCGCCTCCGCCAGCAAAGCTTATGGGGCTGTGGACAAATTTTAGAAATTTATTACACAGAACATAAATTTTTCTCCTCCCTGCTTGTGATGTTGACATGTAGTTAATGTAAGACTGGTTTGTGCTCAAGTCCTCTTTTTTCTGTGCAGCTCCGTTTTTTAAAGTTATTAGGGGGTTCATGTTTTCTATGATTGACACCTGATACAGCCTATGGGCGTTCAGGGATTGCATAGCTCTCCCGGGGGATACGCTGTTTGAGCTGAGCGTCATCACAGCGACTCACGGTGACTGCACGGCCAAATGCGCGCATCGCTACTTTGCAGCGCTGGTTTCAGGAAGTGAAGAAAAATCCCGGAAATACCGAGAGCTTTTTGGCCTTCAAATCCGTATACAGGCCGTAGGCGGAACCAAGTTGTCCATAGTATATACAGTCTATGGTTTAACCTAACGTATCAAAGAGATAAAGAAAGATTTTTTTTTGTCTTTGAATGAGGATATCTTTGAAAACCAAAATTTAGACCTCTGAATGAAAAGTTTGATTTTAGCTACCCGTTAACCCAAAACTTTCGCAGACTCCTACACTGCTACCGTGCTACAACATTGTTTATTAGTGTTTCGTAATGTAGACTGACAAACTATTGTTTGGACCCCAAATCTAATGCGGAAAAAAGGACAAATCGCAAAACTCAACATCAAATCAAGTAATTGCAAAACCAAGCTACAAATAAAAGAATTGTATGCAAGTTATATTTGTATTCAATTGAATTTAAAAACTGTTGTGATTTATTGTTGTGTTTTCGTATTTGTTTATGAGTTTCCCACTGCATGAAACTACGATGGCCAAGAACCACCACTAATGCAAAAAAAAAAAAAAAAGGAAAAAAAAAGTTACCTACTGTGAAAATAAAAGGATACTAATTAAAAAAGCCACAACGGAAGTGAGCTGCCAGGGACCAGTAATGATAATGCGCCGATGATTTACAATCTAGGCACAGAAGACGACGGCGAGAAGACGAGCAAAGAAGTAAATGGAAAGGTTATTGTTGAATTTTGCTTCGTTTATTTTTCAATGTGTCATTTGGTGAGGCCATGTAACGCCTGAGTGGTTATGAAGTTGAACGGAAACTAACACTACACCGGCATCCTCCAGTTCAACTTCATATCGACTCAGGCGCATTGAAAAGCACACAAAGCAAAATGAAACAATAACCTTTCTGCTTAATTGTTGTTCGTCTTCTCGCCGTCGTCTTCTTTGCCTAGATTGTAAATCACTGGTGCATCATCATAATTGGTCCCCGGCAGCTCACTTTTGTTGTGGCTTTTTTTTTTTTGTATCCTTTTATTTTCGCCACTTTTTTGTTGAATCGTTAACTTCTGTTGTTTTTTTTTTTTTTTTTTTTTGATTTGCACCAGTTCTTTTTGTTATTTGCAGCGGGCTTCAGTTTCTTTTTTTTTCTTGCATCAGAAACTTCTGTTGTGACTTTTTTTTGTATTCATTTTTTATTTGCAGCAGTGGCGGTTCTTGGCCACCGTATGGGACGAGTTCGGTACAAAATTGATCTGGCGTTACATCCAGGAAACTTGCACTTTTAGTTTGAAAGGACGAAGCGGAAGCTCAGTCCGCTAGCTAAACATTACTGACAAGTCCGCCTTCTCCGTTTCCTCCTGACTCTGCTGCTTTTCGCTGAGCTACATCGACCAAGCCAGGCGTACACCGTATCTACATGTCAGATGATGCACTGAGGGTGTTTTTTTTAGCAAAGACCAGCCGCTATGCAGTGCTGGTACTCGGTGCAGTGTTAGCAGGAGTGTGTTTGTCCGTATAGAGTGAGTGTAGCATTCATATCAGGAAGAACAGAGAAGAGCAGACAGACAGACAGGAGGCCACGGTTCCCCCTCACACACATACATACATCACCACGGCCTTGATGGTGATGTATGCAAGGAAACCAACAAGAGTCAGCGATGGGTAAATCAAGCACAAACCTCAACATTTAGATAAATTCGCGCAGGGTTGGCCTCTTTCTTTGTGACTGGGGTGTAAAGCTCGCGTGTATCCGTTAGCTGTGTGGATGCTAGCAGCTAGCGTTGACAGTCTGCAATTAGCCGTCGGTATTTCCTGTAGCTCGCTAGCTATCGTTAGCTAACTGAGAAGTTAATAGTTAACCCCCTTGCACACATCGAGTTTATTAATTCGAAGCGTGTAGAAACAATATCGGCCATTTTGTAAAATTGCAATTTAGTCGCTAAGGGTGCAAAGTAAGCTAACTGAGCTAACGGCTGATTAGCGTGAAAAGTGTCACAGTCGTTATAAACGTTGAAATCTAACGGCTCTGTTTTGTGTTTGTCTTTGAAGGTGCAACGACAGAAGGGATTCCCAATCCTATCAGGTATGTACTGATCGATCTGTTCACGATCACCTGTCATTACTGTCCAATGATGTCTGTTAAAGGTCTATCAAGCACCTTTGACACAAGATAAGGGAAGCTTGCCGTTAAAACGGTCACATCTTGACTAACACTGCCCGGCCATAAAAAAGTCCTACCACTGCGCCATGTCTTCTCCAGCACACAAAGATTCTCGTTGGGGTTAAGGTTTGGACCCTGTGGTGGTCATTCTCTGTGTGAAAATGATGTCTCTAGCTCCCTGAACTACTCATTAACAGTTTGAGCCAGATGAATCCAAACATTATTATCTTGGAATGTGATATAATATATCAGGGAAGAAGAAATCCTGGTCATTCAGTATATTCAGGGAGTCAGTGGACCTCATTCTTTGGGCACAACTTCACTGCCCCCACAGGCTTGTAAAGTAAACACTAGACATGATGGGTGCATCACTTGATCCACCTCTCTTCTTTCCCTGATACGCCCACCAGTCTTGAACTGGGTAAATCTGCACTCATCAGACTACATGACCTTCTTCCAGGGTCCGATCTTTATGCTTCCTAGCACTCTGAAGCATAATCACCCATGTAGTAACTTAACAAAGGGAGGCCCTTTATCTGTTTGCTTAGTTTAATCCACTTGGTGACTTTTTTTTTCAGCCAGGCAGTGTATCTTACACGGGGAAGGTAGCATCTTTGTTGCAGCATCCGACTCAGCTGCTGTGAGGAAAGTAATGGAAACAAGATTTTGATCCTAAACCGCAATATGCAGACTTTCCATATTTGTCTCGAATTGTTCTTGAGAGGTTGCTAACTCTTTGAATCCAGTGTCTGATTAACGGCTGATGGAAGAAAGGGTGATCTGTCTGGCCTGTAGAAATCACCATTTTTAATAACTGTGTTTGAAGAAGATCCCACAGGGCAGATCTAAGAGGTAAAGGTATTTTCATTATGGGTTAGGACCCACTCTTATGCTATTCAGACTGAGTCAAAGCAGTGAAATCGCCTGATTTTGTATTTCAACAGAGTGCAAAGTCACAGACTTGAAATTGTGTTTTAAAAAGTCCAGACCAACTAGAGAAAGCGTGGGAACAGAATAAAAGTCTTTTAAATCCAAAATAGTGTTAAAAAAAGAGTCTGGAACCTCTCTAACATAATTTAGGTCAGATCTTGAGAAGTGAAGGTATTGTGGTTCTGGATCAGAACCTGATATCACGTAGTCTTGAGAGAGAAAATAAAAAAAACGTGATATCTCAGTTTCTTAAATTTTCACACTAAGATTGAGGTTTTAGGGCACTTTGTGTCCAGAGGTCTGTAGACTCTCTTTGATAATCTGATCTAAATCTCAGAAGTATATCTATGAAAAAGGTTCACTTTTGACCTTAAATTCATGCTGTGCTGATGTGCATTAGACTCGTCACCACTAGGGTTGAAGCGGTACCAGTAAAAAGACATTGATATTCAGCACCTGTTTTGAAGACCACTGACACATGAAATGAACTCCTGGACTTCTAAAGTGGTTTTGCTCGTTAATTTCACACAAAGCTGGAAGTCTAACCAACTTTTGACTGACTAAAATTAGTGAAAGCAAAATAGATTTTTACTAACATTATTCTACGAAATAAACAAAATATATGTAGAGCGCATAATCCAGAAACACAGTCATGTAATAAACTTCAGCCATCGTACAGTGGTGAGCCTCTCAGAGGTCTGCAAGTTGAGACAAATAGAAAGTGCAAAGAAACCAGGTGATATCACTGTCCCTCCCTGCATGACTGCTCAAGGCCTCAGAAGTTCTGTTTGCCAGTCCATGAATGAGGAGAGTGAGTCGTCGTGGCTGTGATGTTCAGCACAGCAGAGACACACACACACACAGCAGACGGATGCAACTTCAGCTGCAAATAAACCAGATCCAGCGTCTTTCTGCGTGTTTCTGCGGAGGTGTTGACGCATTTAGAAGCTCTTAAGACCTTAACCACAGTGAAACGACCAAAAAAGAACTGCTCAATTTTTAGTTTTGTGGTATTATTTACTAGTGTTGTGCCAAGGTAGATATCCCTGAAACGAAGCGTGTCCATAACCTAAGCTAAGCTAACCTTACCCTGATCTAAACCCTGAATGATGGATGAAACAACACACATGATCTCAGGGACACACTGTGTCAGGGATATGTACCTTGGTGCTACACTGTCCCACTCTCTCTCTTCACTTGATGCCTACACTGCTCGCTCTCTCGTTTTAATTTTGTTGGCAGCTGCCTCTGGTTGAAAATGAGAGAGTAGAAGTTTTAATTTTCACAAGCTTCAATGCTTTTCAATAGTCTCCAACCAAAACAACAGATGTGACTTAAAGCCACTCGTCTCTGTGTTGTGGGTTATTAGCAAGGTTATTTACTTTGTTGAGCATCACTAACTGACTGCGCTAAATCAGTGAAGCCTGTATTAGCCTCTATTTAAAAAGTTCAGTTTACTTTTAGTAGCAAATAGAAAATGACTACAATGTAAGCTGAGATGCATCTCAACCAGTATTTGTGCCATTCTTTATCTGATCCAGACCCATAAATCTCAGCCAAAGAGCCAGTCCGGCAGCCTTCACCGTTATGACAAGGTGCGTGATGGCTCCTCCGACCCCACACCCCCTTACAAGATGCTGCGGCGCTCGGACGAAAGTCCTGTCAGCAGGCATGGAGACGGAGCAGGACACGGCAAGGCAAAAACCTCTCACACAGTCCGAGGTAAAAATGGTAAGTCCAGATGTGGTGGACATGAGATGTTTGTGGTTTCAGGTCGATGAAAATGTCTTCTGATACATGTCCATGAGTCTGAGGTCACAGAGAGATGGTGTGTTTGGTTCTTAACACTCTTCGTGGACATTTTGCTCTAAATTCACTCCAGGGAGAGTTAACTGAAAATCCAAGAAATCCAAATCTTAACCTTTAAGCTGTCGTAGGACCTGAATCATGTTTTCAATTATTTTATCATCTGCCATCTGATCATAGTGGAATCAGTACATCTTCCCTATTAAAATGTTTGTACTTTGGGCTGAAAATGATCACACATGGATGCTGTTTCAGTGTCACTGAGGATCTAGTCCCCTGCAGATCCCAGTGTACATCCTGTCTCTTGATAGATGTCTTTGTTGCAGGGACCAGCGGCTCTCCTCAGGAGAACTCTCACAACAACAGCTCCCACCACGGCTCAGAATCACATGCGACTCAGAGCAAGCCTGCAGACAGGGTAAGATGTCCACCGTTATCTGATGATATCCCCTCAGGACTCCCTGTAGAAATTGCTGTCACGCTTCTTTGGAACATGGTATGTGGGGAATAATGCAGCGGCATCTCTCCCTCTCTGTGTGCAGACATTTTTATTTTTCACGACAACAAGATCGAGTTGAAACGTCATATTTTTCCAGTAAGCTTTCTGTAAAGATTGGACGGTCTGATTAGATTCTAAACTCATAAAAGATATCAAACAATTGTTCACTACCACTTTGATAAGAGTGTAAGAGTTTGAAAAACTCGACAGAGAAAACATTTGTTATATTTGCAAGTGAACGACAGAGAATGAAGCTGAAATGAGACTGATGAAGCTTTTTCTAAATCAACGTGAGAAATACAAAGTTGAACATGCTACAGCAAGCAGGAGGTGTTGATTTGTGACAGTAACTAAAATATGATAAACAACAGTGGTTGATCATGTGAAGTGTTGTTGTGCAGACACAGGATAGTAATGCAAGTGACTAATATCCTTGCTGACTGCATAGTTTACACTGATATTTGCTGCTGACTAGAATTAGCAATCCCCTTTTAAACATTGTTCAGTCATTTTTTCTCTCCTCATGTGTAACATTATTCCAGATAACTTTATAATATCCTGATCATGATGTCATTTAGACCAAGGGTGTGTGATTTTATGTGAGTAAATATTAAAATGAAAAAAAAAAAAAAAACACTAACATACTTGTAGCCAAAAGTTGGGTGGGTGATGGACCAAAAAACATGAAACGAAGGCAGGAAAAAAGTCTGCAACACCAGAACAAGTTCCAATGCAAAAAGATTTATTAAAGTAACATGACGTTTTGAGCACGCTGGCTCTTCCTCGGATATGTGGCGTAAACTCCACACATCTTGGCTTTCCTCATGTGAATTATATCAAATAACTACATCCCAATTGTTGAGTATCTTACAAACTGTAACACGAATGTTTAAACCTACCTGCCTGCAATCTTCAGAGTTTCACTCTTCTCCCTCTGTCGTGAACTCCTTCTCTCACTGCAGATAATACACAAGATAGAAGAGGGCAACAGTAGTGAGAAAAAAAGGATCCCAGGCATGTTAACCTGCATTCAAAGGGACTGTTGTGATCACTCGTGATCAGAGTTTCCTGCTGAAATTTCAAATTAACATGAAAACCCGTGCACCTTCATTTGACAACATTACATGACGATGACAAAGTGCTCTCTGTGTCACACGCAGCAGAGCACATCATCACATACTGAAAGGGATAATGTTGAATAAAACTGTGGTGTAGATCTGAAGCCTGGATGTACATGGTGTTTCAGGCCATGTACACATGTAGCCAGGTATTTGCTGAAATGGATATATTTTTCTACGATTGGGCCTGTCATCCACACGAAGCTGCATGAATAAGTCATTAAAAACAGTGCACATGGAAAACTCAAGCCAAAGTGAAGATTTTGGAAAACTCTGGTTTTGCGTTAGTGTGTAGACAGAGATAACCAGAGTTTTAAATTCCCAAACTTCTGTGTCCACTTCAACTAATAGATAAACGTCATGTACTATGCACCCTTGTTTATGTCAGGTGGTGGATGGCACAGAAATGTACCGAATATATATTTTATTTATTCTACACCAAATAACCCTTCCTCCACTTTCCTTGTGTCTTGTTGACTAAATACTCTAAAACGATGCTCAAAAGTAATTCCACCTCTTTGTCGGTCCACATGAATGAACGGCACAGCGCTTTGTTTCTTGTTTGGAGACGTGACGACGAGAAAGGGAAGCTTGCTCTGATTGGATAGAAAGGGTCTTACTTTTTGGCAAATACTACCAACTCCAGGTCTGGCATGCCTATAATTGCAGTCAAAAGCACAGTTATGCGGTTTTGTGTGGATGTGACTTTTTTTTTTTTTTTTTTAAATGGAGTGGTTAGATATTGGTTTATAAAAATACCGGACTACGTGTGTACAAGATCTCAGTTCTGTTAAGTGAAATGATGGCGCTGCAGCCTGGAGTCTCTGATCGGAGTGAAACAGAACAAGAGAAGATCAATGTTTTTATCAGACATATCCAGCTGATGTCTCATAACTCAAATAGGAGGAGGTGGAGTTGTATATCATGTTTTTATCAGGGTGTGACATAAATACAAGAGACAGATCACACCAGAGACAGAGCATGACAGACAAAGATAGGAGTCATATCTGATCATCACCTCCCTTTAAACATGGAACAAGAGGAAAAACTGAATCACTCGTGTTAGGGCTGTGACAGATAGTGTTGAGGCAGTACGTCTGGTTACCTTATAAAAGCCAACCACCAGTGATATATCAGAATTTCCAGAGTATTGTTACTACACTATAGTTAATCATTTAAAATAGCTTAAAATCAACACACTTCCTCAATCACTCTGCATCTGGTAAGATGTCTTCATGAAAAAGATAAGTGGTTATTTAAAAGAAGTCTTTGTCCTGGAAAAAAAGAAGAGTTTATTCATAGGGCTCACCAGAATCAACACGACATGAAAACCCCTGACCGCCTTTAACGCAAACATCTCCTCCTCTCTCTCTCTTTGAATGGTCCAACATTAATGCTTTGTTTGAGTCAGTCTTTGCTGCAGCAGCCGGAGGCATTAGTGATGTGATAGATAGACTGTTATGAGCTGATGGACTGGTTCACTTATATAGGTCATATAGCAGCATTGGTATTAGATTAAGACTGTTACATAACCGCTTAAGAACTCCACATAGTAATTCTAAATTAGTCTGAGTTGAACTTTTTACCCCATCACAAAAAGTCAGCCGTCAGCTGACATCTCAATGAGTCGTTTTGTCTGACTGAAGAGTGTCTTGTGAAATCCCTGACCCCTCATGGCATGTCTCTATTGGCACCAGGACCCAGCTGATGACTGGACAGAACACATCAGCTCCTCTGGGAAGAAGTATTACTACAACTGTAGAACCGAAGTCTCCCAGTGGGAGAAGCCTAAAGACCTGTTGGAAAGGTAGGCACTCTTAAATGAAGCATAAACAAAGTTTGTCTTTTGCTGAGTCATACATTATAAAGTCAAGCTGCGCTCTGGTCTTACCGGAAATCACCAGCTCAGGCTGCAGGGTTAACATGCGGCCTGCATCCTGCACATTTTTAATGGTTGCTATTTGTTTATTCTGCCTCAGGGAACAACGACAGAAAGACTCAGTCAAGATGGCAGCGAACAGTTTTCCCAGGGACATGGACTACAGACAAGAGGCCTTGCAGGACAAAGCCACGACAAGTACGTCTGGTGAATTTAGAAAAGCAAAGCAGTCTGCTTCTATTATTTGCATCATGTTCACCAACTTTTTGATCAGATTCTTTTTATCACTTAGTGAATAACCATTCAATCTACAGAGAAATCTCTTGATTATATTCAGCTACATCTGTCCTTAAGACAGAATGAACCTAAAGAAAGAATGCTAAATGCTGCTCTCTAAAGAGGTTCTTTTTTCTGCTCTTCTTCCTTTTCATCAGAGACCACATCAGCAGACCAGTCCGCTGCATCCAACTCTGGCCATTCCTCCTCCTCCTCTTCTTCTCAGAGCCTGAACTCTGCTCCAGGTGCTCTAAGTTCCACCCCTTCCACCATGTCCTCCACCTCTTCCTCCTCCTCTACGGGGCAAATGCCCCAGTCTATCCAGTCCCCGTCACCGGCGCTGCTGCAGGACCCGGCTCTTTTGCATCAGCTCCTCCCCGCGCTGCAGGCGACTCTGCAGATGAATAACGGCAGTATGGACATGGCCAAACTCAATGAAGGTGAGAGGACAGAAGACACTTTCCTGTATGACTGTTGGGGGTAGGGATCCACGGCCAGGTCCATTAGGTACCTGGTAAGGCATTTTTCAAAACCAGCAAATCAACAATGTTTGAGCTGGAGGTGTGTAGGGATGCGTATGACCTGGAGATCAGTGTGATAAATGTATGTAAAGTTGTGTCCATGTCAACTTTGTTCATGTGCAGATTATCATGTAGCTGTGTGTCTCGAAATATGAAAACAGTCAGCTGCTCCTGTGTATCAGGGTAGTAATCATTTTGGGTTGTTGGTTTGTTTTCTTCCTCTGCTTTTTCCTTGCCCTCTCTGTCGCCCTGTAACTGAAACTGAACCAGGTCTTAACCAGGTTTTCATCAACTACACACAGAAGTATAAGGGTCTTTGGATGTCTTTGTTTTTGTCAGAGCTGAGATTGGATACAGATGATCTCTCAGCCACAGGAACCACAGGTATTTAAGTTTAAGAGGGACCCTGTCAGCCGGGGACTCAGCCTAATTTATCTCTTTCTAATGCCCCTAGTTTTTTGTACCTGATGAGTAAATTTTGACATTACTGAACGCTAAAGAAAGATGAATTTGTTATTGACAAATGCAGCGGAATGCAGCTTGCATTTTTAATGACCTTGGGTGCAAGTGATTCTGTCGTTGCCCTAGTCACTTTTTATTGACTCTCATGGTGAGGAGCTGTTGCAGAGTTTGTCACTATGTCATTTTAAGAGTGAAGTAGATCACTCACTGTGAGCGTGTGCTGTGGAAATAGTCGAAATTAGGCACGTGCCGATATGAAAAATTTGATATCACGATATTGGTGGCCCAAAATATCACGATTCACGATGTTATCACGATATTAGCGCGTTGCTTTTAACGTTATTAAAAATGGCAAAAAACTGAAATCACTTCTCTGTGCACAGCATGACACACACAAACAATATGAGCAAGAGGCAGCTAACGCGACGTTGGGAGCATTAGCTTTTTGGAGCTAAAGTTAGCAGAAACATCACTAACGTTGTCAATAATAAGCAGTAGAGTAGACCAAACTTGTTGCGGTCATGTTGTTTTTACCTTGATTTGGGCAAACGGTGCTGTATGGTGTTCACCGAGGTGGGCACGTAGGTTTGAAGTGTTAGACAACGGCGCTGCAACTTCCTTACGGCATAACCTGCAGATTGGTGTCAGGTTTACCTGCTCCGTCTGTTTTGTGAAGCCGTAAAATGTCTATACTGCCGACGAAACCTTTTTAATAGGACACAGCCGAGGCGTTTCGTCATTCTCAGTCTCCGACTGGTCCGGTGTTATGCCGTAGAATGCACCCCTGCTGTTTAATGCCCCCCTGACGGGAGCGCGGTTGAAAGTACATAAGGCGAAATAATCCAAGTTTTCCTAACCGTTGGACGGATTCAAAAGCGTGTACCTTTAATGATTTCATTCAGACTCTTCAGATAAGCCGAAAACAAAAGTCCTCTTCTTCGGAATATTTGCTGTCCCGAAAATATAATGCTCACCTTCCTCGACAGCTTACTGTACAGTTTATGTACCCAAGTACATCTCTATATGTGCATTTTTGGGACACATAAAAACAGAACGAAACTTTGCTGCTCCATTTGACATGTTGTCATGATCCATTACTCGTGTTTTTTAAAATATCAGATCATATCTCCTCTACTTTAAGAAGCTAATGAGCGGATGGGATGTATCGTGGACATGCTCCAACAGTGCTTTGGATGGCCGCAATGCATTGTGGGTGGCCACGCATTTTGTTGTAAAATTTCTTCATTTTCTCTTTTAGTGTTCCCGTTTTTGTTAGACTGGCATTAATGGACTTAATTCAAAATTTTGTTTTGGATTTGGGACTACTTTTGTGGTGGTTTGTTTGTACATTTTGCTATCGAGGCTTTGACACCGTGGGTAAGACTACAAGCAGGTTAGGTTGGTAAGTACTCGGCTTCGCACGTCTCCGCTGAGGCTGCCACTTGTCTTTAAATTATAATTGTGGAGTGATTATTACAGTACCCTACGATTTCATCATTGCGGCTGTTTTAATATCGCATATCGCGATTAAATGGTATACCGGCACATCCCTAGTAGTAATAGGCTTTTTTTTTTTTTGGCCTGCTTTCAATCCTCCGGCCTTAAACCCCCTCACAGCAGTTTGAAGCATTAAAAATGATTACAGTGACATACTCAGCCTTCTTGCTGATAGTCTCAGCTGATCTTGATGGTCATAAAGAAGCATTAGTCGCAGTTTCAGTCTGTCTCTAAACTCCTCATGATGCCTTTTAGTATAACCTTGTGTGCATTAAGAGATCCTGTATAAAACGCATACAATGAGTGTGACTAGTTTGGAGTGGATCTTCTACATAGTGTGGCAAAAGAGTGTTGTCTGGAAACGATACAGGGCCGTAGAAAAGATTTGAAAGTTTATGTTCTGTCATATTCAGAGATTAGGGACTGATGTTTTGATCAGAGTGGATACTGATAAATAAAAACTTGTACACAAAGTTAGATTGTAGTATGAGTTCTCTGAAGCCTCATGGTGGCTAAGCTAGAACGTTTTTGAAAACATCTTTAAGAGTAAAGGTCCTTTCACACCAAGATCATTTTTTTTCGTGCGATTATTTAGGACGTCAATTTTTTTTTTCGAACTCGTATCCTGTCAATACAAGCGTTCACATCAACGACGTTTTCCCGTCTTGCTTTATTTATTTTTTCGTATCACGGTCGATTTTTCTAAAGATTCGCCTACTGTGTGTCCACTTCTGACCAATCAGATTGCATGTTGTTGCGACGTCTGATTCACCGGTATATCCAACATGGCTGACCGGCTAATTGTTTAAATGTTGAAGAACAGAGTGCTTTTTGATAAAAGACACAAATATTACAAAGATAACGACCTGAAGGACAACTTGTGGAGAGTCATAGCGTTGGATTTCTCATATGACAAAGTTTTGTGTGCTTTATCAGTTTGCCAAACGTCTTTGTTTTAACTTTCATCTGTGCTAAATAACTTTAGCTCGTAAGCTAACCTGTTCAGATACAACATACCATATGTATTTTCACTGTCTCAAACTCAATTGTGTTGCTACCACAGCACCATTAGGTCTCGGTTGTTACCTTACATTTATGGATTATAGTTTAATGTATTTATCTGGTTCTGGCCCTGACTCAGTACATGCTATCATGACAGACAGCCATCTCAACACTAGTGTCTAATCAGAACTGAAAAACAGTCAGTCTGGCGTTGTGTCAGTCTTCTCGCTTCCACCCGGGAAAGTCACAAAATTGCATCGGGCTTGATGTGTATAGTCAGGCGTAGTGCTGGGCGATATGGAAAAAAATGTATATCACGGTAACGATATATATCGATATATGAACCTACAGATGAACCTACCTACCTTTGTGCCTACAGCAGCTTGTGACAGATTTACTTTTGATTCAGTTTACTGAGTGAAAAGACTCAAGAGATGAGGATTTTTTTGTTTTCCTGTGATAAGCTTTTTTTTCACAACAACTGGTCGATTTTTTCTTTAGACAGGTGTAATGTCTGTCTTATTCTCAGGTCAGTATTGTAGCTCATGTTCATGCTGGTGGTTGGTAGAGTTCCTTCTGTATAACACAGAATGTCCTCCAGCCTTAATCTGTGTATTTAGATAGTGTTATTTTTTGTGCGACTGTGTCCTGCTGTTCTAACCGAGGTGACATGACATTTACATGACCTATGTGAAAATATCAATCTGTCCTCTGATGTTAACTTGACTGTGTTTTCTGACCTAACCATGCGTGTGTCTGTGCCACTGACCTGTTGTGTGTCTTTGCTAACCCACCTGTGTATCCCTGTGTGTGTTTGTGTGTGTCTGTTTCCTCTTTCCTCCCTCCAGTCTTGGCGGCTGCTGTCACCCAAGCTTCCTTGCGGTCTGTGCTTCATAAGCTCCTCACTGCTGGACCTGCTTTCAACGTCACTGCTCTGCTCTCAGCTGCTCAGCACTCCAACCAAGGTATGGCCTCCTCGCTGTTTCTCACCGTCCGCTGCAAACTTGAAATCTCCATGTTTTTCTCTGAGGATCCCCTCCCTCCTATCCCTGCAGTTTAGATAATGTAAGGCCTACAGTTTTGTCAGTGACCTTTAGTTAGCAGTCTACAGTATGTCACTTCAGAGCATGTTAAGTTAACTCTACCTACAGTGTAAAAAATGTTCGAAAAGTTCTCAAGTTCAAAACTCAGATTGTGCAGCAAATCCAGATGTTTATCATGAGGCAAACTTTGATCCTGTTCTTGGCTTTAGAGGCGATAAATTGTTGTACTTAAAAGGGATGCAAACTAGGGAGGTTACCGAGCTCAAGATGCCATTCAGATACCGGCTTCTAAGGAAAGCGGTGAGCTGCTGCAGTACGGGTTGTGTAAATGAAAGCTAGGGCATGGGAGGGCTGTAGCTGGATTGGCGTAGCAACACAGAGCTTGGTAAAAGTGTAGCAAGCACTAAATGAATCCTCCATGAAGTGAGTGAGGAGCGCTGTCTAATGCCAGCTGTGTGTACTAGGGTTGACCGATATGGATTTTTGGGGGCTGATACCGATTATTAGGGGGGGGTCTGATTATCAGATTTGAAGTTATAAAAAATATATATACTGTAGATATCTACAGTATACTATACACTGTAGATATACTGTAGGCTACTGCCCCCCCCCCCGATCCGGTCTCATCTGGAGACATGCAGCTGCCTCAGTAAGAGAAGTAGCTCGATCACGTAATGTGTACTGTTGTTTATTCTACTGTGTTTCCAGAGATGGCAGTAGTGGTAGAAAAATACAACACGACCAACTCAATGATGAGCCATCATGCCAAAGAACAGCCACGACAAGATCACAGCCAAAACAGAGACGACATCGCTGTCAGCTGTGGACACAGAAAACTTCCCAGTGACATTTAGCAAGCATGAAAAGTTAGACAAAGTTCATGGGGTGATCAGTCTGGATGAGAAATGTCAGGTGCCTGGTTGAACGCCTGTAATCCAGGTTAAATTGAATTATTTTCAGGCAACCCTCTGATTGAAACTTTATGAGAGTCTGTCTTCTACCTCAGACATCTGGAGCTCTGTTGTTTGTTACTCCTGAAAGGAGTCACTCACCAATGTGCAGAGAGACGTCCACAGCTCACACTGTGACCATTCAGACTATTATCAAGGAAATGATTTACCAGCTGATACAAGCTCATGTCAGATTGTTTGCACTAGTTTGTGACGTGATTGTGACTAAATGCTGATTGTTAGATTTTCTCATTTACTACACTTTTTTTTCTTCTTTTTTTCGCTTACTTAGAAAATAGATAAATAAATAACCTTAGTGGTGAATAGGAATGTTTGTGGGCAGTAGGCCACATGGGAACACATAAACAGAGATTTCATGGACTAGCTGAGCTGGCACACCAGTATCTCTACATGCCAGTAACATTGGTGTCTTGTCTGAAAGCTAAATTAATAGCATGCCTCTAGTACTGTTCACTGGTCATGAAGACTATTAAAAGGAGTCAAATAAACCACAGTGGTCCTCTATTTGGTCCTATATTAGTGATGTCAATTAATGTCAACATTTCTGTCATCTTGAGGGGCTCACAGGGTGTTGTTTTGGCAGAATAGACTTTGCATGAGGAAGTTTGTGTGAATTTTAAACACTAACAGGCTCTTCTGGCCTTTTTTCACATTGTGGTATATTGTCTCAAGTTTATCATTTTCACCGGCACAAATTTAATCTACAGGATACTTTTATCAGCTAGCACTATGTCCAATCCCGTACACTAACTCTTATATTAGTATTTTCTTTTACTTTTGTTTTGTTTGTTTTTGTTTACTTTTGCTTTACTAAACACACGGACGCCTGTTTTGATCTGACAGCATGGAGATCACTACAGGACTTGGGTTTTTAAGGGAAATGTTCTTTTGATAAATTAAAAAAGTCAGTTAATAATATCAGAAGCCAAACATCCTAACAATCCTCTTGTCTTCTTGTTTCAGCCCAGCACTCCAGTCAGTCTCCCGTCTCTCTGACATCAGATGCATCATCACCTCGGCCGTACGTCTCGCCACGCAACGGCACGCCACAAAGCAACCAGAAACCCCTTATGGGTGTGCACCAAGGCAGCATTACATCCTCCCAAACAAGAGTGAGTCTAACCAGAACCTAAAGTAACAAATATCAGTTCATCTTCCAGAGTGAGGGATTACTTTTGACTCGTGACTCACAGACGACCTCTCTCTGCTCAGTCAAGACTGCCATCGTGTGCAGCATCTCGTATTGTTGCTTTTTTAATTTCTTTTTTGTCTGTGCATCCCTCTTTAGGGCAGTATGTCTTCAGGTAAACAAGGATCCGTACCCTTGTCTCAGATTGGAGAGAAGCGCCCAGAAGACCCCAGAACTCTCCAGCAGAGGAGGTAGAAAGATTAAGTCATCTGTTTAACAAGCCAGTTTGACTTTGTTTGGATGGTTTTTATGTGCAAGAAAAACCAATTTGCAGAGAAGTTTGTTAACAAATATGAAGATGAATTACTGCTGTTAAAATCCACACTCTTCCTTACTTCATTATGCAGCTACCTGACCTAAAACTACAAATATTATTTCCATCAAACATTCAAAGTGCCTGTAAAGACGCAATAATCAGCAGTAACTGTGTCTAATGTGCAAAAACTTGAGGGAATCTGCAGCCACATTTTGATCCAGTAAGTTTTCTCATTCCAGCAGCCAGGAGATCCTCTGCACGGGATCAAACCTGCCTGGTGCTGCTTTGCCCCACATCCTCTCCAGCAGCACCAGCCAGCCCCCAGCTGACACCCCCGGCTCCTTCACCCCCACCCTGGCAGCTCATTTTAATGAGAACCTCATCAGACATATCCAAGGATGGCCTTCAGAGAACACTGAAAAACAGGTACAGTGGCACCTGTTACAGAGCCATGAGGGGGTTCTCGGGGGTCTTCTCGTGACTTTTCCCTGTAGATCATAACGGAGAGTGCTCTGTCTGTTTTTAAAGGCATTTTATAAGCAGGCTGTCCATCTTCCTCAACCCAATCTCCATAATTCTTCCTCCTCTTTGATCTGTATACACCTTTATCTCCATTCTATAAAACCTAAGGAGCTCTATTGTGCTGCTCTGAGATGTTGTCTGTCATGCTTGTTTACATCCAGAAAGTTGTCAACAAATGGAGTCACAGCTCTATCTAGTCTATCTCTATCTAACTCAGACACAACATATTCTAATTTCTTGAAGCCTCCACAGGGAATCAACTCATTAAAGTAACCAGTAATTCTGGTGTTTAGTGAGCGAGAATTTCTGTGTTTGACCGGGGGGGAAGATGTCTAATCTTGAAGTCGATCCTCAGTAATAATCATTCTCTAGAAGATAACACTAAATTTATTTCTACCACAGGATCTTTGAAGGTTAAATTATAATTTGATTCAGCCATGGAGTTTGTGATTGATAAGATATGTCAGCAAAGGGCGAGTTTTACTAAATGCACTCGATTTTATTTAATCACAAAAAAAGAAATATGATATACGTATAATTTCTGAAAATGTACTTTTTTTAACCTTGGATTGGATCAGATTGGAGGATAGAAAAGAAGCAGGGAGAAAGAGTGAAAGGTGACATTGTGTACACGGCTGTGGGTTGGTATCAAACCTGCTCTGAGAACTATAGCGCAAGTGCACGGGGTTCAAGATCTAACCACTGAGCTAAATTTGCACTCAACGGTTCATCTAAACAACACGGGAATTTTCCTGAATATTAAATCAGGAAAAAGAAAAGAAAAAGTTTGAAACCACTGTGTTTAAGTATGCTGTCAGAAGCATGTAGTTGTTGTGTTTTTGAATGTACCGTTTAGATCTGTTGTTTGTTTTTTCCCCAGGCGGCTCGGTTGCATGAGGACATTCACAACATGGGCAGTTTGTACATGTCCGAGATCTGCACGGAGATGAAAAACCTCCGCTCCCTGGTCAGAGTGTGTGAAATCCAGGCCACACTGAGGGAACAGAGGTGAGGAACATGTTATAAGAACACAGAGAATCACAATCCTGAATGAAAACATAAAATTTACAGATTTTTCCTTTATGCGCAGAATCCTGTTTCTGAGGCAGCAGAGCAAAGAGCTGGACAAGCTGAAGAACCAGAACTCCTACATGGTGTGAGGAGCAGACCAGAGGGAAAAAAGAGGACTGGGATGGATGGATAAAAATGACGACATAAAAAGAGGAATAGACATGGACAGCAAGCCTGTTTATTCTCCATACAAGAGCAACTGAAGAGAGCTGTCAGAAACCAATCAGACAGCAGCTGACACGGTGGAGCTCCATCATCCTGAACATGTCTTTTTTTTTTTTTTTTCGTACTTTTTTTTAAGAATCTGTTTTCCCGGTGTCCACCACACAAACATGTCTGGGACACTTTACCTGGTGGACACAGAGGACCTGAGGCTCTTTTGAGACAGCACCTTCTCGGACTGTGAACCTTGGATTGTGTGTATCGTTTTGGGTTAACTTGTTTTTCTGGTGTGTTATTTGATGTGTAGTGGTCAGGAACAGATTAAGAATTATCTTTGGGAAAATCAACTAAAACAAAAAGCATCTCATAAAGGATCGGTGTGACGCAGTCGCTTGGCAGGTGGGGGCATCAGAACAAACTCTTGGCTCTCCGGTCTTCTGAAATGGACTTTGTCATGCATTGAAATGTATGGTTCAATGGCAGTGATGTTACTAATGTTATTTTTTATTCACTATATTTGTCAGTGGTTTTTCCAGACCGGCGTGTCTTCGAGCTGGTTGGTTTTACATGTCAAGAGATTAGCGAAGACCTTCGGCCAGAACTTTGTGAACATACTTAAATGTGCTTCAGTTCTTTCGTTCCAGCTGATGAGAACCTGCGTTATGGATCCAGTGGTACAAAGTCACTGGTGCGTTTGTGGCTAGTACACACTCCAGATGTTTTCAAAGCCATTTGAAAAATAGTATTGGACCTAGATTGGCTGCTAGTGCATATGAGGTTATAATCATTTGTAGCCCTGCTGGCCGTTCTCTCTTTCTCTTTTTCCCTTCTGCTATTTGTCTCTTTTCTTTGTATGATTGTCAACTTTTGTTTCTATCCCAGCTCTGATTTGGGAAATATTTCATTCCTTTTGTGCAGCTTAGCAAGAGATTGTTTAAAAGAGTAGAAAAGTGGCTGAACTCCCAGTCATTTAAGCTAAATTATTGTTGCACATGATTACGTCCTCATAGTCGTAATGGGGAAAAAAAAAAAATCGGTGGAAAGACGATTTATTTTTACAGTAAGGAGAGCAATGTTTAGTTCGTCGATTGTGTTCAGCTGTCATGGCCCTTTTATCAACTGACTCTAGCCAGATCTGGCTACTTTTTTAGAGGGTTCACTCACGATGAGAGGGTATACTTTTTATACATTAAACTGCGGTTGACACCTCTACACCCATAAAGCAACTTTCTTTGTCTCTTGGCTATTCTTTTCTGTGTCCTTGAATAGTTTCCACCACATCTGATGTGCACACTTTTTTGGGAGGGAAGGGGAGGTGGGCGGTGGGGTTCCGGGGGACTTTGTATTCCATAAAATATGAGAATAAAATATTATACCACATTTTTGCTTGACTTTTACTTACTGTCCAGTTTATTTAGACTAGGGTTAAAGTTGTGTGTGTGTGTGTGTGTGTGTGTGTGTGTGTGTGTGTGTGTGTGTGTGTGTGTGTGTGTGAGAGAGTGACTTTGACCCTGTGACTTTGAAAGAAACTGTCCCTGTACGAGACAATTCTTTTGTCAGCCTGCAGTAATCAAAGACAAGTACAATTAAAAAAAAAACACCACATAGCAAACACTCGCTCACACATTCATAGAAGGTGCACAGATTTCAAGGATGGCAAATCACAACAAGTAAACAAAATCAATGGTCGCAGGAAAGAAGGAATTCTTATGCCTGTTGGTTCTGCACGTTGGTATGGTGTACCGGCGACCAGAAGGTAGAGGTTTATACCCGGCATGCAGTCTTTGCTCTGTTGGTGGCTCTGGTCTTGTACAGGGCTGACGGATCCACAAAGTTAACCCCAGCAATCTTGCTGCACATGTTTGTGATTCTGTTCAGTCTTTTTTAAACTTTAATAGTGAGGGATCCAAAACCAGCAGATAAAAGAGAAGGTAAAAATGGTTTTGATAAAACAGGAATAACACATTTTATTCTAATAACAGAGGAATCCACATTAAAACAGTGTGTGTGTGTGTGTGATGGAGGTTGTGTGTGTACCTTGGGTGAAGTTCCTGCTGAATTATGTAGTTTGTAATGTTGCTAAATTAAAGTGTAATTACTCAGGTGGAGCCGTGCTGGTGTGACAGCTTTGGGAAAAGTAATGTTCAATGGGATCAGGCTGTGCGCTTTATCAATGACTCATTAGGTGTGTGGGTGTGTCTGTGGTCTGCAGCCATTTACTCAGACTCCTCAGTGGTATTTGTGTCAGACTGCAGGTCTGTTTCTGTCCACAGGATGGAGACAGTGAGTGACCCTGCTTGGAATCTGCTTCTGCTTATGTCTGCATTTTCTTTCCATCAGATTAAAAACCTATTACTGTACATGTCATGTGTAAAATGTAGCCTGAACAAAAGCAGACGGCTGTATAAAATCTGAATTGAGTTGACCTGTGTTATGATTCGGGGCCAACACACACACATGCATAGGTATACAGATGATCGATGACTATTGAATATAACTGCTGATTGACAAGGCTAAAGCATGATAAAAGCTGAAACTGTGGGTTCAAAATGTCAGAGTATTTCAGCCGGTGGTGTATCTATGGTGACACTGAACTTGGCCTCTTGGTTGGAACACATCAGCAGCTTTTACTGCTTGCACAGCTCCACAGTGAGCTGGTGAGCCTTTTTCTTTATCACCTCTCTACACTGATGTCAACTCTTGGCAAACGGTCTCCAAAGAGGCCCACCTTTTCCACTTCCACAGAAAAAAATACCTGCTTTCCCCACAGATGAACTTCTGGCGCCAACTCTAACAACGTTTTATCTTGTTTTACTTAGCTAACATGAACTGAGAAGAATTCGTAACGGATGCAAGGAGCTGCATAGAGCTTAAGATGGTGAATACAGACAAACAATATTGATATATGAGAGCAAAGGAGTCTGATTGAGAGGTAGCACAGTGAAATATACATATTTGCATGAAGTTATGACATTGTACAATAGAAGGGGCCTTGGATTATGGTCGTCTACCAAAAAAGCTAAGGCTCCAGGTCATTGCGATCAGGTGTCAAGTGAAGGAGGTTGACAGAAATGTTGTTCAGACTGAAGAACTTTGTGTTGATACAGACATGAAAAAGGATTAATCAGAGCTACTGATCCAGTTGGTGAGAAAGTACCTTAGACATCTATGTTCTTGCATTGACCTGATTATTAATGCAGTGTTTTGTTAAATCGTTATACTCTATGAATTGAGATTTTCTAAGCTCTGTACCACAGTGGAGGAACAGCTGTGATATATGAAAAAGAGAGCTATAAAGACAGGTTGTTAATTTAATTGAATAGACAGAGTTTTTACATGAATATGATAAAATTAGTAAATTTATGAGAATAAATACGCTAATTTACAAGAATAGAGACAAAAAAAATCACAAGTAGTAAAAACTCAAAGGTACTGTGTTGACTTAACTAACAGACGGGCTGATTTGCTTTATAACTCCTCTTCACAAACAAATGGAGGACATCCATTCATTTAACAGTTACATCTCACCTTGTATCATGGCAGAGAATTATGGCCTTATAAAGCCAAAGCCAATTCATTTTCTCATGATAGCAGAGCTGCAGCAAAGTCATCACATTTCCAGAATAAAACAAAGTCATTCTTTTAGTCAGTGACTAGCCGCCTAATGCTGCTTTGAAGGGGCACCACAAGTCTCAGCTGTTTGCACAGTCTTTTAGAGTCCTGATACTTGTAATAATGATGTGCTGATATGACAAAACATGAAGTACAATTAAATCAGACGCCACATTTATCATTTTGACACAGGTAACTGGCTGCTCAATGAAAATGAAAACTCAACTTACCATGATGACTTTAATCTTGTAACATAAGGACATGATTCTCCTACAACTCGATTCTCATTAAATAACAACTTCTCCATGTTTTTTTTTTCATAAAAATTAGATTTTACCTCTTTAATTTTGAAAGAAAAGGCATTTTATATTATTGACTCTATTCCTGTAAGAATGTGGTAGAACGGTTTTCTTAAAAAAAAACATGATTTTAAGAAATCTTCAAAATCTTACAAAATAATAATAATAATAATAATAATAATAATAAATAAATAAATAAATAGAGAAAGAAAGAAAGAAAGAAAGAAAGAAAGAAAGAAAGAAAGAAAGAAAGAAAGAAAGAAAGAAAGAAAGAAAGAAAATCAAAACAGCAGCCAGCCTGGACTAAAGTGAGGGCTATGTAGCATCCTTTATGTCACTTTGTTCATATTAGGACATTGATTGTAGCCTGTAGTTCAGACTTCTTTCTCAGAAAGAGATTCATGTAGTCATGCAGACTCTTTAAGATAACAGAGACTGTATTGTTTTAATACCAAAGAGCACAAACCTTAAACTTTTTTTTTTAAGTTTTATAATTTCTGTTGACAGACAAATTAAACATAATGCTCACTTACAAATTTACACATTCAAATTGAATTTTATGAAGACAGACAGTGTTTGGTCTCCTTGTTAGGTGACTCAGAAAACCCTCTTCTAGTGATACAGATTATAAGCTGAGTGTGGTCAAAGTGTTTCATTTACATTTAATAACAATGAATGGCTGCTCTGTTCAGGTTCAGTGATTTGCAGGAAAAAGCATTAGCACAGTGTCAGTGCTGGTACTGTTGAGAAATACTGTACTGCTTTGCTCTGTGGAAAAGTTTAACACTCCACGTCCAACAAAGTAACAGCGCTCTGTACTTTTTTACTGGTCAGCAGTGCAGACTCAGAGGCAGTGTATTTTCTATCAACTCTGTCAAATAGCTGGTGTTGTATTCAAAAACCTCCTGTCTGTATTGCTTATTCTTATTCAATCTTAATACAACTGAGACTGTTTTCCGACTGATGCTTCTGCAGAAATCTTTTTTTTTTTTCAGCTGGAGCTGCTGCATTTGTCCTCATGTTGCAGTATTATCAGAGATGGGAGAGCACTGCTCCCATCTCGAACTAATCTGAAACCGTCTCCGGTTTCTATTATAGCTCCATCGCTTGCATAGCAGCAAACACAATTAACTTTGCTTCACTTCATTACATGATCTATGACTCAGCATGGACCCATTAGTCTTAGGTTTGGTGTGAACTAAGATTATCACGACTTTGTTTATCTCATTTATCTTTATCTGACTGCAAAAGAAATGATGTGCTGACATAATACTTCAGACTGATGAGGCCTTCCCCAAAGTAATGAGAGAGGGCTTTTGGGTTTGTCCTCAGGGATGTCTTTTCAGCCGTTGACAGCAGTGACAAAGTGAATTTGTATAATTCCACTGCCTCAAATTTAGTCAAGGTTACTCACAGCCACCTCCTTAATCAGAGCAGATGAATCTCCACCAGTGTGATGTGTTCTGCTGCACTTTGTTTGGAAGACATAGGAAAGGGAAAGTTAGCTTGGCCTCTTATGTCTGCAGTTCAAACTAAATCAGACAGGCTACATCCTCTGCATGACTGAGGCCTAATTATTAGGGCCGGGAATCACCAGTGGCCCCATAATACGATATTATCACAATACTTGGGCCACGATATGATATTATTGCGATTTTTAACATTTTGCAATACACTGAGTATTGTAATATAATATATTGTGATTTATACATTTTTTTCAACAGTTTCGCTAATTTAGCATTTGTCTTTTCTTTAAGTTTATCTTATTCACGCTGTATTGTATTTTTATGCTGCACATCTTGCAAACCTTTTATATTTTTGTTGCACTAACTTTCTCCTGCTCTATGATATCAACTCTGCTGATCTCACTGGACAAACAGTTGATTTTATTTTTTCATTATCATAGATTTGACTTCATGTTAGCAATTGATTTAAAAAATTGATACTTGGTAAATGAGACGATACAATATATCACCAGACAAAATATTGCGATATTATGATATATCGATTTTTTCTCCCACCCCTACTAATTACGGTTAACTTCTGCTTCAGTTAAGTTTGAACCATCCTAATGCTATGACTGTTGGGACATTGTGTGGTCATAGCCTGGCTTAAGGGTTATGACTAATATGGGAAGGACACATGAACTAATTGCAAAAGTTGCTTGTTGAAGTTGCTGACATTCTAGATCATGTTTACATTCCTCTTTCTTTCAACCTGAATTTGTGGATGCAACTGTTTTGGGTGTGGTTTTTGAGCCCATGCAGTGAGAGTCCTGTCTGCTTTTGATGCAGTGCCACCTGGGAGCCTAAAGACAACAGACATCAAGTAATGATATCATTTACTCAATTTTAGTTGTTCAATGACTTTAAAATCTTGGAGGAAAAAATGAACAGTGAACTTTATATAGCTATAGTTCTGGCTTATTTAGGGTCTCCCTCCCCACTATAGAGCCCTGAGTGGTTAGTC